CACCTTACGCCCGGACCTACTCTATACTCTTAGATTAGACCTAACCGTTACAACTCGAACTTCCCTCGGATTTTCTTAGGAAATTGGGCTGCAATCTTTCTTGGAAATTCCCTAGCAAATCTAAAGTTAAATAGCCAGGGATTTCCCTAGATAGATAGAGAGAATTATATTTATTTCTAATTTTATATTATAATCTAGAAGATTAATCTTTAGAAGAGATTTATTATATTTAGAAGGTTAATATTACTATACCTAGAAGATTAGCAGCTAAGTATTAAATTGAGATTATTCCCAGAAGGAAATCTAGTTATTTATATATTCTTTTCTATTGCAGAACCAGTTTCTATAATACTTATAGCCTGATTTTTCCTACTTTTAGCGATGAGATTCGAATGCAAATCTCGCATGTGCTCCTAAACCAACCCGACGAACAAACGTCGACTCGTCTCTCGCGCTCGGAGCTGCAAAAGACCGTCTCCAGTGGCTGGGAAGTCTTCGAAACTCCCGAGGGCAGTTACCTCTTCTGTTATGACCCCGAAGATGTTGAGCATGTATCCGATGCAGGGCATAGCTACCCGGGCTCAGACTATGAAGATGAAGACGATGACGAGTTTCGGACAACTTGGACCCATCCGGACCCCAAAATGGATCCTTCATTATACGTCCTTGAACCGGACAGTGAGATCTGGGCCCGCGAACCAGCTTTTGACTGCCTCTCCTACGTTTGGGGGCCCCAAGACGATCCCGAGCCGGCCTTTGTGGAAGCCGTCAGTGGAGGAACTATTGGTTCGTTCAAGTTAGGTCAGAATCTTGCCTCAGCGCTCCATCATCTCAGATATGAGGACAAGTCGCGAACCCTGTGGGTGGACGTCATTTGTATCAACCAAATAGATCCCGATGAAAAAGCCGTGGCCGTAAAATGCCTCTCCAAGATGTATAGTTTGACCACCCGCGTCGTCGTTTGGCTCGGACCTGAGGAAAACGACAGTACTGTTGCAATTTCGCTATTGGCCCATGTGGGCGCTCAGGTTGAGACCACTCTTGATGGCTTCCGACTGACATCGCCTGGTGCCGATGAACCAACGTGGTACGACATCGACATCAATCTCCCATTTACCAATGAAGAGTGGGAGGCAATGGAAGACCTTGTGAGCCGGCCTTGGTTCACAAGAGTCTGGACAGTGCAAGAAATCGTGCTGGCCAACCGCCTGACCATACTCCACGCTGGTAGTGCCGTCATCTCGTGGGCTCTTTTCCGTCGCGCAGTTGAGTGCATTTTGGATAAGAAATCGATTCACAAGGGTCGGGATTCTCTGGGAATAGCGAGGACTTCCATTATGAACGGAATTGAGAGACCGCTAGCTCAAGTACTGATGCGACACGGTGACCGAGCATGCCTCAATCCTCATGACAAGGTATATGGCATGCTGGCAATGACACCTCCTAAATTTCTGGCCGCAATTGAACCCAGCTACGAACAATCGGTTTCAGATACGTACAAAGACGCATTTCTCATCAACATAAATATCATCCGCCGATGGGAGCTATTCGGCTGCACTCCCAACCAAAGGACCATCCAAGCTCCGTCCTGGGTTCCCGATATATACCCAGTGTTTCCATACAGTTATAATTGGTTTCTGGTTGTTCAGAGCTACAATACCGCTATGAGGCGCCAGACAAGCTCATGGTCAAGGGGATTCGTTTCGATACCATTCAGTCGGTTGGGGACTGTGCTCCCCCGAGTGGGTTAGGAGCGCTGAGAACTATCCGGTCCTGGGAACCAGACGACCTCTTCAGCGCTTCCTACTGTGGTGGGGGGTCTTTTTTTGATGCGTACGCCATCACCTTGTTCCAATACTGCATTCGCGAGCGACATCCAATCGAAGAGGGCTGGCCTACCTTGGCGGAACTGAAGAGATATCTCCGAAACAAGATCTTTTCGACTGCTACTCAACCAAAGAAGGCGTTGAATTTCGGAGATTATCTAGATCACATTCTGTTTAAACGATGCGAAGGACGCTCGCTCTTCAAGACTGCGGGAGGAAGTATCGGTCTCGGCCCACCTACATGCCAGCGAGGTAAGAATTCAGCTCTTGGGAGTTAACAGAGTGCATTCTAATGAGCCCAGGCGATGTGGTTTGCGTGATACTTGGCTGTGATCGGCCGTTAATCATTCGTCCCGCCTCAGATGGAACCCACCATTTCCTAAGTCACAGCTTCGTCTACGATCTACAAGACTCCCAGGCCTTCCTCGGACCTCTTCCGCCCCCGTGGCGCGTACAAGTGCACGCAAACAGGGACCAGGAGTTTCGAAGTTCCAATCAATACTACAACGCAGACACCTACAAGCTGACGCCTGAGGATCCCAGGCTAGAGCCGCTCCCCGACTGGGAGAGGATTCCACTTGACGACCTCGGGCGAGGTTTGAATGGAGATGACCCTGAGGTTATAGACTTCTTCAAGAACACAAACGATGGGCGAATCTTGAATTCTGACCCACGATTTTCGCCGGAGGCTTTGGTAGAAAGGGGATTGGAGCTGGAGACGTTTGTTCTGTCATGATATTTGGATTAGTGATATTCGAACGCTCCAAGTTTCAGGATTAGGAATTAGAACGCCAAGGGAAAGTATAAGGTGACTTCCAGGACGTCGAATAGAATCTGGTTGGCAGTAGCGCCGACTAGACAAGATGCGTACTGGGGTTACGGGTGAGAGCCGCTGTCTCTATACAAAAAAGAAAAGAATGAGTGGCACCACATCATTGTCTAACAGGCACATTGATAAGTTACAGGTCAAATGCTTTTTCTCTGCTTCAAATGTCGCTCCACTCCTTCTGTCCCAATTAAGAGAGCTGTCATGATGCCTCGATTCCTTCGTGGCTGCTCTATGCTGGTGGACTAGTGACCCAGGCCGTGAAGTTGGTCAACAAATGCCATCGCTCCTCCGTTAGCATTGGGGCCTTGACGTAGGTTGTTGCTGTTGAGGTGCCATAATGATATCACCGTGTTTGCGTCACGGATAGTCACCTCAGCAGGCGACTGACGACGCTACAGTCTCCTACCGCTGTAATGAAGTATAATATGTAGCCTCATTCCCCTTAGTGCTGGGGTAATTCCAGTGGTAGATACAAGACGCGGTGGGGAATTGGGGACACTGGCTCTAATATTCCCCGCAGCTCCATCTCCGCGCAGGCCCACTCAAGCTACACCAACGCCATGTACCTACACTCCGCAGTCCAGTCGAGGATCCTGTATCCCAGAAGCCAAAACGAGAGACTGAGAAACGCCGGACATCTGGCCCCATCCTCTGAGCGATTTCCCTTTCCCCCCCGACTCACAGAGGTTGTCAGGTCAGAGAACATCGACCTGAGCGTCCTCTCTCTCGACTAAACTACTGCTCCTGATGGGATCTTCCCGCAACAGCAGCATCAAGCCCTTGCCCCGTATCGCTATCTAATTGATGTCGAACACATTGGCCCGTCCAATATAATTATCTATGGTGAATCTGCAAGGAGTCATTCGGCGATTTCATGTCTAGTTGGTATCCAAGGAGCTAGCATCCCGGCGCCTGGGGGAGCGTTGCTGCTACAGTAGCTCTGCGGGTGAATTTGCTAATTTTGTTGCCTCTGGGTAACTTGAAATTCTACAGATTAAAAATGTTAATAAGACGTCCGAGCTCTGTTGCCAAGCCGAGGCTCAGAGAAAGGTCTCCCACGCGTCTCACCCCAGATTTCTCCATTCCTCGTTCCATCATGTGCCTCCGCCCCGTATGGCCATGAGGTTCGCACCAATCAGACTCACGCCATTTCACCTCACAAATGCACTAAAAACACGATGTGGGGCACCCGAGGTACCGGCGTCCCCCCTCAGTCGGCCTGGCCGTCATGTCGAAGTGTGTATCCCGAGGATCTCGGGCATGGGGCTAGATTAAGCCTTTCGTCGCGCTGGGATAACTACTCTCTTCCTCCATAACATCTCCTCCCTTGGTCGATTACAGGTTCTTTGGCTTCAGATTGGCATTGAATTTGATAGAAGGGTTTAGACCACTTACACAGAACATTGCTGTCCGTACACATCCTTCATACACATCACCTGTACCTCCGCCCACTCGCCATCATGAGTCCTCCCGAAACGACCTTCTCCCGCGAGGAGGTTCGCTCCCACACCACCGAAGACTCGCTCTGGTGCATCATCGACAGCACTGTCTACGACCTCACCGACTTCGTCGATGCCCACCCCGGCGGCGAGTCCGTTCTCCGCCAGGTCGCCGGCCAGGACGCGACCACGGCCTTCTATAACCTGCACCGCCACGAGGTCATCACCAAGTACGCCGACCTCGCCATCGGCACGGTCGAGGGTGAGAAGCCCCAGGTCATCACCCCGCAACCCGGCGACCTCAGCGAAGTACCCTACGCGGAGCCCTTGTGGCTGGCGCCGTCCTTCCACAGCCCCTACTACAAGGAGTCGCATCGCCGATTGCAGCGCGCCATTCGCGAGTTCACGGACCGCTACCTCTATACTGAGGCGCAGGAGTGCGAGGCCACGGGGCGATTCATCAGCCAGGAGATGATTGACCGCATGAGCAAGGAAGGGATACTACACATGCGCCTTGGCCCGGGCAAGCACCTGCACGGTGTGGAGCTTATGGGCGGCGTCGTCAAGGGCGAGGAGTTTGACTACTTCCACGACTTGATCGTGGCACAAGAGATGTCCCGGGCGATGGCCCGAGGATTCCAAGATGGCAACATGGCTGGAATGATGATTGGATTGACCGCCGTGTTGAACTTTGCCCGGGACGAGGCGTGGAAGAAGAAGATTTCCGACGAGGTCTTCAGCGGCAAAAAGAAGCTGTGTCTGGCTATTACTGAGGCGTTTGCTGGTTCGGATGTCGCGGGCCTGCGCACCACCGCGGAGAAGACTCCCGACGGAAAACACTACGTAAGTCGAGGTTGCGCCCGTCATCTACAAAGAAAAGTGACCTAACACAAGGCAGATCGTCAACGGAACGAAGAAGTGGATCACCAACGGATCTTGGTCCGACTACTTCGTGACGGGTGTGAGAACCGGTAAGCACCTGAGCGTGCTCCTCATCCCGCGGGGCGAAGGCGTCGAAACCAAGCCGATCAAGACATCCTACTCTGCAGCTGCTGGCACCGCCTACGTTACCTTCGATAACGTCAAGGTCCCCGTTGAAAATCTATTGGGAGAGGAGAACAAGGGCATTCACGTCATCCTCAGCAACTTCAATCACGAGCGATGGGCCATGGTTTGTACGTCATCCCCATCAACAAATCTCCGGTCCAGAGCTAACAAAGACGAACAGGTGGTAGCACCCGCGTCTCAAGAACCATTGTTGAGGAATGCCTGAAGTGGTCAAACCAGCGCCTGGTCTTTGGCAAGCGCCTCATTGACCAACCCGTCATTCGACAAAAGTAAGCCAAGCCTCAACCTCAACAGCGCACAGAGCCCAGATGAGAACTAACACCGTCCAGGCTCGCCAAGATGATTGCTCTGGTCGAAGCCAACCAGTCCTGGCTCGAGACCATTACCTATCAAATGTGCCACATGCCCTACAAGCAGCAAGCCCAGCACCTCGCGGGTCCGATTGGGTTGTTGAAGATGAGCGCTACCCGTGCGGCTCACGAGATTGCCGATGAGTCGGTCCAGATCTGGGGTGGCCGCGGTCTCACCCAGACCGGCATGGGCAAGTTCATCGAAATGTTCCATCGGACGTATAAGTTCGATGCCATCCTTGGCGGTGCCGAGGAAGTACTCGGTGACCTCGGCGTAAGACAGGCTATGCGGAATTTCCCCAAGGCCATGTTGTAAAATTCTGTCTCGCATTGGAGTCGAGTCGTGTATTTTTAGTTGCTTGAGGTGCTTTGCAATCGTGAATCTTCCAAGAAAGCTCTTTTCGGCATCCAGAGGGAGCTGTTGATCCTGTGGCGAGATCCAGGTGATGTTGAAGTGTATTATCCAGTCGCGGTACTTAGCGAGTTGCTGCATTCCGAATATTTCGAACTTGTTCAACTCTACCCGGCGGTCAACTTGGTGACCGTAATGCTCACCTGTCGTCTCTCCTCGGAATCATCATCTGCGCTGCGACGTAGCCAACGCAGGGAACGGGTCGACAACACCAGGACACACAATCATTCACACCAAGATCAAACTCCCGTCGACATTCGGGATCAACACAATTCATCTCGTCCTGACTACCAAAGGAGCAATCCCCATACTCTCATCTTCTGCTCTCCAGACCCAGCGGTGGGTAGAAGGCAGGGGCACCCAGAACGTTGCTCACAAGCCATCATGCTTTTTTTGTAATCTTGTCACTCATCAACCGTCACCATCCGTCTCTCTCCATAAAGTCGAGCCGTATGCTTCGTCGAAGCCTTTCGTTACGTGACGAAATCCAATACTGAGATGTTCCTATCGCAGGGCCGAATGTAGGCAGCCCTTGCCGAAGTCGGAGCAACGTGAGTCGCAAGCCGCCTATTTTTAATGGTCGTAAAGGTCGTGTGCGAGATGAACTTCTTGTCAAATATGTCGAGAAAACACAACAAAGGAAAAACAAATGTCGTCCGTGGGCTTCATGAAGCTTCCACGTCAACCATCCCTCGGTTAATGAACCAAGAGAAGTCTCGTCGCCATTTTAGTTGGGGCACTGAGCCTGAACGTGGCCACCCTGCTGGCACTTGTAGCAGATCTTCTCACCGCCGGCAGACTCCTTGGGGCAGTCGCGGGAGTAGTGGCCAGACTCGCCACAGTTGTAGCACTTCATGCCGTTGACGCACTCGCCTAGATTTATATTAGCAGGGTCAACCAGGGGATGAGAGACGTAACATACGGGACATGTGGCCGTAGCCGCCGCAAGAGTAGCAGGTCTTGCCAGCACCGCCAGCACCGCCAAAACCACCGCCGCCAGCACCACCACCGTAGGAGTTGTTAAATCCAGCCTTGGTGCAGCTGCGGGCAATGTGGCCCATCTCACCGCACTAAATCTTGTTAGTTGACGGCCTTTCTTGTCAAATCAGGATATTCTCACCTTGTAGCACTCGGTGGACTGGCCACCGCCACCACCTCCACCCATGGGGCAGTCACGAGAGATGTGGCCGGGCTGGCCGCACTTGTAGCAGGACTTGTTGTCCTTGGCGGGCTCGGAGCAATCACGGCCTATAAGTTGGTTAGCACGTAGTTAGGGAAAATCGGGGGTTTTATAACATACTCATGTGGCCCTCGCCTTCAAAGCAACAGATGTTAGCTCTCAAATCACACTAATGAATGCTATCAAAAGAACATACCACCACAGTTGTAGCTGATTATTGTTAGTTGGAATTCATCAACGGGAGGGATTGACAAAGAATGCATACCACTTAGCAGGACCCTTGGTGGGGCAGTCGCGGGCCTGGTGACCGGCATTGCCGCCTGCATCCACAGATTAGTACCCCTTTCTCATCAAGAAATCGAGTAGTATGTGTAAAAATAGGTGGGGGAAAATTGATGAATCAATCCAAAAACCGGAAGATATCTGGACGGTATGTGGGTCGCGACCAATTGACAAGGAAACGGTCAGGAGGAATCCGCATCTTTGTCGATTATTGGTGTCCTGCATGGCATCTGCCGGCTCGGCGAGCAAGTGGCGCAAAATTTCCCCGAGATTGAGAAAAGCAAAAAGTCGGACAAGAGATGTTGCGGTGTGATAATCGTCGGGGTCATGCGCAATCATAATTGCACTAAGAAAAGAGGCACTCACAAGAGTAGCAGGCGCCACGGGCAGGGCCGCCGGAAGGAGCAGAGTAGTTATCCATTTTGAGGAAAGGATGATATTCGAGAAGTTGGATCTGGCTTCGAGGTCAGCAATCACTCAGATCAAGCTCCGATGCAGAGGTGTGAAAACGTGGACTAGCGCGAGTGCCCGCCCCGAGATCCGATAGAGGCAAAAGATTAGCGAGGGGCATGGGATAGACCGCCGCCAGTACCTTGAGTCAGGAGACGAGGGGTGGTCTAGGCCAAGCCAAGAACAATGACCTTGTCCGTTCTTGTGCGGGGGAAGCTGGCGAGGGGCAGAAATGTGAAGGAATTGAGGGCAAGGGAAGCGTAGATGATGATTTGAACGACGAGCCGTCCTGGTGAAGTTGGATTTTCCCCAAGAAGGTTTGCGCCCACCTTGCGTCGAGCTGCGAGCTGGAAACGGTAGGCGGGGGCGGGGTGCAGAGATTTCCCAATGTTTGGTAAGTGACGCAGTGCAGTGAAATTTGAGAGCAGCGCAGGGCAACAGCGGCGGGGGCGGGGAACGAGATGTGTAGAGGGACCGTGGGATGGAGGCCAGGATGGGGAGATGGGGACGAGCAAGGCAATGGAGGAAAGCAGGCCACTTACTGAGAGGAGCCGGTCTTGGAGGCTCGAACGAGGTCAAAAGGGTGCGCAGAAAGGCAGGTGTAGAGAAGAAAGTTGGGTTGGTGGTGGTTCAACGCGCCTGTTGGTGCTTGTGAGGGAGAGGTTTTCTGCAAGTGCGGGCCCACGGAGTTGATGTAAGAGTGGTCAGGGCCTGGGCAGGAGGGACTTGGAAAGTGGGATGTGGGAAGTGGAGCGCGGCCACCGATCTCGAACCGGGAGGCGCCCAATAAGTAGCCAGTTCAAAAAATTCGCCGGCCTCCTACAGCGCTTCGCTTACAGGGCAAAATCCGTGGTCGAGACCTCTGCATCCGCTCCTGGCAGCGCCCGCCTCGCCACTGTCCAGTCACTCCAGTGCATCATCGCTGTAACATGGTTCGACCTCGTCCTAGTGCCATTTGCTGAGGGCCGGCCTTGTGACATCGGATGATGCTCTATCTCCAGCCAGGGCACTCTGCCGCCCCCTCGTTGACTCTATCCCTGGTGCGTTATCCTCGGCACTGTGCCCCGTAGTTGGTAGCTGGTGCGTTCCCGCTGCGTCAAACAACGGCGCACAATACGCGGCACTGCCTGACGGGTGAAGAGATTTCTGCCAGCTGCCCGACGGCTGGCGTCTACCGTCGGGGATTTCACAAACGCAAGAACTCTCATAGCAGTCAGGTAATTCGTCAGGTGGCAATAACAAACAGTGTCAGCTGAGTGCCCTGGCTGGAAGAGGCAACTAAGCTAGTTCCCCAAGCGCGCCATTGGACTCTCGAGCCAAAGTCTCGATGACGGCGACTTCGATTACCTGAATGTCCCAAGAAGCTATCTGGGTAACCGGCACTTGCTCACTGTACAAACAATCCAGTGCGCCAATTTTCTCGTTGAGGGTTTCATGTATCTTGCCGCTTTGATCCTTCCAGATATGCGCAATCTCTCGAGTTTGTTTCCGCAATCCTGGTTGTTTGCTAGTGTCTCGCAACAGACAAATGGCAAAGAAGTCCGGATTCTCTTACGGGATGAGGCAGGTCGTCAAACTTGTCGCGTAGTACATGCAGTCGGCCATGTTGGTCGCGTGACACGGGACTAGATCATATTGCACAAAGATGCTGCAAGATTCCATATGCGTTTTGGCCAATTTCGTTGTTGCTGTGCTCTCATCTTCTGGATAATGTGGGCTGCGCCCTCGGGGATTTTTCACAATGGGACGATAGCCATCCACATGAGCCGAAGTATTGATACGCACCGGCCCGCAATCGAGTCAATAAGCAACTTCCTTCCAAGCACAGGCTCAATTTTTTTTTTTAGAAAGGCCCCAGAGCTTGTGGCACTGCATGATCCCTCCATTGGACACTGCGAGTTGCCCCCTCGCTATCGGAAGTTTAGCTGTACAACTGAGAAAACGCCACGATCCTAACACTGCAGATGGGAACCGTGCGACAAGCTGCCAAATGAGATCTCGAAGCCCGATGGTCGCACGGACGGTGCGAGTGCGGGGTTCTAGCCTGTTTTGGTTTAGGAATTTTGGAGATTTTGGACCATCCATGTGGGTAGAGGACCGTTATTATGGAGAGAAGGATTCACAAGGCCATATTAACCTGTCGATGGTATATGACGGTAAGCACCTCATCTTTCTAAACTACACCAGGGAACGTAAATTATATCTAGTAAATTGGGCATTCGATATTACCATTTTCCATATCAAAAGATACCAGGGCACTCCGTTCCCTGATTGGCATTAACCGATCTTCACAACAGGCAAATCATTCTTTGCCCTCGAGGAAGCAACATGACGGCAATATTCACGTGCCTCCTTTGAAAACTAAAACACCCGAGTATATGAATGGTTTGAACCCCACGACGCAAGTAAATTTATGTATCTTTTCGGGCCCAGATTGGATTGACGACTAGAACTCCCGTTCAACTATTGAATCAATCCACGCGCGCTTCTGACAATTCGGTGTCACAGGCCATTCTACCTAGCGAGCGATGTCGTTACCTGTGCGTTGCCGTTTAAGCCACTAGTGCATATTTTGGTACCGTGTGGTTTCAGATATCGGGAAATTGACGGATACTCGGTAGCAGTGTGGTACACAACGCCCACGTAACGTTCCGGTTCGACTCCGTTGCTGCACAGCTTCCAGATCATGGTCTGACTCATTTGTCCCGAATTGCCATCTAGGTCCGTTTCTATCGGAACCGAGTCTAGTGTTGGTGGTTTTTGGTGATGTCTTGTTGAACTAATCGGGTCAGCGCCGCACAACCAAATTGCTAGATCTGGGCCGATTTGCGAGCCTAAGCTCGGAGGTTTCAAGAGAATTACCACCTACACCCCCAGAAGGCTGACTGATTTCACAAATTCTGGAACCAGATGAATTTTTATCTAATTCCACACTACGCACGGATCAAAATTTGTCTTTGTGGCTTGGATCAACCTGGACTTAACACTGGACTTACGAGCCCCGCAAAACCGATGAACATCCGTCCTCGTGGACTTCATAGTTTGTGTGCGGTTAGTTTAATGGAAACCGCATCTTCAAGCTTCCTAGTTATATTAATTGTGATCTCCCGGTTCATTGGGTAGTGCTCAATCAACAATGGTAGCCAACGAGATAGCCACAGCCACAGACTGAAGCTTGCGTTACGAGTCCCGGGTTTTTTGGTCGAGTCATTATGTGCTTGACGCTGCATTCAATTCAAACACAAATTTACAGTCTTGACGCGCTCAATTTTCTCTTTCGCTGCCGTCATATTCGATAAACTATTCACACTATCCGGATCGCGCTTTAGTAAGGACAAACCTTGACGTCAAAATGCGACATGGTGCCCGGCAAATCACCTTGATAATTATTCTAATCGGTGCTTTTTTTTTTTGAGAAAATCTTCCTCATTCCTCCCAAACGCGCTCTCATTTGTCTACGATGTGTCTATTGCCAACTGGGTTCATCAAGTTGTTGCCACATCTAGCACACTTTGGTAACCTAAATATGCTACACTTGCTGCTTGCTAATGCCTGTTTCAATTATGATGGTTTTAGGCAAGCACTCTCGATTTCTGATAAAGAATAAAGGACGACATCTTTCATTCCATCATATTGGCCTTGGCGGATGATGGAAAATGAGAAACTGATGAGAAAAATAGGCTCGGATTTTGGTGCTGCCTGAGATCAAGAGATTTTAACTCTAATAATCATAACGACTGCAGCTGGCAGCATCTCGCAAGGCTTTTCTCAATTTTAATGACTTTGATGATCTTAAGTTTTGAGTTGCACAGTATGTCAATGTAATTGATTGGTAGCTCACCGATGTGTCCCAAGAAATATGACATTAAGCCATGAGTGGCAAATGGAATTCTTGGGGCTTTGGGCCTCGAAAGCTCTGCTTGGCCAAGCGTGATATCTTACAGCGAGCGGTCTATATGCTTTAATAGACTAGAGCGAACCTGAATGAATGACACGGACGGAGATTAAATTTGCTTCTGGAACGAAGAACATTTTAGCCAGTATGCCAGAAGATCACACAAGGGTATCTTGAGGGTGTTGTTCGAAGGCCATTACATGGCGCCATATCTTCTTTCACTGGAATAACAGTGCCTGATTTGACAATTTTCAAGCTAGATTCTTAACACATGGGTTAGATCAAGAGGTACGGTGCCCTAGTACACACATACCCAGAGGGGGGACTAGAAGCTCAACAGTAAAAAAAAAAATACCAACAATCGTATCAACAATACAGACCATACACCCAGTCCATTCAAAGGTCAACAATATACTCAGATAGACTAAGGTTTCTAGTCCAACTGGTTACCTTTCCCGATACCTTTATGAGCTGCAGGTAACAGCTATGCCTTGAAAAAGCTAGATCTGCTGGAAAAGCTAGATCTTGGAAAAGGCAAAATCCCGATGGATATAAACGCTCTGCAGGCCCTCTTCTATTCCAGTCATCCTTCCATCCTCACACCTCAACCAACAACCCAACCAACAACCCATCCAACAACCCAACCAATAACCCAACTGAACATGGGTTAGATAGTTTACTGATATTTGAGATTGGTATCATTAAGGGACGTCCAGCCCGGGAAGGAAAGGTGGTATCAAGCATATCAGATCGTACTCGCAATGACTAATACCATTTTTCCAAACTGGATTGATTGTTCACAAAACTCAACAGGTCCCGTGGAGAGCCCTTCACGAGTTCGATAACGGTTCTAATGGAGAAGAGTTTCGGAACAAGCATCAGACCGTGGTGGTCATGGGACCGATGGCGAGGAACGGCAGAAATACAAAAGGGGTGATATAATATCAGATTTATGCTCTGTATTAGTGGTTTCAAGGAATTACCCATTGAAGGTCTCACTTTGTCCAGGCTAGAGATGTGGTTAAAATTAAAAAGGATATCTACGGGGCATTTGGCTTACACGGGTGATAGGCAAGAACAAGCTTCAATCCCGCAGGTGACTTGCACCTAAACTTAAGACTCAAGTTAGTTTTCATCAAACATAAAATACCATGTTTATTTCCCTCTTCATCCATCGGAAATTATTACCGTGGAAACATCATGGCACAGCGACGACGAAGTTGGGGAAGTTGGTCCATTCCAGTTGACCAGGACTGTGTCACGTGGAGTCAGCCGCGCCAGATTTCGCACCAGGCGGCCCGCGTCGGCGATGTGGAGACGCGTCAACCTCCACCTCCAACTCATACCGTAAATCTGTGCATCAACGAGTCGCCTCATATCAATCGAATTGATGATGGTCACGAGTCTTCACAATCTACAATGACGAGTTGGTTTGACACCGGGCGCCCGGAAATTATAAACGCTGTCGCCGCAGCATGTGAACGCGTCGATCAGGCGATCAGGCAAGGTAAGCGCACCTGGGAGCATCGTGTTCTAAGATCAATCCTCTGACAAACTGCAGACCTCGAGCTTGCCAGACTCGAGCTTCGAGAAGCCCAAAACGAGCGGGATGCTCAGTCCTTGCGAGCTACGGAGCTTAGAGCTGAAAATGCTCGTCTAAAAAGCGAGCTGCTAGAAGCAACGGCAGCGAAGGCATCACAGAACCCACAAAACCCAAGCAATTCTTCATTAAGCGCTTCATCACGACCAACTGACGGCGATTCATCCGAGATCCAACCTGACTGGAAAGCAGAGTGCGCTAGAGTAAGCTCCAAATTTAATGCCTTATCGGAAAACTTCAAGAAAGCCAAGGATGCACTTCGGAAAAGAAAGGATGAACGAGACAAGTGGGTTGAGCATTCTATGCTCTTGGAAAAAAAGATCAAGGCCGCAGAGGAGGAGCATGGGATTCGCATTATCGACCGGAGCAGCAGAAGTGGCCGCGCCTCGACAAACCCCGACACCGGGGGTGGAGCAAACAACACCAGCCCGAATACCAGTTTTACTTCCGATGCTGGTCTAGAACAAGCTGACTTGGAACTCCCTCCTCTTGCCGCTGCATCCCTCGGTTCAGAACACGATTCTGCTACCGCTTTCACCAAGGCTGCCAACCCACAATCAGAGTCGACACAAGGGGGATCTGATGCGAGGGAATCGGACGACTTGCCCGACCTACCAGCACAAAGTGGAGTTGACGATGTAATAGTCAAGGAGGAACCATCGTCGGATCTGCCCGTTGTCGTCGCTGAAAGAGCTGTGCGGAAAAGGAAAAGGGATGAGCCGGAGCCCACCGATTCTCCTATTCGGAAGGTCAAACTGGAATTGAGCGATGGTTCAAGTCCGATTCTCTCTGTGGGGCAGAACTTTTCCGATCTACAGGACGGCATCGATCTAGGAGATGTTGTCCAGAGGATGTTGACACCCAGAAAACGCAAGGAACTGGAAGATTCGGCAAGAGGTCTCAGGGCTCGACTCAACGCTCTCGCCACGCCAGCAACGCCAGCTCCATTGTTTGTAAGAGCTGATGCCAATCCCGAAACAATTCGACCTCTTGAATTCTCATCCGCCCTCACCCCACTCAGTGTCAACCGACGGGTGATCCGGTCTGGGAGAGACAAGCCGTCGCCAATCGCTCCCCTTAGAAAGGGACTGAGTGACGCCATTTCCGCCCTAGCGGAGGACGGAAGCACCTACAAAAGAGGGGCCAAGGAAGTGCAGTTGAAGAGTGGGATGAAGCCAGTCCCTAAGGGTCGACTGGATACGCTCCTAAACAGCCCATCTGCCCGTGACGATGAAACGATTACACGTTCCAATCCTCGACCACGGGTAAGGGCCAGCCTTCTTCCAGGTGATCTCCCTATCCCAGGGCGACGCGAGCTTCCATTTGAACAAGATGTACGCTCGAGAGAAAAGACAGCAGCTCAGTCGTCAAACACTCTAAGCCGATCGGGCCTCACCAAGTCCAGACTCCTACCTCAAGACACGAGGTCTCCTCTGGCGCACAAAATCTCAACCGGGCTCCTCCGAAACAAACCGCCGTCGGAATTACGCCCGGATGATTTCAAAGTCAATCCCCTTGCTAATGAGGGTCACGACTTTGCATTCTCAGATGTTGTGCGAGACAGAAATGAGAGGGCTTGCTTGCCAGGATGTACCGACATGCACTGTTGCGGGAAGGAGTTCCGAGCATTGGCCCTTTCACAACGCCCCAACCCACCCCTTACACCAGCGCAACGACAGGAAGAGCAGAAGTTACTGGAGGATTATTTGGGCGACTACGCTTACCGACTTACCACGATGAACAAAACTGAAAGGGACGAGCTTTGGGTCGAGGCAAAGACCCAGGAGCTAGCAAACAAGTATGGCAAGCATCGACATCGATACTCCCGCATGCGTTCTCCACCAGGCTTCTGGAATGCCGACTTCCCAAGCACTCAGGAGCTAGAGGCAGACAGGGCGGAGGCAGAGAAGCGCAACAAACAGTCGGTACAGGAAAGGTATCGAGAAGCGATGCGACCAGGTGGCAGGTGGTTGTTTAGAGATGAATAGGACGGAATCAAAGGAGTTGGGACAACGGGGTAAGACTGGCCAACCCCTGGTGGCATTGTTACGGAGTTATCTGGGCACAGCGTGTGTATGGGATTGTTACCATGGTATGTGACGCCATGATACGGATGTGAGGCCAATATAAGTGAAACCAAACACAGCATATTCAAGGTCACACAAAAGACGCGGAACAATTAGATTGTTTACGAGTGTATAGAGTACATCTGCGAGGCGTAACTATTTGGAGGGTGCGTGCAAGAGAACGTAGAACCGGAGGGGAGCAAGGATGCTCCCATGGCTTCAGAGTTGACCCAGTTGACCTAGGCTCTGATGCGTGACATTGCCCAAATGTTGGGGGTCATCGCCAACAGCTTTAGCGAGATGGCATAGGCGCTGTAGGGACCGGTTACAGCGCAACGAGGTGCCTAAACGCAGGGGATTGCTGCGTGCGTGCCATGGCATGCGGGGCACTCAGGAGCACGGACCAGAGGGCGATCCTGGCTGCCTGGTGTCAAGCATCAATTTCTGCCTCAGACAGAAACATCTCGCCCTCTCCGGCTCAGGGCGGCCACTGCGAGCTGGGCCACCCCTAGGTACCTACCTACGGAGACAGACCACTAGGGGCGACCCGGCGCAACTTGGCTTGGCTCGTGAGCACCTTCGCAGCCTAGGTGCCAGGAAACTCCGGGTCCCAAATTTTATTCTTTATTCTTCCAACGCCAACCATCGGCCTGACGCAGATCTCCCGGTGCGTATCTTCTTCGGCCTGTGTCCTCTGGGAATACTTGGACCTCTCCGCTCCTTTTTGCGCACCCCTTTTCTTCTCCCTGCGGCCTTCCGTTTTCCCGCTTCGGTTTCGTTCCCGAGCAGCCAGAAGCCGCCCCTCTGCGCGCTCCGTCATCGCTATCCTCCCGTCGTCGTCTTGCAGCAAATCAGGCCGCTGCAGGAAGTCGTGTCGCGCAAACAATCTGCGATCCCCGATTCCGCAACCCGCAATTCACCATCCTCCCCGATCCGACGCAGCTTCCATCCTGGAGCCCGCCATCGCGAATCCCTCCGCTCTCGAGCCTCAGCAGCAACGACGTGGCCGCGGGAGTCGCGCCAACTGGGCGGCACCCGTCTTCATTCAACCCCCAAGCCGGCACGATGAGTAACCGCCATCTGCCGGCTGGGCAGAACATACAGGGAGGAGTTGGCGGTATGCCTGGTGTCGACATGTCTGGTGGTCTGGGAGGCCCTCGCAGGAGGCAGCCCCCTCCCTACGTCCCACAGTATCACCATCAACCCCAGCATCAGCATCACCAGCATCAGCATCAGCACCAACACCAGCACGTGAACCCCATGTATGCCAACTACATGCCATATTCGCCCCAGCAGTACTACGGCATGCCGCCCCAGTACCAGAATGGCGGCATGCCTCATCAGCCCGGATACATGCCATATCAGAACTACGCCCGATCGCCTCCCTCCATGCACCAATACGTCCCCATGGTCGGCGTCACTGTGCCGCCCAGCTATCCTCGTCCCGCCCAACAGTCGCCTGCTCTCTCCACGCCCTACCAGCCTCCGCCAGTGCCGGCTCCGATCCCGCCTCATACCCCATCCTCGACCCACTCGTCGCAAATGCATCATCCCCCGACTCCCCCGACTCCCCAGACAAGAGAGCCGATCCCCCCCGTTGTTGCTGCGCCGGAGCCGTCTCCTGTGGAAGTGCCTAAGGAGCCTTTCCGAGCACCTGTAAGTTCCGGTGGGAGCCATAACTATGCTGCACTTGCTAACCATTTACAGCTGCCTTGGCTCTCAAGACCTGACTCGGATTTCCCAGTCAGAACAGCAAAGTCGAGGCGCCGGAGAAAGCCACTCAACGCGAACAGCCAGGCTGTCTCCCTCCCGGTTGAGCAACACGAAGCCGCCGCGGAACAAATTGAACAAATCACCGGACCAGAGTCGACACCGAAGGATTCCCCTGCCTCCACCCAACCCTCCATTGTCTCCGATGCGCGATCTGAAACTCAACGTCAATCCGCTGAGGCTGTTCCTTCTACGCCCACAACCCCAATCTCTCTCCAACAACGTTCTCGGGCCAACACAGCCACCAGCGCTACGCCCACAGCTGGTGGCAAGCCCGCTGCTCGCTCTGGCGCGCACCCCGTTCCTGCCGTTCCTGCCCTCCCTAAGGGCAGCGCCAAGGATACCAAACCTGCTCGCGCTGAAAAGCCAGTGAATGGTGAGGTAGCTGCTGAGAAAGCGGCACAGGTCACAGCGTCCGCTGATGTCGACATCGCTCCAGTTGAGCATGATTCCATTGCCCCCGAATCTGCTACCAGCGCTCCAGCCAAGGCTCCTCCATCAAGCTGGGCGAACCTTTTCGCGAAGTCTGCTGCTGCAGGGAAGTCTACTGGGCCCAATGGCTCCTCATCTGGAGCTGAGGGCACCAATAGCCACGATGCTGATGGCGTTGTTGGAGGCCCCAATGGCTCTACTGCAAGCTTCTCCAAGGCCAACGCAAGCTCGGTGGCGGAAGCCATTTACGCGTATCACGTTGGTGGAGGTGACAAGATTTCGTTCCTTGAGCCCCGTGGCTTGATCAACACCGGGAACATGTGTTACATGAACTCGGTAAGTGGCAGCATCTAAATGTGTCTGCACAGACTACTAATTAGCCCTAGGTCCTCCAAGTTTTGATGTTTTGCGTTCCCTTCTATGACTTTTTGGATCAAGTGAGCAAGCGAGCTGTTCACAGCTTCAAAAGTGAGACACCTCTGATCGACGCCATGTAAGTCAATCCATAGTCAGACATCCTAGTATGTAATTCTAATCAACCGTAGGATCATGTTTATGCATGAGTACAAGTTGATCAAGTCGGCTTCATCCGCCGAGGCATTGAGACGTGCCTTGAAAAATGAAGAGCTTGAGCGCTATGGCGAGCCCTTTACCCCTGACTTCGTTTACGAGGCCATAAAGCAGCTTTCCCGGTTTGCCAGCATGAGGGTATGCAACAATCTCTCCACATATCTCTGACCATTCTTACTAACTTAAGATAGCGCGGTCATCAGCAAGATGCTGAGGAATTCCTCGGGTTCCTGCTCCAGTCTCTCGATGATGAATGCACTTCAGTCATGGGCAGTTCGTTGTTTTCAGGCATCTCAGAGGCCACCCCAGGTCAGGATGCTGCCAATCCTGCTGGTGACTGGCTTGAGGTGGGCCGAAAGCAGCGTGCGGCTGTGACTCGGTCGGCTGGTTCAAACTCGTCAACCCCAATCACCAAGATCTTTGGTGGCCTGTTGAGGTCCGAGTTCCGAGTGCCAGGGCTCAAGGATTCCATCACCACCGAGCCCTATCAGCCGCTCCAGTTGGATATTGGCTCGCCAGATGTGCGCAACGTGGTGGACGCCTTGCGTGGACTAACCCGACCTGAGCGTATGCAAGGAAACTTCAACTCGCCCCGTGGCAAGGATGTGACAGCCACCAAACAGGTTTTCATCGAGTCTCTTCCCCCCGTACTCATTCTGCACCTCAAGCGATTCCAGTTTGATGCAGAGGGCAACGGCACTGTCAAGATCTGGAAGAAGATTGGATATCCCTTGGATCTTGAGATCCCTCGCGAAGCCCTGTCTCGACAGACACGTCAGACTCTGGGTGAGGGATCCATGCCCAAGTACAAGCTGATCAGCGTGGTGTACCACCACGGCAAGAACGCCAGCGGTGGTCATTACACCGTTGATGTGCGACGTCAAGAGGGCCGGGAGTGGATCCGCCTCGACGACACCATCATTCGACGAGTGCGGAGTGATGATGTTGCTGAGGGTGGCGAAGAGGAGGGAATCAAGGACACTCGCAACGAGAGTCCTGCTCCTGGTGCCTCGGGCAATCGATTTGGCACTATGATGGATGAGGACACGGGAGACGAGGACGGGTGGAAGCAGGTCACAACTGCCCCTGGGGGGAATAAGCAACGATGGAGCAGTGTTCTCAATGGCGCTAGCAACGGCAGTGGGAAGGGGAAGCAGGTCAAGGACAGCATCAAGGACAACAAGGTGGCCTACCTGCTGTTCTATCAGCGTGTATAAGCCAGTCATGTTCTTCTAGACCTCTGCTGGTACAGGTGTCAGCCACTTGATCACTTGTTTGTTCAGTCATAAAGAGGAGGGCACGAGAAAAGCATTAACGGCCATATTTGCACCATTGTTTGGGACGGAGTCGCATCCTGGGAGACGGTCGGAAAAGGACGGATGAATGTCGACAGATAACGATCCAAATCTGGCTCGGCGTATGGTGTCTCGGCATGGTTCCTGGGGGATTGTGTTTGGGAAGAAGGCTGTGGGAGGTGAGGACCCGGCCAGACCTCTAGTCTGGCCATGAGGGGCGGTGCAGATATACAGACCCTGGACCAAGCTGTTCCTGGAATTCTCATCTCATCGATTGGAGTTCCCGGGCCGCCGCATAGGGTCTGCTTGGAGATGAATTCTTCGTTTAGAACCTGATCCAGATGGCGGCACATTGTAAATTACGAAAAAGAAGTCCAGGAAAATAATAACAAGACATCACAAAAACAAACGGATAGGAACAATTGTGTAAAGTGAGTCAGTAGACGACCTCTATACATAGGGTACACGCGACTGTCTAGTCCATTTGGGTCGCCGTTCGCTCTTTGGAGGCGCTGTTCACGCTCAAACCACCCATCCTCCTACTCTATACACTCGTCAAATTCCCCGATTGGTCAACCGGACCGCTTAGTTCTTGCGGATGACGGCAATGGAGTCGAGCTCCTCCTTCTCGGCCATCTCGGCCTTGATGCCTTCGATGACGGGTGATAGGTAGCGGGTATCCTGTGGTAAGGAGGGTTAGCCAGGTTCTCTTCGGCGGTCGTGGTCATTGCCGAGGGGGATCGTACAGTGGCGGTGGTGGTCCACTGCTCCTTGGGAAGCAGCTTGTGCTGGTAACTGCACTGAACAGCGCGGCGGATACGGTAGATTCGCTCGTAGGAGTCCTTGGCGGAGATTCGCTTGAGGGCCTTCTGGGCGGCATCGTTCTCCTCCTCGAGAAGGTCATCGTGTCTGCATCAATTGAATGACCCGGTCAGCAAAAGAAGTCCGTATCGAGACCACAGGGGACCGTAGGTGTCCAAGACCGCCCAATTGGGTGTTTTAAGTCGCTGGATTCGCATCGTTCGGTCGAGAGGGGGGTTTGTTCGCGTACCTCAGGCCGAGCTGGCGGTAGCCGGCGGCGTTGACGTACCAGGTGGCCGCGGGCTTGAAGAGCCGGGCCAACCAGGGCCTCCGCAGAATGTAGGGGGCGAGTGAGTACTTCATGGTTGAGGGATTGACGAGGAGCTGGGGGTCGTTGGAGGGCGTCGTCGATTCCGTCGTTCGTCGTCGGGTTCGGGAATGCGCGAAATGGATGGGCTGAGGGAGCAAAACTTCTGGGAGAGCTCGGGAAGTCACGTGCTATTTGCCTTGATGACCATTCCTTCCTCGCTCGCTCGCTCGTTGGTTGCAGTGGGGCGGCCAGACGGTTTAGGAGCGTGACCTTCCACGTGACTCTGCCGTTTTGCATGCATGGGGGGATGAAAGAACGGTCTTGCGGATCGGGGGTGGGTGGATGCGGTCACGGGGAAGGGTGCAGCAGGGAAATGTGGGGGGGGGTTGCATCTCAGTCTCTTCCGTACAAAGCCGGCACTCGGAAGACTACGGCCAGGGATGGCGGTTTGAAGAGCACCTCCTCGGCCAGGGCAGATGACGGTTGACGACCAAGTGACTGAAATGGTCAGCTCTGGAGTCACAAGCCATCTACTCGGCGTGAGAGTGTCATCCAGCGATCTGCGTCGCATCAACCTCGGGTTGAAGCCTGTGAGAAGACAAACACGAGTCAACATTCCGCCCCGACGTTCCTTTCTTTGCTACAGCAAACCATCCCACGCCTGCCCGGCCGGATAAGCCTGGTCGGTATCACACCTGTGCGTGGACGTGCGTGGGATGGCAGAGATAGACATGCCGCGGACGCACGCGAGACCTGCAGCAGAAGTCGGCTCGATGCACCGCACTGCAACGCAGTTGAGCGCACCTGCGACAGGCGGGCTTATTGTTGGCCTGGTATACGGTATGGATTCGTCGTCAACCCTCTGTAGATCTGTAGATACGGTCCCAAAACACCCAAGAGATGCCGCCTTTTCTAGTGTCGATTAGCACTGCGTCATTTGTCCATGGCCGGGACCGGCTTGTAACGGGCGAAGAGCAGAAAAAAAACACTCCGACTCCTGCATCGCAGATACCAACTCCTACAACGGGCCCACTGCGCTGGCGAGAGCGCTGAGTGCTGGAACCCACATGCTACCAGGTTTTGCGCAGGGGGGGCTCTTCGGCCGTAGGCGCTACACAACATGGTCTAGACGCTACACCCACTCGCTACACTACACCCGCCGGCGTGAATTGGCCCCTCAGCACCCTACGGCCGACGCAAACCCGCTGGCTGCAGCGCTCTAACGCCCACCAACATGGAATCCGCTGGACTCCCTGCCTTACAGCACGTATTAGTAGGCATTCCCACCACCCGCCCGACCCGTCATCGACCCGCTGCCCGCCGCCATTCTTCTAGGAAACTTGGCTTGGTTCCCATCTTCTCTCTCTCCACCATCCCATCCTCCCGCTTCCTCCTCCACGGGCCGCCTCGCTTTCCCCCCGTTTCCTCCCGCCCATCGCGCTCACCGTCTCCGACCGCTCCGGCGCCCAGGCGAATCCCCTCCAGTCTCTGCCCCAGGTCAATGGCCGGCGCCAATCGCTAGGCGGGAACGGTCACGGCGCGCGGGAGCGTCCCCCCGCAGCACCAGTATCGGGCGGCGAGGGCTTCCTATACCGGCACGAGACACCCTCGACGGACGGCTTTTTGGGGGCCGAATCGGCATCGGAATAGGAATTACAGAGGGGGGAAACTTGGCTGCCAAAGGAAAACACGGCCCCGAGAGCGAGGGAGGGAAACGGCTTATCTCGCCCTCGTCGACGGCATCCGCCTGCTCCCCGGCCGGAGCCAGGAAACGGCAGCGAAACCGACGACGCCTCGTTCAGTAATCCTTGTCGAAACGACCCAGCGTCCGCCAAATCCATTCCTACCGAGACGGGACAAGAGTTGAACAAAAGTCGACTACGAGGAAGCGGCCAGAACGACGGGCGAACGAGAGCCAGAGGGAATGTCGTCTCTTGACCAACACTCCCCCGAAGCTTCCCGACCGTCGTCCCCAGAGTATGCTGCATCGCCCTACGGCCTCGCTGCTGCCAACGCCCAAATGCACGACTCCGTAGCAGTGACCCCGCTGCACCGATGGACTCTCCACGCCTCCGACTCGCAGTTCAACGCCCTCGCCGGCGCCATCGGCGGCTTCACCTCGGGCATCGTCACCTGCCCACTCGACGTCATCAAGACCAAGCTGCAGGCGCAGGGCGGCCAAATCTTGGTCGAGAAGGGTCGCCATGTCGGCCACCCCAAGATCTACAACGGCCTAGTCGGCACCGCCAGTGTCATCTGGCGCGAGGAGGGCATCCGCGGGCTGTATCGCGGGTTGGGGCCCATTGTCATGGGATACCTACCGACGTGGGCTGTGTGGTTCACCGTCTACAACAAGAGCAAGGGCTGGCTGGGGGGCTACTATGGTAAGTTGAAAGCGGGAGATGTCGGAGAACCGCCGTTTGCTAATCGTCGTGATGCGCGCAGACAACAACCATGTCATCAACTTCTGGTCCTCCATAATCGCCGGCGCCAGCAGCACGATCGTCACAAACCCGATTTGGGTCATCAAGACCCGGCTCATGTCACAGAGCAACATCCATTCTCGATCCCAAAACGAGTCATTCTTCCCCAAGCCCGGTAGCACCCCCACGGCGCGGCCGACCCTACAAGCGCCATGGCATTACCGGTCAACAATCGACGCTGCCCGCAAGATGTACACATCAGAAGGCATCGCCTCCTTCTATTCCGGCCTGACACCAGCCCTGCTCGGCCTAACACACGTAGCAGTCCAATTCCCGACCTACGAATTCCTCAAGACGTCGTTTACGGGGCAGGGCATGGGTGAGGCGCCTGCCGAGGGCGAGGCGCAATGGGTGGGCATTCTTTCAGCCTCGATTCTCTCCAAGATTCTTGCCAGCAGTGCAACATACCCTCATGAGGTCATTCGGACTCGACTACAAACCCAGCGACGTCCCGTAGCGGGAGAGCAATTCGTCCAGGGAATGGGCGTCACACCCGGCCGTCCTACTCAACGAGTGCCAATAGAGCGCCCCAAGTACAGGGGCGTGGCGAGTACCTTCCGGACGATCCTCCGTGAGGAGGGCTGGAGGGCATTCTACGCCGGACTGGGGACCAACATGATGCGAGCCGTTCCTGCAGCGACCGTCACCATGTTGACATATGAATATGTCATGGGACACCTAAACAAGACGAGGGCCGAGGCACGAATGTTGTTACTTGGAGAAACTCCAGAGCCGTAAATACAGAGGCAGAGTCGAACATGATACACGCAAGATGGTAAACGAGGAGAAGTTTCTGAAGACTATGGGGTTGTACACATTGATTCATACGGAATGGGCTTGGGGGCGGAACAAGGCTGAGATACCCTTGGTCGGCTGTAGGTTTAGACAAATCTTGGTTCAGACGGGCCAGGAATGAATAAAGGGGCCTAGTCAGGTTTCCCTATCAATTCATGCTCGCAACGGCACACACTCACACTCAACGCATACGCAAGCCAGGACATTTTTTCTGTTTACATGTTTTGGGAGAGGGGGGAGTGTTCTGGTTAGGGAATGGGAACATGGGACCATGGGATGCATTGCGGATGACGGGGTGTAGCATATCGTGCTGGTGTAGGTTTTATAGCATGGGGAGTTGGCTGATTTCATCAATTGGTTTCTGAGAATACATTCACAGCCCTATTTGGTACATACGGTAGTCCTCAAGTGACCAACATATGTCATGCAAAGAGGAGACACATGCGGTCGTTGGTAAAGCCTCCTCACAATGCGGATCTCTCGAGTGACACTTGGAACACGCTCTCTACAGCTTGGGTGAAGAATGGCGCAGTGCGAGCCTGGTGATTACCATGTTTCTTCAATTGCATAAATGAGAAAACAAATCGTACAAATTCACGCTTCCCGAGCGCCGTATCCGAAAGGCAAGCGATGCAATGATGAATGTCTATGATGTTGGTATCTCACTGACCCCTTGGCCGCTCTCCCAACTTGTGAGTCCTCTAACACCAGGGTTAGTCCCGGGAACGCGGCGGCAGTTTGTAGTAAGTAATAACACACCGCTTGTTCTCTTGCTGATCGGATAGATGATCTCGTGTATCTTTGATGGGCATGTTGCCCTCTGGTTAGCATCAAAAGCTCACTCCTTCATGGCGCGGTCCAAAACCACGCCACTTATCTCAACTCACGCGAGCAGCACGCAGGCCATTGTAAAGGCGGCCGCGGGGGCCATAAGTTTCTAGACAAGAACACGTCAGCATGCGGAGGCTAACTTAAGAGACTCATTGCAGGTGGCAACTCACCCGAGGATTCATGTTGGCGTCGAGTTATCGGGAGGTTGCTCCGATGCTTGGCAGGTGTTGCGGATGCACCGATACTGCGGTTGACGCCGACGCTGACGCTAAGAAACTGGTGAGTAGGTTGGCAGCAAGCCAAGAGCAAAACGGTGCCGTGACGCGTATGCGCATTGCTGCAATTGATGCATAGCCTTTGCGTAACGGAGAGTTCATGCATCTATCGGTTCGGCGCGAGTCCCCCACAGTCCAAAACGCAGATATCTAAGCGAATGGTGGCCCGCGCGCCGCCCGCTGCCGGAGGGCCCAAGCTCCCGGAAGCTTACCAGAAGCACTCGCGGCTATGATTGGCTCAAGGGTTGTATGCTCCAGTTTCCTAGGTAAGGTACTGGACTATCGGAGAGACGGTTTGCCAAGGTCGGTCAGTGGGAGGTGGGCGGGAAGGTGCCATGGTGCTGGCGCTCTTGGTGCTGGCGCTCTGGTGCCATTGTAGGCAGGTTGCTCCGTCTTGCTGTTGGCTCCTGCGACTGCGACTGCGACGGACAGTCCCCATTTCGTTCTGCGCGTCCGCCCCCCCTTCGTTCTTTCCTCTCGCCCTCCCGCTCTCTCGCTACCTTACTCCCCTCTTCCCAAGCGCCCAACCTCGTCCTTGTTTTTTTCCGCGAGCCCCCTTTTCCCTTTCTCGCCTGCTTCGTCCTTGTCCAGACACTGCGCCCAAGGCTTGCGACAGTCCCGAGTCTGTATCTGAAAGATCCGAACGGCAGAGCGAGCACGTCATCTCCCGTCGCTTTCTGAAGGCCCTGGTCGCATTCGCGTTTCGCATCGCATCGCAGTCGCAATCGGAGTCTCAGTCACAGGCGCATTACATCGCATCGCATCGCAGCGCATACCCTTTCCCCCAAAACAAAACCCTCCACCAATCTCTAATCATGCCCGTCGAGCTGCGCAAGCGCAAGGCCCGCGAGCCTCCCGCGCCCGCGCCTGTGACCAAGAAGGCCGCCCCTAAGGCTACCAAGGCCAAGGCAAAGGCAGCCAAGCCTGCTCCCGCCAAGAAGGTCGTGGAGGAGTCCAAAGAGGATCTGACCGAGGAAGAGAAGGAAGAGCCCAAGAAGGAAGAGCCCAAGAAAGAGGAGCCCAAGAAGGCCGAAGCCAAGAAGGCCGCCAAGTCCGACAAGGTCGAGGTCGGCGACATCATCGACCTGGACACCTTTGGTGGAGAGATCGAGACCAACGATGGCGAGACAACCAGCTTGAAGAAGTTGGTTGACGAGAGCGAGGCTGGTGTCGTCCTCTTCACCTACCCCAAGGCCTCGACTCCCGGCTGTAAGCTTCCCCGTTCAACCGTCTCAGCGTATTGGATGTGTCCGACTAACTCACCATCACCAGGCACCAAGCAGGTCTGCTTCTTCCGCGACTCCTACGAGCCGCTGACTGCCGGCGGCCTCGCCATCTATGGCCTGAGCAAAGACTCGCCCAAGGCCAACACCACTTTCAAGGAGAAGCAGAAGCTTCCCTACCCGCTGCTGTGCGACGCCAAGCAGACGCTGATTACCGCCATCGGACTGAAGAAGGCCCCCAACGGCACCACTCGCGGCGTCTTCGTTGTCAACAAGGAGGGCAAGGTGCTTGTTGCCGAGCCAGGTAGCCCGCAGGGCACTCTTGACAAGGTTGTCGCCCTCGTTGAGGAGCTTGGCAAGAAGTAATGTGACTCGGTATTGAATCCGAGCTGGATGGATATGGGATGGATGCAGAATGAACGGGATGGACGGGATGGATGTAGGTAATGAAGTCGGGCTAGCATCGATTTGTATAGGTTATTCAATGGTGTGTTTTCGTACTTTGATAGCAGGTTCACGTAAGGACAATAGACGGTGTTGGATTTCCACATGATAGTCAAGTGGTCTTCCACATGTGATCATACTCGCTCCTCTGCATCTGCCTCTGTGATCACGTATCTGTATATCATCACTTTGAGGACTTCGTAGGGTTTGTCGCGGTTGCCAATGGCTTACTGGTTGTGAACTATGTATTTTCTTGACCTATTATGCCAACCTATGCTTTCTTTCGAATTGGTTGCTAGCTTCTTAACCCCGCTGATGTGGAGGCCTGTGATGTTGAGCTACACCACGACCAGAAACCTCTAAATACGCTGTGAAGAGAGAATAAAGAAACACAACAATAAGCGGATCAAGCTCGTAAAGGTTATATTCACCAAGGAGCTTGTGTCTTAGAATACAGTGCTCGCGCCAAGTGACCCAGGCAATGATATAGGGTAAGTCGCATGGAAGACGATTCGGCAAAGTATCGGCTAAATGACCCGTCCCAGACTCCGGCCAATAACCACGGCTCCATTTCAACTTGCAAACAGTTCCATCACCCGAACCTCAATCGACGCCGTCACCCGCTATACCGCCAGCATGTCGACGCAAGCGGCAGCCAAAGTCGCCGGTGACGTGGTGAGCATCGCCAAGGTATGCCGCAGCCCCCTTCTACCGACCTCAATGCCTTCCAATGGCTCGCATCCGCCCGCCCGTCGATCCGAATTGCCTCGCCCGTCCGCACTCTAGACAGACCAAGACGCAGTCGCTGACAGATACGCTCTCGCGCAGAAACACACACTCCAGTCCACGGGCATCTGGGAGGTAGTCCGCCGCTTCCTCACCCTCGACCCCAACCGCTCCAATGGCGTGCCGCTCAACCCTCACTTCCGTTACCCGGCTCCCGGCGCCAACGACCCCCTCGAGTACAACGACCCCGTGACGATTCCCGCTGGCGACATCGCCGACAACGCCTACTGGAAGCGCGACCACCGCCGAGCGTACCCCCAGCTCAGCGTCGTCGACCAGGCCCAGTTCGCCTCGCTCCTGAGCGTCGGCAGCGCCGCCGCCCCCAAGGTCGACCTCATCGGCGAGGCTGGTGAGCAGGCCCTCGTGGCTGCCAAGCAGGACGCCGAGACTGGCCTGGCCAAGGCCCTGGAGAAGGCCCCCAAGGATGTGACCAAGGACGTGTTCGTGGATGGTCTGCCGCCCCTGCCCAGCGGCACCAGCCTGGCGTCTGGAAAGTGGGATGTGCACAAGTATGCCATCACGGATACTTCCTATGGCGAGGGGTAAGTTCCCCAATAGATTTGACAGGACGGGAATGCGTGTGCTAACGTATCACAGATATCCTTGCAGGTCGTTCAAGTAAAGGAAGTGTGGAGGAAAGCCATTGTGTATACAAGTGTGAGGTAGTGAGGGTATAGATTTCCCATTGACAATGCAGACGTTCCCTTTTTGTTCACAAAACGAAACCCCAAAACTCCGTCTATGTGCTGTGCCAACACCGCAAGCTAAATATGCCAAGCCGGAATTTGAATGCCCAAAAATCGTTGATCGTTACGCACCCACCGAGAACTGCTCAGGATGTCTCCTTCGCACCACCACCACCCACCATCCGCTCGACAATCTTCGCTTTCCCCAGCGCCCGCTTCACCCGGTCGTCAAAGTCTTGCACCGCCTCATCCGTGTTGGCTGTGGACAGGGTCTCGGGCTCGACGAGGGCGTAGAGGGTGTTGATGTTCTTCTCCAGGCGTGCGTTCTTGGGCAACTGCGGTAGCGTACATGGCTCTTTGGCGGTGGCATCTGCTGCGGCGCCTGGCTGGTGAGGAATGCGGTTTGCCCAGACGATGGCCTTTCCGGCGAGACGGCCGCTCTCGAGGAACTTCTCGAAGCCCTTTTGCATACCGAAGGACCGGCCTTCGATGCGCCCCGCCTGAACGCCGTCTTCGAGGCCCTGTTGGTAGCCCTCCGAATAGAAACGCTCCTCGATGTTGAGGACATCGTCGAGGGGATCGGACGCCATCGTGACTCTTGTTCTAGACCCGAAGCTGGTGACAATAGGGGAACTGGTCTTGGTTTTGCTTGACGGGATGATCAGTTGTGAGCGGCCTGGATGAGTAAGTGAGCGAGAGTGTGAGTGGGCGAAGACGGCAGAATTTGCGTCACCGCCTGGATATGGCGGGGCAGTTGACATGCGCCGGCCGATGGAAACTCACCACTAACACTGAATTCGGTTTACTTGGACAGAGACAACTTATCAGCTCGCTGACCATAGGGTCTGTGAGCGGACTTGCTACACAAAATTGACTCTACAGGTTGTCGCATTCACTCACAATGGCAGGTATGAAATGTGTTTGCTTGTATTTGAAAAAAGCCCTTCTATGGAACGCCGATGTCCGGATCTATCTGACATATGCCCCTTCATCTACTGCATACCAAAGATCATGCCTCCATTGGCGCAGATGACCTGGCCGGTGCACCACGCACTCTCCGGGCCGGCCAGCATGGCGACGATGCCGGCAACCTCCTCGGCCTCACCGGCCCGGCCGCCACTGGTTTTGGCGTCCTCGACGACCTCGGGCGGGTCGATGCCTTCGCGAGCAACCATGAGAGGCGCATTTTGGATAAAGGGCTTGATCAGCTTCTTGAACTCGTCCGTGTTGCGCGAGTACATCTCGGAACGGACGGGGCCCGGGTTGATGGCGTTGACAGTGCAGCGCTCGCTCAGCTCGCGCGCCCAGGTGCGCGTCATGGCCTCGAGGGCCGCCTTGGAGCCGCCGTAGACGCTCTGGCCGACGAAGCCCATGCTGGAACTGACGCTGCTGAGGTTGATGATGCGGCCAGAGCGGTCGGTGGGCAGGTAGGGCACGGCGGCCTGGACGAGCAGCAGCGGGCCGAGAACGTTGACGTCGTAGGTTTTGTGGAAGTCGTCTGGCTTGATGTCGGTGACGTTGTCGTTGAGGGCCACGCCGGCGTTGTTGACGAGGATGTCGATGCGCAGCGGGCTGAAGGCGTTGGTCGCCTGGGCGATGAGGGATGCCGGGCCGGCGACGGTGCTGAGATCGGCCTGGACGGGGACGACCTTGATTGAGTGCTTGGCAGACAGCTCAGCGGCGAGGCTCGCGGTGGAGGCGGCAGAGCTCTCAGAGGTGTAGGCGAGGAGGAGGTTCGCGCCGCGGGCAGCGAGCGTCTTAGTGATGGCCAAGCCAATGCCTATGGAGAAGTTAGGGTTGGGAATGGCAGGACAAGCTATGCTTTCGGGATGTTTACCTCTTGAGGCACCGGTGACAAGGGCCAGCTTGCCCGTCAAAGGAAGAGCCATTGCGAGAGCCTGGAAGGTTGGGAGGGGAGTTTGGAGTTGGAGGAGCAAGTTGAATAACTTTAGCCGGCGGTGTCGTGGTGATGGGATCGAGCTACACGGCACAGAGCAGGTCAAAGCACGGAAGCAAGAGAACTATAACGTTTCAACGTCCGAGACACGAGGAATTGGAACATGGTGGCCCTTTATATACCACCGACAGACAACCCGCGAACTCGCGAACCCACAATGCACACTGCGCAATCTTTCTCCCTCGTCCTCCCCGCCGGCGAGAAACTGTCAAACCGCAACCACAATTCCCCAAAACGCACAAGGCGAACGAAGCCAAACCCCACCCGCGGCCGGCCGCCGGTTGCGCACCAATCGTGGCCAGCGCCGTGCGGACCTTGTGCCCATCTAGCCCGGGCGTCCTCCGCAGCGCGTGGCGGCTGGCGTTGGAGCTGAGAGGCGCGGCTGTGTGAGGGTGAGGATGGGTTCCATTTCTTCCGCCAGAGGTCATTTCCTATTCGAGGTCAGGTGGCCGTTTTGTCTGCAGCAGGCCGGCAGTTTTTAGTCGAGGGGGGGGGATTTTATCCACTGTAACTAGGTACCTATCCACTGTAACTATCCACTGTAACGTAGCGAGTAGCGAGCCCTGGACAGCGCTGCGCGGGGCGGGGGAAGGGACCTGGAGGGGAAACGGTGTACAAGGCTCCGGCGGGGTGACGCCCGAACGCCGATGCTGGACCGTCGTCGCCTGTAAGTTTGGCCCCCGCCGCAGTTTACAGCGAGGTTGTAGTGGGGTTAACTTAGGTCTCCTCAGTGCAGGCCACGAAAAACTGGACCCCGATTGACAGGCCTCGACGCCTTGCTTCACACCAGTTGGCTTGAGCCTCAATCTATCCCATCCTCCAAAGCAGATCCCGAACCTCCACCTCCTGCAACGCCGAGACGCCTTCGACGCCCGCCTGTACGACCTCCGGAAATCCCCACTCCTCCTCATCCGTCGTTCTCTTGCTCTCGCTCCCGCCGAGCCCCCGACGCAGCCATGGATATCCGCCTCCTCACCAACGCCGACCTGCCCCTCATCCAGCACGCCAACCTCGAGAACCTGCCCGAGAACTACTTCCTCAAGTACTACCTCTACCACTCCCTCTCGTGGCCGCAGCTCAGCTACGTGGCCGTCGACGTCTCCCGCCCCAAGAAGAACCCTTACGAATATCCCAAGATCGTCGGCTATGTGCTCGCCAAGATGGAGGAGGAGCCCTCCGACGGCATTCCCCACGGCCACATCACCAGTCTGAGTGTCATGCGCACCCACCGTCGTCTGGGCATTGCCGAGAAGCTCATGCGACAGAGCCGTATGTTTTATCTTGTCCCTGTCCGACTTCCGGCGTTGCTTCACCCCGGCCCTCGAGACCACTATTTCGACGTCTAAAGCTGACCCATCGTGACTAGAGCTTGCCATGGTTGAGACCTTTGGTGCCAAGTATGTCTCCCTGCACGTCCGTGTCTCCAATGCCGCCGCCCGCCACCTGTACGAGGACACCCTGCGCTTCAAGAACGAGAAGACCGAGGCCAAGTACTACGCCGACGGCGAGGACGCCTTCTGCATGCGCCTCGACCTCGATGGCATCCGCGCTCAAGTCAACGAGGCCATTGCCGCCGAAGAAGCTGCTACCGCCGAGGCTGTTGACGAGGGCGAGCCCGTGGGCGAGGTCGGTCGCGACCCCGAGGCCGACAAGAAGAAGGAGATCAAGGTCGCCGTGGGAAGGGGTCTGGGTGTTGGCGCCCTTGTGGAAAAGGACGAGTCCAAGCACTGAGGCAGAGACTGACCGAAGCGAAAAAATAAAGCAACGTGAGGTTAGACGAAGGCGAGGTGCATCTGCCGGGACGGGGATACTGTATATATATATATGGATAGACAAAATATTTGACGGCTGGGTGAAGCATCTCACGACCGAGCATGTATTCACGAGGATAATGAGAAAGATGATATATCCTTGAGACGCAAAGCGCCTTTCTTTTTTTGTATTTTCGTAAGTGGTTTACTAGCATTATACATTCCTCGTCATCATAAGACAGCCATATCCAGGCCCATTACCTCAACTCCCAAGCCTAGTGTACATACAGAAAGTTTGAAATAAACGCAGGAAAATCTCTCATCCAGGAGAAAATAAAACTGATCAAGTATGGCCTTCACTGGCCAACTCCCTCGCGTACGTCTCGTCTGCCTCCACCCTCAAGGTCTCTAACGTCCCCAGCAGCGACTCGAGCTCCTTCTCGACGGCGCGGCGCTCCCCGTCCGACACGCCCTTGTCCGTCATGTTGGCCTTTTTGGATTCGATTTCTGTTTCCAGGCCGGCAACCGTTCGGTACTTTTCCGCGGATGCCGGACCCGGGGGCGGAAGGTCGCCGTCGTCCAGACCGTCCTCTTGTCTGGCATCGTCCTGTCTGGCGTCCTCGGGCCAGGAGCCGGGGAAGCGTCCGCCGTGCCCGAAACCGGGCCCGTGTCCCCAGTTGTGCCCGTGTCCGTGGTGGTTTCTGCCCCTGAAAGACCGGCCGCCATCGAAGAAGCCTCCTCGTCCTAGCGGTCCGTTCGGTCCAAGGGGGCCGTTGGGACCAAGAGGACCATTGGGACCGAGAGGACCGCTGGGACCGAGAGGACCGTTGGGACCGAGAGGGCCATTGGGACCTAGGGGAGCGCTGTCGCCGGGAGGACCGAATGGGGCCTGGCGCCCAAAGAAGCCGTGTCGGTTGAAGGAGGAATCATGGCATCCACGCCCACGACTCTCTCCCCGGCCCCGGTGACACCCTGACATACCGAAGGGAGGCGGCCCGGGGACTGAAGGAACATGTACATGAGGTCCAGGTCCCGGAGGTACTGGTGGATGAGGTGGTCCGCCACGTCCGTGACGAAGATCTCTCTGGGCCTTCTTCATCTCCTTCTTCTGCTGTCTCCTCTCCCGTCGTTCCGCCTTTCTCCTCTTCCGGCGATCCTTCCTGCGCTCTTTCCGGTCCTTTCTCTGCTGCTTCTTCACCGCCCGCCACTGCTGCGACAGCGCCTTGATCTGGGCGCGCAGCATGGCGCGGTCGACGTCGCCGAGGTTAAGCGAGGTCTGCGACTTGCTGGCCTTGATCTCGCTGCGGAGCTGCTTGATGTCGGCCTTTGTGCGCATCTCGGTCGGCCGCGTCGTCCATGCCTGGAGTCGCTCGACGTACACGGGCAGCTGCTGGTCGCGCAGGTCGTCGTAGTCGGGCAGCGAGCCGATGGAGGACTCGGAGTTGGAGGAGGCGGAGGAGGAGTTGGAGGAGGCGGAGGCGGAGCGGGAGCGGGGGCCGTCTGGGTGGGGCCATGCGGAGCGGCCGCGGTCCGGGCACCACGGGACACCCGGGGCGGGCGGAGGATAGTGCTGAGGGCGGCCGAATGGTGGACCGCCGCGAGCTGGAGGTCCTCTGACGCCGCCGCCGTGGCCGTCCATGCGGATGCCGTTATTATCCATGACTAAATTGCCGATCCGGAGACCATTGGTGTCGGCGACGAAGCTATCTCCCCACCGGAGGCTGTCGTTGTCGATTCTGAAGCCGCCAAAGGCTCCTCGCCAGCCAGGTCCTCTCTGCTGCTGCTGCTGCTGCTGCTGCTGTTGTTGCTGTTGCTGTTGTTGCTGCTGTTGCTGTTGTTGCTGCTGTTGCTGCTGTTGTTGCTGCTGTTGCTGCGGTGTCCCACCCTCTCTCGACCAAGATCCCGCTGCGGCGGCAGAAGGACCGTCAAACGCCGAATCCCAGGCACCAGGCATCCGGGCTTGGTCAACCATGGGCTCGAGCTGCACGCGGGTGCCCCTGGGGCCGAAAAAGCCGTCGTTCCACTGCTGCACTGTGGCCTCGACCTCGACGCGCCGGCGCATCGCCTCGATGGGATCGACAGTCTGTTCGGCAGCGCGGCCGGACTTGACGCTCCCATCGGTGGGGGTCTTTCCCCCGCGGAGGTTACTGTTGTCCTCGGACTTGGCCTTCTCGCCGAGGAGGGCTTCGTTGCTCTCGGTGTCGTGGTGCGGGATCAGGAAGTTGACAAATGTTGCCCAGTCTTGGGCGGTGATGTCACGGTTGGCCCAGTCGGCCGGGTAGGGCAGATCATCTGGCTTGGAGCCGGGCTGCACGACTACCCTGTGGACGAGTGGCTCACTGAGCCGCGGCGAGGCGGCCAGAGCAGGCCGGCCATCGAAATAGTAGGCGGCGCTGGGAGAGGGCGGTATCGCTAGTATGTTTGCATTGGAGGATGTGCGCGGGGTGAGGGGCGGAGTGAAGATGACGGGGTCGCCAGTGGACGACGACGAGATGCGGGAGGCGGCGTCGTCGGCGGGGCCGGGCACGGTCGATGGGGGGCCGGAGGTGGAGTGCTGCGACCGGGCGCCGGGCGACGCGGTGGAGTAGATGTCCGTCTCGGAGTAGGGCGGCGGGGCGTCGTCAACGTTGACGCGCAGGTGTGAACTCGAGATGCTGGCGTTGGCGTTGGGAGCGGAGTCGCCCATGGCGGATGGCGGACTTGTCATGATGGAACGCTGAGGGTCGGGGCTGGTGTTGAGGGAGGAATCCCAGGTCAGGAGCTCATGGGGGGAGAATGCAGTCGTGGGACAACGGTATATAGGGCGGCGAGAAGTGGAAAAGTCGAAAAGCCTCACGTCACCGGCGGGTGGGAGAATGTGTGGAAGAAGGATTCGGAACCAAGCTCAACCTCGCATCTGGGTGGGATGATTTATTTAAGCCAGCATCCCAGCTCGGCTGCCACAACAAGAAGTGTCTACCTAAAAGATGCGGGCGGACTAGACGGAGCAACAGTCGACACGACCAATCCCAGCCCATGGCTCCAAACGGCAAGGTGGCGTGCCAGGTTGCGCATCCGAGCCCCCTCTGCGATTACATGATTCCCGCCTCCCCCAGAATCAAGCCTCGTCCCGCTGTGAGTCCGCTATGATTTGCGACCCATGCGCGCCACGGATCGTTGCGCAGTGGCCACGCAACTCGCATTCGCACCCGACAGCCCTATGACTCGACCCCCGCCCAATCGCCCGCTAGCTGCTGACGCGGCCAACCCGCGAGGCCGCCTGGAGGGCTGATCGCCTATGCCGGGGATCCGAGAGCGAATTGATTGATGGGCCCTTGAGCCCTTGAGCTTGCACTTTAAACTGCACAGTATTGTTCACCGCACCATCGCATCGACGCTTGGCAACGTCCTGGGTTGGCAAGCAGTCGACGAAGCATGGCGTGGCGATTCGCGGCCCCCATCTGGCCTTTCTACACCGTCAGCTCTGGCGCCGTGGGAGTTGCATTCGCGTTGGAGTTGTTGCGTGCTGCGCCTTGGGACCTCGGACTTCCGGCTTGCATGGGTCATGTCGTCACGGCCAAGCCCTAGGCAGACATTTAATCAACTGCCCTGCCGGGTGTCAAGGCTGAACTAAGCTTAATCGTCTCACTGTCATGGGCTAGACCGCACCAACCACCTGTAACCCACCAACACCAACCCATTCCACGGCAACAACATCGTGAGATTCACTTTCAAGACGGGTCAAGCATCAAATGCGAAAATCAACACCTCACCCTCGCTCATGAAACATCACCAAACAGACTGTACAGCTCATCTGTCTTCGACGCTCTTTTCCTTTTTTGAACCGTCTAATACTCCTACAGGCGTCCCCGCCACTCATCCCACTCCATCACCGCTCTCCCTCATTCCAGAGGTGAAAGTCGACGTCTTCCTGTTTGTAGTGATCCGCAATCAGGCTTGACAGATGATCGCTTGAGTGCGTGCCCCTAGAAAGTCCCATGTTAGTCTTGGTCTTCATAGCAGAAATGTGACGATATGAGCAACTCACAGGTTGGTAATGTATGTGTCAATAAGCTCGGGGGGGACCATCTCGGTGATGGCGCTGCGGATTTCCACCCCGCTCACCATGGCACCGTCCTCAAACCCGACAAAACTCGACGAGTCTCCCCACTCGATCAAAGACTCTTCGTTGAATGGGTTCTCGGGGCTCAGCTTGTACACGCCACTCAGCACAATGACCGCATTGCCCTGCTCCTTGGCCGCCCTGGCTACGGCTGCTGCACCGGCATCCGCCACGACACCTCCATTGGCGACAACTGCCCGCGCACCAATGATGACCTTGTCCACCCGCGACATGTATGCCATGAGCCCTCCGTTCATGATGTTGATTACTGTGATGCCAGCCGCCGTGAGCTTCTTTCTAAATGAGGCATGCTGGACTTCGGACGTCTGTTTTCGAGGGGGCTCGGTAGCTATCAAGACGGTAAACCGTCGCTTCAGGGCGGCACGGAGGATGAACCGCTCCACGGTGGGGGACGGCTGGTGGATGAGAACGTAGTCTCCAGGGTGAATCTGAACCTCAGCCAACGCCGCAATCTGGTCATCCACCTGGCTAATCTCATCCTTGATCTCCTCAATACCGTCAATCACCTCGGATCTTAGGGAGTGCACCTGGGCAGAGTGTCCCCGCCATGAGGGTGTCGACGTCCCCGAATTGCCAAAGGGAGCTCCAAGGAGGTTTCCCTCGCCGTCGTTGGGCGATGACACCGAAAGGAGGTGAAAAAGGGTCTTGGGAACATTGACGGAGCTGTATGAGGATAGCCCCGTTGGCCGACTCTGCAGTGGCTTTGGGCTGTTGGAGACTTGGTCGCTGACGTTGTCATGGTGCTTTGTAGGCGTCGAGGTTGGCCATTTTGGGTCGGGGTGGACGGTATCGGTTGGGGTCATCTGAGCTTCACTGGGTGTCTCGCTGGCGCCCTCGTTTCTATCTTCGGCGGCTTCATCGCGAATAAGGCCCAAGACTCTCCGCACAATGTTGGCAATGACGAGCTCCTTGGGTTGGGCCTCGACAAGGCGGCGGCCGATGCGGGAGACGTTGTCGATAAGGCCGTCTACGTCATGCCATCTGGAGCGGGCAACAACCTGGAGGAGGATGTGGGCAGTTGCTACGGCGCAGGGTTCGGAGCCCTTGATCTGGCGTCGCTTGAGGAGGCTATCGATGCAAGGTTAACCACACGACCACACTAAGGATTGGTGGATTTGAGGAAACCACTCACGAGATGAGGCTCTCGACAGAGGCGTCCAATTGTTGACCCTTGAGAGTTTTCAGGTACTTTTCGAGGTCGGGCGCAAAGCCCGTGGGGTGGGAGACCATCTCGGGAGCTGCCTACGAAGTCGTCGTCCGCTGGTGCAAGCCGATGTTGTGCGGGACGTCGTTTCGCGGGGTGTGGGAGGGGTTGCACAGATCGGCCAAGAATGCGTGGGGGGACGATTTCCTGTTGAAGAAGCGAATCCTTGTTGCGACGAGGTTGATAATAACAGGTAGGCGGTCGTCGGGGCGCAGAGGGTTTCGTGGGGGGCTTGTTGGGGAGAGAATGCGCTGTGAAGCTGCTGTGTCGATGGTCTCGAAATCGGTGACTCAATCGCACCGTCGGGGCCTTTTTTTTGCGCGAGGCTACGATCACCTGCCGTCACGGTTGGGGCTGCCAGGGAAAGTGCAAGGGCCTACCCGCACCGCGCCCGGCGAATGGGGAAAGTGTGGGGGCAGCCACAGCCTTCCAGGTCCCCCTCAGTGAAAGAATTCATGGCTGCGGTGGGAGGCGCCATGCTGCGGCATGCGTCTAGAACGGGGTCTTGAGGCTTGCGAAGGCGATAATAAAAAGGAAATAAAAAGGAATATTGGTATTCATAAATGATATTTCTTTTTGCTTCTGTGTTGGGTATCAATGCCTTGCTGTGCTGGCAGGGCTTGCTTCGGCATATGTGCGCTCTGTTGGCCACTTAGCCACTTAGCTTGGCTTTGTACGAAGCAATGGTTGTGGTTTGTCCAGAATAGTTGACAGAGGCTGGCTACCCCGCCGCTGAAATCCATCAACTCCGCCATCATCGATTGCTGAGAGAACACGTTGATATCGAGATTCGCACAGCCTGATTACAGGAATTAATGTGCCGAGTGAAGTCTCGATAATCTTTGCTCACCGACATGTCTGCTTTGAATCTCGGTCAGAATTGGCGTCGCCTTTGACGCTTTCATAGGTAGATGCAAGAGCCCGGTGAACAACCCGCCGCTGCCGCGATACTTATCCTCTTGCCCTTGTCGTCGGTGTCGACTATGAATCGCTTCCACTGCCCAAAGAGGGAATTATTACACGGACACGACTCCGTCGGCGGAATTTACCCCCAGCGGCATCTTCGGGAGGAAGACGATGGACATATGATACGAAAACGAGCAGGACAGGAAACCATTGAACCATTGAACCATTGAACCCACGTGGTATGCGACCAAGCTGCAACTAGGCGGTTGTCGTCCCAAGTAGGAACGCCTAACTCAAGGCCCATGTCGTCGCGATGGCGCACCTCGGACCTTCTTGGGTTTGGGGTGGGAATGGGTGAGAAAGATAGGCGGCCCAAGACCCTATTAAGACCCATGGCAGTTCAACGCCGAGGCGGGAAACCCCACTGGATGCCGCGATTACGTAGTTGTAGCGCGTCGAAGGCCGCCCGCTAAACTCCCCGAGCATTCTCCCCACCAAGAAACGAGCAGAAGCATGCATCCGGTGAGGCCAGGTCATTCTCCAGAGGCGAGCGAGGTAATGGGGGAGTCAATAGAGGCCCTGCGATAGGCCTGGCAGGCCGACGCCACAGCGGCACCCCTCCGCGGGTCACTGACGGGCGTCTGGTGCATCAGGGCCTCACTATTGGCGCTCCGCAGGCATGTACCTAGCCCAGCCCGTATGACGACGGCCATTCCCATCTGCCACCTGCCACCGGATGGCGTCCACGGGAGTGACTGGACGGCCAGAGATACCGCGATTCCGAACTCAATGCCGAGCCCTACCTAACTAGCAGCACGGCCGTCCGTCAGTCAGGCTGCCCTGTTGATTTTTCCCCCTTCCATTTCCTTCTCGGCACCTGATGGAAGGGATCCCCAACACGTGAAGGTCGCCTCAACCACCCTCGGGCCTCTGTCTCTGTCCACTCAGGCCCCCGGTCGCCGTGGTTGTAACTTGTAACTTGTATCTTTGTCTGTTCGTCCAGGTTCCGTTTTCCGTCCACGGGTCCTCCGTCACCCCTCGAACCACTGTGCGCCCTCTGTCCTTCCTGCGCCGCCGCCCAAGACGCCAACCAACTCTGTCGCTTTCTCACCCGTCACCCTCGCTCGCTCAGACACACACTCGCTTCTTCCGTCGCTGCGTGGCGCCGTTCTTCCCACCCTCCATCCCCTCCGTCTTCTTTTTCCCTTTTCCCTCTTCCCCCTTCCCCTTCTCAACGTTCCCCTCCCATCTTGGCCCTTTTTTGCGCCGCAGCAGGCCTTCAGCGTCCTAGAGCCTAGAGCCTAGAGCGACCTGCTTCCCACTAAGCGTTTTTTGGGGGCTTAGTCCGCCAACAAGGTTCGAGGTCCTCGGCTGGACGCCACAAATTCAACAACCTCAGGCGCCTCTCTCCCGCCCGGAACTCTGGAACTCTGGCACCTTGGATTCGTCGTCCTCTTCCCTTTGCTACCCGCTCCACACGCCCACACGCCCACTCGTCCACACGTACTCCGTCCATCATCCGTACATGGCGATCGCTGCTCCTTCACTCCTGACCCTGTCCCTGACCTGACCCTGATCCCGATCCTCATCTGTCCGCAAGCTGCTTTGCGCCCCGGAGGAACCCTCGATGCTACCCCGTTGACACTCGTTTCCCTTCCGTCTCGCCGTCTCGCCGTCCCGCCGTCCGCTTCAGGTACTGTGCGAGCTCTCGAAAGGCCATCTGTTGGCCCGCGCATTGCCCATCGCCGACGACCCGCGCCTCGCTTCCTCCCTGTCATCTCCCATCTTCCCTGCTCCTGCTCTATTTTTGACCTTCTTGACCCTTTTGACCTCCTTCTCCCTCAACGCCCATCGCATCCTCCCCCGTGCCTCATGGCTTGCTCGGCTCCGTCACGATGAACTCCCTCAACATCATCACGGCCCGCGTCTCGCCTCCCTCAAGCCCCGCCCAGTCGCGATCCAATAGTATAGGTTCCATTGGCATCGGCATTGCCCCCGAAGACCACTCCCACGATCAATCCGACGATAGGCAACCCGCCCATGGCACCGAGACCTTCCCCGATGACACCTTTGACGAGTCGCGCTTCGATACGGAAAAGCCCCACGCCCGCGAAGACACTCCTTTGCTAGGAGGCGAGCCCGACAAACGAAGCAGCTGGTGGCATGCACTGCCCCGGGGGATCGCATCGAGCCTTATCAGCTCCATTCGCTGGGTTTTTGCGACTCTGGCCTCTCCAGGTGTCTATCTCATCGCCTGCTTCTACGACGAGAATGGCTTCTTCGCGCCCTTCTCACAGCTTGGAAAGCTGTTTGGGATCCACAAGGGCACTGGTGCCAAGAAGTCCTTGGACGAGCCCTACCCGGCTACTGAGAAGCAGGGCTACGGGCGCACATCGGGATATCGAAGTTTGTCACCAAGGGCCGCCGTCTCGTCAGGTTCATCGTCATCAGGTCTGTCCTCGGAATCCGAATCAGAAGAGTCCCGGTCAGGTAGCCTAGGTCGGCATACCCGGTCCAAGTCGTTGCAACCCACGGAGGAAACCTCACCCGCCCGGAGGTCAATTAGGATCAAGCTCAGCAGCGACGAGGCTCTGAGGCAACGAAAGCACAGGAAGACGCAGTCTGCCGTCGCGCGGACGAAAGCTAGTGAACTGGCCAGCGGAGACATCTCATCACTCTCATCACACCTCAAATCACCCACCTCTCCCATCACGGCCCTCACAAAATACCCCAAGACCCCGGCGCCTCCCCAACCCCTTATACCCCGGAGGCAGCCATCGTACCTTAATATTGAAATACCGAAGAATCAACAGAAGACATTGATCCTGGACCTGGATGAGACGCTGATTCACAGCATGTCTAAAGGAGGCCGGATGAGCACAGGACACATGGTTGAGGTGCGCCTGAATACGACATACGTGGGGGTTGGTGGGCAGACGTCTATTGGACCGCAGCACCCCATACTGTATTGGGTCAACAAGCGACCTTATTGCGACGAGTTCCTGCGGCGGGTGTGCAAGTGGTACAACCTGGTCGTCTTCACAGCGTCGGTACAAGAGTACGCAGACCCAGTCATTGACTGGCTGGAGCAAGAGAGGAAGTTCTTCTCGGCTCGATACTACCGACAGCACTGCACGTTCCGGCAAGGTGCATTCATCAAGGACTTGAGCGCTGTCGAGTCTGACTTGAGCAAGGTGATGATTCTGGACAATAGTCCGTTGAGCTACCTCTTTCACCAAGGTAAGGCCTGGTCCCTGAGATGTGGGGGTATGGCAGGAGACTGACATGAGATTCAGACAATGCGATTCCGATTCAAGGCTGGATCAACGACCCGACGGATAACGACCTGATGCACCTAGTACCCCTGTTAGAAGGCCTACAATATGTGCATGATGTACGGGCACTGCTGGCACTGCGCGGCGGCGAGGACGGACAGCACATGGCATAGAATACATGACCTCGGGAGGAATCCCTCATGATGGGCGTTGAATTTCACTGGCACGTGGGGAAACGAGTGGCGGAGGGGCCGGGATATGGGATATGGCATAGGCCCTGCCCTCATGTACAGATAGACGCATGGAGTTTTTGAGTTGCCATGTATGGCAGGAGTGTACGGTATTGAGGAGACCGGGGATATCCAGCGGCTGATGGAATTCATGCCAGCGATTTCGTGCCAGGAGGATTTTGCTTGGCTGGAGCCGAGTTTGGAGAGTGTCTATTTGTGCGTGAGGTGCACCCTGCGTGTTGGCGCGGGAACGATCTGGATGAGTGATGGGGACGAGGCAGAGGGACGTCGTGTGTCTGTGTCTGTGTCTGTGTTTGTGCGCATCCCTGGATCGCCAACAGGTTAGAATGCTCATGGGACACAATATTACGGTTCATCTGGAAAGAAGTCTTATCAGGGTCCAACCACAGCTCATTTATGCACACATCCAGTCTCCCCTGCACAGTGTGTAGGTGTCTAGGACAGGGTCTGCTGTCTGTCCCATGTGCTCATTTTGTTGGCATCAAAGTCTGAGACATGGTGCGTCCAGTGACAACAGCAACCAGTGACAACCCCATGCGGCCAGCGCCAGAGCTGCCAGGAACACGCAAACGACTGGCCCAACTAGCCGGGACGGAAAAGAACTGGGCAAACCGACCCGAATCCGGCTGTAACCGCGAGGCCGTGTGCGCAGTAGTCTTGTTTCTGGCTGTGGGCCGAGGGAGCGAGAGAGGAGAAGCGATGGGAATGACGCCGTGACACCATCATCACACCCGCCACATAGGGACCGAATCCCTAACTATGACTACAGTAGTGCAGCGCATATGCCCGCCAGAATCACCGGGCTAGCGGCCGACCTGCTGTTAGCCCGCCAGGTACACGCATGCGGCCAGGTACCCGCGGGTGGCAACAGTCTAATGGGATCGACCATGTACCTGAGCATTCGGGGTACCGCCCCCGCAATTACTCCTCCATGCCAGTTGGCCCACTGCCACAACCAGAGTCTCCCGGAATGGTGACATCATCATATCTGGTGACGACACGGCAAGCCACGGGCTCGTCAGGGAGATCGGGATCGAGGAGGGGGAGGGGAGGACTGAGACGGGAGTGAGAGTACAAATAGACACAGTTGCCGCTTGACTTCGGGCTGGTTCTTGTACCTCTGTCACGACTCTAAGTTCACGGACTCACTTACACGGCTTCACCTCTACATCAAATAAGCACCATGTCTCTGCACTGTCAGTCTCCCCCGTCTCCCCTGTATCATCTCCCAAGCTAACCAAGAACCCCCTCGCAGACCTCCCCCCCGTTAAGCCCTCGGCCATCGCCCTCGGCACAGCCTTCAACCACGGCGTCGAGCTGGTGGTGCTGTCGCCGCTGCTGGGCGCCACGTACCAGCGCGCCAAGCTCGCCAACACCAAGGAGGAGTTCATCCGCTCCAAGGAGGCCAGCGGCGCCGCCCTCGCCTGGGGCTCTTCGGTCGTCGGCTCCGCGCTGCAGAGCTACGGCGTCGGCGCGCTCATCAATGCCACCGGCACCTTGAGCTACAAGGGCGCCGCGTACCTTGGTAGCTTGATCTTTTTCGCCACTGCTGCTCCCGGTGTAAGTTTCCCCTGTTCTTCGTCCTCTTTTTTACTTGGGTCTTGAGTAGGGATGAGGCTTGTAATGAGATGGAGCAAAAGACTAACCGACTTGCGTGTAGTACATCTCCCAGATCATCGTTGAGAAGCGCCCCCTCGACACCGTCGGCGTCAGCGTCGCTGCCAAGCTCGTTGAGACGCTGGGTTTGTCCGTCTTCCTGACCTGGTGGGGAACCCGTACCAACCCTTTTGACTAAATGGGATGGATGGATTGAGGGACGATGACGGGCATGAAAAGCCTAGTCGCACTCTGTATGTTAATAGGGAAACGAGGAAGCAGGCTGAGGAGTGTTGGGGGTGAAAGAACGTTATCCTTTCTTGCCTCGCCTCGCGGTATCGTTACCACAATCATGTACCCGTATAACGCCCTTTGGCGAAGTAATACATCACTTAAAAACGTTCATGTCTCGGAACTTAGCATAAAACCACATGTGAAGAGTCGCTTGCGTATGGAGGAGATGAACATCACACCAGGGTCTCAATGAACTTCTGTGCATGGTTCTAGAAATCATGCCTCCCATTTTCAATGCAGTAAAATACCTGAACGCCGCCAAGCCCATTCGGCCATATTCGTCGGCCAAACATCTGGTATAGTACACCCAGATCGTCCACAAATCCGACACGCAGAACCATCCGACACGTTTCTTCTCCCTTTAGTCCCGTTCTGTTACATCTGGCTAGCGGCACTGACGCTTCTAGACTTTCGACGACTCGCCCTTGACCCAGTCGGCCTGCTTGGAGTACTCCTTCTGCACGTACTTGACCAGCGACGCGTAGCTCTCGCCGAACGCCTCGCCGTCGTCCTCGCCGTCCTTGTCGGCCGACTTGTCCTTGCTCTTCTTGCCCTCGGGCTTCTCCATGATCATGACGACACTGGTAGGTCGCTTGGTCTTGGCGGCGGCGCCGAGCTCGGCACGCGAGGTGACGAAGATGAAGGGAACGTTGTGGTCCTCGCACAGCACGGGCAGGTGGGAGATGACGTCCATGGGGGAGATGTCGCCAGCAATGATGACAATGCCGGGGAACGAGGTGTAGCCAGGGGCGGAGGGGGGAGACTTGCGGAGGGTCTTGACGACCTCCTTGACACCACGCTTGAGGGTGTTCTGCTTGGCAGCTGTGATGGGTACGCGTCAGTAATTGTTCTCAAGTCCGCCAGGCGCGTAACATACCCTTTCGGATGGTCTTGTAGACCTTCTTCATGCCCTTCTCATCGGCGACGGGGATGGCGAAAGGCACGACGGTGCGCTCCAGGGGAAGCTCCTCGACCTTGTCCTCCTCCATGTCGGAGTCCTCGTCGGCGTTCACGGAGGCGCTGGGGGCGGCATCCTGCTGGATCTTCTCCTCGAGGGCGGCGGCAAGCTTCTCCTTCTTATCCTTCTTGTCCTTCTTCTCCTTCTTGGACTTGGACACGCCAGACTCGTCGCTGCGCTTCTTGTCCTTCTTCTCCTTCTTGTCGGGCTTCTCGGCGGCCATGGCTGCGGCTTTGAAGTTCTCGGGAGTTTGTAAAGAGGCGGTTACAATGCAATTGGTCTCAAACTTCCACGGAGATGGGATGTTCAGGCCAATTGAGGGAAATCGGGGGGTGACGGTGGGTGGTCGCAAACGTTCAACTTTGGTTGTTCGAGCCTCCACTGACCTCGAAATTTTTCTGCAAAACCCAACTTTTTTTCTCGGTGAGGGGAGCTACTCGCACGGCGCACGGCGATTTGTAACGCCGGTTCCGGCTGGAGAGGCTCACGTGATACCAAGTGCACGGTCGAAACCGGTTGCATGCGAAGCTCACGTGACTGAACTCTTTTCGCCCCGTATTTCGCCTCACCCCTTGTTACACCAAAATTCCAGTGTAAGTCAGGGAACTCAGCGAACAATGAGTGAATTCACCAGCTATCTACACCTTTCGGCAGCCTGCACGCCCAGCCGCACAGAGCTCGTTCATTAAGATGCCTCTACGAATTCCCTACAGTTTACTTGAAAAGTTCGTAACTGTAAGCCTTGCTCGGCCGTTATTCCGGCCTGCTAGAGTGGCTGGGATCACTTCCTCTGCAGCTAAACACAGTGACGTTGCTGAAGCCGCGGACGTTGCTGGAGCACTACTTCGTCCACTTCATCCACCTCTAATTCCCAGAAGTGGACAACTTCATTTACTAACGGTCCTGAAGCTTTGCGCTTCTTGGGATGCGATGACTACAAGGAAGCCCGTACGTCCATGTTAAGTTGTCCGTACACATACGGAGCCTGTGGCTGTTGTCTTGAGGAGGGAACAGCCGTAGTAGCAAGCCTATGCTGTCTAGCAAGCAGATCGGTAGTAATGTAAGAGATTTGTATGGGAAGCTCACTGCTCTCGCCTATTCTTTTGCCATTTATTTAGCATCATCTCAGCGGCCCTTTGATTGTCAGGGACTAGGTATGTTAGACTTTGGTAACTGTTGGTGTCTCAAGGCAGGTGGCTGCAGGGGATTGTGTCCTGTAATTCAGGGCTTCTCTAAATCACAGTGCTTGGTGTGGCGGGAAGATGCTGAGTGTGGGGCGATGTTGATCACGTGGCCTGGGCCTGCGAATAGCCATGCTCCAATTATGCATTACGAGACGATGAGCGCAACTAACTTGCGCTCTCTGGACAAAACATGAGAGTTGCCATTGACCGAGTTAATGTCATTTCAAAATTTAGGGCAATTGGGTCATGGAGTTGTAGATGATGAAAAATAAAATGATGTGACAATTGTCTATTGCGTCCCTAGGTCTAGGCAATGATGTACAATGAGTCCAGAGGACCACCTCTACTCCAACACTCGTTTCCAGTCTGTAGGTGCTCTATTCCTCCTCATCGCCAAACTCGGCACGGCCGGCCTTGGACTGGTAGTAGTGGTTGCTGCGAACTTGTTAGTCAAGAGTTTTGATGCCGTCCCAGTCACGTTTGCTCCGTACCGCTCAGTGGCCCAGTCCATAAGGTAGTAGCCGGCAATCATAGGGGGAAGCCAGTAGAAGATTTGGCCCTTGGTGCGGCGGAAGGTGTTGAAGATGGCGGCGTGGACGGATCCGGCCCAGGGGTTCTGTCGGTTGGCGGACAGACCATAGGTAATGATACCACGCTGCTTCTCACCACCTGCATCGAGTTAGCACTTGTTCCTGGGGGATCGTTTCCCATTCTCCGTGAATATGGCATCGATCGAGTGCGGCGTGTTGGTGGGGGATTGACGCCTAGGAGATGTGTTCGATAGCGATAGATAGTCGGTTTAATCGCAGCGCTCTCAATGCGTCATCAATCCCCTTCGTCTGTCGCGCAGCCGTCGGTCCAATTCGATCGTGGTTTGGGAGAGCAGGCGCTTACCGAAGTGGCCCCAGTTGCCCAGGTAGCTGCGATTCATCGTTAGCAAACAGTTCCGGGGCGATTGAGGGCGAGAGGCTGCTGGCGTCGAAGCCGGGGATTGACGGGATTCCAGCTGGTGGAAAAGCCGCATCGCCCAGCGCGGCGCCAATTGCGTTCCCTCCGGGGGTCGACGTACTGTCCGTTGATAGGATCAAGGTGAGATCGGAGAGCCTGAGTGGGCTTCATGTTGGCGGATTTGCACGGGGGATTCGGTGGTGGATTCCTCGGTGATGGGCAAGGCGAGGCAAAGGGCAGGATTTCTCGGGTTGAGGTTCGAAAACGCAGACGCTCCCCATCAGCCGAGCTTTCCCGAACAGGACTAGCGCCCCGCCCGCACCCAAAAATCACATCGCAGACGGAGGTTGCCGGGACTGGTTGGACTTCCAAGAGCTTCAAATCCACCGTCGCCGTCGACTCCGAAGCTTCCAACAGCGACCGACGAGCATCTTCAACCGGTTTCCCGCTCCGGTTCCTCCCACGCCCAAGACATAACTCTGAAACTATGGCGGGCGCCGCGAGAGCTCTCAACTGGATGTACCGCATGGCGGTGCCGGCGTCGGCGGGAGTCTTCCTCGCCAGCAACGCCATGTTCGACGTCAAAGGTGGCACCCGCGCTGTCATCTTCGATCGCTACTCTGGTGTCAAGCAGGAGGTCGTGAATGAGGGAACCCACTTCCTCGTCCCCTGGCTGCAGAAGGCCATCGTCTTCGATGTGCGCACCAAGCCCAGGAATATCGCCACTACCACCGGTAGCAAGGATATGCAGATGGTCAGCTTGACTCTACGAGTGCTGCACCGGCCGAACGTCAAGGAACTTCCCAAGATTTACCAGGTGAGAATCTCCATGCCCGTGCTATTTCAGTTGCAGTACGCCCGCTAACCCAGGTGAAATACAGAACCTCGGCGCCGACTACGACGAGCGAGTTCTCCCCTCTATTGGTAACGAAGTCCTCAAGTCCATCGTCGCCCAGTTCGACGCCGCCGAGCTCATCACCCAGAGAGAGGCCGTCTCTGACCGCATCCGCGAGGATCTGACCCGTCGAGCCGCCGAGTTCAACATTGCCCTCGAGGACGTCTCCATCACACACATGACCTTCGGCCGTGAGTTCACCAAGGCCGTCGAGCAGAAGCAGATTGCCCAGCAGGACGCTGAGCGTGCACGCTTCATCGTCGAGCGAGCCGAGCAGGAGCGCCAAGCCAACGTCATCCGTGCCGAGGGCGAGTCCGAGAGCGCCGATGCCATCAGCAAGGCCATTGCCAAGTCTGGCGACGGTCTCATCATGATCCGAAAGATCGAGGCTAGTAGGGAGATTGCCGCTACGTTGTCCTCCAACCCCAACGTTGCGTACCTGCCTGGAGGCAAGCAGGGTGGCCAGTACTTGTTGTCGGTGGGCAAGGCTTGAACGTGTATACCTAATGTATCGGAAAAGGGAAATCCCCGCTTATAGTTGGTGATGAGGTCATCCCATCTTTACCAACCATGTATTTCTAGAAAGGGACCAAAAGGGAATGCCACCCATATCTCTCACTCTCATTTTGATAATCCTCAAGTGAATTCAGTTGTGACTGTTGGTCCGTAAGATCGTTGTATGACACAGGCTACTCAATAAAGTTGCCAGTGTGATGTCTACCAACCTCACTGTTGCCATACGCTTAAAGTTGTTAATTCAATTTAAAACCGGATTATTCAATTACAATCAATTGCTTCGCCATCCATCTCTATCTTTTGTGTAATAATAACCTCAGAGTTGCCATCTGGCCCCAAAGTAATGAATAGCGAGCAAGATGCCCTTAATCCAGTGGCTTTGTTTCTTAGAAACCTTCGATGGTGGTCTTTGTAGTGGTGTTAATTCTCAATAAATTCCTCCGTGAGAGTCACCTTTCCCTCGACGCTCTGCCCCGGGGCGATGACTTCTCCATTGACCAGCCTCCATCCGTTTCTCTGCAAGTCCATCCAGAGGTTCTTAATCTTCAACCTTACCAAGTCACCTGCCGCCCTGGCGTCTTCGGCCGAGTCGTGTCCCAGCATCTTTGGCCCGGTCTCCTGCTGGATCTTTCGGTTAAGGTGAACATCCATCAGCATTTTGAGTCCGTACCGAAAGGGTAGACCGCCCTTGTGCGGGTAGAGCAAGACGGTGTCGATGAGAGTCGGATGAACGATGCGCACGGCGTTGAGGTCGTTTTCCAGGCCATGGCCGATCAGCGGGGTGCTGGGTGAAATGAGAGAAAAGAGTAGATCCCGGGCGACTTCGGGCGATGAGACAATCTTAAGCGTCTTCTTCTTAGGTTTGAGCTCGCCGTCTTCACTGCCATACTCTTCACCGCTCTTAGTGGGCTTTGAGTGGTCGTCTGCAGACCAAGGCTTTGCTTGGGCCATGTCCTCTGGCCAAACACCCGAGTACCGTGAGTTGAGGTCGAGGATTTCTCCCAGTGGCCTCACCAGGACATCCAGCAACTCTTCTCCGGACGGCCAGGATGTTGCCGTGAGTCGAACAAGCTCGATCCCATGAACGGTGTACCCCATCTCACAGTCAAAGGCCACGGCTCGGTCAGTAGGAGCAAGAGGGTTTTCTGGGGTCGCAGCAAAGTTAAGAGTAGACGCCAGTCTCTTAGGGTCTGTCGTTTTGTAGACATGATGGTCAATAGTAAAACAGCCGACGGAGTCTCCGACATCCTGGCCACAGCACTGGTACCGCTTGGGCTGATGGGATCGATCACCCGGTGCTTTGGCGGCGATGAACGTCTTGCCCCAGTGAAAGGTGCATGATCCCCCAGTCGTAAGGGCACCATCTTCTTCACGGCGTCCGGGGAAGACCTGGAAGCGTTGCTGGCAGCGGTCGCACTTCTCCCATCCCTTGGATGTGTCAACGCCCTGTCGTGCTTTTTCGATGGATTCATCTGATGGTACGACTGGGACATATCCAAACTCAGACAACTTGTCGACGGGTGTCAGAATCCGCTTGGTGAGTTGAAGCTCCTGGGCCGGTGTGAGTCCGGTCTCAATCTTCTTGGGTGGCTCGGATGAGCCGTTGGGGGATTTTTGTTTCTGCATGACTTTCTGCCTTTCTTCTTCGCGTTCCGTTTTCCACTGGTCGACTTTCATCCGCTTGTATTGCATCACCTTGTTCTTCATAACATTTGCGTAGACTGCTGATTTATGGACGGCGGTGTGCTGCTCTTCATCCAGGGCTCGAATAATGAGATCCTGTTCATTCATGATGAGAATCTTAGAATCGTCTTTTGGGTCTTTCTTCAGGTCTTTATTGAGACGGGAGAACTCTGAATAAAGCATCTTGAGCAATCTGAGACGGATCTCATGACTAGCGGGAGAGCTTTTAATAAGCCGAGGATTGAGTGATTCAGCTTTCTTTGGTTTGGTTTGCGAGGGCTTGCGGGCGGGTGTAGAGAGTGATTGGCTGCTGGATGAAAGGTGCTTTGAGCTTGGAACAGACGAGACGGCGGGTGAGTCCGTTCTTCGCTTTTCTAGGGATGGCGCCTTTCGCTTCAAAGGCGGAGGAGAAACTGGACGAGTGATGGATTCAATATTACTCGGGGCGGCTCTCTTTGTCCCGGCCACATCGGCGATTATACCTCTGACTGGCTTCCTTGAACCTTCGGACGAAGATGAGGCTGAGCCGACATCTGCCTTGACGCGTTTTCGTGGCACGTCTTGGTTTGATGAGGTGACCTCTGCGTCTTGGTTTCGGCTACCTGCGTCCCCAAAGCCGGGTATGATTTCAACAGGAGCTTGATCACTTTCATGGCCGAAGATGCAGTGGAAAGCGGTGCAATTGTTGCCCGCTGGGCACGGGATGTGCTTGAGTGACAGACTCATTGTGACGAGGCGTTGGGAGATCAGGATTCCTCTTGGGGCTAGGCTGTTTTCATTATCCCGGGATGATGGAGCACAATGGCGGGTTGGCCAAGGACGTGCTGGGAGCCGCAGCGAGGATCGGGCTCTTGCGAGGTGCTATTGCGAGGTGGATGATGCAATGCAAAGCCGAGCAAGGGGGAACGCGGACAAAGAGCCACCTAGCGAGCGAGGTCGCACGGGATGAGCAGGGCGTCACAGTACACGGTGTAGGGGCCGGGAGCGGACATGAACTAGCGCTCGTGATGGGTGTTGGCTCTGGATCTTTGACTCTGCATGCAGCGTTGCTCGGCCTGTCTGGTTCTGAAGCTCACCTTGTTCAAGAGAAGTTGAAGATGAGACGACGGGACGTGAGTGCCGCCTGAGGCAGCCTGGCCCAAGCACCACGGGGCGCTTCCAGGGGCGCTTGCTCCCTAGAGCTCCCCACTCAGCCAGCTGCCGGGCGCCATGTGGAAAATGCACCATCGGGGCGGTGACCCCGCTAAAGTCCGGCGCTATTCAGTGCATGCAGCGGCCTGTGAGGCTGTGAGGCAGATATGCAGTGAGCGAGCAAGCTGTTCGCGCCGCATCATCATCGAAAGCAAGCCCGGTGAAGGACAACATGACCGGGCTTCGGGGGAATGATCAGTACCAGGAGGGTTGGGATCTTGAAGTGTGTCAGGTTGTACCCCGTAGCTGAACAACCTCATGACCTCCACGAACGCGACGTCTTTCTCATGGTTCATGGTGTGTGTCAAGCTGCCCTCGTCGAGATGCTGGAAACATTCATTGCAAAGACCAGGCAACTTCCCCAGACACAGGTCCATGTTCTAGAGCCGAGGAATGGTGTTTTACTAGCAGAACAGGGCTTAGCCTGGACACGTATCAGTTGCTCGCCCGAGATTGCAACGAGTGTGCTTGCTCATTATAGTTGGCGCCAAGTCGACGGAGGGGTCGTCATTGGCGGCGGCCCATATCATCGACTACTGGAACTAGCCATGCGACGACGTTATCTCGACATTGTTTGTCTCAATTCCTTATCTCATCCCACAACCTCTCAGTATAAAGCCCTCTCATTCTCCTCGTCTGGTCGCGTGCCCTCCTACACCGACCCTGTCTCACTACGCACACAACCCAATCTGCCTTGCTAGAAAGAGGCTTCATCGGACATACGTAATCCGACTGGCTGTGCTAGACTTCTGCTGCCACATCTGCTCTGCCACATTTGCTCTGCCTACAAGGGACATTGTTAGGCCCAGCTTCTTACACGTGGTGGGGGTGCCTGATTATTCCAGCTGCAGGCGGCCCTGGCGCAACTCTTCTTCCCGAGCCCGAGACTCCGGTTGTTGGGGCTGCGCATCTCCTGAGCCTTCGGACTTAGACGGGGCTAGAGTCCCAACTTTTATTACCCGTTTCATTTATCTTGCCACGATTTCCCAACTACGTCAGCTTTTTCATCGATCAGCAATCCTCAAGTATTCTTCATCATGACTGCGACCGAGACGGACTTTGCTGGCGGCAGCCCCCAGGCCGAGCACCTATGTGTCCTCGTCCACGGTGTAAATAACCCCCCCGAGACCCCTGGAACCCGACGCGCATACGTCATGGCTAACACATGTGGATGCTGCAGCTCTGGGGCAATCCTACCCACATGCGCAACATCGCAAAATCGCTCCGGGAACAGTATTCGACCGACGATCTCTACCTCCTCCTCGCGAAGCAAAACAGCGGCAGCTTCACCTACGATGGCATCGAGCGCGGCGGCGAGCGCGTCTGCGCCGAGATTGAACAGCAGCTGCGCGACATTGAAAGCAGCGGCGGCAAGATCAAGAAGCTGAGCATCGTCGGATACTCGCTCGGCGGACTGATCTCGCGCTATGCGATCGGCTTGCTTGATGCGAAAGGCATCCTCGACACCGTTGAGTGCATGGTAAGTATAAGCAACTCCGGCGCTCGCCCACCCTCCAACGCCAGTGCTGACTCTGCGTCAGAACTTTACCACGTTTGCCTCTCCACACCTCGGCGTCCGAACACCTCTTAAGGGGTGGCATAATCATGTCTGGAACGTCATGGGCGCTAGGACATTGTCCATGTCGGGCCGCCAGCTCTTCCTGATTGACAAGTTTCGCGATACCGACCGTCCTCTGCTCTCTGTGCTAGCCGATCCCAAATCCATCTTCATGTCGGGGTTGAGCAAGTTCAAGCGACGCTCGCTCTATGCCAACATCGTCAACGATCGAAGCGCAGTCTACTACACGACGGGAATCCAGAAAACAGACCCGTTTACGAAAATTGACAATGTCAAGGTCAACTTCCTCAAAGGCTACGAAGGCGTCATCCTCGACTCCAAGAACCCTGTGGCACCACGCCCGAAGCTCCAAGGCCGTGCATCCCTATCTACGGTCACGGCGGCAGCGTTGAAGTGGGGGAGGCGCGTCCCCTTTATGCTTACTGTGGCCGTTTTCGTCCCAATTGGCGTTGTGGCCTTTCTCATGAACTCTGTTATCCAGACGGTCCGGAGCTCCAAACGGATCAAGCTGCATGAGACAGGAAAGGGAGGCCTAAACATCGAGGACTATCGGATGTCTGTGTGGATCAAGGAGATGCGCGAAGAGGTTGAACATGCCTACGAAGCTCTCAATAACTTACAAAACCAGGAGTTTCTGGCGACCGAGGACGAGGACGAGGACGAAAGCCTTGATGCTGAGGATAGAAGCTTGCTCCGCAGGGAACGTAGACTCTCGACCCCCGCACAGCCCACGCTCGCCCTTGCGCCGTCCCAATTCGAGATGATCCGGAACTTGGATTCGGTGGGCTGGCGAAAGTACCCTGTCTGGATCCAGAACATTGGACACAGCCACGCGGCCATGATTGTGCGGTGGGAAAAGAAGGAGTTCGCCGAGGGGTTTGTGGTGCTGGGGCACTTCGCTAAAGATGAATTCTTGGTTTAGAGAAATGGGGTCGAGATCGAGTGTTGCTTTTGGGAATGATTTCTCCCGGTGTTGGCATGATTTATGTGAGCGATGCTTGTACGGTATAGAAGGCGGGCGTTGGGTCTTAGGAAGCTTTAAGGTAGTATCTCTGGAATACAATGCATATAATTGATCGGAAACCCATAGTCGAGTCGGAAATCGCCGACGAAAGTGCCATGTCTGGCTACAATGTCGGCATCTGACATGATCTCGGATCGTCACAAGACATGGATCGTCAGAGACGTGCAATCCGTGCACGGACCAGCCAATGCACGATGCGGCTGAAGCAACGATGACGCCTGCAAGTGCGGGCTTCTACGGACTAAATCACGTGCCAATCGCCGCACCTTCCCCCAGATGAGCCGACGATGTCGTGTTCCCCGCACTTCCGGCCAATCACGGACCAACTCCTCCTGCCAGCCAGAGAAGGCCAAAGAAAAGTTCGGCCGATCGTCCAGCTCTCCATTGGTCGGCGCCGTTGCACCGCATCCTAATCATCTGATTGAATGCTTCATAGCCTCAGTCTCCTCTCTTTCCTCCTCCTCACCCGTGCACCCCTGGGTTTGGCAGGTCGAGGTCGCGAGAGCTCTTTCCCACTCTCCTTCTCTCAGTTATTATCACGGCCGTTCTCGCTCTTCCCATTCTTCTCTCTCGCGGCCCGACATAGCTGCGAGCTTTCCCCGTTCCGTCCGAGATTTGGCCTCTAGGAAGGTAGTTCTTTTTTCGGCTCTTAAACCGAGGGTCCCGGCTCAATTTTCCACCGCCAATCCCCAGCGATTTATCCGACGGAGCAGCAGAGCACCCAGCTCCAGCTTGAGGGCATCGACTCGAACCCATCGCTCCAGATCGCATCGCCGACATCTCTAAACACATCCCAATCGCCTCAATTGGCCTCTGCAGCTCCTCGACTCCCGTCTGTCCCGTCGCGAGCGCCTCCGCGCACCAGCCGCTGCAATGGTTCTCACCCACACCACCAACCATACCTACTCCCATCCCTTCCCGACCGTTACGCTCGCCTTCTTCCTCCGGTACTCCTCTCCGCAGCTCAATCCCTTCGCCGCTCATGTCATGAGCACCGACACAATTGACAGCCATGTCGACCCCAAGACCAATCGGCTGCACACCACCCGCATCCACCTCAAGAAGAGCCGCATGCCTGCCGCCGTCTACAAACTGCTCCCCAAGAGCGTGACTGGAGGTGGCACCGGTGATAAGGCCTCATACGTCCTCGAAACCAGCATCGTCGACATCAAGGAGGGCTGGATGAAGTGCGAGAGTCGCAACCTCAACTTTACTGGTGTGCTGTCAATCACCGAGAAGCAGCAGTTCTACCTCCCTACCTCGGATGGACTTCAGGCGGCTGCCAACGAGACGGATGTGACAACAATGGTCGAGTTCAGGTCAAGACTCGGAGAGAAGCTTCGAGGCAAGTTGGGGCAGGCACGAGAAGATGGCTGGCTCTCTGGCGTCGGCGGGTGGGGTACCAAAGGTATCCAGCGCAGCATCGAGAGCCTGGCCTCTACAAAGACGCAAGACCAGCTGGGAAAGAGCCGCGACGGTATGCGGCTGGTTCTCGAGCGACTGCGAAACAACGGTGTTATTGGCGTCCTCGAAACCTTGCGGAGAGAGCGCCAACAACTTGTCTGATTATATCCACGACACGATTCAACTGTAACAACGAACAACGGACTTGGCGCAACAAGGACTTGGATTGGTAGACCTTTGATGTCTCACCACTTACCCACATTCACGACAACGTACTATTGTACTCCTGAACTGTATATTATATCTTCATTCTAGCACGGCGCTCAGTGTCTTTTTGGTTGGGGCAATGTCTTGGGACGTGGTAGGAGGAGGCTTGGACAAAGCAAAGTGCTAGATCCGGCCGGCCACGAGGAGAGAACAAAAATCGTGTGTTGACACGAATGGAGCGCTTCAAGAAAGCGTGTGGAATCCCCTCTCTTGTGATAAGTCTGAGAAAAACACGAAGAATAGGAATGAAAAATGGCGTATGAACATTTAAGAATGGTGACCTATTGTGCCTTTTTGCTAGTGATGTAAATTGAGGCTCTTTGTGGTTGCAAAGTTGAAGTCAGTCTTGTAGCTCATTACAGGAGAGACGTGAGCCATTCACCAGCGGCGAATTTGCCAAGCTCATACCAAGACCCTGTCCATATTCTCTAATGTTACTATGCGAAACAGTGTTTGCTGCCAGCGAAGGCGAATATTCTGATCATCACAGTAGTCCAGGGTAACTTGCCGGGTAAGAGTCCATCTTTTCAATATTATCATAGGCACAACATGACAAACGTTCGAATGAAGACCATATCAGTAAAGGATCTGCATATATTATTCTTCCTGGTATGTAGAACAACCTTTGAGTGCGGTCCTTTTGAGTCTTGATGAACGTACTCATGCACGATTGTGATAAGGACGATTGTCCTGAGTCAGAGAATAGCATTCTTGACATCCTTCGTAGGACAACTTGCCAACATTTAGTATCGCAATTCCAGAACCTCTAGCTTTATACAAACTTGGTCAGGCCCAGGTCGTTGGTGCTCGCGCTACAAGCATATAGCCGACCTCGGGATCCTTTCCCGGCTTCTAGGTAGACTAGTCAGTTGCCCATGGCCCTAAAACTCGAAGGTCACCTATTCGGGGACAACATCCGGGGCTCACTCCTCAATGAGCCCCGCACTGCGATTTCCCCATCGCCTTCATCCTTGACATGGACCAACGGGACGCGAGGGCGTATCTTGGAGTCGCTGCTCTCCACGTTCCGAGATGACCTGGGGTTCGGCTTCCCCCACAATATGAGCTCATGTCCAGATCGATCAAGGCACTTCCCCGCTGATGGAGTTGATTAGTTAGATGAACTACAGACTTACGAACCATTGATACGCAACTATCGTGCGAGGCCGGGTGAGGGGAGTGGCGGGGTTGCGCCTCGGATGCGAAACCCGAAGTACGGGGTCTCCAACTTGCTGGACCAGGGGAGATTGACGTCCTGGTGATTCCCCACGGGGTAAGTTTGAACACCGAGAGCGACGAAGGGAGCAAAGCGCCAGATTCCAGATCCCGTGTTTCCCGGGATGGCGGACGGGATGGATTGAGTCAGGACGACCGGTCAACCATGTTTATATACCGCCTGCCCCGGACGTTTGAACAAGTCTCCTTGAATCAACCATCATTCTGGGACTGACATCGCTTCCCTCTCCTGTCTTCACATCTCGGTTCTTATCTATACTAAATCATCCCCTCTACTCTCCGACAAGCCTTTGCAAAACCAGGTCTCGAGATTAGTCCGTGACAATGGCTGTCGAGCAGGAGAAGATTGGCGAACGCCCCACGTCCGAAGCCATCGAAAGCCCCGAAAAGTTTGACAACCAGAACAATGAGATTGCCATCTTCGACGAGATCGACCCTGCCGAGGAGAAGGCCCTAGTTCGCAAGCTCGACAGAGTCATCATGCCCCTGATGGCCGCTGTCTACTTCTTCCAATGTGAGCCTGTCTTTGGTTCCGGTCTAATTTGCCTGTGACAGGCGGTGCTAACCTCAGTGTCTCACCAGATCTTGACAAGGGCTCCATCAACTATGCCGCCATCTTCGGCCTGAAAGCCGACCTTAAGCTCACTGGCGAGGAGTTCTCCTGGGTCGTATCTCTCTTCTACCTAGGTCAACTTGCCTCCGAGTACCCGGCCGCATACGTCCTCTCCCGCTTTCACATCACCCTCTTCGTTGGCGCCACCATTGTCGTCTGGGGCGGCGTCGAAATGGCCATTGGCAGCACTCAGAACTTCCACGGTCTCGCAGCCGCCCGCTTCTTCCTTGGATTCGCTGAGGCGGCTGTCTCCCCGGCCTTCGTCATCATCACTTCCAACTGGTACCGACGCAGCGAGCACCCCATCCGCGTGGCTACGTGGGTTTCCATGAATGGTATCAGTCAAATCGTCGGCGCGCTGCTTATGTATGCCGTCGGAGGCGCGGATATGGCCATTCAGAGCTGGCGGGCCATTTTCCTTGTGTTTGGTGGTTTGACTATTGCTTGTGGTATCGCCTTTGTTCTCCTGATGCCCCGAGACACTACCAATGCATGGTTCTTGAACGAGCGCGAGCGAGAAATTGCCACCAGGCGTCTGGCTATTGATCGCGCTACTCGTGATCGCGCTCACTTTGACAAGAAGCAAATGTGGGAGGCACTGAGTTCGCCCCTGACCTGGCTCTGCTTCATGATGGCTCTCTGCATCACTTTGACCACACCAATCCTAAAGGTACGACCCTTCTATGTCACCAAACTCTTACAATTGTATCTAACATATTATTGAACAGTTCTCCTCCCTGGTCATCAGCGGCTTCGGCTTCTCCAAGTTCCGAACCATGCTTGTCGGTCTCCCCGGTGGCGCGATCAACTTCTGCACCGTCTGGCTGTCCGCTCTCATCCCTCGCATGTTCCCCGGAACCCGAATCTACACAGCTATTGGTCTCACTCTTGTCCCTCTTGTTGGGTCAATTGTTCTACTCTCCCTACCTGTCCACGCTGGCAGCGGCGCCTCCTGGGGGATCGTCGCCGCGACCTGGCTAGCGGCCTGCTCATCCGCACCCCTATGCGCGTGTGCCGGCTTGATAGCCAGTAACGTCAAGGGCAACACCAAGAAAAGTATCGTCAGTGCTGGATTCTTCATCACTTATTGTGTTGGCTGCATTGTTAGCCCTCAGGCTTGGCAGGAGGAAGATGCCCCACGATACACCAAAGGCTGCATCCTCAGTATTGCCAGCTGGATCGCCATGTTGGTCACCCTTTCAACCTATATGGTTTTGATTAAGAGAAAGAATAGCACTCGAGATGCTAAGGCTGCTGAGGGGCGTGTCGAGTACCTCTCGCAGTCTCGACTTGGCGAGGGGAGTCACACGCAGATCGGCGTGTCGGTGGACTCTGATTTGACGGACCTGGGCGACAAGGGCTTCCGGTATAGCACTTAAAGTTAGGACGAATAGCAGAATAGGAAGTTCTATGGTGTTATATATTTAGTATGAATATCATGCAGTGGGGCTTTTGCTCATTACACCTAAAAGTTCTGGATGTACCTTCGTTTGTCAAAGTCGGTGATTGTGAAATGTGTCGAGAAGATCGCGTTTACCACCAACACCTGACATGTCTTATACTGACTATACATGGATATATCTAAACTAATATCTAAGGTACTTAAGGCAGGTATCACCGCATCTAAAATAAAAATAAAACACTGGATCAAGGCCCAAAATATCCAAGCCACTTAGAACTCCAAGGCCTCCCAGTCGGCCAACTCAGCCCCAGTATAAACAAACCCCGGCGTGTGATATACCCAGTACAGGGCGTTGTCACCCTCGAGAGAAATGCTTGCCAGATCTGCATTGCCGTGAAGCATGTTCTCCATCGCACCCTCAGCCATGCCTAGCGAGGCGCCCTCAGTCTCTCCAACTGGGGGTGCTGGAATGTCTCCGAGCTGCCTCGACTGGTTGTTTGACGAGGGAATTGCCCCAGGCACAAAAGCCCCAGTGTTGCCGTCCGGGTCAAAAGAGAATGGTTGAGTCGTCGTTGCGTACGGTAAATCTTGACCTATGTGGGGCTGGTCTTGAGATGGTCGGAGATGTATACACATTTGATCAAGCTCCGCCAACCGCTTTGCAGCAGCCCGGTTTCCAACTGTGACAAGATACTGGAGAACGTGTCTAGAGCCTTCAATTCCGCCCAGGCCAAGGTTTGTGTCTGGGTGAATAGCCTCCACTAGGACGAAGATGAATCCAACGGAGAATAGGATATCAAGATCAAGGAACGCGTTTTTAGCTAGCTAGTGTCAGCCAGGTACAGCAAAATCGAGAACAGAATGTGGTATGAAACACTCACCAATTAACTCCGTATTTCGAAGCATTTGAAGAATGGCCAGACTTTTTCGAGCAGCTTCAACACAAATCTCGGCCAGTCGGCGCAACGTTGGAGTGAGATTTGTTGTTGGTTCTGCATCGCGCTCTCGGACATTCCGAGCCATGTAGAGGAGTATCGGTCGTACCGTATGTATCACCGCCTAGGCCATGCTGTATGAGCATCGTCCTTACTCGAGAAGATCAATACACGTACCTGGTAGACGCTCAAGTAGAGCGATGAACTCGTCCGTGCATATGCAGTGTCCGCTTCGGCAAATGGGCGGCCTGCCACCAGTAATCCGGTTGGGCTGAAGTTGATGCTGTACTCGGCCGGCATGGTAGACTCGATATCGTGTAGAGAGTGTAGAATACTCTCAACGTCTCTGATGAAAGATGCCTCTGAATCGGTGTTTTGCACATATATTGCTAGCTGCTTGTTAGAAGCTTGATAAAACTTGTTGACTGGAGCGGGAATGTGACTAACTTGACGTTATGCGGCCTGTAATGCGGGCTGCCCTGACATTTACTCGAATTGCCGCCGCCGAAGAAAACCCAGACACATCGGCCGGTGGACTTATTGATATGGCCTCGTCAGCAATGGCCATTGGGTGACCACCAGCAGCAGCTAATCTCCTATCGATCGTGTATTAATATCTGTAGCGAGGCTGATGAGAGTTAAAAAATATACCTTTCCTGCATGTAGAGAGACCACCAGAGGCGACTTCGATGCACAGAATCTGATCGAGAATACGTCTGGTTTTGGTTTGCCTTGTGCATGCCATTGCTTATTGCCAAACGTAAGGCTATACTTGCCTGCTTGTGGGTCAGTATCATTTCACAGGCAAGTTGGGGACCTTCGAACATATAAGTATGCCTCATCTTTCCGATCTGCGACTTGAAGGAACAAGGCTGCAAGTCCCACGACCTCAATTCCAAGAATTCCATGTTTTCCAACGTCACTCATAGCAGGCATATGCCGCATGGCTTCGTTGAAGAAGGCCACTCCAGGGACTTCTAAATCGTCATCGGTACCAGCTCGCAGGAGTCTCCCCAGAGCCAGAACAAATAGAACCTGCACAAACCAAAGTCCTCTCAAGGGTGTTTCGTTACCCGTGTCATGATAAAGCCGGGCTAAATTGTCAGAAAAGGAGCGGATATCGAAGAGGTGTTGTGATATTCCGACGTTTAGGATGACGAGTTCAAGAAGCTGGTTCGCCTCTTCTTCAGATGGCCACCCGTGCACGTTGTTGATGAGTTCTCGATCTAGATGTGGCGATGCCACAGCGGCCGAAATTGGTGTACTTTTATCTGATCTACCTGATGAGCGTGCTAGAAGAAGCGTACGTATCTCTGTGCCGAAGATTTCGCTTGACGATAGAGAAGGCCCAGGGAGAATTGCTACACGAGTTGATGAGTTAAATAGACTGTGGAGGGCCATTCGAATCAGTTACCTTTTGGAGCGCAATTACTTGGTGCGCTAGTAGATCCCGATGGCTGGTCCTCATTGGCGACGCGTTGGGTGAGTAATGAGAAGGCTGAAGTCTCTGAATGAGGCGTTTCGACCGTCCGAGTAGCAAGACGACTATCGGAATTTGGTGATATTGCCACGGTCCTTGACGATGGTGGATTCTCATGACCGCCTTGCTGGCCTTGGTCTGGTGAAGCTGGGCGCAGAGTTAGCAATAGATACAGACGGAGGATCAGAGGAGTCATACGTTGGTTGTGGCTAGATCCCTCCACAGGGGGTTGACTCTCGTAACCAGCAACCTTCTGCTGAAGTTGTTCTATCTGGCTTTTGTCAAAGGTTTTATAAGCTTATGATCCATTTAGCGCTGGCAAGGAGGGACTGAGACGCACGCGACAGGGTACATCTTCCGCTTCTCGGACGCTGAGAAGACACAGTTCAGGCGTCGCTTGCTGCAATAGCGACAGGGCCACGAGCCAGAGCACTTGACCTTCTTGTCGCGACAGACATGACACGCCGTAGATGTGCGAGCGGCCTCAAGCTGCGAAGAGAGCCGGCGCCGTCTGGTCCGATGAGTGTCACCTGGACTGGTGCTTCTCCCAGCAACGGCAACGGGGACTGCGGCCTGCTCATTCTCCTTCTCCATTGCCGGGGCAGCCCGGCATCGGGAGGGTGACGGTAGAGAGCAGGCTCCAGGTAATTTATCAATGGTCAATGGGAAGTCGAAAGAGAGCGATAAAGAGCGAGATACTGAGGTGGTATTGCAATTATTTGATGCTGTAAAATGCACATCGTGTCAGAAGCGGTCTAGGGTGTGGGGGATGTGGGGGAGAACTACGACAGGGCGCTAGCGAATGAGTTACAGTGGTCACGAGCGGATGCACGCCACCACTCTCAAAAATCAGGCGCCTATAACTCGCCTATTAAACCGGCTATATGATCCCCCGTCAAAGAAATCCACCCATAAATCCGGATTTCGCGGTAACGGTACACATTAGCCAAGGTTAGACAAGATCGGAAAAGTTGCAACTGCCAAAAGTCTCAATCCAGAAAACAAATCACCTCTAAACCGAGAGAAAATCACTATAATAGGTGTGGTTCGTGAGCGATAGCTCGGTAGACCCAGCATTCAAATATCATTGAAGAGGCACGTGCAGTTTAGGTGGATAGATGACGGCCTCAATCTCCCTTGGCTACATCTCGCTCTCGGTGGGCACCAAGGAATATTTTTGTAACATATTGAACAGTCCTAAGGTACCTTCAGCAGAGCTAGCATAAAGCATTCGATTGGGACTTTCCATCTCTGAGGATCTCCCCAGCTGCCATTTGTGCGTAGAGTCAATTAGGGCCGTGGATGGGCTGGCAGCGGAGACGATGTGGGCTGTCTTACACTCCCAGCCAATTTTGAACCTGGTTTCGGCCACCCGGCGGATCGGTCCTTGCTGTTGAGTGTACCAGAGTGAAGAGGTGTCCAAAAACTCCACAGCGGACCCGTGCAGGGACTGACGACTGGAAAGACCTCGGTTATGGCGGCAGCCAGTTCAATAGGGAAAGCAACGCCGATTGAACCGTGAGACATGCCTCGTCCAATTGAGGGGGAGAGCGTTTGCATCCGATTTACCGGCATGTCTGAGCCAGCAACCAACGACACACACTTTTGCTTGGTAACATCAAGTAAGCGTAGTGTATGTACGTGATAAGGGATGCTAAGATGACTCACGCGCGAGAGTTGGCTGCATCCGTTGAGGTCCGTGGACGGACATTGACCGGCGCTAGGCCGGGTGTGAGCCCGGGTGCGGTTAAGAGAGGGGCCGGGTTCCGGGCTCGGCGCGGAGCTTGGTGCACGAAGCTGGCATCCTAATGGCGGGGTCAACGGATCCGCATCCGTGACGGAAATCAGCTTCGCTTCTGTTCCCCGTCCACTATTCCGAGACGGCTTCGACCTCGGCCCCGTGGATGGTTTCCATCAAGTCCTATTGGTTCTGGATGGGAGGGCTTATCGCTCTGTTATACCATGCTCTTACGTCTTCGTAGAAAGCGGCGTGTTGCACGAGGTTCCCCACCAGCACTGCTCTCTCTGCAAAATTCCACTTTGATTATCCACGGCAGATGAAGCTCACACAAAAAGGTCCACTCTTCAACACGAGAAAGAGAAACTGCAATCGATGCCATCTTTAAAATTGCGATTTTTAGGTATCTGTACAAACTGGAGAAAACTCACGGGGCGGTCTGAGCCATATTACCCCGGAAGTAGCTGGAGGGGGAAACAAGGAAGTCTTCGCCGCCGCTTTTCCAGCGTCGAGAAAAAGGTCTAAAGTGCCTTTCATAGCGCTACCTAATACGCTCACGATAATTGGAAGACCAATGTGGCCGTCCAAGCCCAAGCCCTCTCGTATCTCTGTTGACAATCTTGTGTTATTAGCGGCTCAGGTGAGGTGCCCCCTGTTAAACCCATGGTGAGCAGGAAACACTCGACGCGGATGTGGATGTGGATGTGTATCCGGCCCGAGAACACTTAGCCTAGCTCCGTTCCGAAGCTTGTTGAAAATCAGGCGGTCGTTTTGCCCCCACGCGGTATTCCTTACAGGTACAATCTGTCAGCGAGGAGTTGCATGTGCTGGAAGCTAGCGAGGCACTTTAGTAACCCCCGCCCCCCCTCTGACCGCTTTGTTGGCAAAGATAACCAAAGTGTTGACTCCGATTCATCCGAATGTTGGCACGCCTCCAGCTCTGAACGGTCTGCAAGTTTCTCGAGGTAAGTTTGATGGTAGTGTTGGGGCTGAAATCGACTATAAATTACATTTCGTCCGCAGTAGGTATATCCAGACTGGTTGTCATCTTTGCTTCTGAATCTAATTCCTCCACCTAAAGAGAGCTGTAACAGCATCAACCGATCAGACAACCACGACTTCTCATTTCATTCAACGGCCCAATTAGCCAACTACCACTCCTTGAGGGGAAGTAAAACATCATTATGTCTACTGGAAACTGTCGTTGTGGAGGTGTCAAGTTCACCTACAAAGGTGACCCTGTTGCAATTGTGTGTCATCCCAGGGTTTTATGGCTATAAACTTGTTCAAGCTGACACAAGATTATTAGGCTGTGTGCCATTGTATTGACTGTAGGAAGACATCTGGAAGCGCTTACGGCATAAGTGTTATGATCCCCGCTGCCAATTTCGAGGTTTGCGGCACCCCCTCGACATTTATCAGCAAGGCAGAGAGTGGAAATATGGTTACCAGTCACTTTTGTAGCAAATGCGGCACCACTTTGTGGGTCGACGGACCTGCTGTTCCCCTCAAGTTCGTCAAGGCGGATGTACTTGACGATCCGAATGCTTTGGACACGGCCAAACCAGTGATGGAATTTTATACCTGCCGGCGTGCTGGTTGGCTGCCCGCCCTCGGTGGCTGTCAACATAAGGAGAGGATGTAGACCATTGGACGGGTCATCTTCTAATTGATGTTTAGTTCTACACATGACCGAACTATTTATATTTCGGATACACAAGCACGTAATGAATCCGTTAATATTCAAATTCTTTGCACGGTCTTGCTCTTATTTGTAGTAGAGAAGAAGAAACGGTCGTGGCATATTAGTCGTCGATGAGCAGATTGGCCTTTTAATTCATGCTGCTCATAGACATTAACTTAAACGGTACTAGAACACTCTAGGCGAATGAAAGGCGAATTTGAAATATCGAAATACCAGTGGGTTGTAGTTAAGTAGCCTTATATTAACAGACAAACGTCAACTAAAATGTATTGGTGAGAACCCACCTATCTCCTATATCATTTATTCCCTTGTTTGATGCTTATCACGTAGCAACTAGAACGATCTAATATCTAGCCTTCCCCTTGGCCTATGGTGAAGATAGTCTTGTTCGCGTCACTTATAGGCCGCAATGGGTAATCTTGACGTCAATGTCGGCCGCCAGTATCAAAAGAATCAAAGTGTCTGAACGCGATTGAGTCCTAATTAGAATTACTGGTACCGTTAAAACGGTGCTCTGAACTCGAAAGCTAGTAAGTAAGAAGCTCTAGTTTTTGATAGCATGAGGGGGTTTATATTTTTGTCCCTTTTACGGGGCTGGGGCGGCGGTGCTATGATTCCCATTGCAGCTCCTCATTTCCCACGGCCGAGTAAGACTACTTACTTACGGTGCAAATAACGCCAAGTTTATCACGATCAGTGAACTCCTCTGGGGCTACTTGGTTATGTAAGTTAGAACAGACTTGCAATTTTTCAACTATGATTTGAGATTATTTCCACTCAGCTATTACTTTTCGCAACCAAAACGTTATGAAGAGAGAACCTGCCAGCAGTCATTGGGGCCAGAGAGAGCACCGATCAATTTAAGTTACTAAATATGCAGAACCTAGGGTACGAGCTTCACTCAAGCCTGTAGGACATTCCCATAATTCATGAGATAAAATTCTTGTATGGTTTTGTACTTATTTCTGTGAAAAGAAAATGGCGTTGACATTTAGTAGAATCCAGTCAGGATGAGGAAACTAGTTGGTACACAGCTCCCACGGTGCCCTCAGTGTCCTCAAAGTAGCGGTAGAGCCCACTCTTGCCCTCTTTGACCTTTTCGCTCAGCATTTTACCGCCAGCCTTCTCAATGACCTCGGCAATAGCATCGACATCTTCCACGAACCAGTTCAGGCAGACACCACCCTTTCCGGTGGTAAAGCTCCCAGTGTCATCGGGGGCGAGGATCCCACCCGTGAGGTTTAGGGCAGGGTTGAAATCGAACAGTCGGATCTTGTCTTTGGGGTAGCTATCGGATTGTTCCTTGAAGGGAAGCTTAAAGACGGTATCGTAGAATTCAGATGCTGAGTCGAGGAAGTCAGGGAGCTGGAATCAAGAGCGAAGGACGAGAAGGTGGCATACCACGACCAACATCCTTGGCAGGAATTGCCATCCAGCAAGGGGTTCCAAAGGGAGGGGCCTTCCACTCGTCGGCCATTTTCACAGGAGTGATTCGAATTATTGGACAAAGCGGAGAGTTGATAATCTTGATTGGGTACTGCACTGAGCACTAGAGGGAGACAAAGACGGTGAACTTGAAAGACCAGTTGATTGAGGACTAAGGCTTCCGATAGCCATCTTATATAGCCCAATTCATGACCCGAATGACTCTCTCGAGCGGGGAAGACGGACAGACTTCAGTCCGGTGGCGTACGGTCGCTGGTGATACCGTCACGCTTGGGCAATCAGGACGCGCCTCAAACGCCATAGTGTGGTACCAGCTTGACACGGGATCACGTGGAATGGCTCGGATTTGCGGGTACACAGTGTGAACCGGCACTTATCCTTGAAATCACTGTGCAGATAACCCCTCCACGATAGCGGGGCATACGGAGTATTATGGCGCGCAGGGACCATCACGTCACTAAGGCGTGAATTTGTACAGTACCGTTTCCTTCGTCGCGAACTCCTCAGCCAGCTTTCCCCTTTTCCCGAACTCGCAGAGCCTAGCCGTCGCAACCATGCCAGAGCCGGTGTCCGTGCTATTCGTGTGTCTCGGCAACATTTGCCGGTCGACCATGGCCGAGGGCATCTTCCAGAGCCTGGCCAAGCAGCCCGAGCTGAAGGGCAAGATTGGGCGCGTCGACTCGTGCGGCACAGGTACGTGACGGTGATTCTGGATATGACGGCATGCTTGCGGCGCATCGCCGTGGGATCTGAGGTCATTTTGCTAATGCTTTGCTGTGTAGCCGCATACCATACTGGCGACGGCCCGGACGAGCGAACCCTGGACACTCTCGAGGCCCATGGCATCGATGACTACGACCACATGGCTCGGCGCGTACGTCCCCCGGCCCCCTTTTCTTTTTCCTGTCGAACTAGGCGGCTGCTAACTCGCTCCCTCGGGCGCGTCTAGTTCCAAACAAAGGATTTTGAAACCTTTGACTACATCTTCGCCATGGACCGATCGAACCTCTCCGACCTGCAGCGGCTCCAGAGGGGCAACCCAGACAGCAAGGCCAAGGTCATGCTGTTTGGCGAGTTCAGCGGGGGTAAGCGAGCCGAGGTTGTCAGCGACCCGTACTATGGTGGAGACGAGGGCTTCGCGAAGGCGTTTGAGCAGTGCTCTCGTTTCTCTAAAAACTTCATCAAGGAAGTGATCGGTTAATATATGCGAGGGAAAAGGAGGAAAGGAGGGAAAGGAAGGAAAACGGGGGTTTTGAGAGACACGTGAATAATACCCGATAGATGTATATACGAAGACGGCTTGTGGAAGAAAATTGCACACCATAGAATAGACCCTAATATTTCGCTTCAAAGATTTGACAACTGGCCAGAGAGACGTGATGGTTCGTCTGAGAGATTGTGTCCGGACCCGACGCTCCAACCGGATCGGACAAACCCATGTTCGAGGCTGGACGGAGCGGTCCGCCGAATGTCAAACGGCTCGCTATCGATCCATCCCTCTCCTGATGGGAGTGGAAAAGTCCAACGGTGGTAGGTGATAGGTGAAGATGAAAATTACGACGCTGGGGGTACGAATGGCCAATATAACCTCAGATTGGCCTGCTTATCCGAGGAACCATTGCATCTTCATTCGAGACTCTCTACGCCAATGAAACGTCTGAAGTCACCGTGTCAACATCGTCGGCAGTCTCAGACCCCGGCATGAAGACGCAACGGGTCCCACCACCAGCTCCAGCGCGGCTTCAGCCCTACGTTCCCGGGTCGCCCTTTAAGGCCGCCTAGTGGCCGAGCTGTCAAATTGGGGTCCGGCGCAGCCATGCCATGCAGCGGGCAATGGGCGACGGCCAGACGCAGAACACGGGATGCCGAGCAGTCGTCATCTCATCTCGAGGGCTCTCGGGGAAGCCGGCGTGCCGGGCCACGACGGGAATCTGACGTGCCGGGCGACCGCAGCTTGGCTGACGTCGAGTTGGTCGTGTTGCGGCTGTTGCGGTGTGTGTGTGTGTGTGTGTGTGTGTGTGTGCGTCGCCGTCGTCCATGCTGCTGCTGCTACGCAGTAGCTTTTGGCTGGTGCTGACCACGTTGGCGGCGTACTACGCAACTCCGCCCCTCTGTGGCACTGCGACGGCGTCGACTATGCTCTCTGTGCATGTACCATGTCCCGCGGCCACGAGGACAAGCAAAGAACCAACCGCCAAGATTGCACTCGTATTTTTCAAAGGAGCCGGCTGCCTCGCGGGGCGTCTTCGACCGTGATATTTCCCCTTTCCAACGAGGACAACCTCTGGCAGGCCAGGATGCAAGAATCCCCTGAGAAGCGCAAGCCAGGGTGACGAGGGTCGTTGTCGCGCGGCTACGCTCTGGCGGGCGTGATTGGCCGTAGAGCTAGGTGTGGTGTAGTGGGGGCCAAGAGCCCAGCAAATCAGCCGCGGGCCCAGCGGTGGCTCTCGCTGCGGGGGCGGCGTCTTAGTGGCTCGGGCACCTGCGGACCCCCGCCAGAGCAGCCCTGGAGCGCCCCGAGCAGGCTGCGTGAGCAGTACCTAACCTAATGGCGCAGTGAAGCATAGCGGGTGCAGGGCGCTGTGGGCTGTGGACTCGGCTGGGAAGCTCCCTCCAGTCCTATGCCCGTCTGCCCGTCCTAGGTACATCCCCTCCTCGTCACACTTTGCAACCCACCTCCCACCTCCGACATACATATAATCGCGACGCGCCAGCTCCCAAGGACGACCCGTCTCGTTCCTCTCCACCTTATCGCCCGTTCCTCCCTATATCGACCTCCCTCCCTCTCGGTGCGCTCGTCCCTCGACCGCCGCTGCAACTCTCCTTTGCTTTCGCCTTCCATTTGCATCGCGACCTGCCCCGCTACACGGCCGAACCCGCCCGCTCTCCCCCGTACCTCCGTACCTCCGCACCGATTCGCAACCACCCACCATGGGCGACCTCCAGGGAAGGAAGGTCTTCAAGGTCTTCAACCAGGACTTCATCGTCGACGAGCGATATACCGTCACCAAGGAGTTGGGCCAGGGCGCCTACGGCATTGTCTGGTAAGCATGGACTCTCCCCGCGCTTGGTCGCACTTTGCATCTTGCGTGTCCCAAGTTACCTACCCCGCCGTTTCTCGTTACTGACGAATGCCCCGCCTCGTCGGGTCCAACAGCGCTGCCGTCAACAACCAGTCCACCGAAGGTGTCGCTATCAAGAAGGTCACCAATGTCTTCAGCAAGAAGATTCTCGCCAAGCGCGCTCTGCGCGAAATTAAGCTGTTGCAGCACTTCCGCGGCCATCGCAACGTGAGCCTAACTCGCCCTGGAGCGTCGTCATAGCGCCCAGCACCACGTACCACCAAGAGAACAATACTGATACTGCGGCAATAGATCACCTGCCTGTACGACATGGATATCCCGCGACCCGACAACTTCAACGAGACCTACCTGTATGAGGGTTAGTGGTGGTGCTCTCTGAATTTTCTATGCGCGGTGTAAGCTGACTCGGTATACAGAGCTGATGGAGTGCGATTTGGCTGCCATCATCCGTTCCGGCCAACCCCTCACCGATGCTCACTTCCAGTCTTTCATCTACCAGATCCTCTGCGGTCTCAAGTACATTCACTCAGCCAACGTCCTGCACAGAGATCTCAAGCCCGGAAACCTGCTCGTTAACGCCGACTGCGAGCTGAAGATTTGCGATTTCGGTCTGGCCCGAGGCTTCTCAGTCGACCCCGAGGAGAACGCCGGATACATGACCGAGTACGTCGCTACTCGATGGTACCGAGCGCCCGAGATCATGCTGAGCTTCCAGAGCTACACCAAAGCTAGTACGTGATCCATTGCGGTGCGATTCTGGGGAGATGACTAACACGATGCAGTTGATGTGTGGTCCGTTGGCTGCATTCTGGCCGAGCTTCTGGGAGGACGACCCTTCTTCAAGGGCCGCGATTATGTGGACCAGCTTAACCAGATTCTTCACATTCTCGGAACCCCCAACGAGGAGACTCTCCGCCGCATCGGCTCTCCCCGTGCCCAGGAGTATGTTCGCAACCTGCCCTTCATGCCCAAGAAGCCGTTCCCCAGCCTGTTCCCCAACGCCAACCCTGATGCCCTCGACCTCCTCGACAAGATGCTCGCCTTCGACCCCTCGTCCCGTATCAGTGTCGAGCAAGCCCTTGAGCACCCCTACCTCCAGATTTGGCACGATGCTTCGGACGAGCCCGACTGCCCGACCACTTTCAACTTCGACTTCGAGGTCGTCGACGATGTTGGTGAGATGCGCAACATGATTCTTGCCGAGGTGGATCGATTCCGACAGATGGTCCGTACCGCTCCCGGCGCCGGTGGTGCTGCTGGCGCTCCTGTTCCTGGCGGCCCTGGCCAGGTCCCTCTGCCCCAGGGTGGCAACCAGTGGACTGTTGAGGACCCCCGACCACAGGAGTATGTCGGTTACTCCAACGGTCTGGAGCAAGATCTCCAGACCGGTCTCGATGCTGGAAGGAGGTAGAAGGTCATGCGATGAGAGCCAAGCATTTGGATGACGAAAGGTCTTCAGTTCTAGAGAAGGGACAGTGAAGGGATACACGGGAGTGTGGTCGTTAGGCAGACGACAACCAAAGTTGGGTAATTTCAGTTTCGCATGCAAGAAACAGAACCAAGTCACACCAGGACAGTCGAGGTGCTGCGCCCGGGTGATCCCCGATGAAGAAGAGGAAGAGATTGCGTGGCAGCTTGGATACCAGAGGAGGCGGCCCAAGGGGCAAACAAAAGGCTTCTTGCGGGACGAGGACTACACTTCCCCGCCCCTTTTTCCCACGGAATACGAGATGAATACTATTTCTTGAGTTTTATTTTTAAACTTGATGCTTGTCTAAGTGAATGACCTGTTTCATTTCGGTCCGTGTTTGTGCCGTGTATAGGTTGTCGATGGGAGATGACATGGCCGCCCAGACGGCCGCATCATTTCCAGGCGCCCGTCTCTGAGATCCCACCGATTTTTGGCCTTGGCGGTAATTTGGTGCTTGCGACAATCCATGGCCACGCTAAGTGAAGCGGGAAGTGTTTCTCGAATGCATATTTTTAGCAGTGGGACAATGCCATGTTCACAAGAATAGGTCAATAGTGGAAGTATGTGGTCAAAGTTTTCTATGTTCTTTTGCCGGGCAGGGCGATGCACCCGCGCCCCATCCCAAATAGCTCCCCCTAGATACAAGCATGCATTAAGATCCATAACGCCTCAGGGGAAACCGCCCCTGATCTAAAGTATGCCAAAATTGCGCTGTGAAAAGCGATATGTGCCTTTTTGGTGAGATTCAAGCGATTGCGCGCGCCCCGTCATGTGTGAGCTGTGGTATAAAGTGTTCCGAAACCCCGAGGATGCCAGACGAAAGGAAGGAAGAAAGAATTGAAAAACAAGCGCGACGAAACCCCAATAAGTGACAGGGAGTAATAGGGCTGTAACCATGAATTGTAACTCCGAGGAACCCCGTCTATTCATGTATGTGCCAGTAACGAGAGAGAAGAAGTGAAAAGGGGAGCCAAGCAAGGCGCTTAGCCGTAGAACCAGTACATGGTGGTGTACGAGGTGCTGTCGGCGCCGGCCTTGGTGCAGCTGTGGGCGTTGCCGCCGGCGGTGAGAACGCGGTAGACGTACTTGACGCCGATGCTGCCACCAGCGTCGCCAAGGTAGAGCCAAGCAACAGCGCCGGTACCGTCGGGGCCTTTGTTAGCGGAGGCCGGGGCGGCGACGGCGTCGAGCTTGGTGCCGATGAGGACCTGGCTGCCGAGATCGAAGGTGGGGACGCCGGCGGCGTTGAAGTAGTGGTGGCCGAGGAAGGGCATCTCGAGGCTGTTGACCTTGAGGGCGGTGCTCGCCGTGAAGGGGTTCTGGGCGTCCGCGCCGACGGCACCTGCGCCGGTCTTCATGTTTAGGGGAACGGCGTGGTTGTCGAGGACATCACCGGTGAGCGTGAGCCAGGCGGCACTGCTGAGCGACCTGCGGCTCTGGCTGGGGTACAGGTAGGTGATGTCGTAGAGCATGGCGAGGGCGCCGGTGGCGGCCGCGGTAGATCCGGCGTCGGCGCAGGTGTAGTTCTGGATGCCGAAGCCGAGGGCGATGTGCTTCAGGGTGACGCCGGTAGGAGGCGAGGGGAGTTCCTTTTCTGGATTGTGTGTTAGTGGGGAGTTTGGCTTATGTGAGAGTGAGGGTGAGAGTGAGGGTGAGAGGTTGGAGTGAGATGCCAAAGGGGATAAACTTACCACCACCGTTGACGGGAAGGACAGGCGAGGATCGCACACAAGGCGAGGCCAGGGCCAGAGTGGCCGAGGCGAGAAAGAGGAGAGACTTGGCGAGCATGATGATAACTATGTGTGACTGTGTGTATACCGAAGTGAAGTGTTTGTTGTGTGTGTTTATGCAAGTATGCAAGTACTGTGGAGAATTGTCGAGAATTGAAGATGCAATTGAAGTTGGTCAAGGTGTAAAAGTTCACAAAGCTAGGGCAATTGTCGATCTCTTGAATGATCAACCGGATCGAGGAAGAAACAGGAAAAGCTGGAGCTGGAGATCTAGGGAGTGCAACAAGCAACAGAGAAAGCCAGAAGGGGCGGAAGACGGCCAACAGATATACCAGCGCCGCGGCAAGCACAACTGGTGGCGGCAAGCTAATAATAACCGCAAGGAGCAGGGGGGTGGGAGTGGACGCAGCGAGTCCAGAGTCCACCTGGGCGCTTAATGGCAGCAAGGTCGCAGCGAAGTTGATGTGCAGAAGCGGGGAATGCGGACGGCCAGGCCAGAGTGGAGGGTCGGCAGGGGGTGATGTGGACGGGGTGGCTGGCTGGCTGGGGCCGGGATGCGACGCTGGTGCTGGTTTTTCGAGAGGAGGATTTTTGTTTGTGTTTCTTCGTCAGGTCTGGATGAGATAGTTGCTGGTTTGAGCGTGGTGTGGGAGCAAGTGTTTGAAGGGACGGAGGCTCTAGTCGGTTTATATGGCGCAGGAGGGAAACTTGTAAGCTGCCTACTCTGTCTAAAACATGACACACGGAGGCGAAGGGTTTGGTCAAACGAGCTAGAATAATCTTAACCAAATCTCATCTAAGCCGTCGACGCCATGACCTGGCGGGGCCCGATGAGTATGTACCGACCGACACCTGGTCAAGCAGACTCATATTAGAATAGCGAGTTTACGAGAGGCGGAGACGGGCACCGTGCAGCTTAGAACAGCTTAGAAAGCTCTTCCCGGAGCCCAGGGTTGATGGTTGTCCACCACCCATGCAGCCTCACAGCTCACAAGCAAAAACTCGAGAGCCAAGAAGCAGAAGCAGAAGCCTTGAGGCCTTCCGACTTGGCTGCAGGCGACCGGGCCCTGGTCGGAGCGGGAGGCATGGGCGTCCGAGTGGGAGGGAGGATGCAGCGCCTCGTGGCCCCGGACGGCCGCGTTGGATGAGACCCTAGCGCCATGTATACGGGGACCCAAGATCCATGGCAGAACAACGCCCGCCCGCTTTGGCCGCCCAGGTTGCCTTCTCCCTGGAGCCCCCCAACTCGATCCACCGCGGCCGAAGAGAGAGACAGAGAGAGAGAGGTTGGGCGAAGATGCGTGTGACGGGACGAAATGAAGCTCGGATCATGGATCGTGTTCGGCTGGAGAAGCCGTCCGGAGCCCTGTTGTGGGTCGTGAGCCGTGAGCCGTGAGCCCCGCGGTCAGGGTTTCAAGTGAATGAATGAATCAATTGCGCCCGTTCATAATTACTTTTCGTCTTTCGCCTGTGACGGCCGAGTGAGGTCAGGGCCGTCGGAGCTTGTCGCCTGTTCTTTTTCCGTCCTCTCTCTTTCCCCCATCCACTGTTCTCCCCTCCTCTGTTTTCGCCATGTGGTTTATGCATCGCCGGTGTGTGGGTGGCGTCTGTGGGCGTGTGTCCCGACCAGTCCTCCGCCTGTGCCATGCACGCACGCGTGTGTTGGCGTTTCCTCGCGCGCTGAGTAAGAAGTGCGAGGATGAAGCATGCAGTCGACGATGGGTACAGTACAAGTCGCAGCAGGGCAATTCTCGGTACGCCGAATAGATGGGCCTTTGGGCTTTGGGTGGGAACAGGCGCGCTACTTTCTCACGCCCAGACACCGAACAGCTGGCGCAGCAGACTCCATTTTGTTCGGAAGAGCGCTGGGCCGGACGGCGTATCATCCTGCCGGTTATATTTTACTGCTTATCGAGGCTATTTGATTCCAGTTATGGTGCTGAGCCCGTGCTAATCAAGACTTTGCTCAGCTATTTGCATCCTTCCATCCTCGCTGGGGCCTGGGTTGTGTAAACCCAGCTTCCGCTCTGGGATGCTCACCTTCCATGTTGGTCGTCTCCCCGCCGTGGCCTTTGCATCGCCAAACAAGCGAAAAGAAGCGACGGACCCAAGACTGCCGTGCCGCGGAGGTCCCTCTTTTAGCCCCAGGCCAAGACACCTCAGCATCTCGATGGGCTCTTCCTTCTGGTGCTTTGCCTTGCGGCGCGGATCGGGGATAACGATTGGCAGCAGGGATCGTGATTCGTGATTTGACCGCCCGAGTCTTGGCCTTGATGGGCCAGACTCTGGCTCTCTCCTACAATGTAGGTACGGACGGACTTGTGCTCTGCGCTGCAGCAATGCTCCCTTTGCACAAATCAGACGGAAACGAAATGGCGGCGGCCGGGGGGCGGACGCAAACATGTTCCGATTTCACCTCCTCTTGACCGGGCTGGCCCCAAAAACCAGGATCATGTCTCTTGTGCTGGGCGACTCGGAACGTTGCGGCCAGGATCACGGCTCCCCACAAGGCAGAGGGTCCCCGGGAGGGGGATCTAACTTCTAAGCGGAGGGAAACAGGGGGACAAGAGACGAATAGAGGAAAAAAGGTCTGAGCGGACGGGAAGACAGGGGGGATTCGTCCACGCGAGCTTCTGGAGAGGGGGCATCTCACCGTGGTATCTGTCGCAAAAGATTCAAGTGAGCGGTGATGCGTAACATCGATATTGGCGGTTGTTTCGCGACTGCACGAAACCTGGTTGAAAGGCACGCCGTCACCACGCCACTTGGGCCTCACTCCGGAAAAGCAAAACATGGCCACAGAGAGTCAAGCTTCATCTCCCCGTTCCCGTTCTCCGCGTGGCTGCATGGTCTTTCGGGAGATTAATTGCGCAGCTATGCATCTTGCATGTAGAAGACAGACGCGAGGGAAAACAGCACACACACGCATACACGCACCCGGTGAGCAGACGGTTGGAAGAGGAGGGTGGGCGCGCCTACAGACGCGGAGTAGACGCAACGGTGGTTGGACAGCCACACCACCGTTGTCTCCTCCCTAGCCCCTCGTTGACTCTCGAGTGGACGGGGGCTCTTCGACGGCGCGGCGTGGGCGCTGGGGTTGACGGCTTGAGGACGGATAGGACGGCGTTTCTAAAATTGGGGCGGTAACGGGTGCGCGCTGGCAGCATACAGACGCTGAGTTGCAAGTACACGGTAAGTAAACGGTGAGTAATCGGTTGGCAACTTGACATTGGCGATGGGTTCAGTGTTTGTGATGGTTGGATCAGGGAGGTAGCAAGAAACTAAGTTCTCTACGGTAGCAATGGCGAGCGTCACCAAACCGGTGAGGCTTCTTCCAACCCTCCTTTTTAGCTCAAGCAATGATACCCCCAGAGTCGCACCTTTTGTTTGCATGCGACGGTTCCCTGTGAAGGTCGCACCGCGTCCGTTGCACTACGCCAACCTTCTTCAAGAGGATTCACGGAGTACGACCCGAGTCAATAGTCGCAAGCTGTGCCACTCGACGATGCAGAAACTCCACTCATGTGCAAGCTCGGCGAGAGTCAGTCAGTCAGCCTCTCTCGGGTGTTGTTGGTTGTCCCCGACAGAGTGCGCCTTGCTGCCGGGAGCGATAGGCCCGTTGGTCCAGGGACTGAAGGCCGCTGCGATCAAGGCCGCCGCGATCCCGGCCTCTTGGGTTGGCAGCTGCGGATTGATCAAGGCGGTGCTGCTTCTGCATGGCCGTTGACATGGCCGTTGACCTCGCCGTCTGGCCTCGCTTCTGCATGTCTCGAAGGGGGGTTCCGCGCTATTGGGACCAGCTGAAACTCCGACAGCCAGTCCCAGGTGCGTGGTTACATGGTTTCTAGTCTCAGATCCAGGAGGATCACAGTCGATCTCTTGCGGCGCAGACGACGCACAGTAGGATGTGTTTGATCATCAGGAGTTGCCCCTCTAGCGTGGGCGGCCGTGCTCACGTTGGACGATATCCAAGGTAGTTAGCAGCACGCATCCAGTGCAACGTTGGCAGAGCAGACGAAGAAGAAGCAAGAAAACGGGATGAAACCGACTAAACACCCGTAAAGCTGCCAATTAATTGCCTTTGTTTCCGTCCGCGTTCCAGGCGATCCTCTGCTTCAGCCCTGGTTGCGTTGGTTGAGTGGAGGCGACCAGTCCGAAAACCCGGCCCCACTCACCACAGCTCGGGCGGCCAAACGTCAAGCGCGAGCAGACAACGGGGGCAGCTTTCACGACTCTCCCTCCGCCTCCGCCGCTCCGTCAACGGAACTTCGAGACGCCTCCTCCCAACGGCCGCCTATCATGTCGCGCCGCACGGCCAAGGGCGAGTACATCGAGACCGTGAGTCGCGCCGCCCCATGCCTCGCTGCTCCCCCGCAAACTGACGCCCCCTGGCTGGTCGTAGGACACCGGTAACAAGGTCGCCCGCAAGGCCGTCCTCGTCGGCACGCAGAACATCATGCTCGGCGGCAAGACGGTCATCCAGCCCGAAGTCATGATCCGCGGCGACCTCGCCCGCACCGCACCGTCGTCCTCCTCCTCCTCCGGCGCCGCCCCCGTCAACACGACCGCCGTCGCCATCGGCCGCTACTGCTTCCTCGCCCGCGGTGCGCTGCTCCGCCCGCCGGGCCGCATCTACAAGGGCGCCTACACATTCATGCCGCTGCGCATGGGCGACCACGTCTTCGTCGGCCAGGGCACCGTGGTGCAGGCCGCGAGCGTCGGCAACCACGTGCACATCGGCAAGGGGTGCACCGTGGGCGAGTTCGCCATCATCAAGGACTACGTCAAGATCCTGGACGGGACCGTGGTGCCGCCCACCATGGTGATACCCAGCTTCTCCATCGTCGCGGGACAGCCGGCCAAGGTGGTGGGCGAGATACCCGAGGGCGGACACGACGAGTTTGAGCTGAGGGATCTGTACAAGACGGTCGGCAACAATCCTCAGCCGCCGGCTTCATGAAGAGCAATACCAGCTGGCTGGATAAGCGGAGAAATTGTCGACCTTACTAGCACCCACCGCCCTCCCAGTTTCATGTTGGAAACGCGGTTGGAGAAACAGCCTAGAACATGTTGCGTTGACAGATAAAGATTGTCACAGAACCGTCACGCGACGACTGCTGGAAAGGACCAGGCCGTTTCTATCTGCCAACTTCTTGCTGGAATAGGCGGCAACCAGTCTCATAAAATGATGACCTGTGGCTGATGGACGAGAGCTGCTGCAAGAAGCAAGACTCACTCAGGAGACATTAAAAATGTAGAGGTTGGCATAGAATGTGTGACCCGGTCGACAGAAGTTACAGAGTTTTCAAGCGCTAGACTTGCAGTTTTAAATGATACCCTTTGATTCATCCTTGCATCATCCTTTACCCAACTTCCTCGATTCGAATTGCTGCCTGGTGCCAACTGACTCAACCTCGATCAAGGAAGCTGATGCCTCATTGTCGAGGTTCTTCAAACGAGCATCAAACAACAGTTGCATGTTTCCAACAACAGGAAACTACTACAACGAGTCGGCGTCCCTTTGTCCCATTGTACATCACGTTCAATGAGCTTGTTGAGGTGAACGGAACTCTCCGAGGGAAGACAAATTCCCCTGCTCAATCTTAAGATTCCTTGGTCTTCCTCCCTCATGCACTGTCATTCGTTTCCGTTCATATCACGTCGGTGGGCTTCACATGCCACCCAAAGTCCCCTAGGGAGCTCACAGCTGATCCTCGATACACCATGCAACTCCCTACGAGGTTGGTCACCTGTCCGCCGCCATGGTGCCCAGACGAATATTCAGATGCACCAACCTCCTACAGTCCTGAGCCCTTTCAGCTTCGTTTTCACCACGTCCGCAGTCGAGACACATCCCTCTGGGACGCTCTCCACAACATAGCCGAACTCAACGACCGCGGCGTGCAGGACCGCATCCTGCCCATCTGCCGCGAGATCTACACTGCGTATCATAGCGAGGCAGGTGACGAGCAGTTTTACGGTGTGCCTGTGAAGCTGCTTCGGAAGTTTGGCGAGATATCTCTGCGCGTTCTTCATCGGGTCTGGGATCTTCATCTTGCGTACACAACTACTCCACATGTCCCTGGCCATGAACCTGGCTACGGCCCTGGCCTCTTCTCCGACAACTTCTACGCTACTATGCGTGATGTTGTCTTGAAGCGCCTCCACACTCGCCTCTGTCGTGCGCAGCTGGAAAGGGCCCTCGCGGCATAGCACGCCGAAGACTTCCAGGCCGCGCAGCCCACGCCCCTGCCCTTCATGACGGACGTCCTGGCACAAGACCTTAACGACCGCCGGGCCCGCGCTGCCAAAGAGCATCAGGTCCTCAAAGCACTGTACGAAGAGGTCGGCCAGCCGCACCCGGAACAGATGCCAGCGCACAAAAGCGCTGCCCTTGGAGAATCCTGCGCGTTGGCCATCCGCCGGTGCAAAGAGACGACGCGGAAATTCCACGACTTGTACTGGGAGGATGGCATGGGGGAGGGGAACCGCGACAGACAGGCGTTTGTGCTGTGGCATGTCGCTGCGAGGGCAGCCGAGGTAGGGATGGGATGGGAGCCGAGGAGGGAGGCATCTTTGGAGAGTGCGTTGGCTACGTATTGTGACGATATCTTGGAGGCGAGGGAACGAGTGGGACAGCGCACAGCGGATTATGAAGGACTAGGGCTTTGGTGAGAGATGTCTTAAGAGTCGCAAGCCAGGATGCTGGGACAACCAAGGGCGTATCGAACACATTTCAGTTGCCCTTTGCAAGTAAGAAATCAAGAACCAACACAAATCCCATTCCACCCATCATCATCTCCCGTAATAAACCTCGAAATCCATACACTCCGACTCCCGAACCATCCCCGTCCCCGGCATGGCGGATAACATCGCCCTACCAAGCACCCATCAGAGTCCGCGGCTGAAGCCACAACCGCATAGCCGACAACTCGGTCAGTCCGATGCCCTCTCTAATTCTCGGCCCAGGGTGTGCCTCCAAGCCTTCAGCCCGTCCTGAGCCGGCCATCGGCCCCAGAGCTCTAACCCTTCCACCCCACAGCGGTGTCACTTCTCCGCAATATGTGGGCCAGCGTAGCTCCAGAGCACACGACACATATCGGCCTGTGAGGGCACTCGGCACATTGGCATTGACCCCATTGACAGACGGTCGGGTCCTTTATGCAAAGAAATGACTGTTCAAGGTTGAGTCACCACCGTTCGTCATTGTCGAGGAGACGAGGGGCAAGGAGCAACGCAGTCAAAGACGGCACACGGCATGGTTGAGGATATCAGGAACTCGTTTGTACTCTTCATCTTGATTGAATAACTCTCTAATTGGTAACTCTATCAAAAAAGCCCGTTCTAGGCATATGGGCCTGGGAACAGATTCCCCAAGGAAGGCCCAGGTTGCTTGTAGACTGTCTAATAGACCGGGGGTATAAAACCGAACAACTCCTCGAAACGAAATGAACAGAAACAATGGAGGTTTTCATCAACCAAACAGGCCGGAAGCCTCTTCTCTCCTCGTAATCCCCGTCTTTTAAGTTTTGGACCTCTAAACGCCGTACCGATGTAAATGCTCAAATGCAAGGCTCTTCCCGCTGCCCTTCTCGCTGCCCTTCTTTTTCGTCCAATGTACAAAAATTCATCTGTGTCGTCGTGCGTCGTTTTGTGTAGTTGTTGCAACTGTCATAGTGGAGATGGGTCGTGTGTGCAAAAGTCCGCCGGGCGCGGCCAAGATGCGAGGCGGCCATTGGGGAGGGTGTTGTGGTTCGTGAGGGCGTGATTGTGGTCAGGACTGGATCAGGAAACACTTCACATCACCATCTGTTGCTGGCGCTCCTTCTCCTCGGCAAAGACCTTGCGGCTCATCTCAAGAACACGCTCAAAACCCTCACGGCCCTTAACAGCGTTCTCCTTAAACTTGTGCACGAGACTGTCCTCGATGCTGTTCTTAATTCGCTGCCAGCCACCACAGAGAGCGGTAATGTTTGCCGTCTGCTTGAACTGGGTCTGGTGGTCACCGAGGGGTTGGTAGATGACCTCCTCCTGGATGTTGACGAGGTTGTTGTACGTCAGGTTCTGGCTGACCATGGTAATGGTCTTGTTTTCCGGGTCGACATAGCTGGCCTCATAGACGTGTTGGTTCTCAAAGTTGGTGCCCATAATTGTCTTGATCCAGTCAGGGCAAGACTGCTTGCAGGTGATGAGGCGCTCAGTGCGCAGGATACCAGTCTTGGGGTCGACCTCGCGGGAGATGGTGTCGACGGCGATGACGTGCTCCGACTTGTTGTTCCACGGGCCGTACTTGCGCCAGTTGGCGGTCGAGACCTCGTCCCACGAGTAGTCGAAGGTGACGGTGTTGGAGAAGACCTTCATGATGGTGGTCGGCGAGGATTCGTAGGATTCGTCGGGTAGAGGAGGAGTTGTAGGTTTGTAGGAGGCGGAGATGGTGGAAGGGGGAGAAGTCGAATGGCGGTGGTGATGGCCGGGAGAGAAGGAAGCTCTCCGAGGTAAGACAGACTTTTTTTTGTCCTTTGGTAGGTACAGGCAAAGACAAACGTAACCGAGCCGTTTGCTTTGTGAGGATAGTCTGAATCAGCGACAGGGAAGAACAAAGAAACCCGCCTATGAACAAATGCCCCGAACAGACGAAAACGACGACGACGATGACGATCGACAGCAAGTGAGAGTGCGGTGCGTGCGGCTTTTGTCTGGGGAGCGCGTCGATAAATTTGTTCGCCGCATGTGAAGAAAGTCGCTATCTCCGGTGGCCCCTTCGGAACCCATCGGCTACCTGGCCCGAGCGCGTGCACAGGCCAGCTAGTCCTGTTCAGGCGGTACCCTAGCCCCATGCGGCATGGCGCGTGCGACATCGCGAGAAAGCCCCGGAATTTGCAGGTTTTTTGCGGCGCGCCCATTGGCTCGGCCAGCAGGATCCCTCTTCAGCAGGAGCGGCGTCCCCCCCGGATGTTCGCCCCCCGGGGACTAAGCCACAGGGTGGCGGGTGACGCAGGAAGAAGCCGGAGCAAGCGAGCGATGCCGTGAGAACTGGGAATTGATGATCCATCAACCAACATTGGTCCACGGCATCAATCCCGATCGTCCAGCGGAGGCGATCGGCCTTCGATTGACCAGCTGAGTCCCTTGATCGGCAGTCCGGGGTTTGCACTGGAACGCGGCAGAACCGGTTGCACTCAACAATCCCCGTGCATGGCCAGCCACAACGTTCGCGATCGATCAAGCATCTTGCAGACGAATGAGCAGATGCGGTTGTGTCAAGGTCCGGTTGCAGTTGGCACTCTCCTGCATGGCCAGTGGCTGGGGTAAATGCAACCTTTGCCGTGGATGAACGAATGAGTGAGCAAAGGGTGTGACGGCGATGCCGGACGGGACACTCTTTTCATACGCGCACGACTAGGTGGATGATGAATCATTCCCGGCCCGCCATTCTCAATCTACCAATGACTGACCTCATTATACGCCGTATGCCTCATCATTGAAATTGACTGGTGTCGGCATGCGACACCACAACGATAAATTCATTGATTCGATCTGGAGCTACCCTATATAAGGAAGAGGAGAGTCGTATTTCAGAATCCTTCTCGCAAATAACTACCGAGTACTTTTCACTTATACGGTTTAGTAGTCATCTCCACGGCTGATGACCTCTTTCACGGTGGGTCGGATCAGGATGGTCTAGGAGCACATGTGTTAGCTATCCGGAGTTGCGTCAGCGGCGGTATCGAGTTCAACTTACATGCTCAAACTGAGCAGTGTACGAGCCCGTCTTGTCACACAGGGGCGGGTACGCCTCGACAATGCCGTTGTTGACCAGGCTGTTAAGCTGTGATTAAGTTAGCACCTGCAGCGAACCTCAACGGAATTGACCATAGCTCAACATACCCCGAGCAGATACTTGTCCTGGCCGAGACGGTCTAGGTATCGGCGACAGAACGGCAAGGTTCCGAAGTTCTTGTTAATCACGTTGAGCAGCGACTTGGCCGAGCTCAGGCGCAGATCAATGTGCTGCGAGTCTCCTCGCTTCGCATAATGCGACGTCTCCATGTCGTCCCGGACGTATCCGTTACCGGTGCTGCCGAAAGTCTCAATGGCAAAGACGTCTCCCTCCTCCATCTTGGTCTGGTCGTTGCTCTTGACGATAGGCACCGCCTTGGTTCCGTGGATGCTGTAGGGCAGGATGTTGTGGCCAGTCAGGTTGCGGATGCTCTTGACGGGGTAAGTGGTGCCGTCAATCTCCACCTCGAAGCTCTCCATAGTCTCCTGGATGACGCCGCCAATCTCGCCGACACGAGCGTCGATGCCTGCCTCGCGGATACCGGCGTTGGTGGCCTCCTTGACGGCCAGGAGCAGGTTGTCGTACTTGGGCTCAAAAGACATAGTAAAGGCCGAGTCGACGATGCGACCGTTGACGTGGACACCGAAATCCACCTTCATGACGTCCTCCTGCTTCAGGACCATCTTGTTGCCGGCGTTGGGGGTGTAGTGGGCGGCGCAATGGTTCAGACTGAGACCGGTAGGGAAACCCATGCCGGCGATTTGGGCGTCGCCATCGGTCAGACCCTGGTGGCCAGTCAGGGCGCGGACGCTGTCCTCGATACCATTGGCAATATCGGTGAGAGTCTGTCCGGGCTTGATGGTCTTCTGCGCCCATTGGCGGACCTGGCGATGGACCTCGGCGGCCTCGCGGTAGTCGGTCAGGAACTCGCTGTTGAGGTTGTCGAGGTGGCGCTTCTCCTCGTTGGTGGTGCGGTAGTTGTTGTCGTCCTTGTACTCGACCTCCTCGCCCTTGGGGTACGTCTTGTTGGGGAACAGCTGGCTGATCATGACGCGGGGCGGGTCTGTTTGGCTGGTGGGGTTCTTCTTCTTCCTGGGCTTTCTCTTCTTCTTCTTCTTGGCGGCGGTGGACGCACCAGCTCCGTTGGCGGCGGCCCCGTCGGCCTCGTCTTCGGAGTCATCGCCGTGGTCGTCGCCGGCGGGAGTCGTCTTGGACTGGGCGGCCGCGCCGGGGTTCTGGGAGGCGTCGGCCGCTGCGGGGGATCATGGTTAGCATCTAACCCGAGCGTCTAGCGCCGTGGACGAGGCGGGAGGGGACGGGGCTGTACCGTTGAGCTCCTTGGGAGCGTCGCTGGGGATCTGAGCTGCCATGTTGGCGGACCTGCGCGAGTGTTGGAGGAGCAAGACTGCTGTCGAGCAAGAAAAGAATTCGGTGCGCGGGTTGTGCCAGGCGGGATGGATGGGTGGGATTGATTACCCCACCAGGCGATTTGTCGGCCGTGGACAGAATTCGGCCGTCGCCATCCCGGCCATTGTAACGTAGGGGTTGTTTTTGTCCATTCCGTCATGCCGTAGCCCCACAGCAGATTTTTGCCATGATGAAGTGGGTAGCACATCGCACGGTTTAATTATTGCCGTTGGTCGCCTTGTGGGGTACCGTCCAGCGCATCATGGTGGTGTTTACTGATTCGGGACCAACGGGATGGTGACGGAAGTGGCAGCATGCTCACGCCGTTGTATCACCATCCCCCTTTTCAATTCATGTAGCCTTGTGTTTTCCACAGTGTGGATGGATAATAGTGTCTATTCTGGGTGGTGATGGTTATTACCTATTCAAGCCCCGATGGAGACATGGCACTCCTCCACGTCTTGGCTCCCGCCTCCCCAAATTCAAGAGCTCCACCGTGAAACCGCAGAGGAAACAGACTTGCCTTGTCACTTTGGTATCAGTATCCACAGCCGGGAACATTGCCACATCTAACCAAGTACTATGTAAAACGTGGGAATATTCCTACTTTCGTATTTGCTCTGGCTAGACCCGAGACCATTGCCCCCCTCCACCCACATCTTGGACCCTGTAATGCGCATGACGCACGAGACCCCGACACCATCAACTCTTAATTAGCGGCCGCACGCAGTGGAGGATGTCCCGTGCCTGTCCCTCTGGGGCGGGTGTTACAGCGCCCTGCGCCACCCGCCGGCCGCTGACGGGTTGGCGCTGGGTCGCTGATGACAAGGACTTTGGGGGACCGTCTCAGCCAACCGCGGCCAACATCAGTCGCAAGGCTCGCTGCTGATCAGTGCTCACCATGTCCCCCGGTCCGTTTAGATCCTGCTTCACAACCTGTCACGCATTAATGATACCTCCCCGAAGCGAGCCCACGTCAAGATCATGATCCTCCATATCCAGGCAGGCCGGTGCAACTGATGCGCCTCGCCCGGACGACTCTCACGACTCCAGACCGCGTGTCATGCGCCTCCTCAACGCCAGGACGCTCCGCCTCGAGTCTTTCGTCGGTCAGGCCCCGCGATACGCAATCTTGTCGCACCGGTGGGGCGACGCCGAGCTGCTCTTCCAAGATGCCGTCCATGATGGTTGGCAGCACCGCATCTCGTCCCCGGCCGCGACCAAGGTGAAGAGCGCCTGCGCCCGCGCCGTTGTCGACCATCTCGACTACATCTGGATCGACACCTGCTGCATCGACAAGGGCAGCAGCGCCGAGCTGTCGGAGGCCATCAACTCCATGTTTCTGTGGTATCACGAGGCTGTCGTGTGCTATGCCTATCTCGCCGACGTAGACAAGGACGATAGGTACGGCTTCGCCCTCAGCCAATGGTTCAAGCGTGGCTGGACTCTCCAGGAGCTCATCGCCCCCGAGGTGGTGGCCTTTTACGACTGCAATTGGACATACATAGGCGATAGGAACGCCATGGCCCGCACCATCTCGGAAATCACCAGCATCCATGAGCCAGTCCTAGCTCGGAAGCAGCCCGTTGCATCCAACGCCCACGACCTCATACAATGGCAGCGCCACCACCACCGAGACTACCGCCTACGGTCCATCCTTAGCTCCTACAGCGTGGCGGCCCGCCTATCCTGGGCAGTGGGCAGAGAGACCTCACGGGAAGAGGATACAGCGTACAGCCTCCTAGGACTCTTCGACGTCAACATGCCTCTCTTGTATGGGGAGGGTGATAAGGCCTTCCAACGCCTGCTCCACGAAATTATACGGTATACCGGAGACCCGTCCGTTCTGGTCTCCTGGGGTGCCGGCGCCCCGTTGCGCCAGAATCCCTCTCACTATGAGTACAGCGGGAGTGTAAGATGGCTAGAAGCACAAGGGTCAGCATCTTCGAGGGTCTCGGTCACAAACCCCCGAACTCTCGCCATCGAGGCCCTGAACTGTCCCTGTGTCGTGTATGCTGCAGGAGACATCGTCGTCAAGGGCCACTTTGTCGTTGCAATAGTCGATTGCATCTTCGATGGTAGCCAATCAAGGATTGGTATAATTCTACGAAGACGGGGGATAGGCAAGGTCTTTGAGCAATATCAGGAATTGCCATTCGTCCAGCTAGAGCCTCACCCACAGGGCAAAGTCATTGGCTCCATGTCCAGTTTAACCATCACAAAAGGTAAGTCAATGGGTGCGGGCAATTGCGCCAAACTTCCGCTGACACATTTCGCACAGTCTCGTTCAAAGAGGGGGATGCACAGTTTGGACGTTTGCAGGTTGCATTGACAGAGACGTATCCAGCAGCACGCGGGAACCCTAAACTCTTCGTCACCCCACTAGTTCAGCCACCGACTCTTCACTACACCCTCGGTACCTCGGAGCTAGTTTCCGACGACTTACACATTGTAGACAGTGATGTCGGGGTATTCGTGGTGGAAAACGAAATGTCGCGGGGCTTCTTTCTCATCTGGGGCTATGGCCACCTGGACGAAGACGCCGGGATGGAGCTAGAAAGCAAGGCTGAAGGCGTGAAACATATCAAGCCATGGTGTCGAGTCCTCCCCTGGAAGGGGGCTATGCCCGGGGCTTCGCGGACTGAGGTGCATCTGCAAGGGGAGCCAGACATCTTCGTGCTGGATCGCGATCCCGTGGAACTTTTCTCGGCGCGGGAGACGTTTGTGGAGATGATGAATCGGTTCCGGACCAAACGCAGCGACGGACGACTGGTAGACCTGGGAGACGTTGTGGTCAGGGCGACGTTCCGGCCCAATACATTCCTCGGCTACACGCAGTACAGCCTCGTGGTCGAGATTGAGCCGGCACGCGCACAGGGCCGAGAGCCAGTGAGAGTGCCGATGGGATATCCGTGGAAGAGGAAGAGGGCCTGGTGGGAACGCTTCAGCCCGCCACTGTTGATGATTTCGGCCAAGAAGAAGGCCACTCAGTGGTGTTAGTCGGCATGGTGCAGATTAGCTGGACTGAACCGAGCGTCCGACAGCCTCGCAATGGTGTGGCTCAGCACAAGACGCTTGGTTGAGCTCGCCGGCTGAAAAAGTAATACCTAACTGTTAATTATAGCATACGAGACGAGGATACCCGGTCGGCTTTTGGTTACAAGTGGGATGGATTTAGTTGGAAAGTAAATCGCTGTAGCGTATGAGTGGTAGACGCAAGAAGCATAAGCCTGTTGCCGCAGTTCGGGAGAGCGCCTGGGTTAGGTTAGTGTCAGCATACGTCCTTCGAAGATGGCATAAGTTACTTGGTACATTGGTTTAGATTCAAGCTAATATCATCTTGTCCCACGGACTCACCGGTACTTGGGACATTTGGTTTGTACATGTCAAAGCGGTCCAGCCAGGGGACAGCGGAAGTTCAGGCGCCCGAACAGGGCCCCCGCCATCGATGACCTCACACAACCGCTAAGGGGAGACGGCGTCATGGCGAGCATGGCGGACCAAGAAAACCGCCGGCGCAACTGCAGGACGAAACCAGTTGTTTCACATTGCCAAGGATTTTTGCTTCTTTTTTCCCGTGTGAAGACCGCAACATCGTCAACTCACAGAGTCGACGTGCCCAAGCCACCAGTCGCCCTCATGATTGCGTGGCGTGGTGCGGACTCGTCGGGGCCCAGGCCAGGTCTCCACCGCATCATCCAGCGTGGGCCGCCCGTATTTCTAGCTTTCCCCAGCTAATTCCCAGCGCAGCCAAGCCCCGGCTAGCGTCCGCCACCCTGTTTCTCGGGCCGCCGTTGGAGGCGCTCCAGCGCTGGACTCCCGGCCATGGCGCTTAATAAATGCACCTGTCCTCTGCACTCCGCTGCACGCAAAACTCGCCCTCGATACGACCGCCCGAACAACACTCTGCAGCACGAAGCAGATCGCATTCGCAGTCCATCATGGGAGATCCTACGTTTGAGGATCCGGCCCCGCGGCCAGAGGTCTCGCCGAATCCCGGAGCGACGGAGCAAGCCCCTCCGCTGCCGGCCAGACCCCCGCCGCCGTATGTCTTCGACGCCGCCGAGGACGTGAACCACAACCGCAGTCACAACCAGAGCGACAATGACAGCGATGGCCACAGGAAACGGGACACATCACCGAGCCCGCAACTACAGCCTCAGCCCGCCTCCTTCTCAATTCCCCGCAAAGCCGTGGCCTCTGGCTCCCGGACGCCGTCGCTGACGCTCGAGATCAACACGTCGCAACCCGAGGACTTCGAGGGCGAGCTGGCCACCAACCACGACCTGCCGTCCCGCGACACCCTCCGCAAGATTGGAAACTACATTGTGCTGGACCGCGACAGCAAGACGCACCCCTTCAAGAGCCTCTTCACCGGCAGCAACGTCGCCCGCCGCGTCCTCGTCATCTTTGTCCGCCATTTCTTCTGTGGCGTAAGTTGAAACCGCTCCGCCCCGTGCTGCGTGGTCCCCGCGAGACTGACCATGATGGGCTTTTGCAGAACTGCCAGGAATTCCTCCGCTCGCTTTCCGAGGCAATCACCCCCGATGCCCTCCTCCGACTCCCCGTCAGCACCTTCATCGCCGTCATCGGGTGCGGCGACCCGGCCCTGATCGACATGTACGTCTCCGAGACGAACTGCCCGTTCCCCGTCTACACGGACCCTACCCGCTCCCTCTTCCAGGCCCTCGGCATGACCAACACGCTCGCCCTGGGCACCAAGCCCGCCTACATGCGCAAGAGCATGACCCGCAGCATCATGGACAGCGTCGTTCAGGGCATCAAGCAGATCCCCGCCGGCTACGCCCTCAAGTCCGGCGACCAGCGCCAGGTCGGCGGCGAGTTCCTCTTCGAGCCGCGGGACCTCGTCACGCCTGTGACGACGCCCCGCGCGGAGAAGACGCAACCCGTCGGGGCGTTCGAGGAGCCGTCGGACAAGTGGGCGAAGAACGGCAAGGGTGCTGATCACCGCGAAGACGAGGAGAAGACGGTGACCTGGTGCCACCGCATGAAGACGACGCGGGATCACGCCGAGATCTCCGAAATCATCGAGGTGCTCGGTCTCCCGGCAGCCCGGGTCCCAGCCCAGGTCCAGCAACAGGGCTCTGGCGGCGCGCCGTCGTCGGCGACGTCACAAACGAGAAAGGGAAGAGGCCACAGCATGGCGGAGCAGATCCGCAAGCTCAGCGCCGAACAGAGTCGATCTGCGCCGGCGTAAGTCGATTCCACCCAAGGTGTATGTTTTCGGTCACAGCGTTGGAGTAGGGATCGATTTTCGGCTTTTTCAAAGTATAAAGTATCTATGCATCAGCTCGCCGGTGTTCCCAGGGCCTGGCTTTACAAATATTGGAATCCATAGATGTATAGAGGTGATATCCCCAAAATGATCAACAAGGAAGTTGTCTTTTTCACACGTCTACTCGTGCACCCAGCCTCCGTCCTCGCGACTGTAAACCACCTCGTCGATTTTGAGCCGGTTCTTGAGGATCTCGTCTCCATTCGGCAAGTCGTTCTCCACCGCCCTGCGATCGCCCTCCTCGATGTCCTTCACGATGCCCGCCCTGACATGGCGTTCCCGCAGTCTCCGCCTCGCCACCTCGTAGTCCACCTCGACAAACCACAGCTCATCCAGCAGCGCCGCGGCGTCGCGCCACACGTCGCCATCCAGCGCGACGTAGTTGCCCTCGAGCACGACGATGCGGTGCTGCGGCAGGACCGCAATGTCGTCGTCCTTGGGATCCTTGACGGCGTGGTCGAACGACGGCGCGAGGACGGGCGCCTCCGGGATCGGGGCGGCGCGCAGGGCGCTCACGAGGGCGAGGAACTTGGGCGCGTCGAAGGTGAAGGCGGCGCCGCGGCGGGCGTGGGCGACGGCCGGGTCGGGCATGGCGGAGAGCGCGGCGCGGGTGAGGTGGAAGCCGTCCATGGGCACGAATGTTGCTGGCGGGGCGGTTGGCGGGCTTGTGGAGGCGGCGTGGGCGTTGAGGCGGCTGGTGATGATTTGCGAGAGCGTCGTCTTGCCTGTCATGGCAGGTGAGCGAGTTGCATCATGAGTCATGGGGTTGATGAACGGTACCTGAACCAGGGATTCCGGCCACTCCAATCACTGATAAGAGTCAGTAAACATTCCCTATCCATATCCTATTAGACCATCTTTCCCAATGCCTCCCTCAGCGCCGAGATCCATCTCATAGCTATCATGACGCGCTGGGGCCCAACTCCAAACCTGACGGGGGCCGCATCGACTTACACAGCCGCCGATCCTGCGGCGTCTCCTGATAGCGCCTCCAGGCCTTTTCGACGAGCTTCTTGACCTGGTCTTCCATTCTGCGTCCTCAATCCGTATTCGAGCCGCCGTCACAAGCGAAGTTGTCACGTCCAGACGGAGTTGCGAGATGCCCCGCGTTGGCTGGACCCCACGTCGCTGCGACAGGGTCCCCCCACTTCCGAGATATCCCTGCATCGGTGATGTCAGTCGATCCCACTGGAGTGCAACTATGGGGTTGAGAGTGGTCCATTTTGCAGGAGAATATGACATCGAGCATCCAATAGCATTACCATCCAGGCGCTAAGGTCTGGTACTACTACGTATTGTTTGAGAATTTATGCTCTGGTCTTGCGACCATGTCCCTCAACGTGTTGGTCGTGGCAGCCTACGGAGTTCTGAACTGACTGTGTCTCATGCTCAGTAGCTCGTCCATGTCTAAGGTTGAGTCGGGTCTTCCAAAACTCTATTAATTCCACGATTTATATTTCCAAGGCATTTTTTCCCCGAAGTGACACTTTAGTATCCTCGAAGTCAGTGGTGATACAAGTGCAGCCGAGTCACAACCACCACACCACTAAACCGCGGTGGGGCCGCCATTCTCACGTTTTCGCAAATTCCTCAAACCCAGTCATCCCTCCACTACCACACCACTCGCCGAGGCCGCAATCTCCCGACCATGGACGACGAAGAAAACGGCCTCTTCAACATCCAAGTCTCGGACGCCTCCGACGATGAGGAGCGAGAGGCCAAGGAAGCCCGCCGTACTGGTCAGTCTGAGGACGCTTGGAGGGCCGTCCAGCGCGACTACCAAGCCAAGGTTGAGAATGGGGATGTGAGTCTTGAACACAGTCCTGTATATCTAGTCTATATCAGCGATGTCTAATCTTAAATAGATCCATGAGACGGTCAAGCTGCCTATCGGCCCTGACGCCTCAAAGCAGCACCTCCAGGAGGTGATCCACGCCATCGAGGAGTTGTACTTTTTCCGCCATTATGAGCATGCCATCGGATTCATAAGCGACGTGCTTTCTGGCAGCAAAATCCTCGATGCCGATACCCAGCAGCTACTAGCCACTTATCAAGATAAGTGTCAAAAGAAACTCAAAGCTCAAGGGTGGATGTGAGAGGATGGACCGACCACATGAATTTCTGAAGATGGAATGAGGCATCACACATAGACAACATGATTCTGCGAAATGACTTGTGTTTGACTACATCTGGTACTACTTGGCCGATCTTTGAGGGCTATCGACCCGGGGTTCTTAGAAAGAACCACAGTCTAGCTATCGTCAACCAAGGCGTTCTTCCTCTCATCCCTTCGCCAAGTATCTCAATCTCCAAAGGTACACGTGGGCATGTGTCGTGTAGATAGAAAACTCAGTTACACATCAATATCACCCGTGGGTTGAACTCCCTCACCGGGACAACCTCTGGTCGCGCCGTACGATCGACTACGTCAACTGAAGAGAAGCCATTGCCTAGCGGGAGCCACTGAAACCAGCGAAACTTCCTCGGAACTGGGCCGGCTTGGTCGCAAAGCGGGACTCGCTCAGCCCCTGAAGGCATGTGCCAGTGCTGCTTCCCGAACCGGTACGTCGTCCACCGCCAACTGACGCAGCATAGGCGCTGCTCGCCTGAGTGGCAGGGGCTTGTCGGGTATTGTGATAGCTGCTGTGAACATCAACTTTCACATCGGCATGAGCCCATTTAGAATCAGCCAGACCCTTGGTAGGGCGACGCTGGGTGATGGGCTTTGTCGCAGTAGGCTCAGTGTTACCAGTCGGGGTGTCGCGGTCTGCCTTGATACTCTGCTGCGCCTTGGATTCGCCGCTGGGGGTATTCGCTTTCGAGGTGGTGTCGACTTTCTCAACAGTCGATGTCGCGAACACAGACGGGGACACTGGGAGATCTTTGGTGGTCTTCCAATCGTTGGGGACAATTGCATTCGACCGAAGCTGAACGAGAGCCTCGGGGGGATACTTCAAGGCGCCTGGATTTCCGGCCAGAGACTCGGTAGAGCGAATAACTGCATCCTGAGCTTTGATCTCCTGCCCTTCCCCACGGCCATTGAGGCGGTGATGCATCTTGATCTTGATCTGGGCCATGTTCCGGAGGGCGGAAATGAGGTCCCCTCTGATGTCATCTTCAAAGTCTCTCATAAACCCATTGGTGATCCAATACTCGATCGCACCATCCTCAATACCTCGAATGACAGAGTCAATGAGATGATCTTCCAGTGCAAACTGGGTAATGACTTTGTCAATGAGGTGGATCATGTGATCAGCGGCGTTTTGCAGCGATGGGATTTGAGTGTTTTGAACTTCTTCAAACCCATCGAGGTCAATAAGAGTCCCTTCAGCTTTGTTGGATCCAGAATATTTGGCATCGGTGCTGAGATTGGTAGAATTGGTGGTATTGACGGCGTGAACAGGCTGGCTTGCCTGGACTTGAGAGACAGGTGGCTCAGGGTTCTGAACAAGTGCGACGTCGTTGGCCTTCACCTCCACTCCGCAGCCCTGGCGACGCTTGGACAATTTCTGCTGCATCTTCTGGAAAACTGAACGGAACTTGTCAGTCTCTTCGATGGTGGTAAGTCGTAGATAGTAGTCCGATTTGCTATCACGGTGTCGGAGCTTGCAAAACCCACCATCCATAACTGCGATATCAAAGTCCAATATAGCATGAACTCGCTCGCCTTTTCCTGGAGCCGATAGTACGAGGGTCACCTCCTGCTTCATGGGAAACAGCACCATCTTGAATTCCACTTCGAAGCAATCAGCCTCGAGCTTGGATGGGACCACCTCGCAGTGTCCACTGCAAACCAAGACTTCGGGACAGCTGGCGCTTTCCGGCTTTCCTGCGGGTTTCATTCGCAGGTGAGCAGGCCTTTCCTGTGTAGCAGTCCCATTGTTTGGCTGATTCTGAGCTGCGGAAGATATTGGGCTCTGTGTAGAATTGCCGGGGGGCGGGGCCGGCGTTCGGAGAACCGGATTCAGTGTGGGAGCGAGCTTGGGCGGTCCCCATTTGGCCTCAATAGGAGGCACGGGCTGCTTAGAATGAATCAAACCCTGAACGCTTGACTTCTAGTCTTGGTTCACAGGTTTAAATTCAATCTGCTTGACACCATCTGGGCCCGACTGACCATGCGGGTGGTTGTGCTTCGCCCGTTTCGCACTGGGAGGTGGCCCAGCAGGGTGAGGTTGAACTCGAGTGTGTTGACGGGTGGGAACAGCACTATCACCATGCAATTAGCAATGTTATTTGTGGTATGATAGCCCACTTACTCTCTAACTGCCTCGGTTTCAAGAAGGTGCTTGGTGAACTTCTTGGCCCATGGGCGAGCGTCCTCGGCGCAAAGTCCCTCGATCTGTCGAGCTTCTTCGTCATCGAACTCAACTGTACAGGTTGTTAGCTCTTATCACAATACAATTTGGGTTTGCTTACTGCTCCATTTGTTGTTCAAGTCTTGTTTGAGCTTGGCGGCGTAGTGGCTCGTTCCATTCTTGCCGCTGGGTTGGAACGAAGGCCCTTTTTTCTCGACATTACTAAGGGGCAGTTCCTCTTGACGGTCACGGCTGAGGTCAGCCTGTGGAAATAGTCAGCACTGTCTATATCATAGCTGGAGTAGTGACAAGGTGGGGAGGGTGTGACGGAGATGGGAAGATGAGCTGAGCGAGCACATGGACGTTCCAATGCACTTAAGGCTCCGCACACCAGGTATCCGCAGCATAGACCTTGAGAGGAAGACGAAAGAGAATGTTTGTTTGAAGCAAAGTAGTGTACCGTAGTCGGGAAGGAGGCATTCTTGGACGTGATGGGGTAGCAGAAGTGAGGAAATCTTACCATGCAGGCCGCCTGGACGATACGAGGATCGATGTTGCCACTCATCGTGGTGCCTCGCAGAAACCAAGACCATGCAATGAGAAGAAGATATTGGGATCAACTTTGAAGGTGCTTTTTGGTGCGCTGAGTGTTATTGAGTGACTCAGGTAGTGGTGGTGTTGGTGGGAAAAGGAGAGTGCGTGGGTGGGGGGCGGCGACTTTTTGTGGGCGAAGGAGGGCTGCCAACGGACTGCCCCAGCAGGCAACACCCTAAGTCCTGAGTTGCAACCAGATCGTAGCCTTCAAAAATGGAAATCTTAGGGCTGGGGTCCTCGTGAAATAAGCGGGCGTTAGAGGGCCAGCATTGGTGTTCAGAGAGGGAGAGTCAAGGGCTAGAGGAGGAAGAGGATATGAAATGCAGCCAGTGGCTTCGAGGCAAAGTCTTCTCAAACATGCATAGTGATCAACCAATTGAAGTGGTTTTAGCAAGTTGTTCCTTCTTCCAACAGGTTCTTCCGCCCCGGTTGACGCCTTTCATGCAGAAGTGGCAGGTGCGAGACGGGAACCTGCAGGCCGAATGCAGGGCGGTAATCGTTGAAGCCCACAAACAAGTGTTGTCCATGGGGCAAATTCATTATCTACCTATCTCTCTACGGTCTGAGTGAATCGTATTTAGGCCTAAGATTGTCCCCAGCCGATAATTGCAAAGTTGTTGTGCCTTGCCATGCCCCCAGGGGCTCCCTAGAACAGTTGCCTGGACACTGCGTCTGCAATGAACTAGCTATCTTTGATGCAGCGTCTGGATGTTTGGTGTGTTAGATCGCTTGGGTGTTTTTATTTTGTTTGGGCATCGTGAATCTCAATGCTCTAGGTACGGATCTGCTTGACAGCTGGCGGAGGTTTGTTGCCCCCTAGCAGGACCAGGTTTGTTTTGTCCACATCACGCCGAAGACGAGTGCCTGAGCATGACCTTACATGATCCCGCCGATATTTTCCCTGGTTCCATATCGGCGATGTACCTCTATGCCCGTTCTGGTGGACCTGGCTTCTTTCTCGTCGAGTCACTCGCGATCCTCCTCCCAAGTCATTTCCTCCTCCGCACACACCCCATCATCAGCGGAACTTGATGGTCCTTCTGCATGACGAGAGGCCAGAATACTTTTGGTGGAATCACGTCCCACATTTTGGCTTGCATCCCCGTCCCATCTTCGATCCAAGAGCTAATGTGATGGAATTACTACAGATGAAACTATCGCACGACGCGCCCCAACGACACGATACCCTCTCCGAACCCGACACAACCTCCCCGACTGCCATTCAAGCTGCAAAGTACTTGGTGATGAAGCTCTCCAGCGACGTTAGTTTGGCCTGGTCGCCAGACTCCCCCTTGGCCACCGCCGCTCTGGCCTTCAGCTCACCCGCGGTGACCACGTCGTTGGGCACGCCATAGTACAGGCCTCCCGAGTGCTGGCAGAAACCGAACATGTACTTGACCGTCTCTAATGCACCAACGCCATATGTCTCCATAGACTTCCAGTCCTCGATTGGCACAAATCGCGCCTTCTTTCCGGTGACTTGCTAGGCGTCAGCGACTGTCCTCAATGACAAATGGGAGTTTTGGGGCCATACCTTTCTGGAAATCGGACACGAGCTGCTCCGGAGTCGCGCTGGAGCTGATGCCCTGCAACAGGCGCCCGTTGTACTTCTCCGGGGCAAGGAACACACCGTGGACGAGGTCGCCATAGTCCTCAATGATGGAGATGAAGGGGATCTCGTCATTGCCACCCCAGCGAGGGACGCGCAGAGTCAGGTAGCCCTCATCATCAGCGACGAACGGGAACCCTCCCATGACGGGGGCAATCTCCTCAACGAGGTGGTTCTCCATGTACCAACCGGGGCTGACAATGTTGACTGTCTCGAAGACACCCTTGCTCTTGGCGTACTCTCCGATATCGTGCTTCTCTACTCCAGGTTAGGGGGAGAGTCAACAGAACGGAGAATCAAGACGGACCCTCGAAGGCCTTGTTAGGCACAGCTCCCTTGGTGATCTTGGACGCAGACTCCATGCCGCTGTAGACGAAGTGGCGGACTCTAGCCTCGACTGCAGCGTCAACGATGATCTTTCCCAGGTCAGTCTCGCTCGGTCCTTCCGGCTGGTTCACGGCCTTTCAATGTGTCAGTACTGTTATTCTTTCCGGCTAGACCCCAAGAGACTTACAGGGTCGTCTGAGTTAGTGTTAACAAATACTCCCCAGCTTCCCCGAAAGGCCTCGATCAACTCCTCCTTAACAAAACCATCGGCCTTCACAACCTCAACACCCTGAGACGTCAGTGCCTTGGCCTTGTCGGAGTCTGGGTTACGAGTAATTCCTCGCAGGGAAAATGCATTGCTCTTGTTCTGGAGAAGAGAGGTGACGACGCTGCCACCCTGAGAACCGGTGGCACCATAGACAGTGATGAGCTTAGTGGAAGACATGGCGATGGATGGCTGATGGGGATTATTGCAAGAGCAGGTGAAGTATTGGAAGAAGGCCTTGAGTCTTGAAAGGTTCGCTTGAGTGTTGATGCTTTGCTTGCTAATATTTCCTACAGCACGGCTGCAATGGACATTATATACTCCACGAGTGTCTTACTCTTCGACATGACCGCAAGATCTCAACTCCGCACAACCTCACGACAACTAATACGAGCAATACGTAACGCGTCAACCATTCTAATCACAACAAGCCAATGATCCCAACCACGTTGAATAATCACCTCGAGCCCGTCATGCCAAGGACACAACTCCGCAGCCTACGATGAGGGCGACGCCGCAATGTGTGGGCCACGCAAGGCGACCATTCCGCGACTCTCCGTCCTGGACAGGCACCTAGCACTAGATTGGTGGACCAATGGGTCAACCATATGCCACGGGTTATTTTCTCATCATTTTTCGGGCCACGCACTCCGCGGACACCGCAAGCTGTCGTGGCTTGAGCGCCAAGACCAGTTGTGCAAGCGGACGCGTAGGTACTGGTGGGGATTATTAATTCAGCCCTACACCACAAGACGCCAGCGGACCGGCGGTCGGCCGGATTACTCTTCGTATTGGTGGGCCTCCTTTGGCGGAGGAGCGGACTTTGAGCATCGATGGGGCTGCGGCTGAGGTTATTTGGGCTTCATTGTGATTGTCCTTTCTCTGTCCTACCTTAGACAAGTTAGGAGGGGAGGCAAAAGAGGTGCGGAGAGTATGATACTGTGCTCCTAATTGACTTAAATTGGACCGCTATGGAGGGGTAGACGGGATAGACCGCAAGTATGAACTCCAAATAGATTGACAGCTAAGACAAGCGGAAGGGCCATTCGGAACTTGTCGACCAGACTTCATCCAAGCCTTGATGAGTCGATTCTGCACACAGAGTTTCCATCGAGCAGAACATCACGTGATGGTCAATCATCAGCTCATCCGAGCTGATCTGGTCTGGTGGTCTAGCGGTATGATTCTCGCTTAGGGTACACCCTACAGCATAGCTTGCGAGAGGTCCCGGGTTCAATCCCCGGCCAGACCCTTTATTTTTGTATTTTTTCTGCAATTAATTGACCAAGTTGTTGTGGTTGACTTGCTTCAATTATACGGATTCTCGTTCGTGGTGCATCTTTTTGATGCTTCTCGCTTGGAATGCAGGAACAGCGTGGGCTTCTGGTCCGTGCGTATCGGCTTTAATCATGCTGGGGCCAGTTTCCCTTCACGGATGAATTCTCCGAGGCATGCTTGCATGCATGTGTGTGTTGGACCCTGAACGTGATGATAAGTTTCTTTCATCGTGTTATACGAATCGTATTCCTCGATTGCTTTACATACAAGACGTCTGTAATACGTGACCTTCGGGTTACTTTGGATAAGTGCAACAGCCTTTTGTTTTGGATCCTGGATGAACCATGAGGGGATACCACCTATGCAATTCCGACGGACTGGTCAATTCATTCAATTGCGAGTACTTTGCCCCTAGAATCTCTTGACGTCTAAAACGAGGTGTGGAAAATCTTCTCAATAGTGTGTTGGACTTTTTTGGGGATGTAAAGCTGATTGCTTAAGAATGGTAACTAATAAGTAAAGAAAGTCGTTGAAAAAGACGCAACACAATGAAGTAGCTGACTTTCGATAATCGACACATCTGCTCATACTCCAATTCGCCATGATGATCTTGTACTATCAAGGAAAAATAAAAGGGCCAACTCTGTGTTGGCCAAGGTTAAAGGGGAGTATAAATGAACAAAAGTGACCTAATTAATCCACCTTCACAAGCCTCCCCCCCTTATGATTGCCGTGAGTTGTCTGGTAGTTCCCACCGCTGAGCTGGCTGGTATGGAGATTCGTGCATGTAGACGGGTGGAGGGCTCTGAGATTGCCCATGCAACTCAGGCGGCCGGCTGTCTCCAGAAACCTCCACGCGTGGGCTTTCTCCACCCATCTCCGGACGCCAGGCGGTATCGCCTCTGACCTCGTGGTGTCCTGGGACCGCGACTGGGGGACTTGGTGTTACGTTGGGGAGCGGGTGGACTTCTTGGCCGCCAAGCTCGCGCTTGACGCCATCGCCAGAGAGTTCGGTGGTTTTCGAGACAGGAGAGACGGTGGAGGAGACTGGGGAGACAACAGAGCTACCCACGGGTTTTCGGACAACAGGAGCGGCACTCATCGGAGGGGGTGCAGTGGAGATACCATTTGTGCCGCTCTCTTCGGACGGCTGGGTGCTCGGAGCAAACTTCGTATTGCGGCGTCTCCTCCAGAACCACCATGCCAGCGCCGCGCCTAGAATAGCCACCACGGGGACTGCAACACCCACACCGATCTTCACAGCGGAGTTGTCGCCCGAATCGTTTATGTTAAGGCTCGAGGGATTGCCATCCGAGTCCACATACATGGTCGATGTTACTTGAACGATTACTAGAATCACCACCAGTTAGCATCATCACGCCCCATTAAAGACACAGGCACAGTACCTGGAGCAAAAGCAAAGGCACCGTCGCCATGAGCAGCATGAACTTACCCAGCGACTTGGTGGCCCCCGCGCCTCCCTCGGTGGTTTGGGTAACAATCGTCACCTGGGTCGTCGTCTCCGCAGAGCCAGAGTCAGCCGTGCGGCTCGGCTCTGCATTGTCGCTGCCGCTACTCTCCGTAGAGGAAGGCTCCGCTTCTGTAGTCGCCTCAGCAGGATTATACCAGTCTGTGGCACCGGGCTGTGTATATCCGGCGCCCATGCAGTAGGATGCGTAGATAGACTGCATGGAACTGAGATCGAGGGTGAGATCGCCCCTTCCACAGGTAGACGACGCGCATTTGGACATCCAGCCGTCTGCGACGGATGCAGACGCTGAGGCCGTTGCGCAATAGCAGTTGTTATCGTAGGGGTCCTCACAGCCCATAGCCCCACCCAAGTCGGAGAAGATGGTGTAGTACAGACATTTGCTAACACAGGTATGGCCAACATTGTCGAGGAGACTTGAGATAGTAACTGTCTCAACAGCCCTCACAGAGGACTGCAAGAGAAGCAGTAGGGTTGAGAAGAGGGGTAGTAGGCGAGCCATTTTCGCTGGACTTGGTCTTTCACCAATATTGCAAGAGTTGATGTTGAGGAAAGGTAGTTGTTACCATAAAGGTCCAGGGCAACAAGAAGCTACGGAGGAGAAGTAAAGCACCACAACAATGGCGGGAGTGGACGACTTAAAGAGTCCCTGGGGACCGTTCGTAAGATTCTCCTTCATGCGGGCAATCATTAGGCCGTCTCTTGATGCTTCCCAAGCTTTCAGCTGGCGGTCCAGTATGGTATAGTCTGACTGGGGGCGGCAAGAGCTGCTGCGGGTGAAATACCCAGGATGGATGGCGTCCGGCAGTTCCAGGGGTGGGCAGCGCCTTATTGGCCATGATATGGGGATAAAAATACCAAGAGCCTGAAGTGCAGGAGCTGATAGATTTTTGCTGGGGGGGCGCGAAGCTAATCGCATACTCAAAACGTCTAATTCTGCGAGTGCATTGGCCTCGACCAGTGGGATGCACTTGGTGGGCCGTGACGCTGCCACCAGCGAGCTGTGATGGGACGATCTTATCCAGGTGGCACGGAGGACAAAAATGGTGGAAATGAGTTGAACATGGGGGATGGATGAATGCGCGGATAGAGTTGGTCTACCAACATGGTGGGCAAGTAGCAAGGCATTTGCAACCGCCTCTGTGGGGAGCTGGCTGAAGATGCAGATGCAGATGAGGAGGCAGATTGTGATGGAGGTGCAGATGGATGGGCCTGGGATGGACAATCTATGACATTGATTGGCTGTTTCCGACGCTTGTACCAAGCCACGGCCTGGGAATATTTCATGAAATCAGATCTGTGCCCGCGGAAGAAATCCTGAAGCTACTGGGACAGATAAATCCGCCCCAAGTCGGTGTTGGGAGGTTGCACAACCTCCGCGTATGGGCGGACCGTCACATGGCTCCAGCATCCCTGAAGGATGCAAGTGCGAGAAGTGGTCCTGTGGTCGGAAGAGTCACCAATCAGACGCCATTCCCCGCGCCATTTGGATTGAGTCGCTGGGTGCAGTAACCGTCCCAGTGTGTGGTGGCATCTTGAGATTTTAGGGCGAGGTTGAAGATTCCGGAAGCTAGGAAACCTTAAGGGCGGCAACGAAGCGCGTGGCGGTAAGCCGTGGCCTTAAAGTGTGATCCACCAGCTTTGATTCAACGATTCAACGCCACTGATGTTGGTGGAACATTGGTGGGATATTGATGGGATTTGGCGGAAGAGGTGGGTTTATGAGGCCTGCACACCCTCGAGTGAATCCGGCTGTCCCTGCTGGACAACAAGACTCAGCCAAGAGGTTCTAGATGCCGTGTTGCCGCAACACCAAGACAACGAGGCGTTTGGTCACGCAGCGGGAAAAGAACGGACAGCGGTCAATGCCAGGGCGGAATGATGCGTGCCATTCCCATTCGTTCTTTTTTGTTTCTTGCTGGGGCAACGGATGGGTGAGGTGGGGTCGCACGGCAGTCAGCCCAGGGCACATACATCTTACTATAGCACTATACTAGCACTATACCAGGTACGCATTCCATCTAAACACCCATATTAGGAAGATTATGAGAAGTGAGGGAAGACTTTTTCGTCATTTACTGAGCTGACAGAGGGTGGACATGATCAAATACGGACATGGGATTGCGTGGGGCCGTGAGTATGGCTAGATCTAAATGGGATGGGATTGGAAGGAGTAAGGTAAACTCGCCTCTGCGTGGACAGCTGACTATTGATGAACCCTATTAGAGACACATATGGAGTACGCGAAGCAATTCTTAATAAAGCAATGATTCAAGAGAACAAGGTTGGGATGGAGACCAAATGTTCCGACGTGGCGGGTTTGTCCATTTGCCAGAGTGGTTGACGCGTTCGCATACTCGTGGCGCAGTTACCCGAGCGAGAATTGTGGCGGCATTATCGACTCGTCGTTATTTTTGGACCACACTCGCAGCTCGCTGACCTGTTTGACCTCTCCCTCACGGCAGGATCTGAGGGCAGGATGACCGGCAAGAGGACCTGATAAGCCCGATGACACTACGCCCAGAACCCAGTGCGCGACCATTGGACGGATGGGAGCCCGAAGTGCAGACGAGTCCACTGGGCGATTGGCGAACTGCCAGAACGCCTTACCTGACTTGAAGCTGGCGGACTGGCTTGGCTGGACTCGGCTAGGCTGGAGGTCTTGTTGGGGCTCGGCCGGGGACTAGGCCTGAGCTGGGCCGAGCTATTGTAGGCGATGGCTTGCTGGGCTGATGGAGGAGGCTTACTGCTGATGCTCGGGGAACGGGGAATGGTGAGGCAAGGCGAAAGCAATATTACTACAGTGCCCTCAGAGGTATCTATCGTGGCCTCCTCCCTTCTTCCTCTTTTTCTCCCTCTTCCTTAACCCTCGCCGTCCGTCCTCGTTTCCCCATCCCCAGTCGCCAGCCCGAGCCCTGGGCATTTGGCACTGATTGCAGGGAACATCGCCCCCGTGTCCAGGCAACCCCCCCGCGGCGCCGACTTTCCGAGCACTGAGCCACCCCCGGCCTGCGAGTGCTAGCGACCGACCCGAGCGACGTCACACTCGCCCGCCCAACGCGCACATCATCACCCGAACGGACCCAGGCCAAACTCGCGGGAATCGCCCTCACGGCCCTTGCATTGGCAGCATTCGCAAATAGACAAGTGGGCACAGGGTGGTGATCATCCGAGCCAGCGTCTGAAACAGGGAGCCGTGTCGCCAAGCCTGTTCCCTGGAATTTAATTGCCATCTCCCGCCGCGCATCCTTCCCGCCTCCCACACCCCTCGCACAGGGTCGCTGGGCCACTGAGCCACTGAACTTGCCGGAACCACCCAGCTTCGCCCCCCCAGCGCCAATCCCCTAGCGCAACGCCGCGGGCCTTCTGTAACGTTTTCATCAGCTTGAAACCGCAGCTCGGCCTCCGTCCTCCAAGCCGTCTTTCCGCTCTGCATCCATCCCGTCTCGCCGTTTGCTTCTGTCGCTGCCTCGGCCGCCGTGTCTTTGTTGTTGCGATTCTGCGATTCTGCAATCCAGCGCACGCAGCTCCTTTGTCCGAGGCCCGCAGTGAATCACCAGCGCATTGCGGCTCCCGCAGGCTCCCGCTTTCTTTGTCGCCCAGCATTTTTGGCGCGACGTCAACAACGCTCGATACGACAGCGCGGGTCCTTGCTCCTAGCAACCTGGCAACCTGGCAACCACCGAGCGTCCTCTCTCTCGACTCGACGTCAGCAGAGTCTCAGACTCTTAGCCCACACCAACCACACATCATTCGTTGAAGCAGCGCCTTTGGGTGCGCATAAACTCCAGCAGCCATGTCGTATAATCGCTTAGGCAAGTCCACGACGTCCCCCGTGACCCCTTCCGTCGTCATCTGGCCCCCCTTTCCCATCCTCTGCCCCCGATGAGACCCCTCCACTCTTGAGCACACGCCCCTGGTTGTTTGCTTCAGACTGCGATTTGCCTGCGCTCTGTTTCTGGGCGGCGCAGTCTTGCCTCTTTGCCTTCGCCTCCCTCCCGCACCTCGTCTTTGTCCTGAGAAAAGCTTCTGGCGCAGGTTCGACCAGGCTTGTGTGTGCGCGACGCGAACCATTGTGGCGGAGTCCCGACTAAGAACGACCTACCCGCTCTCCTCCACCTGCGACGAACTTCTACTTGTTCAATCGAGATCTAACATCCTACTTGCGCAGACGACGATTACTATAACGATCCGATGGACCAGCGTCGGGGAGCTTACAGGACCCCCTCACCGGGGAACCCTCTTCAACATGGCTATCAACTCGACGACAACCCTTACGGCCATCAACAGCCGTCACAATCTCACATTGATATGCCCGCCGTCAACGACCCGCACCGGCTCGGTACGCCAAGCGACCACCTAAATCTCAATGCGGCAGTGCGTACATCTGCCCTCTTGCGGTGTTGGCCGCAATCCTTCCTTGCGCCATCCAGGCGCAGTAATCAGCTAATGAGCTAACAACTTCTCATAGCACTCGGTCGATAACGTATCGAGCTACGGCCACAGCGATTACTCCGTGAACCCCGAAGCGCACCACGACGGATACTACAACCAACCCTATGAGCCGCATCCCCAGGAGGGTTACGATCAGGGTTACGATTACGATGACCGTCGGCCAATGTTGACTCACCAAGAGTCCGATGCGCCCACTGAGCAATATCAAGACCAGCCAACGCCGGCACCTCCAGGCGGAGGCATTAAGCGATGGAAGACAGTCAAGCAGGTGCTTCTCTACCGAGGTAACTTGGTTCTCGACTGCCCGGTTCCACCAGTTTTGCTCCAACAGAACCCCCACGGCGAGCGCGACGAGTTCACGCATATGAGATACACGGCGGCGACCTGTGACCCCAACAACTTCTACGACGACAACTTCACCCTGCGACAGAAGCTCTTTAGTAAGCCCCGTCACACCGAGTTGTTCATCGTTGTTACCATGTACAACGAAGACGATGTTCTCTTTGCCCGAACCATGATTGGTGTCTTCAAAAACGTCGAGTACATGTGCAACCGCCCCAACAGCAAGACGTGGGGCAAGGATGCCTGGAAGAAGATCGTTGTTTGCGTCGTCAGCGATGGCCGTGCTAAGATCAACCCTCGAACTAGGGCTCTGTTGGCCGGCATGGGTGTCTATCAGGAGGGTATCGCGAAGCAAAAGGTTAACGACAAGGATGTGACGGCACACATTTACGAATACACTACCCAAACCCATCTGCAGCTCAAGAATGACGTGGTTTCGCTCGTCCACCGACGGCAGCCGGTCCAGATCCTCTTCTGTCTCAAGGAGAAGAACGCCAAGAAGATTAACTCTCACAGATGGTTCTTCTCAGCCTTTGGTCGGGTTCTCGACCCCAACATTTGCGTCCTGCTTGATGCTGGTACCCGACCAGGTGGCAACTCCATCTACCATCTCTGGAAGGCGTTTGACCTAGAGCCCATGTGTGGTGGTGCCTGCGGTGAAATCAAGGCCATGTTGGGTACGGGTGGTAAGTTGCTATTGAACCCCATTGTTGCAGCTCAAAACTTCGAGTACAAGATGAGCAACATTCTTGACAAGCCTCTGGAGTCTGCCTTCGGCTTCATTTCCGTTTTGCCCGGTGCATTTTCTGCTTACCGATATGTCGCCTTGCAAAACGACAAGAATGGACAAGGCCCCTTGGAGAAGTATTTCCTTGGTGAAACGCTCCACGGTGGAGGTGAGGCAGGTCTCTTCGAATCCAACATGTACCTGGCCGAGGATCGTATTCTCTGCTTCGAACTGGTCACCAAGAGAAACTGTCATTGGATCCTTCAGTACGTCAAGTCTGCCACCGGCGAGACCGATGTGCCCGATACGGTGACGGAACTTGTTCTTCAGCGACGTCGTTGGCTGAACGGTTCCTTCTTTGCTGCAATCTACGCCATCGTCCACTTCTACGACTTCTTCCGCTCGGATCACACTTTCATGCGAAAATGTGCTTTCTTCGTCGAATTCGTCTTCAACACCATCAACATGATCTTCGCTTGGTTTGCTATCGGCAACTTCTTCCTGGTCTTCAAGATTTTGACAACGAGTTTGGGCGACGACAGTCTCCTGGGTAGGGTCGGCGAGATCCTAGGCGTCGTCTTCACATGGCTCTATGGCGTTTTCTTGATCACATGCTTCGTTCTCTCACTTGGAAACCGGCCTGGTGGATCTGGAAAGCTCTACCTTAGCATGTGCTACTTCTGGGCGTTACTCATGATGTAAGAACACGCAATATTCCTCCCGTACACAGAAAGCTAACACCTGGCAGATATCTCCTATTCGCCGCCGTTTATATCTCTGTCATAACCATCAGGGATGACATGAAGAAGAATGGCGGGTTCAACATCGACGACCTCTTTAAGAACAAAGTCTTTTACATGCTCATCATCTCCGTCATGTCGACGTACGGTATTTGGCTCATTGCCTCGCTCATCATGTTCGATCCCTGGCACATGTTCACCTCATTGGTGCAGTATATGCTCTTGACCCCAACCTGGACCAACGTTCTCAACGTCTATGCCTTCTGCAACACCCATGACGTCTCATGGGGTACGAAGGGTGACGACAAGGTTGAGAAACTCCCTTCGGTCAGCACAAAGGATGGAGCGGGTAAAACAGATCTCCCTGATGAGGGCGATTTAAATGCGCAGTACCAGAGAGAAGTTACCTTATTCGCCTCTAAATTCGTCGAAGTCAAAAAGGAGCCAACCGCTTCCGATCTCCAGGAGAAGCAAATGGACTACTACAGAGGTGTTCGAACCGGCGTCGTTTTGATTTGGATGGTTACAAACTTTGCCCTCGCGGCTGTGGTCTTGAGTTCTGCTGGTCTGGACAAGATCACCCCTGGCGACAAAGATAACGACGATATCGAGCTAGCCCGCTCCAACATTTACATGACCATCGTCTTGTGGAGTGTAGCGGGTTTGAGTGCCTTCAAGTTCATCGGCGCTATGTGGTTCTTAGTCGTGCGCATGTTCCGTGGTGTCTAAGATGCATCATGATGGCCTGCCTGACGCTCAGATACGAGACAGGCATGGTTTGTATTCTTTCGGCTTATACCCCGTTTTCGAATAGATTCCCAGGAGTGGAGACTGGGGGCTATGCACTATTGGATCTTCGATTACGTGCGCTTTGATCGCAATAGTTCAGCTTCATGTTCATTTGGTATTATTTGGAAGTAGCCCTCCATGGAAAGGGGGCGGCGTTTGGATTGCCAAGTGGGTGGGTGTTCAGATGTATACACGTTAGGATGAAGAATATAACGACCTTGCCCTTACGTTGTCGATGCTGTGTTTGTTCTCATTGTCGTACCGTGAAGCTGGCGAACTAACATAATCTTTCAACCTGCTCTCTCAGCTAAGGTCCGTTTCTCGTACATCAAACCCAAACATTTCGTTAGACTCGGTAGAATTCTTCTCTCTCATCTTATTTGCCGTCTCCACTCCTGCAACTGGGACTTTGTATTCAAATTGCTTCCCCTGTGCCGGAGTCCGGCCGTCTGGAAGCGGGTACGGAAATGGCAGAAACTCGGGCATAAGTCCCATCTGCCGGAGGACGCTTCCCTGATCCCATGCGATATGTTCGTGATATAGCCGGTCACCGCGGATATTTACGACAGCCGTCATGGGAATCTCAAGGTACTTTCCTGTTGGCGGGATTCCAGGAACTCTGTATCGACACCGTCAGCTGGAATCTTTGAAAACATACGGTTTGGGTAGACTCACAGCCAGTCAATGGCCTTGTCATGGGTACACTTGTAGATGAACTCGTCAATCACCCGGTCAATGCCGATGGTTCGGCTGATTAACTCGAGTTCTGTGTCGTCCGCGTTCTGGAAAATGAAGTGGCTGCGATAGAAGTTGCTGAGCCGTTCACGGCCAATGCCACCAGTCATCTAGGAGAGAACAAATTAATGCTGGAACCACACAATGGTGGCGCAGAGCTGCTCACAGTGGGTACGTGGTTCACGTAAGGCTCCTGGACCATTGTAGCCATTGTGTGCTCCACCGAGCGGTCGTTGAACTCATAGTGAGTGTGCTCATCCCAAATTGCTTCAAGATCAAAGTACGGACCATCAACGAGGGGCTTGAGGAAAGTCAAATTCCGGGTGTGAGAGACGGCCTCGGCGGAGTAGTTGAATTCTGTGGTGAAAGGAGTAGCGAATTTAAAGGATGAGAGAGAGGGGTAGAAATATTCTGTGAACTCTGCGGTTCGTGTGGGCAGGCCTGGTGAGTCCCCGGCCAGGTGGATGAGAACTGGTACAGAGGCTTGGCTTTGCTTTAGATCATAGCCATGGTTGGCATACACGATGGCTCCTGAAATCTCAGGGACTGAGTGGAGAGCTGGGACAACCTGGCTCCACAACTCCGGATCATATGCTAAAGATGACTGTTAGATGAAGTTCGATTGAACACACAGTTACAGAGACATACCAACAAGTCCAATCTTCTCTGTTTTGTCACACTTCTCACACTCCTTGAGCGCGCTGAACGCCGTCTTCAGAACGGCCGTGCCTGCTGCAAGGGCTGTTGCTTGAATTTCTACAACAGCGAATCCCTCCTCGGCCCATTTGACGGAGGCGGACGGAACACCCTCCTTAATGCTTAACTGGTCTGTCGAGTTAGCAGTGAGGAGAATGATGCCAGGGCCATGGCCTCGCCGAGAAAGCGGGGCTAGCAGCGACATGCCGGATTGCAGCTCGGTGAGCTGCGTCTGCGGGAGGCGCGCGGGGGGTTGCGAGATGTCTGCATACAGCATGATGAGTTGATGGCTTGTGAATTGTGAATTGTGAATTGTGGATTGGGTATTGTGAATGCTCGTTGGTTCAATTGGAGCACACGCTACAATTGCATGGTGATGATGAAGCTGTAAATAAACGTCGAGGCCAGATATGGATAGCCAAATGGAGATGAGACGTGCGACTCTAAACCCGGTGTTATCGGCTTATCAGACACAGCTTTGTCGCATGGGTACGTTAGCCGAGCACTGTGCGCGGCAGAGGCACGTCGGATAGCGCACCAAAGGGTGTGCTACCAGAGGCGTCAAGCTCCCAGTTGATAAGAGGCCGTCGCACCCAGCGTACCACTCTACTACGTGTACCACTCTACAGCGTCCACCTTGCAGCGTACCACCCTCTCTGGACGGCGTACCACTCTGCAATCGGGTCCGACGCCAGCCGCTCCACTGCCCGTGATAGGCAAAGTGCCCACGAGCGATCGGGGGCTGGTTTCAATTGCCGCGATCCTTGTTGGTCGGCCAGGTTCCTCGACTGCGGGTCCCTACCCGATAGCGGATGTGGTGACTCGGTCCGGGTCAAATGCATGGGGATGAGCAGCACAGCGAGCTAGAATCTGGCCCAAATAGGGATGATAACTTGAAGATTCCACTTGTTGAATCAATCGCAAAAAGCACCGCGTTATCGTAGAGATCTGGTTAATCAACGTTTTCAACATGGCTTCTAATCCCCCTGGACAATGCTGCGCAGCTGGATTCCTCCACGAGTAAGCGAAATCGTTCTACACAAAACAAACCACACACACTCACTCATCAAACAGAGGAACTCCGATAGGAAAGCTCATCACCATTGAGAACGGGATTCAGGCCTATCTGGCTTCTCCTTCCGCCTCAAAAGCCCATGATGGCGTTGGCCTCCTGTACGTGCCAGATATCCTCGGTATCTGGCAGAACAGTATGCTCATGGCCGACGCGTATGCGAGAGAGGGTTATACTTGCCTTGTCCTGGACTTGTTCAACGGCGACCCTGCTGCCTTGAACATGCTGGAAAACTTTGATATTATGAGCTGGTTAGCGGGGGGCTCTAGCGGCGATAACCCGCATACGAAGGAGTTTATTGATCCCATCATCGTTTCCGGCATCAAATACTTGAGGGATAGTGGGGTGACGCGTATTGGAGCTGCCGGATACTGCTTCGGTGCCAAGGTTAATAGAAATTTACCAGTGAGACGTGTCACAGAAGCTAACTGTTGCATCAGTATGTCATCCGCCATTACAAGGACGGCATTGAGTGTGGATTCGTCGCTCACCCCTCGTTTGTCGAGTCCGAGGAACTGGCTGCCATCACCGGGCCATTGTCAATCGCGGCAGCAGAGACGGACACCATCTTCCCCATGGAGAAGCGCCACGAGTCGGAGAAGATTCTCATCGGAACCAAGCAGGACTACCAGATCAATCTATTCTCCGGTGTGGAGCATGGGTTCTCCGTCCGGGGCGACCCCAACGTCAAGGTGGAGCGGTTTGCCAAGGAGCAAGCCTTTCACCAGGCAGTTTCTTGGTTTGACAGCTACCTGGTGGACAAGAGAGAGTATGCGACTAAACCCTAGTTTCTAGACAGACGAAATATATCGTTCAACATTTAGAAGTATCATATTCGTCATAGAGGAGGTTATGAATGCTCGGGAATCAAACTAGTAATGATTTTCAAAGAGAATCTGATTAATGACTACCTTCACCAATCCGAGACTAAAATTGTCTATGTCTATGACGCTAGATGATGAATCATTGAATATGCCTGCCTTTAAAAATGGGTTAACTATCGGCCTTATTATTGCCAAGTTGTCGAAACCCCACAAACAGTCTCTGTATGTACCTGCTTTATCCCCCACCACTTGCTAAACCCTATCAATGCGAAATAGCAGTTCTTTCATCTTTTTCCTACAGTGCCATTGACAATTGCTCGTAGAAGTTGCACACTGCCACGTGATTGGTCGCGTGATATTCAGCCGCACTTTGCTTCTTTCGACCGCTAGTTAGAATGAGACTAGTCTACTCTGTCGCGGATTGTCGCGTTGTAGAGCTTCAAGCCCCCCTTTTTCCATATTCCTTGCTCCATCCATTGTCTATCGCAGCGTCTTCAAAATGGCTGATAATGGGAAGTCGGCGACGGATATCATCACCTACATCGGTGTGCCGTTGGCCGTGCTTGGAGGTACGCTATTTCCCCCACTTGCCAAGTCGCTAACGTCCTAACCTGCATTCACAGTGCTTCCCATTCTCTATAACACCTTCGCGACCCTTGTCTCACTTTCGCGTATCAAGCGTATGCTCCGGCGTAGTCGGCTAACTGCGCTGACCCGGAGTGATGTGGTGAACCGCGTCATTGAGATTGAACTTCCACGGTATGCAGTGATGCCCTTGGACAGGTTTCAAAATCGAACAGAGTATTGGACCCTTTCGCGTCATCCTAGCTCGATCCCCGGCGGGAGCTGGACAACCTTCAACTGGAGAACCAATGCAATCGGCCTCAAGACTCAACGCGTCGAGTATGCCGATCAAGTGCGTCAGCCGCAGGTGGAAATTGCTTTCGATGAATTGGTCTGTTACCTCTTAGACTTGGGCGCTGTACCAGACCCCCATGGCTGGAAGCTGCTGCGAGCGACAGGGCTATGGACGCCGGTAGGCTGTTCATTGATGATGTCCCCAGATGGACGGGAAAAGGCACTCAGTCTTGCTCCGTCGGATGACTCAGATGGAAACCTGTCTCTTGCAGTGGCTTGGTCGAGTTCCTGGATTACACGGGACTACTCACAGCTGCCACCCTATTGGGTCCGTCTGCCGTCGCCGCCCCAGGATCCCAAGAAATCCGAGCCCGGTCAGAGTTCTGCCGAAGTCGAAGAGGATGATCAACCAAAGACTGCGGTTTCGGAGGAAGGATTGATCAGTGATGGAGACTTTTACAAGAAGCAGGGCTCAGCCGAGGTTGACTCTATTGAGAATGAAACCAGCTCCAACTCCGAGAAAACCATAACCTGCCAAATATCGATGGCTGGGATCGTCACCGCCTTGACGCAAGAAGACCATCTTCAGAGCACTGTTAGACTTGACAGCCTGTATATCGAGCACATTCGCGTCCGAACGGGGAAAACAGATGGCGTGTGGTTCGCCAGTGCCGCAACAGCTTATGGAACGTCACATCAAACCATTCTCTGGAACTACAAGATTCCGGATGAAATTCTGTTCTTTTCCAGGAAGGAGACGGTGCCCTGTGGTGTCATGGTTCTGCTAGGCATGGTGGACGAATCTGAGACTCCTGAATGGGCGACTAATCACGCTGATTATGGAGCCTCCCTCGATCAGTTTGCGAGGAGAAGCCAGGAGCAGCGCACAGCCATGGCAGCGGAAGCACGGATGGCCCCTGCGCAGCGGGAACAAGCGGTAAAAGATAGAATGCGCAGAGAGATGGACCAACGGATGCAAGACAGTGAGTTTTCCTACCCGAAATTTGATCCTTGGAGTTCTGGTTACTGACAAATGTAGTGCGTGACAAGTCAAGGCAGGACCAGCAACGGCGCGACCAGCGTATGATGGAAGCCCTGCAAAGCCCGAAATGGGACACCAAGCTTGTTGCGGAGCACACTCTACGATGGCTCAAAGGCCAGGGTTTATGGAGCGAGTCATTGACTCTCAAGGAAGTTGTGGGCTTCATGTTGCATCGCATGGTTCTTGAAGGCGAGTATGCTTCCAGCATATGCAGCATGCTGGATGTATGGAAGGGCTGGGCGGACATGGGAGGAATGAAAAGAACGGACTACCAGAAGATCGTGGACAACAAGGCTACGTTTGCCCATGCAACCCTGTTGATCGCGCTGATCAAGGATACGTCTACGGCGCTGGATGGCACGCTGGCGATGGACTTGCAAGAGTGTTTGAGGATATGGAGGAAGGTTCGTCTTGGGTAGATTCAGTGGGGAAAAGAATGGGAAATTATTTTATTTATGGGTTATTCTGATGGTGTTAGGCGCCTTGACTACGATTGAAGAAGATGTGGGCGGTCGAAGCTGGCTTGGAGCTCGGCGGCTAGAGGGCATGAATGGAGGCGTGAATGGAGAGCATGAATCGCTGGCATTTTGGTGCAAGGTGGGACCACGTCTCAGGTTGACGGCATTGGACGGGAAGCACAGGTTCCATCTGCTCAGCCCCCAAAACCTTGTGTCCATCAGGCAGAACACCACTGTAGCTAGGTACCTAGGTAGGCAGAAATAGCGACCAACGCAAAAGTCTAGGTACGCGCCAGGGAAGAGGCTGAGCTGTCCTCTGGACAAAACGGAGAATTTGGGTCCTTATCGACGACTTGTCCTTTTCCGTCTCACCGACAAAGTCTCGAGGGGATTTCCTCTTCAGTTTCTCGCACTGCCACTTCTGTTGGGTTATCGCATTCCAGTGCTGGGCTCGGCTAGCGACCACGCTACTTTGAGGCGGGCAGCTCACCTACCTACCTTACCTTACGCAACACCTCATCATCTCACCACTCTCGTGACGGAAGCGAGGCTCCATTTTGTCGGTCATTTGTCCTCAACAGGCGGCACTTCGCATCCGTATGTCTGCGAAAATGAGCGACAGCAACCCCCGCGGCGTGGCATCTCCCTCGTCGCGAGGCGGCTCGGACAGTCCAATGTCCTACGGTACCGTTGGCTCGCAGGTGCCCCTCCCGCGGTACTCGGACAACGAGGCCCAGCAGGCTGGCTACCGCGATCGGGCTCCAGGCGACGTGGAGAGCGGTTACGACGATCACGACGGCCACGACGAGCCTCCGCCAGAGTATTCCGCCACGGACCCGAGCCTCGGCTTCCCTGCGCCGGCCGACTCGTCCGCCTATCCCTCCGAGCTCCCCACTCACGGCCCCGGCTACCCGCTGCAGCCCTTCTCGCACAGCGCCGACTCCAGCACCGCCTACTATCTCGACCGCCGCCTGGACACCGACCCGGCGTTTCTGGAGCAGCACATTGCCAGCCTTGCCGTGGAGCCGCCGCGGCCGTTTGTGCGCGTCCGCGGCCACCACTACGAGACCAAGAAGTCGGGCGACAAGGACCACCGCCGCGAGATTGTCGACTTTGACGTCCAGATCGAGCTGACCCCGCTGCTGTACGAGGACAACGCCCTGCGCCGCGACTGGCATCGTCTGGAAGCCGCCAAGAACTTCGACAAGGTCCGCCGCGGCACCGTCTTCCCAACCCGCGCCCCGGGCTTCGGCGGGAGCGGCACGCCCGAGGACGGCACCCCGAGAGTCGACCAGTGGTGCCAGCGCTACTGCGAGAGCTCGGCCTCGCTCAAGGCCTTTACGCTGGAGCGCCGCATCACGGGATGGGACTTTTCCCTCGTCGGCGGCCAGCTTGAGAGCCTGGTGCGCTCGACCAACTACCAGGGCCATCTCAGCGTCAACTTCCCCACCATCGACTCCCGTGTGCAGATCTATAACGACTGCCCTGCCAACCGCTGGCGTCTGACGCGCTGGATCGAGCTGGTGTTTTACTTCACCTTCCTGTGGATCTTTTCGTGGCCGTGGTTGGCCCTGGGCACCAAGTGGTTCGAGACGGTGTACGTCGAGTGGCCCATGGGCGTGCCCGACGAGCGCGGTGTCATGCGGTACGCCTGCCTGAGCGAGGAGCAGTGGTACAGGCTGTGGTGTCGACCCATTCAGCAAGCTATCCTCAGGCGTCGCCAGGCAACGCTGTACCAAGCTGACCTCGACGATGCGTACGATGCGCCGGGGGCCGGAGATTTTGCCAGAGGAGTCCAGGCCGGGTTGGAAGTAGTCCAGCGGACGATGGGATGGGGTGGCGACACCGGGTGTCACCAAGGGTAGGCATTTTTTTTCTGTCTGCCTTTTTTTCGGGAGCGAAAAGTAGCATGCATGGTGTTTTGCTGTCGTTCTTAATACCATCGTTGGCTTCGGTTGTGTTGTTTCCTCGTTGTCGTCGTTCCTGGTTTTCAGATTGTTTGGGAGCATTTGGGTGGCCGGAGGAGTACTGCTTGAACGGTATGGCGAGTCTTTACCCCTTGCCTACTTGAAATACTTAGTGTCTACAATGATATAGCGAAAAAGATTGAAATCTCCGCTTATTTTAGGATTTGAAAATGTTTCCATCTGACTCTTGAAAATATCTGCTCATCATGAAGTAATTCTCCAAGTTAACCATCACACTTTTGCTGCAAAAATGCGGGGTGGCCTCGAGCCAATCTGTGAGGGGTCACTTTAGTACCTCCGCAACCGGTCCGACGGTTTTCATACATTTTTTCCCCCTACACTAGCTCTTCTTACACACTTACCGAAACTTTAGTGTGATGGTCGAGTTTTTAGGTGCGGTAGATGCGAGAAGGCAGATGTAGATGCCTGGTCATTTCTCCCCATGTCGATCTCTCAGTCTTCGACCCCATACTTTCCACGCAAGGATGCCGAGATTCGCGTCCTCATGGTTAATGTCATGCTGGAGTAAGGGCCTAATTGGCTTGTCTCCTTGACGCAATCAATACTGGCCGTTGGCAGATATGGATACAAACTTCATAACTTTTGGTACGGTATCCACGAATACCGCCCTGATGCCATCAAAAACATAACTAGTTGTACTTCTATCTCTTCACTATCCCCCTGAATCCCCTAATCATCGTTAACATCTTCCTTCTTTCTCTTATATACAAAATTCTCATCATTTAACATCCCAATAGTAAACACTTCTGCCTGAGTCTCATCGCCTTGAAACCACCCGATTCGGAATCGCCTCTCTACAAGAGACTCATGAAGATCACCCAGAGGCATCAAATGCGCATCCTCTGGTACATCTTCCAAAGCATTTGAATCATAAACCAGAGATTCTATCATCGCGATGGAGTTGAAGCCATCAGGTGCCAGGCCCTTCAGGTCCATATCAAGTAGCCAGCTCCGTTGGCCGCTTGACAGATGTCGTACAGCTGTTGAGACCAGAGCGTATAGATTGACAATAACAATTAGAGACAAAATCCCCACGAGGATAAATGATGGGATCGGACTTTGAATTAGTCGTAGCCTTCCATTGTCTGCGATCGTTGCATTGATAGGAAGGAGGTCTCCATGGTATGAAGGAGCTGTCGATGACTTCTCATGAATGCCCAAGCGCTGTTCAATGTTTGCAAGCTGGGCAGCAAGAAAACCAAGATTGGAATGAAGCGCATCAAGGATCTGATTGTCATAGGCTGATTCGCCAAAATTGCTTAGCTGAATCGGCCCAAAGGGCTCGATCAGTAAGCCGAACTGTGTAGGAAACGTGCTAGCCAGGGGATCTTTAGCTGTAAACTATGGGTAGACTGGGGATTCAGAAGGGTATTCAGGGAAATCCGGAAAGTTGAAAGGCGGGTTCCAGGGTCTAGTAGTTGAGTTATCCTGAATAGGAGGACTCTGATGATCTATCAGGATCGTCTCATTTGTCCAGATCAATTTAACATCAGCTGTAACCTCAGCCCATGAGTAGTTGAATCGCCAGACAGAAAGGTGGTCAAAATCCATCGTTGAAAAAGAGAACTTTCCCCATGCATATGTCTGCACTCTCGAGGTCGGGGGAAAAGAATAGCCGCTGAAAGTAATACCACAACTGCCGTCGCCAGTGAATGAAGTGTCAGACGGAAGAATTTCTGCAATGTATGGCCGTTCATTCTCTTCTGTGGCGTCATCCTTCCCGGTGGATTCATACAGTGGGATATGGTTAGTATTAACAGACTTGATGGAGCCATTCGGGCATGTGAAGGACTGCCTGATGACAACGGTGGGAGTACCCATCCAGTTATTCCCGATTGACGTCTCAAAATCCGCATCTGACAATTGAACGCATTTTGGTGGTATTTTTGCAGCAGGAATTCGAACTTGAATTGAGGTGTTGGCATTCCAATCTGTATCATTGATGCTGAGGGCGGGGAAGAGTAGGTCGGCGTAGGTGTGTTGTGGATATGTAAGGTTTGATAGGCGCCATACCAAAAGTAAACTACTCAGGTCCTGTCTAGTAGCCAGTTGATCGTCAGGATCTGTTGGTCCTGGTCGAGAGCCAAACCAGCTTTCCTGTTGAAACTGTATGGATGTTGTTTCTGGGACAAGTTCTGTTGTAAAAAGAACAGCTGCTATTGTTGTCAAGAAGCCGCAAATTGTAGCAAGAAGCTGAGATAGAGTAACAGCATAAACTTTCAGCTTGATTGAATGATAAAGGGCTCGGAATCCGATCATATCCGACAATGATATATCGAGGTCTCGTGAATTGCAAGATCTGAGAGAGAGGCTGGAGAGTGTGGATAGATCGCGTATCGCAGTATCAGTCGAACTGATGTATAAAGAAACACTGAGCATCCCCAAAGTAGGCAGTGATGTCCATAGCAGAAGTAAATAACCTTCCTCATGGATTGTCGCTAGCCCCTGGGATCTCTCTGATATATCAAGTGCAATTACAGAACCGACGATAAGGCCAAGGGCGAAGATAACGAAGAGGGCACGAGCCCAAGTCCTTAAAGCAAGTGGCGAATAAGAAGACTGTACCCACTCAGTCTTTCTCATTTCCCTTTGCTCTGACAAGGACTCCATGAGATCAGTGGCGGGATCGGTATTGCTATGAAAGAAGATCATATTGCCCAGCACCGTAGCCGGGTCCCGGTACCAGACGCAGGGTGCTCTCCTAGACTGAACCAATGCCCAGAATGAGATACCTAAAAGAAGAAGAAAAAGACCAGTTACTAGAGAGCAGGTCAAGTCGCTCACATGGAGTTTGTATGTCTCCCTGACAATCAATCCCATTATTTGGCTCTCATTTGCTTGTCGGAGGTCGTAATGAGAAAGCATTGGACCAATCTGTTGGGTAATATTGGTTATAGCTTGTCTCAGGACCTTGTTCTGATACAATGTTTTATCTCCAAGACTTGTGTCCATGTGATTTAACTGGAAAGCTGCTTCCACAGGCCCATGCACTGGTCTGGACACTCCATGCGATACTAATCCACCAGGTATAGAGACTTGTAGCATAGTCCAAGGATTTGAGTCGATTGTAATGTTGTGCTGATTTGTCAACATGGTCATCTGGGGATTGATTCCATCGTCGACAATTTCGGCTTTTGAAATCCATGCGATTGGCGAGCAGACCAGAGCTGCACAGGTCCCCAAATGTGGTACAGAGGGGTCCTGGGTGGATGGTTGAAAATACCCTGCGAAGTATAGAAAACTGGGATGTCGTTTGGGAAGCGATGAACAAGGGTGCTCATGTTCGAGATCGTTCTCAATCTTCCATTCGCCTGTGGCGTTGGCTGCTATGTAGCTTTCGATGTTGATTGAGTGTTCGCAATTCTCGAACTGGAGATCAGTTGTAAAGATATAAAAAGTCTCAAAACCTGCTGGCGTTGCAGTAGTTGTGTAGTTTTCCAATGCATGACATTGAATATCCATAATCACCGCATCCACAACAACTGTTAAAGGTGCATTGACCGTACCACGACTTGTAGCACCTGGCCCTGGCTTCGCCAACTTAAAGGTTTGATATGCGCCGTCTTTTGAAACACCGAAAGGTAACTTCATGTCGAAATATTGAAGGGCTCGGGCGTTATGATATGCATCACTGCCGATGGTATGGCTGGCATCCTCGGTCATTGTAAACGAGTCCAAGACTTGTACTTCAACAGGGTGCGAGCTTCTGGTAGTCTGCAGCTGAAAAAGACTTGGAGCAAGAACAATCTGAGCCTTTAAGATCATAGAAGCTGCAGAAATAAGAAACACGAAAAAGTGTTTTCGCTGCAAAGACCGGATCAAGACTGTCGGAGCCAGCATTGAAGTGTAGTTCAAACTGTATCCATCTGGCCCCAGAGACTGTCCATTCTGGATTGCGATCCAAGGGGTATATCTGAGCGTTTGTGACTCGATACGAGACCAGAAGATGATGATTGTGGTGAGAACTAATAAGTAAAGCCAGGTTAGTAAATACATCCAGTGCTTGGGTGGGAAGTGTCGAGAACTTGGATTAACTTACGGGCAGTCGGGCTGAACCTCCACACATACACAAAGTTTGGGCTAGATTCAAAGAGACCGTCATTGCGCTTGGAATACAACAGCATTAATGGCAATGCTTTTGCGAAGCACAGAAACAATCCACAGAAGCTACCAAATATGGTCGGTTTCAACCAAAATGGATGCCATGTCGCGCCAATACCCGTCTGACACTGTTCTCCATTTGCATTTTCATTCTTGGTATTGGGTGGCATGTTCAAGAGAGTTGAATTGACGTTTTCATGGGGATCGTTGGGTTCGAGAGTCGGCTCGGGTTGGGTGTGTTCGGTCGTGGTCGAGGAGTTACTGTCATCAGCTGTCTCTTGGGCATGATAGTCGAGCACGGAGCCCGGGAATTGGATCATGTCGGGGAGACCTCCGGCTGAAGAAGAGCTGGAGCTGGAATGTCGTCGTGCTCTCTGGTACCGGCGCGTGTTGCCGCCAAATAGTGGCTCCAGCTGATGGGATTCGGCCATGTTTCGTTGAGCGAGAAATTGAATAGTAGACAAATACCAAAGTCAATGGGTTTAAGAACGAGGAAAGTTGAATTGTTACCCAATCATGTAGAATAAGTAACGGGCTGGAAAAACTTGACTTGGTCTTGGTGTGACCTGTCTTTCCAGGAGGGTCTGTTCGGGGTAAGGTAAGGTCTGGCTTCTGGGAATTGGATGCCTTGGCCTGTGATTAATGATAAAAGAGGCCAGAAATATTTTGCCTGCCGGAAATCAGTTAGGATTGCCCGTCTTGATGCTTGCCAAGCCACTGCAGTGGTACTTTTATTGTTCTTTGGGTACACAAAACACAGTCTGGTTTTCGTCCACCCTGACCCCCATTACGGCGTAGGTACTTCTGCGTACTTGGCCTACGGGGGCAAGGACGATGAAAAATAAAACTCCAAACCCATTTTCGTGTCTAGATTAAATCGAAGAGAAGGAGGCTCGACGACGTTAGAGTGTTGTTGACGGCGTGGAAAGGTCGTGGCATCCTCAACACGAGAATTTGTTTCACAAAAGGGGGCGGTAAGCGGAATTCAACACACTCCATGCATCCGTCTGTGAAACCATTCTTGGAGGCGGCAACACAGTGAGAATTTCGTATCGGAGCTGCCCGAAGGAATTGCTGTGCAAATGTAGCCATTCCCCTCTTGTCTGGTTTCCAGCCGCATGCGGCTGCGATGAGACTGATTTTCTGTCATCGGATGCTGCATGTGATACTGATCGCGAAACTATCAGATAATGCAACTAATATGGACTCACAGTAGCATCAGAAAATCGTAGGTGGAGGCTGTTCAAGTCAGAAATTACGTGGGCAATAGCTTTTCTCGTGGTCTTCCAAAGGAGCGTCTAAATACAATCTTCAACTCTCCAAGCCGAGCCCATGATCACATCAAGCCAATGTTACCCACAATCTCCTCACACAGCTTCGCTTATCCTGAATACAAGTCCCCTAGATATGTAGCTCAAATATCGGTTTGCCTTTTTGGCCAGCACGGTTGTATGATGCATCACAAGGTCGGTTGCTGACAGCCGGAGATTGGAGATCGGGCCGACACGCAGCTAGGCTTCACTGCAATGACTCAATTAGATGGCTCCGGGTCGTTTTTTAGCCTACGATATGCAAAAATGTTTGGGAATCAGGCTAGGAAAGAAGAAGCGTGAAAAGCAAACTAAGATGCCGTATGCCCTCGTTGTCCAACCGTGACTCTTCGACCCCGTCACTGCTCTTCTTCAGACCAGACTGTGAGATATGAAGCCGACGCAGTGTACCGGACGAAGGGCCGAGATGGATCAGAGACGTCAGCTGAAATTCGCTTTGGCCTCCAGCCCTTCGACCTGGTCGGGCATGACTTTGTAGTACCCGTCAGTCATTGTACTGGTCGTAAACTAGCTCTGTGCAAAACCAATGCCTCACCAAGATTGCTCAAAAGCTGATTGTGCCAAGCTCGCCTGCATTTCCGCCGCCAAGGACCTCTCTGTTGGATCGTTTAAGCAGTCCTAGGAACACCAATCTCTTATGAGCATAAGAGCCTCATCCTTGTTGCTAGGCTAACTCGGGCACTAAGCTATGAAATAAGAAGAAACCTATCCGTTTCGCTCACCGTTTACGACGAGTAATTGAGCTCGCAGTACGCAACGTTGGGGATGGTATTCATATCGGTTTTGCAGCAACTGCATGCGACGTTGAGGTGGAAGAATGCCTCGAGGTTAGATCACCAGACAATGACGATGACGGCTCAAGCCATATTGAGACCGCCGATTCCGACGACAATATCACGACGGGGGTAGGCGACAGTACTGCCACAGATCTTGACGACATCACAGCAACGGGTTCTGTCGACAGCACCACGAAAAGTCCTGGTGAGTCAGGGCTAGGGTTCGGTCTTGTAGATGAAGATAAGGGCAGCCTCCGGGACCGAGACCCGGAGGTCTGAGACCGTAGTCCAGACTAGATTCATATTACCTGGTCTGGAAGCTGTTACAGGCGTCTCACTAATCCCAAAATATGACATAACCTTTCTTATGGGATCACGACCTTCAGTGCAGGTAGGTAATCGGGCAAATCGATGGCAATACTGCATCTGACAAGAGATTGCAGGTAAAATCACCAAAATCATATTAAACGCACACTAATCATTGAAAAATATATCTGTTACGACACTCCAAGCAATCTCTTTGTGTCATCTCACCGCGCTACGATCACGAGATGGTTCCCGAGTTATCGGCGCAGTTGAAAACCTTTGTGATCATGCCAGATGCATAAGCGTCTTTGATAGAAACACCTACACCATAACTGAAGACAAGTTAGCTTTGTCAATGGGCATGTGGGACGAGCACAAGGTACTTACGTTCCGGCGATAACCATGAAGAGTCCAATCGAAACAATGAAGATATGAAACCCATAGATGGCCTTCTCACGGCCTGATCCAGTTCTATACGATTTGAAATCATACATCCACAGCATAGCGGGGAAGATCAAACTGAAAGGGGCAAAGCAAAGTGATCCGGCAAGGCCGAGGAGGTAGTTGAGAATCGGGACCGCTTCTGCAATGATAAATCCAAGAATTCCGAGGAGGAGGTTAGAACCCAACCATGTGGCCCAATGCGTGGTCGTGTTCTCCTGCAGGTGGCGGGAGTGGCGTAGGATGCGCACAAACATGTACTTGGCGGCAACATGCTGATAGATACCAACACCAATAATCAAACCGGGCAGGGCGACTCCATATGAGATCTTCTTGAACAGGGTACCGGCGCTGCCAAATGCTGGCGTAGTGAGCCAAACACCGCACCAGCGGTAGATGACGAGAGAGAAGGTCAAGTACATGGAGCCAACCAGAACTCCAGTGACAAGGGCAGCCTTGCGGTAATCCTGCGGGCGTCGCATCTCGGAGATGACAGGCAGATACATAGACGAGCCGCTTCCGCTGATGAAGATGTTGGCACTGGCGGTAATTCCGACCGTGAAGCTGGGAGACGCAATAGCGACCCATCCAAGCTCGTAGTCTCCTGTCTGAGGGGCTGCCGCAGGACGGTCTTGTTGCGTGACGGCAACAACAAAGATAAAAACAGCGATGAAGAAGGTCGCGAAGCCGAACCAAGTCAGCCATCCGAGGCGGGAGAAGGTTCTGACGGATGAGAATCCAGTGATGAGCACGGCGGAAACGAAGCTGAAGACGACCGTGCAGGCACCATGTTCAGAAAGTGCATTGAAGGCAGTAGAGCAAGAGACGATTCCAGCGGCCGTAATGAGGACTTGGGCAATCAAGATTTGGAGGCCCACGAGTTCCTTGCCGACTCGGCCCCAGAGGAGTCCGCACATGTCGGCCAGAGCTGTACAATTAATTAGTGTCATTGGTCAATAGCCGAAGCCGTATTCAACCACGAAAAAACGTACTATGACATTCGGGGTGGCGGTTGCGAAAGTCTCCCAGGATAATGGCGGTGTCTGCAGAATTGGTGAGCATTGCTAATGGCGCTTCATTGAGCAGCGTTACTAACAAGTGTTCAAAACCTCCCACCCGACAATGGAAAGGGCTCCTCCGACTGCGCCAAGTGTTGCAAGAGATCCAGGAACACTCAGGATGCTCATGGCAAACTGGATCTTGAGGAAGATGATGGTGGCGCGTTGCCAGCTAACTGTTCGGAAATTGACTCCATCGGCCGAGTCCTTGAACACTTCGTGTGTTTCGTACATGTCTCCCTTCTCGCTGGGAGTGTTACTGTTCATCATCTGGGGCTCGATGCTATCCTGGGTCTCAGCCCCGGCGGTCTTCTCGGGGACACCCATTGTGAGAATCTTTAACGAAAAAAGGCGGGGAAATCACCAGGAAACGATGTTGGGAAGGACAATGTGTGATTATGCCGGTTGCAGCGACAGGGTATCATTGAATGCAGGGAATCTATGAGAAGATATAGACAGCTCGTTATCGTTAGTCCAATTGATAGCTCCCCTGTTTCCATCCCCAGTCCATCCCAGGGTTCTGGGCTCCAAGAGTGGGACATCACAAGGGATGGTTGATAGCCCGTATCCGGCATCGGCAATGCTATCTACATATCACGGCCAAGCGTACCACGCATATATGTGGCGTTTTGCGCTGTCTACAGCCCACAACGGTTGGAAAGGTTGATTCCAGCTGTATTTGCATGGAGTCTCCACCAGTTATTCTGTAGGTTGAGGTGGGCTCAGGAGCTTTCTCTGCTAGCAACTAGATATGCATGTATCGGTTACTCTCACCCTCGACTCTTCTGCAGCAGCATCAAAAGTGCCTGTACGAGCGGGTCAAGTAATGAATTAACCTTTCCAACCGTCGTGGGCTGTATCAGACAGGCATAAGTTATCTTCACCCACCGACTGGGTCGGATTATCGGCATTCGTCGAGACCCGCACAGTCTGAGAATTAAACGTCGGACACAGTCTCATGGAGATAACGGCAAAGATGACGAAGATAGGGAGCAGATCTAGGCCAAACATGGTTTGGCACAACTCAACATGTGTGGGGTAATGATACGGGGTAACACGCAGACATGGGCTTGAGATACCGAGTGGAACCTGGACAACTGAAGAAGCGTCCTCCCCACGGGCTAAGAGGACATCTCGACCTGCTCGCGGGAGCCCAGAAGCCTGTCCGCTTCAATATCTCAACCTTTTACAGCACTCATCCACTGCAAATTGACTATGCCGCGTCCCCGGGTCCATCCTAGCCAGCGTCAGCGGGCGGCGGAAGCTTGCAACTTCTGCCGCGCCTCCAAAAAGCGATGCAGTGCTACGGTGCCCTGCACAGCATGCACAAAGCGTGGGATTGAATCCTCGTGCTACCTCACTCACAAGCCTTGGGGCTCAAGACGCAATACCGACGCTGCGGCCAGTCCGCGCCAGAATCCGGCCACGGGCCCGCTTGTGGCATCTTCTGCCGGGAGCAGTTCCACTCAGAATCGACCCATACGCAGTGGTCCACCGCCGCACGAGGCAGGCCGGGGCCAAAGACATGCTTCAATGCCCCCGGCCGCATCTCCGGCATGGGGCCGGACCCCGGGATCGTCGCGGGATGATGGTGAGGAGTACCGGCCCATCTCGCCGTCAGAGTCTCGGGTTGATAGCCCCGATGCCATTCAGAGTACTGCTAGTGGTAGCACACGTAAGCTGTCATTCAGTCGTGATCCTCATGCTCGAATGTTGTTAAATCTACGGGGAAATCGAGGTACGTGTCCCAGTTCTTGGTCAAGGACAATTATTCCCGTTGAGTAATGGCCTTGTTATGTCAATGAGGCTTGGCGTCTCATCAAGCTCGACCCTACCCTTACTTTTCCATCCACCCACTAACGCAATGTCATAGTGTTCATTGGGGAAGCTGCCTCAATATCATTCCTGCAATTCCTTCGAGACACAGTCGAGGAGCAGATTGGTCCGTCGCAGTTCACTCGCAATGACAAAAGTCAAAACATGCTGGAAACGGCACCAACCACATCAGACACCACATCCCCAGCAGCTCTAGACATTGAAGCCTTTGGCAAGGAAGAAGTATCACTCCACTACAATATTTATCGCGCCGTTGTAAGTTCTCTTCATCATATACGCAATGGTGGTCGCTTACCAGGGATAGACTGGCGGGTTCCTTGATCTTCTTGCATCTTCAGAAGTTGAGGCTCTCCTCGATTCTTCAAATAAGCCGGCAAACCTTTTGAGTGATGGAAGTCGTACCATGCTCGACCTTGTCGTCGCCATCGGCGCACAATGTAAATCTCCTGATGCTGCCCAGGGAGTGGGCCAGGAATACTTCCGACGCGCGCAGAGTCGAAGTTTTGCGTCAATGCTTGAAGACCCAGACATCGACATGGTCAGGGCATTCATATTAATGACTTTTTACATGCTGGGGCACTGCCGACGAAACACAGCTTTCCTGTACTTGGGGATCGCTACCCGCGCCGCTGTGGCCTTGGGTATGCACCGCCGAGACTCATACATGGATTTGACCAACGAAGAAGAGAAATTCAGGTAAAATCCCTCAAACCTGTTTTGCCATCGCTGTATCTAACGCTACACCTCTTTCAGATTGCGTGTTTGGATGAGTCTCTGCATTGTGGACATGCTGGTCAGCGCCATCCTTGGACGACCTCCAGCAACCTTGTCATTGCGATTCGACGTGGATGGCGATCTGGTGGAGTCGCCAGGCATCTCCACAGACCCAGACACCATGTGCCTAGTCGCTTCTTACAAGATTAGCAGCATCATCAATGCAGCGGCCCATGAACTATACGGCAAAGAGGCGGTAGCGCACGCGGCTGCGGAACGGCTACTGGAAGACATCGACAAGTGGAGTCGGGCCCTTCCCGAATACCTCAAGACCGAGACCGTGGGCTCCGGCGGCACACGCACACAAGCAGAAACTATCCGAAATGTCCATGTTTCTTGTCTGTATTACTTTGCAGTAACCCTGGTTACGCGGCCCATTTTAATATCAACTCTGAGCTCTCGGCCGGGGCCTGAGACCTCGTCCTCGTCACAGATGGCATCTGCGTGCTTGGATGCCGCACTATATCTTATACAGACGTGTATGGATGCACACCGAGCAGGCCTTTTACTCGGGAACATGTGTATTATGAAGTGAGTATTTCCGAGATCCCTGGAAGTTTTCGAAGCTTACCAAAGTGTTCAATAGGGCATTGATCTTCGCCACTGGCCTTATCCTCGGATTCGTCATGGTCGCTGAGCGCAACTCCGACTACGAAGTAGAAAAGGGATTCCGCAGTGCCAAGGAACTCCTCGGTTATTTAGCTATGCAGAGCCCACAAGCAGCTCACTACTGCGAAATATTGGGGCTATTGCTGAGTGCAATTGAGACACCGCGGAAAAGGCTAGCCACTCGCGGGCGCAACAAGTACGTGGGAAGGCTGTTTACACTCGATCGGGTAACGGAAGACTCGTCAGCTATGGATATCCTACCCGACAACAGTGGGGACTTGGCAGGAAGGGACTTCGCGGGTCTGGCCGGTGAAGAGAATGGCGCTTGGGTTGGCTTTCCACAGCCACTTACTGATATTGATGGCGATTTTCTGTCGGGATGGGATGCACTGGATTTGTCACAGTGGGATAATTTTCCCTTCTTAGGTCCGCGAAATTTTCTTGTAGATTGAAATGTAGATCAGAACCATGAAGCGAATAATTCCAAGCAAAACAAGATGGTTCGATGTGTGATTGAGCGGAACATCTTCAGGGGCGTTGTTTGAACTTTGAGGTGAAATTTCGGATTGGGAAGGAATACACCTGAACTCGGACTTCGAGATGGCATCAAGTAGTTCTACTCTTAAATACTCGGGAAAGAAAAATTTCCCAATGACGTTTAAATCCCCCCAAGAAACGTTGATTTTATCGGAGGGGCTTCTAAGAGCTACATCCGAAGTTCCGTTATCATCATCCGAGTATCCGCGGGTAATGCACGCACTTATCCGACATTCCGCTGGGCGGATGCCATTTCGCTATCATTTCTTGGGGCGGAAAGTGGCCTAATTGGTCGGCTGTCAGTCATCGACACCCATTGTTCGATGAAGGTTGCGGATAGTGACGGCATGGAGCATCTTGAGGCGTTGAACTTCGAAATAGATAAGTTGTAAAGAGGCATCGTGGTTCGAACTATTGAACTCTGCCATCTCATACTCATCGCTCCTCATCAACACAACACCACAAACAATCGAATCTTCAACCTTTGCATCTCAGAATCAACCAGCATCATGGGCTCTATCCCTACTCCCGGATGGCGCCAGTTGAGCGTCGCTGTCATTGGTGGCGGCATTGGCGGCATGTCGGTAGCAATCGCCCTTCGCCGCGCTGGCCACCTGGTTACCATCTACGAGAAGCACGACTTCGCCGGTGAAGTTGGCGCCTCAGTCTCTTGCGCTGCCAACGGCACTCGCTGGTTGCACGAGTGGGACGTCGACGTCGCAAAGGGCGACCCCGTGATCCTGAAGAAGCTCATCAACCGAGACTGGAAGACTGGCGAGCCCGTGAGCGTGTATGACTTGGACGACTATGAGAAGCGTTGGGGATATGTCTACAACATGTTCCATCGCCAATACATGCATGCTATGCTCAAGGATACTGCCATGGACGAGGCCGGCGAAGGAACCCCAGTAAAACTTCTCGTTAACTACAAGGTAAGGGTTCTTCGATCCACATTCAATCGGTAAATGACTAACTCTTGCCACAGTGCCAAGAAATCGACCTGGAGAAGGGCCTAATCACTTTTGGGAATGGAGTCACAGCGAACCATGAGCTCATCATCGGCGCCGACGGCATTGGATCCGTTGTCCGCGGAATCCTGGGCATCCACCCCGCAAAGAAGCCTTCCGAGTCTAGCTGCCTCCACGCCAACGTCTTGACGGAAGATGCCGTGAAGCTTGGACTGGTTGACTACTCGAAGAACGACGCTCTGGAGTACTGGGGTGGCCAAGAGGGCAAGTGGGACAAGATTGTGCTGTCTCCCTGCAACGGAGGCAAGCTGCTTTCATACTACTGCTTCTTCCCCCGAGCGGTCGGAGATTATACCACTCAGAGCTGGGGTGCCGAGGATCGACCTACTGAGGAGCTCCTTGCTCCTTACCCCAACCTTGATCCTCAGGTGCGTGAGCATCTTAAGATTGGCAAGGAGATCCAGCCGTGGCGTCTCTGGGTGCAGTGAGTATTTCTCGCCTTTAGGATGATATGAAATCTAACGCGGATTACAGCGAGCCCTACCCTTACATCCAGAAGAGCATGGTCTGCCTTTTGGGCGATGCTGGTCACCCTGTACGTAGCCTCGAGTGTTAATGAAAACATGAGAACTAACTAGAAGCAGATGATGCCTCATCAGAGCCAGGGCGCCTGTATGGCAATTGAGGATGCCGCTGCTCTCGGAATTATCTTCAACAAGGATCACTTTATTGGCGACGTCTCCGAGTCCCTCGCTGTGTACCAGGACATCCGACTCCCACGAGCCACCCGAGTCCAGTCTGCTGCCGCGAAGGCCGCATACAACATTAACGAGAGAATTGGTAAGCCTCCTCCCAAAGACCTTGCTTAACGGGAAAGTGCCAACATATCTAGGATTCTCGAACAATAAGGGGATATCAACATATAAGGTCGAGGATGAGAAGAACAAGCTCACCATCGAGGAGATGAATGCGTCAGTATCCCCGAACAACTTCCATGTCCCAAAATACTAACATGAAATTCAGATATGACATGTATGAAGATGTCAAGGAGCAGATCGCCCGCAGACGAGGCACTGCCTATACCGAGGAGTTTGTGAAGGGTCTGCCTGTTGGACTGGAACTACCCAGCGGAATTATCGCTCGCTCTTGATTTGTATGAATTTTATCTGTATTTTGGGTTAGCGAGAAGAAAAGAAGCTAGATTGGAATCTACAATATTCATTTTGAACATCTGAATCGTTCAAAAAGCCGGTCAATATTTTGCCCCACTTAAGCCATATGTATCGTCACTGTGACGACGTAAAATTTGACACCTTACATCACGATAGTGTCGCCAGCATTGAACATGCTCCTCTCCAATCATGTCCCGCGCGCCCTCTTTGTTTAACTGCCTCATTCGTACACATCACATCACCTCGCGCAAGAAGGTACAGCGCGTGCGACGGGCGGCGAGCCAGCTCAATGTAGACTGGGTGTTCATCCGCAGCGGTGGGTCACCTGGCATCATGTTCGCCGAGTCTCGCGACGAGGCTGGACTGGTAGAGTGGGTTGCTGCTGTGCAAGCACTACGGTACAAAGACTTTCGGTGCGCCGTACGACCAGGGCCGGCGCCTGTGACTGGGAATGGAGCGAAGGGCAAAGGTGAAAATGGACGTCTTTTGAGGGCAACGGGATTCGATGAGACGGAGTCGGTGGCGGAGTTTGCGAGGCAGATGGACGTCAGAGGACTGGGAGCATGGTGGAAGAGGGGAATGGGATATGAGTCGGATGGGCAATGACGAGGAGATATTCTGACCGCATCACCTACCACCAGGCTTAATCGAAATTCAACAAGGTCATTCTTTGATCACCAGTTGCAAGTCACAAGGATGCTGGGATAAGTGGATGTACTCAAAGTCCGCCAGCGACTAGAAGGAATTCCCAAGCGCTATGCTCAAGCTGTTGAGATATTGTAGAAGCTCACTGCTAGATTCTTGATGAGGAGCCAACAGTTGTGTTCTGGCAGCTCAGTTGCATTCTCTTGGACCTTCCCATTCAACCTTTTGGGGTCGAAGAGGCTACAGTTCATCGAGATAGAAGACAAATGATAATTTCATGCTTCGAGATTAAATTACTAAACTATGAATAATGTCCATTAAGTACCTTATGTTAATCGTTCCAAATTCCCCTACCACCTCCCCACATCGGTACTTCCTCCACCGGCCAGCTCCGTCATGCTCTCGTCTCTTTGACTCTCGTGAGCATCACGATTTCGGTTGGAGAACTCGAACGGGGCCACATGAGGAATTATTGCTAATTCAGTATTCTCAGACCGGCCAAGATGTCGCACGTCATCGAAAAATACCTTGCAGGCTTTCCGTGATGTGACGATGTATATTATGGAGTTCCAGAATCCCTGTAGCGGCAATACGATGGCACTCATATACTCGAGAGCAACTGAGGAATTGTTGTTGTGGATGACTGAGTAAACACGGTTTGCACTCGACGGGATCCATGTGATAAACATGGCAGTGAAAAACAGCACTGAACACTTCGCGTAGGACCATTCGGCCGGGCTCATGGTCTGGCGTGGTGGGTTTATTGGCGAAGGCGGCGGCTCCGACATGTTGGAAGTCCCCGTATCCTCATGAGAATCTTGGCTACCGGGTTTGCTGGCCGTGATGCTCACGGAATAGGCCAGATTCTGTGGTTGAGCAACACCCTTTGACCCTAGTATATGCTTGATTGGTGTATTCCAAATCGCCTCGGATGTTACCTGGATCTCCGTCGTCTTTCTCCCTGTGGACGTGCTGGTATTTGTCTCGAGGTCGGTTCGGCTCAGGAGACGAAGCTCCTTTCGATTTCGGTAGATGTCGCTTCCTGTGCGGATATATATAAAAAGAGTGACCAAAATGACAATCCTAGACCCTGGTGTTAGAATTTATCGAAAAACATCAAGGAAGAACTCACCAGATTGGGCCGTAGAAGGTTAATATTCGCCAGATCCCCCACTCTTTAGAAACCCAGCACCACAAAGAGGCATTTCCATATACCCTGTGGCCATTGCCATCCCTCACAAATACGTACGTGATCGCAGGGACGAAGGGGATTCCATAGCAACATATCAGATACAGAAATTCCTTTTTTCGTAAATCGACAGCGTTGTATTTGTGGTAAAATGTCAGATAGACGTTGATTGCCATCGACAAAGTCCAAAGTGCATCAGCGGGCATTAGCCTATATATGTTGTTAGGGGGTTCCATTGAAGAAGTGCCAACAACTTACCACTGAATTAAAAACGCTTGCGTTTGGCAACCCACAGAGTTGGGTGACCCGACGTATGATGTAGCCATCAGTGTGGCAATATTCACAATGCCATTGCCAAAAGATGCGTAAAAGACCAATCGGTTGATGGGCTTGTGGAAGGCTTTGGAACAACAAAATGTGACGATGATGAAGAGGCATCCGATGAGTGAGAAGACTGAGCCCGTTCGCTCAACAATGCCTAAGGCATGGATATTCCTTTGCGCCGAGCCGGATACCGCGTTTGGAGCCATACAAGCGATGCGCTCTGACGGACGACATGCAAAGTAGGCAGAAGATCACACACCGTAGTGTATAGGCAGGATAAGACTAGGTGAATTGTTCGTATAGAATATCCTAGTCGATCGAGCTTCAGAGTTGTATCGAGGCCAGGAACGACGCTAGTCTTGGGCGGTAATGGAGGGTTGGATGTAGCAATGTTCGTTCGTTCACCTTTACAACACAGAATCGGGAAATGGGACGATAAATGAAGGGCGATCAGCAACATGAATGCAAATGCTTCCAGAGCCACAAACCCCGCTCACAGGTGAGGGGGCCCAAATGTGTCCTCGGCTTCGACACCAACAAAGGGATGGACTGCCATAGCCTTCTTCGCTGACGAGACAGCATGCCAGTCTCTCAGGAGGGAAGGATGCACGTTCACCGTTTTCAGAGAGCTTAAACGAATCACGTACGCTCAAAATGACAATGGGTGCCATGTCGATGGTGAGAATTGCATGGCAACATGGGATTTTGGGAGCCACATGCATGCAGTGCACCATCCGCGAGACGAATAGAGACCTGCTGCATAGTGAAAATCCAACACGGCTTGAGGAATTCCTATATTTGGCCCTAGATGTGAGTTGAATAGAACCTAAGGTATGGCTGATTACTCTCTGGTCAGCTTTTAGATGTCCCAAGGATGCGCCGGACATGGGGCGGAGTTATGACACACCTTGACGGGCAAATGTGGCGGGTCTCGAAGCTGTCTTGTGACACAGGCTTGGCCGTGCGTATCCAAATGCATATTTACATTCCCTCAATTATCTTATTTCCTATTCATTCTGAAAGGGGTGCGAGCTTGGATTGCTTGGCGTCATCGGCTTTGTGCCATTTTGGATCAAGTGTGCGAGGCGCACGTTAGCGCATCCAGAATTCTAAACTGGTGGTGCAACGGCTCCCCAAGTGGCCCCTACTCATCAAGCTCTTATCTTTTGACGGTACCATCAGCTCTCCGAGTGTCATAAGATTTAATGATTGGGTCATCTCGAGATATAAGGCTGCGTTAGTGAATGAGGCGCAACGGTGAGGAGGTCTGCTGTGATTCGGCCCCCACGACTGCCAAAACGTCTCCCGCCACTCAACGCAAACAATAAACCTATAACGGACAGGTGGCGGAAGACCGGTGCGGGTTGTACCGATGCGTCTGTAGAAATATTGCTTTGTAACCATGTCGGTAGGTCACCAGACCTGTACGTCGAACCAGTCTAGACGGACAGGGCTAAGCGTCGAGTGTTTGCTCTGTCAATGTAGTTTGCTAGACCAGCTAATGTTTCTGTAGACTTATTGAGGTAACTCATTTGCGCTTCTTCTGTGACTTTCACCCAGATTTGGATGGAGACGAGCCTTGCTGGAAAATTTCTGAATATTTCCGAGATCAAGCAAAGTTAGTGAGACGAGATGCCGCCGACAAAGTTACTGTGAGGTAAATTTGAAGCAAAGGCCCTGCATGGTGTAGAGAGTAACAGTTAGTAAGAAAGCAGCCGATGTGATATGTAGGCCGCTCGAGGAGTCGAGAACAGGACCCTGGCACGAGCTCCGATATGAAAGTGGGCCTGTTCAGCCTGCAGTTCAGCTGCGGTCATTCCTCAGTAGAGAATCCTTGAGAACGTAAAGGAATGTTTGTGTGCATGAAGTTCGTCTCACAGTATACCGATTGGCCCACCCTACGAACTCGTTCGCTAGAGGGTTTACAATCTAGACAACACTGGGGGTGTGTCTAATACCAGTCGACTACCCTGATTTCGAAGCACACCACGTCGGAGTTGCTCAGGCAGCGTATTCGGGCATTCAAATACCCGGCAGAGTCGATTTTTAATACGGGCAATTACCGTCTCGATGCCTTGAGTATCAATTACAGGACACACTCCTGTAGTTGCCAAAGCACAGTTCTCAGGGGACCTAGAATCATCTCCAGAGCATGTCATGACTGCTTCTCAATAGGCATCGTTCTGGATTTTTCACAAAGCAAAGATTGGCAAGATGATGTTAAGACGACTTAATATGTCGTTCATGCGTGTATTTTTGGTGTTATAGTGCAAAGTCATGAGAAACATAGGGAACCCGTAATCCAAAACCCCAGGCCCTGTGGTCACCTAGAAAGGATCCCATTACTTGAGATGCTTTCCGCTCAATCATAAACATCAGCAGGGCCATGAACCAATCCACATTTTAGAGATCGGACATCTCTTCCAAGATTAGGTGGAAAGGAGTCTGGCTAGTAAAGGCCGACGCAGATATCACCCTTGACGCGGGCAGTCAGGTGGACCTCAGCTTCAAGGTCGAGCTTGATGCCGACAAGGAGAGCAGCGGAGGTGTTCTTGCCGTTCTCATCGGTGGGACCCTTGAGGAGCTGGCCTGAAGGAAACTGTCAGAAGCTGCTCAAAGTTGTAGTGGCTGCGATGATTACCAGCGGGCTTGGAGAGGCCAGTGGCGGTGGGCAGGGGAACGACGAACTGGCTCTTGCCACCACGCTCAGAATCGGAGTCGCTCTGGTAGGCGTTCTTGGAGAGGCTAGAAAGTGTCAGATGGGATTTTTAAGGCTGTTCAAGCTCGATTGGTCATTGCAAGCGAGGTGCTCACAAACCAAGAGTTGAAGGAAGGGGAGTCTTACGCGCTGGGGGCAGACATGTTGATTGTTGGTGGTGGTTGGTGAAAGACGGAGGTATTGAGTGAAGATTTAGAGTGGTAGTTGAGTGTTGAGAATGGGTGAGTGGATGATGAGAAGTTTGATCCAAGAGGGCTCGAGATGAAGTCTTATATAGCCCGCTCGAGACTGCAATAACCTCACAAGACGGCTCTGAGCGACAGGATATTGCCGACAAGCATCCTAAACATCCCGAATGGCTTTGGACAGCATCGTGATGCTCCCTCCCTGATCCCTGATCGAGATACAATACAGCGAAGGCCAATTGCTCCAACATCCTTGGTTGATGAGTTGTCATGTACGCCCCACCGCGAAAAAGCACAGCGGTTAACCAAGTCAACAGGGCCATCGGACAAGGCGCCATGCAACTCGAGCACCAACATGATACACAGAGGCGCAAAAAAGCAACGCTGCTTGACACGTATGCACGACATCGGGCCATGTGATTAGCGGGTTGGCGGGCTGTTCCGATTCCCCGCCGTCGAGATCCCGCATTCACTTCGTCGACGCAGCTCTGCGCGGGCTCCACGTCCGAATCTCCGAATCGCAGGGATAGGGAAGGCATCGCGGGGAGAGGTTGGGTTGGCAGGGCGCGGTACTGGCGTGGCAAGGGTAGATGCAGCGGGAACGGCGGCAACTAGGAATAGAAGCAAAGAATCCACCATTGCCGAAGGGGCTTCTCCAGTTGGCAGCCAATAATGGCTGTTGATAGGAAATAAATCTCGCCCGGCTTCAGATCTGGCGTGCATCATGATCCACTCGTGAGAGTCCTCGACATGGTCCATGACTCGCGAGAGCTCTCTCCGCACTCGTAACGCCGTGTGGCGGCTCAGAATTGCCTCGTCTATGCCGGTCCTTCATACTGCAGTCTGCCGGTCCTTCATACTATAGTCTGCCGGCCCTTCATACTATAGTCTGCACCTCATACTGCAGTCTGTCCGGCTTCGTCAGCTGCCGGAAGCTCGATCGCTGCCGATTCGATCCACCGAGTTAGCGTCCATGTACGGATGCTCGATGATCTTATTCCGGGATGTTATGATGATGCAATGCTACCGTGAGCGCTGATCCAGCGAGATCTGGTCAATTGGGGGCTACGTGGTGTTGCCATTTGCCTCAGACCCCGCACAAGCGGATGGGACTTCTAACCAAATTCCAGGCCAACCCTTCAGCGGCAATTACTGAAATTACTTACGGATCTATGCGCAGTGGGTTTCGGGGCGGTGGAGAGGGCGCTGTTCAGCTGGGCGAGCTGAGCCCAGACCAATATCACGCGACATGGAAAAAGAAAAAAAGAGCGGCTGAGGCCGAAGAAAGGCGACGGAGGCCATTGACACAGAGGTAAGCTCCGGTCAATGAGTATTGTAATCAAATAATTGCGGTTTAAACCGGCGGCCGGCACCACAAAATGACCTCTGTCTAGGATGGCGTGCGTTGATGTGTGAATATGCTTAACGCCACTAGGTTTCGTTACACAAGCTATCCCGCCGCATTGGCCTCACATCCATAGAAGGGCAGTCGAAACACCCGCAACAGTTGTGGTATTCGGATTCTGGCCAAATAAGTCCCTTCACATATGAGCAGTCTATTTCATGATCAGACGAATTTAGACGGAAGCAGACCGATTTCATAGCGATACGCCAGGTGCTTTGCCATCGAAATGGCAACTTTGTGGGGTAATAATAGACGTGGGATGTCCATGATTGCGTGTTGAATTGGCCGCCTTCAATATGAGGAAGTGTTTTGACGGGCGCTCACAGGGTTTCCATCATTATATCATCAATATTTCTGTCCATACGAATATTCTTCTTCACAATGGATTCTCAATGTCCACACGTCCCCAATCTTTCTCATCCAATGGGCACTTCCAGAGCAATTCTCGGCAACCCTGACCTAGGTAACACATCATGAAATTGAAGCATGTCAGATATACGAGATGTGATCCATCAAGTTAGGCCCGCCATGAAGCTTAGCCTGAGTAGGCTATCGACCGGGGCATCCATTCACTCGCAAAGCGGCATGGTTTCCACTACACAGGTTTCCTAACTAAAGCAACGCTCAATTCCCTTTCTGCGCATCAATACACAGGAAATGCTTGTTTGCTAGAAGCAAACTGCAGGGGCATTTGTCCAGAGAAAGCGATCACTCCTCTTAACATGCATCCAACGCAGTGCAAGAAGTCAGAATTAGAAGATCATGCTGACGGGATATTATTCTTGGAGATTATACGTTAGACGTCGCCAATTGAGCCATGATGCCAAAATAAATCTAGCAATTGGAACACAAAGCAACATGGCTGAGGAAAATCGCCAAAAGCACAATAAGATCTAGGGCGTAAAACATAAGGATTTAAAGTTATTTAAAACTATATAGAATAAAGTAAAGTAAAATAAAATATACTAAACATATTTTATAAGATATTAACAGAATATAAGCTAAAACATATTTAATATCCATTTAATTTTTGATCTGCTGGGTAGTGATGGGCCGTAACCCACAGGTAGCTGTGGGTAGTAACTTTCTGCCCATCGGTACCCTTCGGGTAACCCGCCCGTGGGTACCCATGGGTATTTACAGCCCTAATCAGATCGCCAGAACGATTGATCTTAAGTCCATGACGAAAGCCAGAATGGAACTCCGGTCTCATCCTCGCCCAGTTCAGATGCAGCATTTGCGATAAGCTATTTGAGCGAATTAAATGGCTTCTTTTCTGTTCCGGGAGGCGACTGAATGCGTATGACTCTCCTCGGGGAACTTGAGGCATCGACGTAAGGGACAGTGCAAGCGATCATCACTCGGGTTGCGGAAGCTGGAAAGAAGATCGTATCAGGACTCCAGTCTATTCGCGTCGCATTCGACTTGGCATAATCTTCCTACACAATTCACCGGAATTACTACTAATACTGATCGACAAAACATCTCACACATGACTGGATACCCAGGCGCAAAGAAGGCAGCTGGATTCCTCAACCCAGACAGTCCGGGAGATGAACTCAGTGTTTTAGGGGGCGTCATCACCCTGAGATCAATCTTCGAGACTCCTTTGACTCAATCACTAATCCAACGAGATCGGATCATGGAACCAAATCACGGGCCCCTCCTAGAGAGTTTGAAGGTACACACCCCATTGTCTTAAGGTGAACGACTCAAGTTGGGTTCGAGGAACTATTCCCAGATAACTATTGGCGAACTAAACTTGCACCAGATGGTCAAACCTTTTCGGAGTTAAGCACGGTTCTAAACTCATTGGTACACTCACGCTCAAGAAACGCTTCATCAACTTGGCAGCGACGACTCCGAAGTCTACGTACTATCGCAATTATTTCCAAGGGCACCTGCGTCACATATTGGAGGAGCATGTGTGTTGTCTTTGTGCCGCTTGCAAAAATGTTTGACTGAAATGGGCTACAGGAGAGGACATACGGTTGTCACCCTTGAGCTGGGGCGATCTGTTAGCAGACGGGGAGAAAACACCCATAGGAAACGCAAGAAATAGACCGCACACAGCATTTAACTAACATGAATCACGAAAAAACTATGTTTAGAAGTAACGAGTCCACGAGAACTGTGTATGCATTATATATACCTATGTTCGTGCTTAATATTAGACATGAAGTAACATAAAGAACCCTCAAGTTTGCCATCATCCCCATCCTCCCGTTTCAAGATCAATTTACATGTTCTCGATCAGCTTGGGAATGAGAATGTCGTTGTACCACCAGAGGTGAGTCTGGAACTGGGCAAACCAGGCACCACCGGTCCACCAGGTGGATCGGAGGCCCTGAAGGGCATACAGGTCTTGGATGAAGCCGTCTTTGAGTTCATCGGCCGACACGCGGGCGTGCATGGGGCCGTGTTCGGCAAAGGCAACAAACTCCAACTCGGAAGAGTCGGGGGTGTCGATGGCGCCAGCCTTGATGAGAGCGTTGAAGTTGGTCTGCGCCAGCTCCTTAGCACCGGTGCTGTCGAGGTTGCCGTCACCGATGACCAGAACACGGAAGTAATCTCGGCCCTCGCCTTCCTCGGTGCCCATGTAGTCGAAGCGGGCCGTAAAGTCCAGCTCGGGGAGGACAAGCCAGTTGTTGGGAGAAGCAGTGGCGGGCAGGTTGTTTAGAGAATATCCGGTGGGCAGGCTCGGGTTGGATACAATGCCGGCACCGATGGCAGAGTAGGAGAACTTGTCAAAAACAGCGTGCTCCTCGTCATCCAGGTTGAAGGGTGCAAGGTTGCTCTCGGTGGGCTCAATGGCAAGGAGGAGACGCTTGGCCTTGACGGTGACGGTCTGGTTGTTGTTGCTCTTTACGGTGAGCAGGACGCCCTCGTCAGAACGCTTGGCGCTCACAACAGTTGCGGAGTACATGACATCTTCGCCCAGCTTCTCAGCAAAGGCATCGTAGATGTCCTGGTTGCGGCCGGAAGCAGGGACGAAAGTGGACTGGGTGCCGAGGAACGATCGGGCCATGGGGCCACCAAAGGCTTGCATGACCCAAATTGTCAGGACGTTGGAAACGTTTCCGAGACCCATTCCAGTAACTTTGAAGAGTGTAGGAACGAGGGCCTCAAGTTCGTACTTCTCAACGAAGTCGCCGAAGGTGAGGAGCAGGTCATCGGGGATGTCCTCGGGCGCCCAGAAATCCCAGAAGCTAGGCAGAAGCTTGTCCTCGTACTGGGCACAGATCTCAGCATACTTGGCAAGGGCCGCCATCAACTGAGCAGAAGTAGGGGCGCTGTAAACAACATCCTCGCCGGTGGTGAAATCCAGGTAGCGGGTAGTAGTAGAGGTGCGGCCAGGAGCCGCAGTCTTAACACCAAGGCGCTCATTGACGAACTCAGCGGCACCGTGGACATCAACGAACGACTGGACGCCGTAATTGTAGCTGTTGCCTGAAGCGGCGTCATAAGTGTTGACGTGGCCACCCTTAAGTGTTGGTTAGGACATGGCATATGTACACCCGAGGAGTGGCGACTTACAAGATGGTCTCGCTTCTCAATCAAGAGGATGCTCTTGTCGTAATCCTCGCGGAGGCGGAATGCAGCGTGAGAGCCGGAAGCACCTCCACCAATGACAACAACATCCTTCTCAAGAGTGCACTTGCCAGCCGTCGCCAGGGCGGCGATAGTCAGGAATTTGACCATGGACTTTGCGAGCGACATAATGAATTGGGTTGCGTAAACGAATGGCGGGTAAAGATTGGGGACCCGAAAAAAAGTGACTGATACGATCCTACGGAAACAAGGTCGATGGGCCAGCAAAGGCTTATCCGAGCGACGAGGCGTCGATGGCATCGTTTAAATACTACAGAGTAGGTTGCAATGGCAGTCCGTAGAAGAGGGTGGACTCCACCACCGTCGACGTGTCATCTCATCAACTCCTCCGGGGGTTCCTGAAGAGCCAAGACTCGGCGCCGCGTGGCGCGTGGCGCGTAGGCATGGGCAGGCAAAAGGACAGCCAGAAGCGCACGTAACGGAGCTATTCATGGGATAGTCCAATGTACTCCCTGGCGCCATGTCCTTGCTTGCAGTTGTTAGTCCGCCGGAGAGGAGGCATTGGCGGTGGACTGGATAATTAATTTACATTGCCAGGAGGCCATGCTGAAGCAGCGCCAGTTCCAGGTGCTAATTCCCGGAGCCCGTACCCGCGCTACGCCCTGTAAATTTATCTCCAGGAGCTTCCTTGTGGGGGCTCGGGCCGGATCCGCCGCTAGAACCGCTGGTCTGCGCATCCCGCGCACTGAACATAACGCTAATTACAGCCCTGTACTAGACCGCTGTGGCTACAGGGTCCGCCTTTTATCAGCTAGATTCCCTCGAAATGACAACCCTTGCCCATCAACAGCCCAGATGCGGCACGCAAAATGCTCCAATTTGGTGCTATCTAGACCAATATCCCTTCCCACATCTCTTTCAGCTCATTTTCCAGCGCGTCCCGGCTGCATGGGTGGCGTCAATAGCGGGAGTTTACCCCATGGCTTGTGGATTCCCATCATGCCCACCACTCCTCAACGTCACTCTTCCGGTGTGAATTGAGGCCTCTAGCAAGGCCAGGGACAGATATTTCAGGCAATTGTACGACTAGAGCGCTTCCAATCAATATATTGACCGTTCGTGAGCATGTTTCCTTTACCAAATGGGGGTGCCTGCCAAGGCGTGGTAACTCCGGCTTTCCGGACCTGCGGACTCCAACACGAATACCCTCTAATGTCTATCTATAGCCCTACATCTCTGTCTAGAGTCCCAGTGGAGCATCTCGACAGTCTACGCTCACCTTGAACCTTGAAACGATATCGCTCTGTTGTCAATCCGACGCACCCAGCAACACTTGACGGCTTTGACATGCACACCGTCATGTCTCCCACGTGGGATCAAGCTTCCATTAAGGAACATCCCTCTACTATACAACCTTGGGGGACTACGACAGTACCATCCAGCGGGGTCTTTCGGTTCTTCGGTCTCTACCAGAGGCCCCGAGTCAAGTCAGCACTTGGTACCAGTGTAGCAGTCGTGGTGGGCCGTCAACCGTCGCTTGCAACGACAGAATATAGCGTCATTCTCCCGTTTCCTGTCATTGGGCATTCTTTCCGGGGCCTAATAGGGCCTGTCTGTCAATTTTCCGGCCAGTTATCCTCAGTCCCCTAGTCGCCGCATAATCCTATCCTATATTTGACGATGGCTCGACTTACTAGACTGAGTCTCCCTCACAATCCACGCTCATCCGTCAAGCTGGAAGTCAGTCGATGCTGATAAACATGCTATAGTGGTCCACAATAAATCCACAAATCAACACATTTGTACGCTGTTAGCACTTATTAGTAAATAAGACACGCAATGCAAGGCATACAAGCGTTAAGATCATCCAGACGCACAGGGCTTCAAAGTCCGAGTCAATAGAAGTGTATCATCCCAAATGCTCAAGCGCAGGAACAGTTCAGATGAATCTCAAACCGTTCACAACCTGGCACATTTAACCTCCGCCTGACACACCTCACAGCAACAATTACCTCACATCCCACTCGGAGTACTTGTGATTTGGCCAATCACATATTCATTCAGGCTTGACGTCAAGTGTGGAGCCAAGCCATCCCGTTACCGGTAAATCATAAGGACAAGGGGGCGATAGTCCTGTGCCTGGGGTGGAGGTGGAGATGGAGACAAGTTAGAGCTAAGAATTGCGGGCCAGCCTGCCAGCCAAGCGATGTTCTTCTGTAGGACATGCTCTAGCCGAGATGCAAAAGTCTCACCACTCTCTGTAGGCTTTGCTCGCCTTCCCATATTTCTTATTGCTCGTGTACGATGAGAGCAATCTGAATCTGGTAGATGCCGTCTGCCCCCCTGACGTCCCAATTGTTCAGATAGAGTCACGCCATGGCATTCGTATCATTCAACTCCCACTCGGCAGTCCGGGGCCCTAGTATGAGCATCACCCAGCCTCCATGATCGTCGACCCTCAACTTGGCCGGAAGGAGTCTGGGAGATTCACAAAATCAGGCCATCCAGCAGCCAGGGTACGAGGTCGATTCTGCCCTGTTGGCATCCACACGGAGAACGGGAGGTAGCGTCCGCAGTGGGCCCTCGAGTCTTCCGTCCCGCAATACCCGTCTCTCTCCTAACTCAAGTTCACGCCTGTGCGTAAGGCGTCTCGCACTAACAGCTTAAATCTGCCGGGCAGAGTAGCACTTACAGCTGCAAAACTTGGCTTTATAACTTTTTATGAACAACTTCGCGCATTCTTTGGCTACCATAGCCGGCACCGGGTTTCACTAGCAACAAAGACCACAGGCTTGCATATCCTGACACTCCCAAGGGCACTAGGCCCCAGTCGAGTTGAGGCTGTTGACACGACCCAGGGTGTGAATCCTGTGCCAGGTTCCCTCCAGCTGCAGGCGTATTCCGCCTGTCCTGGATCCCCCTGGCAATCTGCATTAGAATTCCCGGCGTTGACCAACAGTGTGCCTGGTGCCAGGCCCACAGCACTGGGCCTGTAGTCGCCTCTGAGACTCGGGCTTTGGAACCCCCTCAACCAGACCCAGTCGCCGGGCAATGTTGCAATCGAGCTGGGTTCTCTAGAATTGTTCATACGCCAACTCGTGTGCTTGTCGTTGGATCCTTGTACTATATGTCCTCGTCTATGACCCAAGACGTCCAACCTAAACGGGCTGTGTCTAGCAAAAAAAAGAAACGGTTCCCTAGGGCGTCTCGACAAGGACAGGAGGTGAGGAAACAGGGCAGGCGGTAGACGGGTACTACAGTGGCAACGCACGATGGCATGGCACGGCACATGAGGTTGCGTGTTTCTCGCGGCGTCCATTTGGGTTGTAAGGGTGGAATACCGGAGCCCCCTCCGACTTGTCAGTGCTGTACCTCGCATTCCCGTAGATCGATTTCTCGAAGATCAGCGTTCAAAAGAGTGTCCTCTCCAATTCTAAACCATCCCACTGGGTCTGTGTACGGGATCCATTTGCAGGCCCTTCACAAACCAGCCTACCGGGTCTTGGTTGATCTTGGTATCGGAATAGTTGACGAAACGACCATCGCAATGTCGAACTCGGGCTCAGTCGTCGTGCTCGACCCGGCGACGGCGGCAGAGAGCAACGTGGGTCGAATCCTCGCCGTCACGACGACCTTTCACTTCCTGGCACTAACATCTGTCGGCCTGCGACTCTACGTGCGACTGGGAATGGTCAAGGCTGCCGGGCGGGATGACTGGACCATGATGGCTTCGGGGGTGAGTTGAGCAACGCTACTTTTAGGTGGTTAGAGAAAACAGTAGTGCTTACGACTTGTTCTCTTCTAGCTATGCGCCTTCATCGGATGGCTCATCTTCGTTCTCCAGTCGTTCCACGGTCTTGGACGACATAGGGCTACGATCGAAGAGCTGGACTACATCGAATTCCAGAAAGTCGGCTTCTGGCAGTCCATCATCTCTGCCACATGCGCGATGGCTCTGCTCAAGATTTCGATTGCCCTCAACTTGCTGCGACTTAGCCAGAGCAAATGGTATTTCTGGTCTCTGTGGTCGAGCATCGGTGGGTCTCTCCACGTCACTTTTCCACGATTTCTTAAATCCTACGGACGTCAAGACAATCCGCAGAGGATCTCGCGTACTGACAATCATCAGTCTTCGTTTCGGCATACAGCTTCATGGGAATGATGACCTTCTTCCTCCACTGTCAACCCATGGCCGCTCACTGGGACACTCGCATTGACGGAAAGTGTTATCCGTTAACTCTCTTCATCCAGTTCTCCCTCATCAATACATGTGCGTCTTTTCGCTCCCCGTCTTCAAGGAGGATTAATTGCTGACTTGCATAGCGTTCAACATATTCACCGATGTCCTGTTCGCGACCTTCCCCGTACCGATCATCTGGACGCTCCAAATGAAACTTCGAACCCGTTTATACCTTATTGGCATCCTTAGTCTCGGATACATGTGCGTTTTTCATCTACTCTCCCTACGCTTAGGACGTCACAGTGCTGACTCGCGACGTAACAGGGCCGTTGTGATGGGTATCCTGAAGGCCATCTTCCAGATCGCCTTCGCAACAGACACGGATAAGTCCTTGTAAGTTTACGCTTCTCTGCCTCTACAATAATCTCATGCTAATTTACTACCATTAGCAACCAATGGATCCAGTTTTGGGGATTGCAAGTTACTCCGGTAGCCCTCGACCATTTAACTTGACTGACCAAATGCAGCCTCCAGCTAAATCTTGGCATGATCGCCGCCTGCGCCCCTTCGTTAAAGCCCCTCGTGAGCAAAGCACTCAAGCTGTCCTCCTACTACAACTCGACCCCTTACGGCAATCGCTCGTACGGCGCACACTCTCGGCGGCTAACAGGGGGCGGGCGTACCCCAGGCAACGTCTCCAACTTCTCGCGCAACAACGACTTCGAGCTTGGCGACCGGCGCCTCGAGGGCGATGGCGTTGCAGCTGGCGAAACCGGTGTCACGACTACCTTCTACAAGAACGACAGTTCCGACGGCGGAAATCGATCCGGAAGCGAGGAGATGATACTCGGCGATGGCCCCTTCAAGGCGGGAATTGTCCGCACTACAGAAGTGACCATCCAGCGATAACGGAATGGATCAAGGAGTAACTTACATGACTTTAATACCAGTCGTACTACTAACAAGCCAGGCATCTGGCGGAGGAAAACGAATGCGATTTTGTTTCGTCGGCTCCCAAAAAGGATGGGATTTTCATTGAAGGCGCACTCGGCCATGTACCATTTAGCTGTCAGGGAAAAAGCAAACACAGGCTCTCAATACCCTGAGTCTCTTTCAATCACTGTAATTTTACTAAAGCACCTCCTGCATACAACCCACCAGAATCTTCATTTGCGACATCGCCACAAAATAAAAGTCCAACCACCAGTAAATAAGCAAGTCCTAATCCCCCTAAAATTTAGGGCTGTTATGACCGACTATGATGGCAGTCTCAGGAAAACACCACTCGTTTTCTTGGCTGACATCGGATAACCGTCTCCCAATTCAAGGGGAAAGTACCGAGGGAGAGGGACCTGGTCATAAGGAAGCCGAATTGAGAAGGCCAGCAGCCCAGGGCGTCTGGGTTCTTCAATGGGAAAGAAAGGCGTCCCATTCTAATAAGCCAGACAGCCACCATCTGCAGAGGCTCCGATCTCATCTCCACGGAACCACAGCCAGCCCAGGAGGAGGCGGATTCCGCCTCCTCCCTCACGCAAAGCAATGGGCCCATCTCTCCCTCGTCCACAAGGATTTGGATAGAGGGACTAAGAGGGAAGAGCCCACCGAAACATGTCCGATGGCACCCATGCATTCCCGAGGCGGAAATAATCAGCCACGGCCTACCCCGGCCCGGCGCAGGGAGCATCGTGGTGTCTGTGTTGCGGGTGCCCTGTAAGGTACGGACAATAATTACGGAGTCCGTTGACTCCATTTTGCTCGCTTACACGAATGATAACGTTGCTTTTGAGAAGAGCTGCAGAAGCCAATCTGTGGTTGATCTGCTAACTGGACCAAGCATAGCATTACCGTATCGGCTCGATAAATTGCCCCTATTTTTATGGACTAAAGCTAAGCTATAAGGCTTAGATTTCCTAAATCATGGGGTATAAAAAAACCTGATGGCAATAAGTGGGGGAAGGATTCAGGGCCAATTTACTGAGTCGATACGGTACTTATCCAGGCTGCAATTGTGACCATTTCTTTTTTTTAACTGGCGAAACCCACGGAGAATCTTCCCCTTGCATAGCGTCATGTTCACTCGGTGCGGAAAACCACTCACTTCAGTTTCAAAAGCAAGTGTCATACACCGTTCATCCCCCTTTCGACAGCATTCCCCTTCGTCCCGGCTAGAGCACCAAACCCCTGCACCGCGTTGCTCAAATTCCAGGAACCAAGTCCCCGGAAGGCAATCCACGTCAGGAACCCGGCCTTAGGATAAGCAGGGGTGACGGTTCTGGCGGCGAACCCTGGACGCTTGGCGCTGATGCGCAGTCATGGCTTTGTCAAGAGGCCGATGTCATGTTTCTCCTCAATTCAGACAAGGAATAAGACTCGTCTTCTGCATCAGGAGAGTATTATTTTATAGAGTAGCAATTTTGTCTGACAGTAAAACATGGAATTATCTACTAGTTTGCGTGCGTGCTTTAATCGTAGGAGGTAGAGAAGCATCATCTTGGACAGCTCTTCATGAAGCCCTCGATGTATCTCCTCAGAATCTGGCCAGGGGCAAGTCGCATCCCCAAGTCCCCGGATGACGTCCTGCACTATGGTTCCCTGTCTCGGCCCCTTTGTTCACGACGTCCCTAGGTGGCAAGACTTCGGAGCTTGTTGAACCGTGGAGTTCCCCAGCCAGTGACTGGGTCCCATCCCTTGACGGCATCCCATCCTGCGTTCGGGATCACGGGCGACGGAAGACCCCAGATGCTTGTACCCTGGCAGCCAACCGAGCTGCCCTCAGTAATGCTATTAACATGTTAGCGGTGACCTAGACTCCAAGGTACGAAGGTTGGAAGGGTGTACACCTACTCTGTGAAACCGATCCTGCCAACCTGGTAGATCCAGGGGTTGAGGAATCCCATCGGGCGTTTTCCCTGCTTCAAGAGTTCATTATTGATAAGGGCAATCATGGCCCCAAAGACAGGGGATGCGGCGCTGCAGGCTCGTCAGTCTGGCGTGTCCAACAACTTGTGGCGACATGGCGTGCTCGACTTACCTAGTTCCTCCGGTCGTCTCCTGAACATCATGGTTCATTATCTGGTGGCCCCACGCCAGTGCTGCAACATCCGGGTACGCTCGCCCGTTGGGATTGTAGTAACCCTTCCACTTTGCCCCGTACTTCTTCAGATAGGTTGAAACGGTGCTAGCTTGCCAGTACGGTCGAGGCCAATACTCCGAGAAGCCGCCGCTAGACATGTAGGATGCAACTTCTGGACTGTTTCCCTCCGTACCACCGACCGAGGTAACATATGGGCATGCTGCTGGAAAGCCAGGGAGAAACTTAGTTTTGTTTTTGCCATCATTGGACTGGCAAGACATTCCAGGGCCAAGATTGCCTGCAGCGACGACGACAGAGACTCCGCGGGCGCCCAATTGACCGAACATGTTGCAGACTTGCTTGGCATAGCTTTTGGGGACGTGCTGCTCATTTACCTAGATGTTGTGTTAGCCTAGTCTCAAACACTGTAGTTCCGACTGCGTTACCCCGTATGAGATTGAGATGACCTGGGGCAGCTTTTTATCTTCCAGGTTGACCAGGTATGTGGTGAGCTCAAGGAAGGGCTCAATCCACGCTTCTGTTGAATCGAACAGGCTGCAAAACTAGTCAGTCACAGCCAATATCGGGCCAATTTTGGAAACGTACTCAAGGTCCGTATTGAAATCGTGGTTTTCCCCCCCGACAGAGATGAATTGCACGGGGACCTGGTCGGCCAGTGCAACAGCGTACTGGATGTTCAAGTTGGCTTCTCCGCTGGGATATTCTCCCTGAAGGTTTTGCCCGCCGTTCACAAGGGAGACGGAAAATCCAGTTCCTTGTCGATCGGGGGCAAACCTTCGAAGAAACTCTTCGAGCTGATCATATTGCGCCGCTTGCTGCATTATCGTCAGTCTGCAATTTTTGAAGAAACTGGCGGGATATGGTCATGTTCTTACCTCGTTAAAGCCAGCAATGGCATAGAGTGCTCTGCGGTGAGCTGTCGGGTAGGTATTCGCAGGCATCTTGTACAGTTTTCGCAAACATGCCGGTGTCAATTCCACCTTGCACTGTTCCAGATCGGCCGGGTCCCCGTAGCTGGCACTCCTTTCCTTGCTCGGTCCTTTCTTCGACAAGTACGGGGCAGAACGCTTGATCTTTCGGGACTTCTTCAGACTATGGAAAAAGGTCGTCGGCTGGATGGATGTGATGTGGTCGCGGACCTCTCCGGGGACTGAGTACTCCCGCGTTCGCACCACATGCTCATCATCTCGAGCAAAGACACCAAAACGGGTGCTAAGCAGGCCTTCAGCTTGACTGACAGTGGCTCGAATATGGATCCACTGGCCGTCGTCGTCGATTGCGCGGTCGGCGATGCCAGCGTCGGAGAGCCAGCGCTTGACGGATTCCGTAGCCACCTGGGACGGGTTGAGGAGGGCCTTTGCTGCGTCGCGTGAGAGATGCCTGCCGTAGTTCGCATGGGAGGGATCCGAAATCTCGTAGAGAGTGCGCTCGAATCGCTCGTGGTCTTCTGGCTGCATCCCGATGGAGAGCTTGATGAGCTTTCCTGGGGCAGGGGAGCTGACCTCCTCCCATCCCGCGGGCGCCTCGTCCAAAGACTCGACGACAACTGGGCTCGACATTGCCATGGTCGCCATGGCGGCCAGGATGGTGCTGCTGTATCTCAGCATTTTGAGCGCCATAACGATACTAGGGATTTTGTTTGTAAAGAGTGGTGTTGAAAGTCTTTGCCTCTGGTAGGTAGTTGAGATGTTGTTCTGCTCCTGCTTCGCTACCCTCCGGTCCGTTGCTGCTCTTTATACCCCCTTCTCACCTCCTCTCAGTTGTCCAGGGAGGCACCTTCCAAGCATCATTTCATATTCCCGTATCAGTACCCGTGCTTTCATTGCGTATTGTACGCCCAACAGTGTCGTGGCCCAATCGGGACAGTGAGTTGGGGTTGTGGCGAAGAACAATACTAAGCCTTTCATATTGTTGTTGCACGGAGCAAGGATATGGTACCAACACGACGGGCCCCAAGCGCAAGCCCGCGCCGATCCACGCCTAAAAAATGCTCGATTGGGCCAGTGATGCCTTCCATGCAAGGAATTCGCCCAATTTGGCACATGAAGATTGTTGGTGGCGGCCCTTCTCTTGGAAGCCAAGCTTATTTGCGTTCCAGAAGATGGATGGAAGGTAGTGGTGATGATTTGAGGCGGCGCTAATGACGGCGCAGAGAAGTGATTTGTCGCCTGAACTGAGACGCCTTAAATGAGAGGCCTCTTCGTCACACAGCTTGTCTCCATGTCTTGTAGTCTCTGTCGGGAGCTCTGCGCATTGCCAGACCCCGCCCTCAATCCGAGGTAATGCAACGAAACTCGTCGGTTAACAAACATACCTCAGCATCAAAGAAGTCGTAGGAATTTTCTCCAGCTCCTGCGCTTGAAGACTCATGCAACCCACACTACGCTCCCCAGCGGTGACCCCTGGCTGGTGCCAAGCTGGGAGCATACCCATGCTCAAGTCATACCTACGCCACATGGAAATTCTTAGTATTGTTCTTGCCCACCCTGGCTTGCTACGGCTTGTCATGTGCGCTATCCGAAATACCCTCCTGTCTATCGGATACTGTTGGGCGGTAGCTCCTTGGCCTTGAACACAGACCCGCTCACCCTGTAGCGCTGCAAATGATGGTTCACTTGTTGGTTCAATCGCGCAACATCGCTAGGAAGACGACTGAAACTATGCAAAGGGCATCAATTTCAGGGCTCAGTCCGTTGTCAAATGTCTCTTTTCCCTTTCATTACGTGTTGGTGCTGTGACCTGCAGTTGAGTGGTCCGCAGTTGGGATGGTAACTTGCAAGTGGGGAGCATTTCCAACACGCACCCAAAGAAGAGGATCGACATCTATCGGGACAAAAGAAAAGTTTCGGAAGGCAAATGTCGAGGCACCCAGTCATCGGGGTGCCTTGGTTAGCCAAATTTTTGCTCGCTGTGCTGGAATGGAGTTAACATATTTAGGTGCATAGAAAAGCGTGAGGGTGATTCTTGAGCCTTGCGGTTCGCACAGGAACAAGTCCCTTCCCCTCATAAATGAATGAAGAATGTCATTTCCAACTACTGCATTATGTGAGTTGTTGATAATTATCTTGAGGGATCGGGCCATGTACTCATGCGTGCGAATAGCGGTTCTCGGACTTTAGCCATCCCGGGTTGAGTGTGCAAATGAGTACCCTTCAGCTTTATGTGCAAAAACTTCACTGCGTAAGTTATCTCTCTGCAAGCCCGATTTCATTGGGAATTATGTAGACACTGGCGTCTCTTTGTTCACGGTGTCACAAAGTATGCAACACTGACGGCAGTGGGCCATTTTTTGTGTACAGAACTTGCACAACGAACACTGCTCTTTAATGCTATGCTAACGACGCCGACACCCAACATCCGCATTCATGGATAAAGTGAACGGTCTGAAGTAGAACAATGTACAGATGCTGTAGCATCGTAGACCGCTTCGGTGCAGGTCCAAATCGGTGCAAGTCCATGTGTCTCAGTGGAGAAGAGTGCGCAAGTGAAGTCATCGCCGTCAACTTGACCCAATCAGAAAGCACGGCAAGTGCTGCCCTGCAAATTAGCAATGGAGTCTTCAAAGCAAGCATCGCCAATGGCAAGAGCACTAGCCGGTCCAACCTCTCGCTTTTGCCTCATCGCCGCTGCATTTGCCTGAGTTGTCGGTGAGTGGTCCACACCGGCCGGTGGAGACTCTTCAGTGGCAGGCAGCACCCTCAGCCGCAGGAACGCGTCTCCCCATTGGCCAGATTCTGCCAGGCAGGCAATCACCGACTACGCTCACCGCCCAGAGATTCTGTATAAAAATCTCGAGTGCCCGGCAGCTTTTGGACTTTTTTTCCTTTCTCCTTAGCTCTCTTTGCCTTTTGGCTTAGATCAAGTGTAGTATCTGTTCTTTTCAGTTTAATCTCTGAAATGTCTCTAAGGAGACAAATCTTGATTATTCCTATTTTTGGTTCTCGGGAGGTTTCCTCTGTGCTTGCACATGATTCCACTCACTGTGTCCCTGGTATTACACTGCCTCCAGGTGACGCGAACTACACTTTGGGCTCTCATTTTCATTGTTGATCCGGGCTTGCCTGGGGAGCGAAGAAGATGATTTGGTGGTGTTGGTAGTTGTGCGGTCCTGGTGAAGTCGTAGTTTTGCGTGACTCGGGAATTAGGCGTAGCGCTGTGAAGCCGTGAGACTGCCGTGAAGAAGAAAAACTGCTCTCCAAGTCGGTGACATTCCTTGCATCCTGCTTGCCAGCGTAGAGACGAGTTATTGATCATACATCTTCCGCTTCCATCTGCTGTCATCTCTCCAGCTCATTCTCGCACAAACTAAACTGCCGCCCTGAATTTTCACTTCCATTACGCACCCATCCGCAGAGCCTCAACACCACCACAAACCGCCATCATGTCCGCCGACACGCCCCTCCTCGACCCCGCCATCTTCGCCCACCTCAAGGACAAGCTCGAGGAAGAGACCCAGGTCCGCGACACCCTCACCCAGATCGTCCAGCGCCTCGAGCGCGCCGTCGCCGCCACACAGGGCCTGCTGTCGCGCGTCCACTCCACACCCCGCGCCCGCTGTGAGTTTTTGCCCCTGCTCTGACTGCACGCTGTGTGAGGGAACCTGCGGCTGATGTAGCATGTCTGTTCTAGTCCCCGCCCTCGTGGCTCAGCTTGAGGAGGCTATCAAGGAGGAGGTGACCATTGTGGGCGAGCTCAATGGTGTAGCCAGCCAGCAACCTTACTACAAGTAGGTTTCTCCCAGGCTTCCTTGCTTCACGGCGGGTGACGCCGTCCATACTAATCATCCTCATTATAGGTACAACTCCAAGTGGGCGAGATCCGTCCAGAATGCCATTGGCACCGTCATCTACTGCGGCTGGCTCGGCGGCCTAGGCAACGACTCCCAGCCTGGCGAGCTTGGCCGCCTGCTGACCCTCGAGCAAGTCGGCGAGATCTTCAACGGTTAGTCACGGCCTCAGCCTCAGCTTCCTCCTTCCAGTCATCTTCGTGCCTAACCCAATTTCTCCAGTCCCCACCAACCTCAAGGACCGCGATGCCTTCCACCTCACCATCGAGGAGTACCTTCTCTCCCTGACGGACCTCACCTCAGAGCTCGCCCGCCTGGCCACCAACGCCGTCACCCACGGCGACTTCGAGCTGCCACTCACCATTAGCGCCTTCATCAAGGACTTGTTTGCGGGCTTCCAGCTGCTTAACCTTAAGAACGACATCTTGCGGAAGCGTGCTGATGCTGTCAAGTACGACGTCAAGAGAGTTGAGGACGTGGTCTACGACCTCAGCCTGCGAGGGCTGATCAAGAGGCCTGGTGAGGGTGATACTGAGATGGCTGCTGCAGAGTAGGAATAAATCCAATGGGGCTTTTGGTACATAATCACCAAGCCCAATACCAGGGCGCGTTTTAAATAAGAGCTCCACGAAGCATCAGATCTTGTCCACAACTTTAGTCATGAAGGGTAAAAAAATTGCATCCACCTTTTAGGCAAGGGGATGATAGTTATATGCAACGGAAAGATGAAATTGTCTAGCTTGTGTGTTTGTTGGCGCATTATTAAACGCCATCTGTGGTTAACATCTCTTCCAAATCCCGACACCCCCGCCGATGATAATGATGTTTTTACAGTAATATACAACCGCCTATCCACTGCCCATTCCTCCCTTTCGGCTGTTCCTCGAGGCAAAAACGTAACCATGGCCAAATCCTGTTGGCGTCCTGAACCTGATACCGCAATTATCCCCCTCAATCGTGTCTGAAAGTGCATTTGTCTCCTCTAGCACATTTGCCCTGCTGCCAGAAAGTGCATGGCTTGGTTCCTATGAGCGCCTTATTGGCCGGTTTGTGAGGTGGGAGAGTCCCCCTCTTTTTGCGGGCATCCCTTCCATCGCGTTGCTCGCCTCGCTGATCCTCGCCACGTTCCCAGTCCCGGTCTCGATCTCCTGCAGGTGGTGGTGGTGGAGGGGCTGCCGGTTGCTGTCCCTGGGCCAGCTGGGTGAGCATCATGTATTGCTGATACGAGGGATCGTTCGGGTTTAGGAAGCCGGCCGGGTTCGAGGCCGGGGTCTGCGTAGGCTGCTGCGAGGGCTGGTTGATGGCGGCCAGGATAGACTGAAGCTGGCTATCGGGAATCTGCGATTGTTGGGCCGATGCTGCCCCAGGCTGCTGCTGTTGACTTGGTTGCTGGCCACCCGTCATCTGCTGTAGCAACGCCATGTATGGCGCGTAAGCCTTCTGTTGTGCCATATAGGCAGCCCACTCCTGGGAATTGCCCGCTGCCTGGCCACCTGTCGCAGCTGCAGCCGCAGCTCCTAGGACATTGCTGGCAGCCTCAGCCCGCGCACGCTCCTCCTCCGCGGCCTTCTGTCTAGAAGCGGCCTCCTTGTTGTATCCGATTTGCCACTCCCGGACCTTCTCCTGGTCATGCATGATCCAGTCGGGGGGCGACGCCGCCGGGAATGCCTTACCAGCCAGAGGTCGAGCCACAAGTTCGACAGCGTTTCCGCATAGATGAACAGATTTATCGGAGTAGTGGAAGGCACGCCACACGTCGGAATGCGATGGATTCGGATCCCGCCAGTTCTTAACCCGCTCGGATCTGAGCAGAGTGAGGACCTGTTCTTCCACGGCCCGACCCAGTATGACCGGGAGGCTGTCGTGTGTCGGACCAGAGCTCTGCTGGGAAGATGCCGATTGCTGGGTAGGAACCTGAGGTGCCGATGGGACTCCCCTGAGTCGGCCCAAAATCGAGTCAAGCTTGTTCGAAGGGTTCTCTTTGGCATCCAAACGCTTAGTCGCTGCGTAAAGAGCCCCATCAACTCCCATCTGTTGCTCATCCCTCCAGCGGAGTTGGATTTCTTGAAACTTGAGGTCATCGCCAGGCAAGTGCTGAGTTTTCCATTCGGCCCCCCCAACCGGTTCAAGTGGTGGCGACTTGGGCGTTGGAGGGATGTCGTCAGGATCCGTGTATATGGCCATGAGCTCTCGTTGCTCTCGGTCCTTGATTCTTTGTTGTTCATCGGTGGTAAAGGTAACCTTTCCACCTCGAGTGACAAAGTTCTTGTTCTGCACCTCTTCCGAGAGGTTCGACAGGTTGATGGCAGTCGGTTCCAGCCAAGGTTGGTAGGGAATGTCGTCGTCATCATCCTCTTCTTCAACATTTGCGCGCTGCTTCAGGACCATACCCTCAGATCGATCATCGCCAGCATCCCGGATCATGTGAACTTCCCTGCCTTCATCTTCCGCCTCTTCCTTCTGGAATATCTTGACCTGAACCAGTTCGGCCTCAGGTTTCCAGCTCACGCGAAGCTTTCGACGAGCTTCCTTTCGAAGTCGCTTCGTCTTTTCCACGGGAGTCTCCGAGGTATCAGGGCTCTTGTCTTCTTTAGGAACGACGACCAGAGGCTCAGCTTTCGGAGCATTGATCGAGTCAAGTAGTGAAGCGATTCCAGACAAAGCGCTAGAGGTAGTCGAGGGAGTCCTAGGCAAAGGCACCTTTGTCTCGGGTTTGGTCGGTGCTTTTACCTCTGCTTTTGACCTGTCGTCGCTTGCGATTTTGACCTCGGCTTTGACCACCTCGGGTTTAGGTACGGACTTCGCCACCGGTCTCATCTTACCAGGCAGGATAGACGTGGCCGCTGCCTTTGCTGCAGTGGTTTTTGAGGCTGATTGGAGTTGAATCTTGGGTTGCGCCAACTTCTTACTAAGAGAATTGCCGCTGGATTCCACCGCGATCTTCTTCACAACTCGGGTGTCAGACTCATCATCCCGGCCTCTCTTCGCCGTAGAGTGATCCGCCGACCCCCTTGTTGCAGCCTTAGCCCGACTAGCTGCCGAGGTGCCCGTGTATCCTGTTGAGGTATCGGGATCGGCCTTTAGGGCCTTCTTAACCTTAGTAGAGATATCACGCACGAGCTCCTTGACCTCTTCGTCACCCTTGTCTGCGAACCTCTTCCGCACTGTCTCAAAATTTGTTGTTTCAGCAATCCTTCTCGTCATAGGGAAATGAGTAAAAAGTTCCAGGACAATCTTTGGTAGCTTTCCGGAGAAATCGCCTGCCTTAATGCACATAATCAAGGCATTCACTAAGCTGAGAACCAACTTCTGGTGGCCGCCCATGTTGTCGATGACAGCATCGTCAGCATGCTCAATCGTGGCATCGAGTGCCCGGTAGAGCATGTCCTTCTTCTGCTCGAACTCCTGCCGAATCTTGGTTATCTCGGCCTCGGGGTCTTTGTCCTTGACGGCTTGGTCAAGTTCCTGCTTCGTACGATTCATGTCGCCACGTAGTTTAATAATGAATTCCCCAGCCTGCTGCACTCGAGTAGCAATCAAGGCCGTGGTTCTCGCTGTGGATTGGTCAATGTGGACAATTCCAGTGACATCCCACGCAGCGGCTCCAGCAAGATCTATAGGGCGAGTTGCAGATCGGATCTTGTACAAGTCAGGCATATGTTCTTCGCTGTGGGTATCTGGGGTCCAACTTACGGGTTTGCTCCGCTCCTCCTCCATCTCCCTCTTCGCTTTCTTCTCCGCCTTGTTCTTTGATGCTTCGTCGGATTTCAGCTGCTCTTTGAAAGCATGAGGATACTCGGTATACTTCGGTCGTCGTTTGCCCAATGCCTTCATAGAGCGGTCGAATTCGTCCAGCATATCTTTAGCTTCGATTCGCCTCTCGTCCAATCCTCCCTTGTCTGGTGAAGGTCGGTATAGACTGGTAAACCTCCCCTGAACTTCACAAGGCAGGCTGTAGCCGAGCTCTGGAACCATGGCCTTTCCGCTTCGCGATGGATGAGCCACTAGAGGAGCAAGCTTATCATAACTTTTCGGGGCTGGAAGCTTCGTACTGGCGTCATACACGAAGTGAGCGAGACCTTTGATTGCAGGTTGCTTCGCCTGCAAAGCCTTGGCGCGCCTGTTGAACTGGGCGATCAACTGCGCATCTTCGGCAGATGGAGTCGGGGCAACCAGAAAATCAACCTCATCCACCCTCCTGGGAGAAGTAGTACCCGGAACAGAACCATAGTCCATGGGCGAGTCGTGTGCCACCGTGGGCTCAGGGGTATGAGTTTCCGAGACAACCTTGGCGGCCGTGCGCTTCCTTTTCTTAGCCGGAGGCTCAGCTACAGCAGGCTGGGAGGCTGGGCTCTCAACATCCACTGGTTGATGTCCCATAATGTACTGTGTACTAGCAGCTGGTGGCGAGGAGCTCGCAGTGAACGGGGCCGATTGCTGATGCACCTGATGGAAGCTCTGGTTCGCGACATTCTGTGCCGGTTGTTGATAGGGAACAGACTTCTGAGTAACGAATTGGGCTTGGGCTTGAGGTTGAGGATATCCTTGCTGTTGCTGAAGGGTTTGTTGGCGAGACTGTTGGTAAGTGTGCTGCGGGTTTGCCTGGACTTGTGTTGTCTGCCCGTTGACGGGGGGAGAGAAGGCGGAAGTCTGGGTGTATGGTTGTTGTTGGTTCGGAACGGGTGAATGCTGAGGCGGTCGGCTGTATCCATGCCCATGGGCAAAGGCGGGAGTCTGCAATCCCTCGAACTGCTGCACCGGAGTATGATTCTGTTGCCTGTTTTGTTGAGGAATCACATGTGGCTGGGCGTATTGCTGGATGGGAGACTCGTAGGATTGCTCGTTCTGCGGGGCGAAGGAGTACTGGAAATTCTGGGAGTGGGTGTGAGAGTGGCTCTGAACCTGGTTCTGGACTTGGTTCATATGCCCCATGGAGTCTCCTAGGTTCATCTTGTCCTGCTGTCCGTACAGATCCGGGTGAATGTCACTGAAGGCAGGATCCAATACGTCCTGAGTGGGTTGGGAGAACTGCTGGTTCAAGGCCAGCGAGTCGTGGCCAGCATGGAAGTTGGATTGACCCGGTGGTGAGCCGTGCAGGCTCCCTGAGAGAAAGGAGTTGCCTGTGGCCGGTGAATCGAAGAAATTGGAGGTAGAGGCATCGTGAGGGTTGATGTGTGAGTAGGCAGCCTGGTCCGCCATGGGCTGGGACCAAGGCTGATGAGGATCAAACTGGCCGTTCTGGCCAGCGAAACCGTAGTTGGGCTGCCATTGGTGCTGGTGCGACTGCTCGTCTGCGCCGCTCTGCCCAGTGTTTGACCACGACTGCATCTTGCGCGATGCTTAAGGTCGCGGCCGCCACGGCAGCGCAACACCAACAATCAACTAACTGCAACGAGTGACTATGAGGCTAATGCATGTTGTCAGCGATCATCGCCATGTACGTGTGTGGATGCGCAAAGGGAACGATGCAGTGACGCGAGGCCAAGTTGGCGCTGAGGGTGTGGTCACCATGAGGCGCCCATGTAGTCCTGTTGGCACGGAGAGGGCGGTGCATCAAGGAGCGGGCGTGGGAAAGTACCTACACTGCTGAGCCACACTGGGGTGAGACTTGATGCTGGGCAACCACAGTTAGCGGGTCAATACCGGCTACCACAGTCACGAGAGACCCACAATGATGATGGCACTAGTCTGCACTAGGCGAGATCGACAGGGATGTTTTATCGAGCTGGGAGGAGCCAATCTGCAAAGACAAATGAGAAAGAAATCATCAGCAAGTTGCACCAGCAGGCGAGTGCATGGAGGAGGGTATGTGTGGATGTGAGAAGTGTTTGTGAACGTGAATGGATGAGTGAGGATGAATGAATGATGTGCGGATTGAAGGCAAAGTCCTGGCAATTGGTTCATGAGTGCTGGAGCGAAATAAGGGAGCCGCCTGAAGGCTCTCCGCCAGGATGCGGGTGGACTTGAACGAGGCCCAGCCATGGTCGGGACAAAGAGAGTCGTAAGAGGGGAGACGACGCGCGACAAAGAATCCAGCGGCCACACAGTTGATGAAGTCGAGAACCAAGATTAATGAGCGAGCTGCATCGTGGACTTTGGCGACGGGAATGCTTCGTCCGTCAGGGCATGCCTGGGATGGTTTTGGTGGAGCCACTGCCGCTGCCACTGTGTTTGCCTCTGGAAGTCTCGATGTCCCCCCATTTAGTCCCTGTTGAGCTGTCGCGGCCATGGCCGACCTGGACAAGTTATGGCGCAAACCCCCTGCACCACGTCCTTCAGCATCTCCTCCCGCCGCTGGATGACGATGATAGCAGGTTGGAGACTCGGGGTGTTTTTTCTTAAACGACACTCGCCCGTGGCATAGAACGAGATCACATCCAGGCCCGCCAACTGCGGGCGCTTCGATGCGTGCTGCGGTCATGCCCAGAGCGTGTGCTGGCAGCCCAGAAGCTTCGACTTCCGGCCACAATACCCTCTCTCCAGCCGCTTTGCAGACATGAGAGGCCTAATCCCCAGAGCGAGTCTCCACGGTAGTCACCAGCTCGCCGTCTTGCAATTTAAAGGCTGCAAGGAATCGGCGTAGCTGGCTCCAGTACTCATAGAGATTTCACAGATACAATGCTGTCGCTTGGATTCATGGTGATGGAGAAAGGGGGGGTGGTTCTGGGGTGATGACGCGACGGGATTGGGAAAGATGATGGATGGGATGGGGATAGAGGTTTGAGCATACCCTTGGACCGTTCAAATCGTTTCCTATGACAGCTTTATCCGTTTTCCTACCGGGGAGACGCAGTCTTTGCCTGTCCCATTTGTATCGCGAGCGAGTCGCTGTTTACACCATCCTCGAGCGCGGCCTGTCGGGGGAGGAAAGCAATCACAAGGGCGGCAGGCTGGTGTACGGTCAGGTCGAGCGCAAGCGCGGGATCTGGGGATCCCTGGGCGCCACCAGTATCTACCGGCGCAGTTCTTCGGGTGTCTTCTGGGCAGCTCCGACGCTGCGATCTCTTTCGACTGCGACTGTGACTGCTGCTGATGGTGGCGACGGATGGTTGTTGATGAAGTGTCGTCGAGAGTTGGAAAAAGTCGTCCCTTGCTTCGCGACGGGGGCTGGACGTGCAAACGATGGCCCCATATGTCAGGCACTCAGCTCCTCAACGTCAGGCACTGCCCCGCCATGACCACTCTCCACTCGGCCACTACTGGCTGCCCACTGTGTCCACTGCCGTTCCTGCTATCCTACCCAATCGCCGGCGCTTGAATCGGTCCGTGCTTGCAACGCAGCTTATCCTCATGGGGGAGCTTTCAGCATACTACGTAGTCGCGCAAGCAACCTTGGTATCGTGGCCTCAAGTCGAAACCAAGCCAACATTCTCTTGACCTGGGGCCGATCTCGAAGCTGCCGGGCTCGCATCGCTCCTTTCCGTCGGATCCGACTTTCTACTCCGCCCAGTTTGCGCAGTCTGCCGAGCCAGCGCCATCTTGAGCTGGGTGGCACTTCGTCCGGTAGAACGGCCCATCCCACCGCATCGCATTCGCTCCCAGACCACCGACGTCATCTACCACAATGGCGACCAAGGGGAACTCCCTGCGGGATCGCCAAATAGGTATTTGAATCACTGATGCTTCGCCAGTCTCCGTATTGACCGCCCAACCAGCTTCCCTCCGAAAGATCCTCAACCTCAACGAGACGGTCGAGTCCAACGAAACCGACGAAGCTCACGCCAATGGCCTCCTCGCTCCGGTTGCGCCCATCCTCGACGCCGAGGGCAATCCCATCTGGAAGATCCTGGTCTTTGACGACCTTGGCCGAGATGTAATCAGCAGCGTCATGCGCGTCAGTGACTTGCGCGCAATGGGAGTGACGATGCACATGTCAGTCGAGCCAACCTTGCCGTCACCCCGCCCACTCTAACTTATGCCACGATAGGCACCTTGCAGCTGCAAGATATCCGATCCCCGACGTTCCAGTCATCTATTTCCTCGAGCCGACCGCCCAGAACCTCCAGCATATCACCACCGATTTGCAAAAGGGACTCTACTCCCCCGCCTACATCAACTTCCTCTCGTCCCTCCCCCGCGTCCTCCTCGAAGATTTTGCGACACAAACAGCCAATGCAGGCACCTCTGATCAAATTGCGCAGCTTTTTGATCAATATCTCAACTTCACTGTTGCCGAACCGGATCTGTTCAGTTTGGGGATGCAACAAGAGCACACTTACTGGGCTCTGAACAGCGCAACAACCAGCGATGCTGAGCTTGATCGAGTAGTGGACAGGATAGTGAGCGGTCTCTTCAGTGTCATTGTCACTATGGGTAAGCCCCTGTTCCTCAGTGTCATTCTATGGGATCTAACACCTCAGCAGGAGTCATCCCGATCATCCGATGCCCCAAGGGCGCCGCTGCGGAGATGGTGACCGCACGACTTGATCGCAAGCTTCGAGATCATATCCTCAACTCCAAAGAAAACCTCTTTTCCGCCCCTCGACCGACCGCCTCAGCTGGCACTCCCTCCTCACGACCAGTCCTCATTCTCCTTGACCGAAACGTCGACTTGATACCCATGCTGTCGCATTCTTGGACATACCAATCTCTTGTCCACGATGTACTCAACATGAAACTCAACAGGATCACGATCGAGAGCCCTGCGGAAGAAGGGGCCCCTGGACAGGGAAAGACGAAGAAGTCGTATGACCTGAATGCCACCGACTTCTTCTGGAACAAGAACGCCGGCGTTCCATTCCCTCAGGTCGCGGAGGATATCGATGCTGAGCTCACCAAATACAAGGAGGACACTTCCTCAATTACCAACAAGACGGGTGTTGCGAGCTTGGAGGATCTGCAAGACACCGGCGCCAGCGCCCAGCATCTCAAGGCGGCGATAGGATTACTTCCTGAGATGAGAGAGCGCAAGGGCGTTCTGGACATGCATATGAACATCCTGGCTGCTTTGTTGACAGGTATCAAAGACCGCCAGCTTGATAACTACTTCCAACTTGAGGAGAACGTCGCCAAGCAGACCAAGGCTCAAATCATGGAGATAATCAAGGATGAGAACAAGGGAACCGAGCCTGTCGACAAGCTGCGGCTCTTCATCATCTGGTTCCTGAGCACAGAGCAGGAGTTCAGCCGAGCCGACTTTGAGAGCTTTGAGAAAGCTCTCGCTGAGGCGAATGTGGACGTATCTTGTCTATCCTACGTTCGACAGTAAGTGATTCCGTGTCAATACATACCAACTGTCAACTAATAATAAATAGGGTTCGTGCGACGACAAAGATGACCCAGCTGGCCACTATCAATAGCAGCAGCAACACGGGCCAACAAGCGCAGACATCTGATCTCTTTGGACGATTCTCCTCCATGTCCTCTCGCCTCACAGACCGCCTCAAGGAGTCCGGCGTCCCCACCGGCCTCTCATCCAACTTTGAATCCCTCATTAGTGGTGTCAAGAACTTCCTCCCCGCCGACCGCGATCTCACAGTCACCAAGATTGTCGAATCCATCATGGATCCTTCCGCGGCCTCCTCCTCCGCGATCGCTAAGACAGAGCATTACCTCTACTACGACCCGCGATCCGCCAACGCTCGTGGCACCATGCCGCCGCCCAGCGCCATGCGTTCTGGAGCAAGCTCCGCGCCTGGTGGCATGCCTGGTTCGCAAGTGCCAGGTCAGACTGCCAGCTTTGGGCAGCGACGACAAGGCTTCAGCGAGGCGGTGGTCTTCACCGTGGGTGGTGGAAGCATGGACGAGTACGGCAACTTGCAGGAGTGGGTTAACAGAACAGGAGGAGATAGGGCGAAGAAGAGGGTGGTGTACGGCAGCACAGAGATGGTGAATGCGGTGGAGTTCATCTCAGAGGAGCTGGAAAGGCTAGGAAAGGAGGTTTCGTCGTAATGACGATATTGTTAGTGAATAGAGTAATGAAAATCACGGGAGGAGTTGGTTTAGTACCATGGTTACGAAGACCCAGTTGGTTGGAATGTTAAATTGTCCGTCCCTGTGCACAACTGTCCCCCTTTCCTTAAGGTGTGATGGCGCAATTTTGTCTGTACTTTTTAACTGACGGTAGAGCAATTCACACAATTTAACATCATGGGAGTCTCGGGAAAGCAAAAGGAATCTTACGAAAATACGAGACAGTTCATAATCTCTATCAATCCGTCACTTTTGTAACAACACATGTTGAATGATCGTACGTTGTAGGGTAGGTGATGCTAGCCGGAACTGGGATGATCCGATGCCGGCTGGCTGTGGACGTGTCTCGAGCGCCCACCAACAACACACAGCCTTGCGGCGACGGGGCTGCCAGTGGGCATCAAGCTACGTACCGCGGACGGCAGGTGCGACAAGGCGCCCCCGGAAAACCATCTTCTGCAAACCTCGTTCCTTACTCATTGCTTCTCCCAACGCTCCGCGCATCACCAACTCGAGTCTCTCATTGCACATCTACGCGTCAAGCGCCATCCCGAATCGATTTCCTTTTCTCGGATGCTCGGCTTTCGCCTTGCTCATCGCGTTTTGTCGACTCCCTACCGTTCCGTCGCCTCACCCGTCCACCAACCCGTGCGTCCCTGACCATGGACGACTCCCCCGTCAAGACCGAGGGCGGCGCCGCCCGACACCGCGCCGGCTACAAGTCGTGGAAGAAGAAGTATCGCAAGATGCGCATCGTCTTCGACCAGAAGATGCACGATGGCGAGGAGCTGCACAAGCAGGAGGCTAAGGCGGCTGCGCTCGTCAAGCGCCTGGCCGTGGAGAACGAGTACGTCCCTTGGGCCCAATCCATGCACCCTTGTGCGCGCCAATCCTAACATACTTCCGCAGCCGGCTCCTGGACATCCTCCTGGAGGTCAACAATTCCCCCCAGATCCCCCCCGAGAAGCAGATTGACCTCTCGCTGGAACCTTCCTCAGACTCAACGGCAACAATCCTGCCGCTGGATCGAGATCGCGCGACCCGGAAGAACGAGGCCGCCAAGAAGCTCGAGGACCTTCTCAGCAACGTCCCGCACTCATCATACAACCACGCCAAGGAGGCCCTCCCTGCGATAGTCGACGACTTGAAGGCGCCCGAGGGTGAATCACACCCAGCCGACTTCCTCTCTGCAGACGACGTCGACAATTACATCTACGAAGTCGACACTGGCATCGATCCCGAAACTCACATTCCTACTCTCGCACCTAATGCTCATCCTAACACCCATCAACCGCCACACCCCAACCTCAAGAACCCAACCAGCGTCACCAACTGGCTGCGGAAGCACGCCCCAAAGATCTTCCTCCAGGATGGAGAATCCCACGCTGACGCAGAGGACGGCGAGGGTGGCCACACCGGCGGCCGCAAGACGCGCGGTGGCAGGGGAGAGCGTGGTGGCCGCGCCAGCACAAGAGGCAAGCGAGGGAGCGCCGCAGCCAGAGCATCAGCAGCGGCAGACCGCGAGCGTGGCGATTGGGACGCCAGCATGGACGATGATGCAGACTTTGGAGCCACGCCCGTAGGCAGAGGAAAGCGCAAGAGAGACGACGACGGAGGCTACAAGCCCCGTGGCTCCTCAACCCGGCCAACCAAGAAGAAGCGGAAGAGCGAAGTTGATGGAACTCCCAGCGTGCGCAAGTCTAAGAAGGAAGCCGCTGCTGCAGCCCGCGATGACTAGCACCATTATCTACTCTGACTCTTAAAACGAGGGATGGAAATCGACGGCTGTCGAAACCTGTGACTCTCACTTGATCTCGATGGCGCCGGAACATGTCCGTACATCCCTACACACATGAATCCACAAAACACGGGTGGATCTCCGGCCGCCCGGGACACCTTACGTCGGGACATGTCGGGGGAGGATCCTCGGGTCTACGGGGGGCACACTCTATGCGGAGGCAGAGGGCTTCACCCAACTAACCATTGCCACGGGCGGACACGTGCCATTGAGCCGAGGCATTACTGTATTTTGTAACATTTTTGGTACTGGGGGAGGGGGTAATTCCCAAGGAGGAATGGGAGACCCTGGATGGATGGAGGGAGGGAGGGATGGTTGGGCGAGCGATCTGCGCACAACACAAAAAAAGAGGCGTTCGAGCGGCGCTGGACTTGTACATGTGAACTTTTCTTGAGGATCCAATAGGTTTGCTCATTGTCGAGGCACTACTTTGGCGTTGGTCGTATGACTCCTCTTATGCCGCCCCCTACCTGTACGTGGGCAGGATTGAGCGAGACAGGGAGTAATGAACTCGGCACTTGAAAAACTATATAAAGCTGGACGGAGCAGCCCCATGTTATCTTTATGTACTTTCTTGTCGATACAACAACCAGGTGTCTTCTATCTACAATGCCTGCCTGTCTTATATAAAGACGATGTTGTCTTGCCACCCATATGTCCCCCTGTTCTCTTCTTTCCCACCTCCTTTCTTCCCATAACATGACGATGGAATAATGTGTCCTTTGCCTTGCTTTGCTGCCTGCCTGTTTCTTTCGTTTCTATATTTCATACAGGAAAGTTCTTGCTTGCTTGTTTGTCCTTGACCATGCCAAATCCCAGCAAGGTGGGGAGGCGGGAGGGGGAAGTACGCCCTCCATAGCCAAAGAAGCTGAGGGATGCCATGATATGCTGGCGAGGCAATGCCCAAACGTTGCAACGCCGCTACTTCATGGGATTCATACAGGAACCTGCGTTGTGCGAATGGAGGAGAGAGACGGAGAGAGGAGGGGGTGTCCAGTCGCGGACGGGGTTCAGGTGGACCATCATGGGAGAGTTGTTGAATGATTTACAGCTTCTCCTTGAGGATGTTCTTCATGCGGCGCTCAACAGCGTTGAGGTACTCGGTGGTGGTGACGTAGTCCTCACGGCCAGTCTTTCCACAGGCAAGGGCAAGATCCTTGGTCATGATGCCATCGACATCGACGGTGTCAATGCAGGCCTGCTCAAGGCTCTCGGCAAAGGCAACGACCTCGGGGGTGTCGTCGAGCTTGCCACGCTGGATGAGACCACGGGTCCAGGCGAAGATGGAGGCAATGGGGTTGGTGGAGGTCTCGTTACCCTTCTGGTGCTCACGGTAGTGGCGGGTGACGGTGCCATGGGCAGCCTCAGACTCGAAGGACTTGCCATCGGGGGTGATGAGGACGGAGGTCATGAGACCCAGAGAGCCGAAGCCCTGGGCGACAATGTCGGACTGGACATCACCGTCGTAGTCTGTGGGGAGCGCGTGTTAGTGGATGAGTGGAAGAGACGTCAAGCGACGAAAAGTCAAGTGACGAAGAGTGGAAAGGATGTGGGAGGAGAACTTACTCTTGAGAGCCATGATGTATCCACCGGAGCTCTTCATCATCTGGGCGACCATGTCGTCGATGAGACGGTGCTCGTACCAGATCTTCTTGGCCTCGAAGCCGGCCTTGTACTGGGTGTCATAGAGCTCCTGGAAGATGTCCTTGAAGCGGCCATCGTACTTCTTGAGGATGGTGTTCTTGGTGCTCATGTACAGGGGAAGACCCTTGTCCAAAGCGAGCTTGAAGGAAGCGTGGGCGAAGCCAGTGATGGACTCGTCGGTGTTGTACTGAGTCTGGGCAACACCACCGCCGTTCTTGAACTCGAAGACATCGATCACCTGGGGCTCGCCACCCTCAGGGGTGTAGACCATGGAGAGCTTGCCGTTGCCGGGGAGGACGGCATCCTTGGCGCGGTACTGGTCACCAAAGGCGTGGCGGCCGATGATGATGGGCTTCTTCCAGCCGGGAACGAGACGGGGAATGCGGGGGATGACGATGGGCTCACGGAAGACGGTACCGCCGAGGGCGTTTCGGATGGTGCCGTTGGGGGACAGCCACACTAAGAGAGTCAATGTCAGCAAGGTTTGTTCACAATTGGCTGTTCGTTTCCCCATGTCGTCATATCCATATCATTTCCTCTTCACTTCAAGCCTCATCATGGATGCGGGGTGAGGGCAATGCAACCCAATGGATGACGGGGATGGACGAGGGAAACTCACTCTTCTTCAGCTTGAACTCCTCGACACGAGCCTCATCGGGGGTGATGGTGGCACACTTGACACCGACCTGGTACTTCTTGATGGCCTCGGCGGAGTCAATGGTGACCTGGTCGTCGGTCTGGTCACGGTACTCGAGACCGAGATCATAGTACTTCAGGTCGACATCGAGGTAGGGATAGATGAACTTGTCCTTGATGGATTGCCAGATGATACGGGTCATCTCATCGCCATCGAGCTCAACGATGGGGTTCTTGACCTTGATCTTGGGGATAGTGGTAGCCATGGTGCGGACGGCGAAGGGGGAGACGGTTTGGACGGCTCCGAAGCGGATGGGACGGGCAAAGACAGTACGGCGCAGCGAAGACGACAGGAGAGACCTCGGAGCAGCGAAGGCGATGGCGGGCATGATGGGCGAGAGGAAGAGAGGACGCGGGACGAAAACTAATATAAAGGGACCTTCGGAAAGGGTCCGTTCGGGATCGGGGGGCTAGGACTGGAAGAGTGGGAGCCTGAGAGCCGTGGCAACCGTGGGCAGCAGCCGTGGGAGCAGGAAGGAGCCTGGGAGTGGGATAGACGAACGGGGAAGGCGCGCTGCGGCGGCGGGTCGTGGCTGCGGGGTGGGGGACGGGCAGTCGGAGCAGCGAGGAGTGAGGGGGTGGGTAGAGCTGGATGGACCGAGGAAGTCGCCGGGTAACTCGAGCGCGCGGGAGGCTCTTGCCCTTGCTGGGTGAAAGCTGGTGCGGGTGTTGGCTGGGCGTTGACTGGGGCGTACGGAAGGCGACCGAGGACGACTACCGACTGACGATGCGGGATGCGACGATGCGACGTGCGACAAATAAAGCGCGCGCTCCCCCAATGAAACGAGGTGGATTTGATGCGATGAACCCGGTTGTTGTCGCCGCTTTTTTTTAGGGGCCGACTAAGGAAGAAAGCTGGGGAATCGTCTGTTTCCCTTTTCTGCACTGTCGCCATGCGTCAGCCGCTGCATATGTCACGAGTCGGGGGGGGAAGAGTTCGAGACGGATTGGAGGCTGGGACAAGGCATGGCGTCGCGTGGCAATAGGGCAACAGGGCAATAGACGGGATGCGGCGGAGAGGTGCGGCCGGGCGGTTCTCGTTGGACAGCGGTCCTCCTAGACGCTCGCCGTGGCTGACACCGGATCGACGAGTTTCCGAAATCTCGGGAATTGGGCTTGCGGCTCAAGGATAACAACTTACAGCTTCTTCCGTGGTGGTTTCCGTTCCGAGAACGTCTGAGTTACGAGCGGTATGGGATGCTGAAAACTGATGGTTGCGGTTCCAAAACCTCGGGCGGCAGCAGTTCAAGGGCGAAAAAAAGAGCCTTCAGGATCCGACAACGGACGTCGAGTGGGAATCACGGCGGTTTTCTTTTAGTCCCTGGGGAACCTGGTCGCCGCCGTCGCCTGGCACGCCGAACCCGGCAACAGGGTCTCAGAGCGACAAAAAGGCCAGCCACGGTTTTTTTTTTTCGCTCATCATGTCCTACGGTACTAAGGCAGAGCGGTGGGCCGGGGGGCCAGTGTCTGGGTTTGCTACGACTATGGGGTGACGTCCGGCGTCAGTGTCATGAACTGAAGCGCATCGTGTGCTGATTTCCTGCCGCTGAGGACGCAGATCAGGAGGAGAATCAGGTGGTGGCCTCGTCGTTTGCTTTGGCGGGCAGCCCTGGGCATATAGCCTACTGGCGGGTAAATAATCCAACCCAACCCCTGCGAACTGAATCGTTTACCCCCTCTTCCCAACCATTTCCTGGCTTTCCGAGCCGGGCACGTTTCTTGCCGTTTCTACGACGCTGACCTTCGGGACCTGACCGAGCGGTACCTGGGAACGGCTGTCATGGCGCTGATGAAGGGTGCCTCAGCGCCATCTGCATGCAAGAAGTATGCGCAACGGGTAGCGCTAGCGCCCTGTCGATGCCGCGCTTTGTGGGGGTGGACGGATTGGTTTTTGGGGGCTTGCGTCCCGCGTGGGCTCGGCCATGTCATGACCGAAGGCGCGAAGAAGCCATGAGGGCGGAGGGAGACGTGGTGAGTAGGTGAGGCAGCTGGTGAACTGGTGGAGTTGGCTTGGATTCCAAAAGAGGCAATCATGTCAACGACACCAAATCATCGGCACACAGGTCTCACACCAGCAGCACGCACCGAAACACAGGCTTTTCATGCTTTCCTTCTCCCCCACCGGCACGCAGCTCGCCCGGATGTCCCGCTGCTGCCCCCACCGTACACCGCCCCAGAGCAGCAGAAAACCGCGCTAATCCGGTCCCTCCAGCTCGGCTCCTCCCGATCTCCGTCGCCCGACTCGGAGCTCCGGTCGTGGCCCCGCCCTCCGCGCCGTGATCGGGGCATCTCGCGAGCAAAGTGACTCGCTTTCTTCTCCGAATGAAGCCATTTTCTGCCGAGCCGCGAGGGAAAAACGTTTAATTGGGAAATTGATGCCTGCGCAACTCGTTGGGCCGCTTTTTTGGGGGTTTCTGTCCGGGGCCCTGCGTCGCTGCGACTGTACGCGTGGTTGCGACTCCAAGGTGGTATGTTGGGCATTGGCATATCCGAGGTAATGATTGAGCTTCCCTTTGAGCCGCGCGACCAGGGTCGGGCTGTGGCATGTCCTTGCGCATGACAAATATCTCATTCTGTATAGTTCTTTGAAGGTATTCTGTGTTCCTTGTGCATTTATTAACTATACTCAGCCTTTCAACGCAGGTTCTAAGTCGAGCCCTTTACCGAATATCCGCTGCCCTCTTTCCCATAGCCAGGATGACCCTTCCCCTTCCTTTCCATCATGGCAAGTCCCTCCCCATGTTGAAACTCAACCACCGTCATATCCATAAGCTCCTTATAGAACGGCACGCTCCGTTTCCAGTCAGCAGTGAACAGGATGCTTCTTCTCAGATACGGCATGCCCTCGACGACCTCCTGGACGCATCTGATGAGCCATCTGCCAAGGCCCTTTCCCTGATTCTCGGGGCCGATCCAAACATCAGTCACGTAGAGGAACGTTGTAAAATCCGTCACGCAACGTGCAAGGCCGAGGAAAGTCAGCGCCGACTCGTCGGGGTTGGTTTTGGCCTCTGAAGACGCAGCAGCTGCAGTATCGACGCTCTGCTCTGACCCCACTTTGTAGAGCCCGAAGCATAGGGAACTGTCCAGCATCTCTCTCATGACTTCATCTGGCAAAGAGCTGCCCCAGTAGAAATCTTCACGCGCGAACATCTCATTCAGTGTAGGAACAGGGATCAAGGACGCGTCCGTCGAAATGAAGAACGAGTCCTGGGACCATGTTCGTTTTCGAAGCTCCGAAGAGATGGGACCCATTTTGTTGCACTTCATTGGTTAGTGTCGTTTCTTTACGCTTGAGAGTGCCAGACCTTACAGTATTAGGCTGACCTTGTCTGTGACAATGAGGAATGCTTAGTTGGGCAATCCGGGTTTCTGGTCGCATACACCACTGCCGAACTACATATACTTCATGGTTGCCCTCGATGCACCTGTTTGATGACTCTTTTCTGACTCACGTCCTGTCAAGATGCCATGCTAGTCAAACACGCCCTTGGTATGCAATCGCTTATCAGCGGCCGTAGTCGCGATTAGCTTCGGATGGTTCCTCCGGGGCGTCTGGAAGAATGTCGGAATGAATCTCCGCCTCCGATGTAAGCTGAGAGAGTTCCTGAGAGATGGGATACACTAGCTAGCATCTCTATTGGTCCGTCATTAGCGACATCGACCTTTCGCTTGATAAATTAGGCCCTGTCGTCAATCGTGTTCTTTTGATGTGACGACTCCATTGATTCTATTACCATGTTCTCCAATTGGGTCAGCCAAAGACCTACATGGGTTCACAGTGTTCAGGAATCTTGCCAAACCAACTTGGTCTTCATCGAATTGAAATCTCTGTATTCTGTTGTACACCCAGCCCAGCCCCAAACTGCCATCATGGTATCCCTACACGTGTGCCCATCCCAGTGTTCTTGATTTTATACATCGAAAATCTCTCCCGCCCCCTCTGCGCCTCCCCTGCGGTGCTCCACAATGTCTAGCCTCCATCCCTCCCAGTGCTTGAGCGACCGCTTAATCTCCTTGATCCGCTCGATTCGCTTCTTCGACTCCTCCTCTTGAGCCTTGCGGAATGCATCCTCGTCAAAGTCCATGTCGTCGTCGTCAAGGAACTCGTCATCACCACCCCCGGCAAGGGCATTGAGTCCGCTCGTAATGAATTCGCCAATGCCGCCGGCAGTGGACTTGCGCCTAGCCGGAGAGGTTCCGTGCCCGCTGGTCAGGTCGACATCCTGGAACCCTGGAGTGGACGCCTCCATCTCCCTCCGCTTACCGATCCATTGGCCACTGCGAAGCTCGTGCAAGTCGCTCTCGAGAGCTCGAATCTTCTTTTTGAGTCGAAGACGTTCTTCGTCTTCAAGCTCATCCATTCTTTCGTCATCCAGGCCACCATCCTCGTCTGTCGACTTGCGGCTTCTGAATTTGAGGTTTTCGGTCTCAAGCCTCTCCACATTGGATCGCAACTCTGTGGCATCACGTTCTGCCTTCTCCTTCTCTCTCTTCAGAGCTTGTAGTCGTGAGTCTTGCTCCTTGTGCAATGTCGTGAGGGTTGATGCCTTCTTCTCTAGCGCCTCGACCTTTTTTTCTAGTTCGACCTGGGCGCTCTTGGCTGTCTCAAGCTCAAGCTCCAGCGTCTTGACCTTGGTCTCGGCGCTTGTTCGTTCGCTGCCCTCGCGCACAGCCTTCTCCACTGTCCGGTCGAGGTTACGTTTCAGATCCTGAAGTTCTCGCTGCGCCTTGCCGGCCGCGGCCTCTGCGCGGGCTACCTTATCTTCTAGGGCAGTGATCTGTTCCTTCTCTGACGAGGACCCACTTGCTTGGCGCTCGACTCGTGCCGTGAGCTTCGAGATTTCGATTTCCATGGATTCGATCGTCGCCGATTTTGAGGCCAGCTCGGCTCTCAACTCTGCGGGTGGCGCGGGTACCGAGAGGGATGGTCGGTGGCCATGGCCATGACCTGAGCCGCGCGATACTTGCTGCTGAAGCTGTGAATTCTGTCTCTGGAGGGAGGCAATCTCAGTCTTCTATCATGAGTGTTAGCCAGCCTAAGGCACGTCAGGAATATTGCGGACTCTTACGAGTTTGTCCACCTGACCATTATCCCCACCCTCGGCAGCGGCATCGTCACCATCGGCATCCCGAATGTCTGCCAATTCCTCCTCAGCCTTTTGCCACCTCTTCTCAGAGTCTGAGGCCTCCTTAGCTAGGCGCTTGTTCTCCTTCTCTAAATCCTCGATCTTGGCAACATGCTTCCTGTAGATTTCTGGCGCTGTATCACCGTCGGGGCTAAAAGGCCCGGGGCTGAAAGGGACGGGGGAAGTCGCGCCACCGCTGGGGGTGGAACTGGCGCGGAACGAGGTCGATCTCAGCTTCGATTGCTGTGCGAGAGATGGAGTCGCTGAAGGCGAAAGTTCCCCAGAATCATCCTTGGGAGGTTCCTCGAGCAGGGGTTCGGGCTCCTTCACAGCGGACTCTTCGAGAGCCTCGTCGGCTTTGTCGTCGCTTGGGGGCGCTTCGGGAGTGTCTTCGACAGACTCGGCCGCTGGAATCTCTGCGGCCTCTGGTTTGGCCTTCTTGGATGCGGTACCCTTCTTCTTGTTCTTCTTCATTTGCTCGACCTGTGATACCCTAGGTCAGCTCGTTGCGCGGAGGGAGGGGCAAGGGATGACGAACACGCTTCTTCGCGGCCGCGATTTTCTCCTGGCGCGCCTTTTCTTCAGCGTCCGCCATGATGGGCTAGGTTTGGATAATTGCGCTGTAAAAAGTGTCTGGTGGAGGATGCGGCGCCTTGATGAACGAGAGAGGTGTCACCAAGTGGAGGGTGTTAGATGCGGGCTTGGCGATTGGGAAGCTCCGTCATCAGCCTGAAGCTTAGCTGGCCTGTGCAACACAGTGCGTTATATGGAGAATGCGCACATCGCCACTGTACAACTCCACTTCCATGTCTCGTCCCACTAACAGCGATGCCGTGAGTATCATACCTAAGGCCCTGATCCGCAAAGACCTTAGACCTAAGGTCTAAAGTCTAAGATCTAAGGTCTAAGGTCTCTGCTTAGGTCTACGGTCTTTAGAGATCAGGGCCTTATTACTTGGGCGTTTCTATCTAGGAAGGGTTTTCCTTCGTCAGTAAAATAGGTCTATGCCACTATCCTACTGTTTTATCTGCTGCAAATAGACATGATCTTGATGTCCCCCTTTATGGAGCCCCCTGGAACTTACATACCTACCGACGGCTGTCACGGTGTCTCTCCTCGAGTTCAGCTCTGTGACTCCTAGTCACACCTTTTCACACGGAGCGGTCGCTTGACTGCACAACAAAGACCAAAAATAGGCAAGACCAATATTGTTTCTAGTGATTAGCCTTGTTTCGTCTCGAGTGTCAAGCTTTCTTTGGCTCTTTGGCGCCTCCGCCAAAGCTGCATGTCCCAACTGTAAGTCATTGTGTGACGATGTGTGATGCCGTGCCGACGGGAAGGCAGCTGGACGCAGCTGTCATTCACCCGTGGCTTTTGAGGCAGGCGTCTCCTCCCGGCTCTTAGCTGGCCCTCGCTTTCCCTCGCAACACAGTTTGCTTCTTCCTCTTCCTTCTTCACCATTACTCTATGTTACGTCCTCAGTCGTCACCACGATCTCCTCCACAGATGAACTGGACTGAAGGCGCTCTCGCTCGCCATTCACGTCGCAAGGGCTGGGACAAGGATGTCGCTCGTCAGAAGCAGTACTTTGCAAAGGCGCGCGCTCGCAAGCATGAGGGAGCTTCAAAGAGGAGTCCCCGCGCATCTTCCTTCATCCCCGATTACATTCCACGAAGCCCGCGGACCCAAGATCAGCAACATGTATCGTCTCCCGCCCGGCAGAAACAGATCATCCCCAGAAAACGATTGTTGATCAGTCAACGAGATGGACATCGAGTTGGGACGGCCAGCATCTCTGGCGAGTCTGCTAGTTCAAGCCTTGGGGGGCAGACAGCCGCTTTACTTCAGGCCGGGGAACCACCATCCAAACCAGAGAACCCCGCCATTGATATCGAATCTAAACGACGAAGGCTCCTAGAGAAGAACGATTGGACAGGGGTTAGCTTTCAAAAGCCAATTCTAGTCGACTTTTCCTGGCAGGAATCTGGAAACCGCAGGCCAAGGCCTCTGGACCTCGATTCGAGACCAACCAAAAGGCAGAGGCTGTCTGGGTTTCCACACAAGGGCGAGAATTCGAGAGACAGCAATGGAAGACCACTCAATCCTAGCGATCAGATGAAGATTAGAATTGGCAGTCAGGACCTCCGTTGGAGTCGAGCAAGCAATTCTGTGAGAAGCCCAACCAGTCAGAATGGGCCTCTTCCAACATTTGATGCGTGGGCATCCCAGCAAGGGGGATCAGACACCTCTTGTTTACCTTCTCGCCAATCACCAAGTTCTAGTGTCCCGGTACAGTCCACCTCGGACTTTGAGAATCTTTCTGGGACAGGCTATTCGAATCCTGAGTCTCAAGATCGAACGAGTCCCACAAACGAGATTGAGCACTACTCAAGGAGAAGCATCGAAAGAAGACGGGAGAAAACGCCAGACCTGCCAAAATACGTTGTCGCATCCTCACCACCTATCATCCACCAGCCTCAACCCACTCGAGGAAGAAGACTTTCGTTGTTCGACATCCGTTCTCCAGACCCAGAGGATATTGGGAGTATGATTGCCCAGATTGGTGCTCCAAACGATGGACCTCGCCATATCACGAAGGATGATTCCAAATGGAACAACTGGTTGAACCCAGACGACAGCATTGCTCCACATAGTGGCTCAAACGTTGAAGGGAATAGCCAGCGTTCACGGTCAATAACCCCCGGGGTTAGCCACTATTGGAATACCTCGGAGGACCAGTTGCTACCGAGAAGTGGTTGCGAGACTGCTAGTGTTGGAGACATAATTGGCAATGTTACGGAGCCGCCTCCCACAACATGTTCATCAACCCCGATTGTTCCATTTGACAGCATTTACGCATCTATTCGTCCCGAACAAGAACTACCTACTCACACTGAACAACGTACCAGCTCGAGATTGGATGAGACTCACACAATAGCCTCAAGCACTCTAGTTGTAGGTTTCGATCGCGAAGGAAACGAGAGACACGCAGAGGCCAAACACGATCTGGTTCTTCCGTCGAAACCCGAGTTACCCAAAGCCCCAAATGTACAGGACTTGATGGATTTGTTACTGGAAGATGACGAAGGGCACCTCGAAGAGGGTGACAACCTAGAACAGATATCCGAGGACGAGGACGAGGTTTGGAAGAGGTTTGTCTTTGACGAAGACTCTGCGGAAATCAGTCGCAAGGCATGCCAGGAAGCACAACGACAGACAACCCATGACCTGCGCACAGCCATGGCTGGCCCTCCTAGCGACGTTGCCGAGCCACCATCAGCATCACGAGGGAATCCTTATCTAGATCCAGGTTCAATGGCAAGTTTGCCCTTGGACTCCCCGGGGACTCCGTCCAAGGTCGACGAGCATATCTCAGCCAACTCCGCTTCAGCCAACACGACGGGCACAGCCAACTCCAACACCGCCCACATGGGCTCGCCCAAGCCGCACCACTCGGATAGCAAATTCCACCAACCCAGTCTCTTTATCGGAAGACTGGCCAGCTTGCCATCCGCCAACACAGGCCCCGTTCAGTTGCAGCCGCTCAAGAGGCGCAGGGGACGCCCGCGGAAACGCAGGGGCGCCGGGCGGCCAGACTTCCGCGCGATGCCGGACTATGACGACGACCCAATCGAAGAATGTTGCGAGGATTAGGCGCAGGTGGAAAGGGGTGGAGGGCTGCGGGTAGGATGAGGTCACGGGGATAGAGTACGATTGCGGTGTGTGATTCACTGTCTGGTGCACATGGTGGTACGTGCCTCGTACTGTAACGAGTTGTAGTCTATAGTCGAGGTACCTAAACGTACACGCATCCCCTCATTGTACATCATCAGGTGTTTGAAACCACCCATGCGCCGACAAAGAAAACGAAAAGCAGAAGAACTCCCGGTATCTATCTATCCCTTCTAGTAAAGTCATCACAGCATAGCCACGTAGGCACAACAAGCATAACGTAAGCCGGGACCGACGGCCCAAGACCGAACAAGGAAAAGAAGAAGAAGAAGAACAATTCGTGCCCACCCTTATCTCATCGCCCCCCCGGTCGCCAGTCAGTCAACCAGTCTAACGAGCTGCATGACCAAAGCGATCAATCCATCACCCCGGCCCCCATCGACGGGGTTAGGGGAGCAGGGGGGCCGAGAAAGGAAGGAAGATGCACTGCCCCAGCCACCGCAACCTTCGCCCCCGCTTCTAGAACAATTCTCTCAGTCAGCCTCGCGGCTGATCTGCATTGGAAGCTTGCGGGTATGATGCAGGAGAGCAGCTGGGCGCGCCAGCGTCATGCAGGGATATGTTGCGGTGAGGGGTGGTGGCGGTAGTGGTGGTGGTGGTGGTGGTGGTGCATGAGAAGAAGAAAAGAGGCAACGAGTGTGATGAATGCATTGGATGGATTAGACATTGCTTGGAAAGTGCAAGGAACTGATGGGGCTCGATGAAGGGCGTGAGGCAGACGCAGAGGGTGTGAAAGTGGAAAAACGCCTAGTGCCGTCACTGCCGTGCTTGTAGTGGTGGTGGAGGAGTGGTCATGACACTGCTGCAGCCTCATTATCAAGCTGAGTAGCGAGGAGAACGGCGACTACCGGCGGGACGTCTTCAGCTCGTTCACATGCCCTGCTGCTCAATTGGCAAAGGGCAGAATCCGCCTGGGGCAGCCAGGATCGTGTGTCAGAGCCATGACATGCGAGACAGGTTCTCTATCGCGGCAGTTACGACGACGACAGCGAGAGCCATGGGAGGGGAGTGTGGGTGGAGGTTGTCACCAAACCCTCTCAAGAGTGGTTTCGACGCTTCTCCTTGCGCTTGGGCTCGCAAGACGTCTTGCAGCCGGGACACTCAAAGCCGTTCCGGGAGATGTAGACGCGGACGAGGCAGCGGTGGCATCGCCACCACGTAGACGGAGCATACCGGCCCTCGAGCCAGTCCTCGTTGATGGTGTCGCCGCGCTTCTGGATATCCTCGCGATGATACTCCCGCAGGTGGTCGCGGAAGTGATCGCGGCGGTGGAAAGGCTCGCGGGAACGAGTGCACCGCGGGTAGTCGCACCAGTAGCTGTCCTTCTGCGACTCCGGCGCATGCGTGTTCCTGTAGTGCCTCTGGAGGTCGGCGCAGCGCCTGAACGGGCGGGCATTGCAACCAGGCGAAAGGCAGAAGACGGGCCAGTCGCGGCCGGGAGCGCTCCTAGTGGGAAGTTAGTATTGGTGGGAACTGACGGGCAGAGCAAAAGGGAAACGCACGATTCACTTCGGGGAGTGACAGTGTCATCCGAGGCAGACGGAGCAGACGTGTAGTACTGCTGCTGCTGCTGCTGTTGCTGCTGCTGTTGCTGGTAGGGATCGCTCATGGCAGTGGTGTCGTGAAGGGTATAGAAGCCCAAGGGAGAGTCGGGGATGGAAGATGCTTGAGAGCTTCCTCCCGAGCTCGGGTACCTGGCGAGGGCTGAGGACTGATAGTAGTCGCATGGAGATCCAGACGGCGATCCCAAGTCTTGAGGAGAGGATGCCTCGTACCAAAAGGCGTGGTCGTAGTGGGATCCCATCCTGTAATAAATGGTGCGTTGAAGTTGCGCCGGCACAAGTCAACTCTTAGACGAAAGAGAGAGTGACTTGGTTGGCGAGCCGGACGAGCCAGAGCACGGCTCCAGCCGAGGACGTTGAAGGAATCGTGCTTTGACGAGGCGAGCAAGCAGGAAGGCAACCAGCTCGCGGACAAGGACAGGGTGTGGAAATGTGCAATTGCAGCCACACGTCAGTTGAAAAGGGCAAATGGTTCTTGAAAGATGAAGCAAGAGATGACGGGTGGTTTGAGATGTGCAATGGTACGGAGAGACACGAGTGGAAGAGAGCTTGCCCAACCAGCTAATATATATTTGCTGAGGAGGAGGAGCAGTGGTGGAGGAGAGGTGGAGGGGTGGAACCTGGGTGCGGTCCTAGGGGCAAAGCAGAAAGGTGAGGCTCCAAAGCGCACATTGCAAGTGAGGCGGAAGGAAGGTGTAGTAGACTCGTGCCAATGTGAGCGAGAGCAGCGTGGGCAGCGTGGGCAGCGTGGACGTGGACAGCGTGGACCTGAAACCGGAAACTACATATCATCACATCTTGGGGCCAGGTCCAAAGGGGTATCATTAGGCTTCTAGAATGTCCAGGGGTGCAAGGGCCATGGGCCTGACGCAGCGAATCCCTGGGGGATGGTGCGTGCGTTCTTGACGTGGTACTGTAGGACGAGAGGTCGATCTCACAGCCATGGGTATGGCGCGCGTGCATGCGACAGGAAGAAGAGGAGGGGAATGAGAACGAGCAAGGAGCCGGGGCCGGGGCGGAGCATCTGGCGCACCTTGGCTCGTGACGCGCGAGTTGACGCTTGAACGGGAGCATCGCGGCTGGCCCAAGCGACGAGCCAAGGTGACGATGTGCCAAGATGATGATAGGTCAAGGTGCAGAGATGGAAACCGAGACAGCACACTGAGCAGTAAGCGCAGCGAACAGCCACTTGGCCGGTGTCCTGAATGGGAATGGACGAGGATGCACTGGGCGATCCCGATGGCCGTCTCAGGGACGACGACGCAATTGCACTTGCATGAGAGGACCCATGTCTTAGGACTTGGACTTGGACTTGGGGGGAAGGGGGGGCTTGGAACGCCTTGTCGAAGATGCCCGGGATAGTCGGTATGAGGGGGTACATGGCAGAGTACATTGTAGAGTACATTGTAGATGTAGAGTACCGAGTACATGCGAATGGAAGAGGCCACGGGGCCAGGATGTCAACGGGATAGCTGACTGACGCGAGGGCATCCTGCATCCTGCATCGAGCGGAGATAATGCCCGAGACGAAAGGAGCAATGAGTGCGTTGAGTGCGTGTGTGTGCGTGCGTTGGTGGCGTCGAAACCAAGAAAGCAACACCAAGTGAGCACCGGCCAGCTGGACCCTGAGACGAGCCAGAGACGAGCAGGTGTTAGACGGGCGTCGAACGCGGCGCCGTCATCGCCTCGTTCGGGGCTGACGAGTGAGCGACGAATGCGATAGGGCAATCGACAATGGGGCACTGCTCGCCATGAATCAACGACACGGGCCAAAAACATGGCGACGGGAGTGGAGGCGGGTGTGGCAGAATCCAGAATGGCGATGCGCTGTATTGGAGGGGTGGAGGACACTTGGAGAAACCGCTCACGCGCAAACCTTGGGGGTAGCTCTCTAGCTCTCCAGTTCCCTAGTTCTCAGCTAGAGCTTTGGACTCTCGGTGACCTCATGGGCGACAGCGCAACGGCTGGGCTGTGAGTGGACGATTGCTTGGGTGGCTACCTAGTCAATGAGTCAATGGGTCAACTGCCGTCATTGTTCGCGGGCGAGCTTGAAGAGTGGAGCGTGGAGTTGTCGGTTGTCATTGCTCGTTGTCCATGTATAATATCGCTAATTAATTCACTTGCGCGATTGACTTTGATGCGACTGTGACAGAGATAGCGGCGGGCCGCACACCAAGCGAGAAGCGACCGACGCAGGGGAGCCACTGGCGGGACGCTGAGTGAGAGAAACGCAGCATCTTGGCGCGCTGAGCCATGCTAGACCGCAAGAAACAGGCTGGCGCCGCATTAGTTTCTTGACAGCCCGGCGAGCAGAATTGGCCATCGGTAACGGGAGGAATCAGAGACAGGGCCGGGAGTCTGGCCTCCGCCAGTTCCTTAATCCTACCATGCTAGTACCATGTCAACATGTTAGCAACTTTCCCTTGTGTTCCCTGGTTCCTTGTGTTCCCTGGTACCCTGGTTCTCTGGGCCGCCCCACCCGCCTGGATCCCTGGCTGACACTATGGGATCGAGCGTTTCCTGGGTGGCTATACGGATGGACGAGCTGGGCTGAAGATGGGCCAAACATGGGGCCAGAGTGTCATTGATCGGGCGGGTACTCCGTGCCATCGGGGACAGCAGCCGCCGAGAGGAACACCTGCTGAGACTGGCCCAGATAGGCTACTGCGACGTGGCACAGCGCGTCACAGTGCCGACCTCGATCAATTGCTTGATGAGCGCGGTATGGAGTATGCCACAGAATCATCTTCGGCCTTAGATTGAAACCGTATTACGGCAGATGACTATGTAGTCTTGTTGCGCCTCCGAGGCTCTGCTGAACCTAGGTTAAGTGCTGGAATGCGTCAGCCTAATCGGATGCATCAAGTTTGTGCAGCGGTATGCAGTGCATCCATGCGTACCGTGGTGGCATTGGGTGTATGCGCGTGCATCTGTGTGTATGCGTGTGAGTGTGTCTTTTGATGGGATGGTGGATGAATGGCTGAGAGATGCCGGAAGGATGCCGCATCCACACACCACAACCACGGCCATGACCATGCCCAGCACCATCGCCCATCATCGGCAGCGAGTTCAATGCTTCGCCCAGACCAAACCGAAGATCCAATCCACTTCCCGGTGCGAGCCATGGATTCAATCCAGATGCATTGTTTCTGCTGCCTAGCTGCTCCCAAGCCGCCCACAGCAACAAGGCGCCACAGCCCCCGGTTCGTTCGATGACGGCCCCCGTGGCCAATGAGCGCAGGTACCAGCAGGTACATGGACGCTCTCCACGGCGTCCGCAGGGGCTGCGCACTTCGTACTTGGTAGCATCATAGCATTGGCCGTCAAGGTTTCACTCCATCTTCTTTCAACACCAGCGCCAACCAGCAATCCGCAAGCACAGACCGACAGCAGCAACGCAACGAATGCTCACACGGCACAGACAAGACAAAGACGAGGTGGCTCCCCCGGCCCCGCCAGCCCCATCCTCACCCGCCTGTCGCTGCTCCACCGACGTCTGCCACACCACCCCACACTCGGTGGCCGATCTGGGTACGTACATTGCACCGGTATATCGCTCTTGGCCGGGGGGAGACTTGGCGATATGGCGCCGCCAGATGCGTTTCCGGTGCGTTTGCCTTGCCTTAGGTTTGGAGGGGGGGGGCGATTTGCCCAAGCTGAGGGAATACCATGCACGAGGGGCAGAGAGAGCCTTGCGGACTTGCGGGAAAGCCTGGCCGTTCAGGAGCCCTGCACGCAACCTGCGACTCTGGTTGCCTGACCAGCCGGAATGGACACCGGGCGACAGCCAAAAATAAAAGTGTCGATGGCGCCAGACTACTGCTGTACAGTAGCTGGAAGCTGGAGCTGGAGCTGGGGGGAGGACCGGAAAGGAGACGACTACGTCGTGTCGTATTTTGGTAGAGTGCAAGTGAGGCGGGCCAGGATGATGGCGCCTGGGCGGATTGAACTGCCGTAAAAGCTCCAGGTCTCGATCCAGGGTCCTATTCCAGGATTCGCCCGGACGGCCGTTCCGTGCCGTCAAACTCTTTCTGGTCGTCAAACAAGACAATCGTCAATCGCAGATGTCCGTCCAGCGTCCAGGTGCAGTACTGTAATTTTGATAGGGTTCCCCCAGGGCCACCAAGGGGACCCGACGCCATCGCGCCCCTGCCTCCCCCGGTCGTGGATTCGCGAGCGAAGCGTCTCAGTGGATCGCGCGGGGCTGTCAGCGATGAACGATGGGAAGGGATGGGATGTGGTGGGATGGATGTGGTGATGGATGTGGGATGGATCAGGGTTGTCTCATTGGACGGCGTGGGAGTTGATGGGACGGACGGATTGGATGTCACCCGACGGACCCCCTTTTTTCCTTCCTTGCAGGGGAGTTGCGGGCGCTGGAGAGCTTCCAGAAGCCTTCCTGATCCGACATCGTCCGTTCTGCAGCCACCTTCCTTCGTTTTTGTTCTGCGTGATGCTGGATGCTGGATGCTGGATGCTAAATGGATGCAAGTTGACGCTTCCCCCTTCCTGCGGCGCAGCGCAGCGGGATAAGTAATCAATCCAGGGCTTCGGTTTTGGCCAATATCCTTGTTGTTGCTTGCTGGAGCTGTGTTTCGTGTGCTGGAGTCTTGCAGATTCCGTCGTCCTCCCGCATCCCACATCCCACCCACCCATCTTACCTGCCTTGCTGGGAGAAGACGCGCGTGCCCATTTTGCACTTCCACTTGCGCTTGCACTTGCACTTGACAAGGGAAGCCAAACTTAGAGGAAGCACTGACAGCGAGCCAGGAGAAGCGACCGGTAGTGGCGACAAGTAGCGGCGACAAAGGCAGAAGCGACATGAATCCAGCAACGAACAAGACATCCCAGACATCCCGGACAACCCAGATAGAGATAGGTCCGATAACCCAGACAGGTCCAGACATTCCAGAACAACCCAGACGTCCCAGAGGACCCAGACATCCCAGAACAACCCAGACATCCTAGAACAACCCAAACACCCCAGAACAACAACCCCCGAACAACCCAAACCCGACAAGCTGAAGCCACCACCACCGGTGCCCGACCCAGATGCATCGCAACCCGTCAAGCTCACACCCGAAAAGCATCCAGGCGTTTAATGCATTCCTTCAAATAGAAACGCCAGCCATGGGTGCCAGACGGATCCCATACCGATACCGAAGTCATGCCGACTCCGTCGCAGCCCTGCATCTCGCTGTTCCCCCCCCTCCCTCGCTTCCAGCCCCAATTTCTCCATATTGAAAAATTGAAAAATGAAAAAACACGAAAAAATTGAATTGCACTTGTCGGTCCGAGATTGTGTCGTGTGCTTTGACGCCGTTTGCCCAATCTTGTCAGTGAGATCGACCAGGGTTCAGCTCTAGTCCTACCCGCCGGACCTTACTCAACGAGGAGCGTCAAATCATCCTGATCCAAGTCACAAGCCATCGGACTTGTCTGCATTCGCACGACGTGGGCGTTGTCGTCGTTGTGTTTTCAACCGGGGATCGTCTCCTTTCAACCTGCACTTGTTTCCTTTCGCGCTGTGGCGTGCTGAACGTGTCCTGTCGTGAATGTTAGCCTTGCGCAACTCCAGAAATGGGCTGGCTGGCTAGTGTGGTACAGCTGTAGGGTAATCAGGAAGCCAATGTCGAAAACAATGGTAGAAGAAGCATCTTAATCTTTCACAGCATCGCGACACATATCGCATTTTACAAGTGGAGGAAATAACCATTCATATAAACCTCCACTCAATTTTTTCTTCCCCTTTCCTTGGGTAGCAATGCATCACCGCGGAATTGCGCTGAAGCAAGCACCTTCTACTCTCGATGCCGCTTCACCTCAACGGTGACCGGAGCGATTGCCACGTCTGACGCACAAACCTCTAAACGGACCGCCTCACCCAAAAAGCACTCACATGTGTAATTAGCTCGACGTGTTGGTGGCGCATCTCGACTCAAGGCTGTGGCAAACCTGCGGGGTATCGACTGAGAGGCATCCTCGGCCAAACAAATCTTTTGTAGGGCGAGCAGTGCGTGGCACCGCGTAGGGCGACCAAGCAAAAGACGCCGAAAACGACACTTTCCAAGGCCACTTCACATGAACACCTCACCAGGCTAGTAAGCATGGAAAATGCCACAAAATACACTTTCCAAGATTACTTCACATGAACACCTCATCAAGCCAATAAGCATGGAAAATGCCACAAAAAGACACGAGACCACAGCAATACCATCGAGGCGTTTCCCAGGGCGTCACGCCCGGCAGCCGAAAATTCCAAAATTCATCTCTCAACACTAGAGGTAACTCCCAACGTAGCCTTAGCCGTAGTAGCCATCGCCGTCGCGTGTTCGCGAAAAGTGCCGAGTGAGACAAGAAAAATGAGGCTACCATCCCTTTCCTGCCCCCATTAAACCCGAGGGGCCAAAACCAAAAGTACAGACAGCCCGTCCCATTGTCACCCCCCTCTAGATATCCCCAGAGATAGGGGAGGCTCTTCGGCCAGTCCCCTCCTTTGATTAAACATCATCCTCGAGGAACTTGTAAGCAAACTTAAAGTCCGCTTTTCGTCGGTTCATCCTGTTCATGGGTTAGCAAATGCTGGCTTAAGCGTAAACGCTAGCTGTAGACTTACCAGGTGCTCTCGTAATCGAAGAAGCGATATGTGCCTTGCTCAAAGTCCTCGGTGATGTTCTTGGGCTCCTCATGGCGCTGGAACCATGTCTGATATTGCTTGTGGAATCGCCAGCTCTGATCCTTGAGCGCCTTGGCTGCCAGATACTGTTGCGCTGTCCCCTGCTTGTAGTAGAAGACGTAGAACAGCGTATCCGGGTCAATGCGCGAGTACAGTCGCGGGTCGTCGAAGATGGGTAGCGGGTCTCGTGGGAAGCCTGAGCCTGTGGGAGGCACTGGCGCATCGGGTCGATATGTTCGAGGTACTTCCGCGTCTAATGCGTCGGGGCAGCTGGTTTGACTCACTCCCATCATTCGCAGTGTTGATGGTGCCGAGGGAGGTGGGGGACGCTTCCTCGACGTCTCGTACGTCTCGACAAGATCTTGCAACGATGCCGGCAGGTGGTAGATTGACTCATCCTCGGGCTCCTCCTCGATTGGTTTGATGCCGTTGGAAACTCCGTTACCATTGGTTTGGGGTGCTACGTTCATCATTAGCTTGATATGGGTACTGATATTGGTGATATAACACGTACGCTTTGACGGCGCTGAAACTTCAGGCACTACCGGCTGCTTACCAGCAGCCTTGGATCGCTTGGTTGGCTTGATGATGGATGGTTCCGGGGAGTTGGTTGTTGATGCTATCGAGGCAACAGACTGTCTCGACTCGGCCTGTTGCGACGCGAGCTGGACTAACGACATTGCGGGGGAACTGGTGGCGCTTGTCCTGGACTGTGCCGGTAAAGATGATATGCCTGAGATAACCGCGCCTGGAGGCGGAGGTAAAGGCGCAATCCCGACGTTGTTCCTGTCGCTCGCGGCCGCAGCAGCCGCTGCCGATGCGTACTTGAGACCCTCTCCTGCCGGTCGCGTCGGTACTGCTGCCGGCTTCATGATAGGGCCACCGGCGTTGTGGCTGATAGTTGACAGGGGGGCATGAAGTGTAGCGAGAGCGGGCAAGGGTGACTTGACCTGTGATGATGTTCGTCGTATCACAGATTCTTCCTTTTGCTTTCTCGGAGGTTTGGGCAGGTCGGGCTCGACAGATATATCGTCCTGTACGGATTGCGCGTCGAGGGATGAGTTCTTCTCGTTGTCCAGGCTCATGCCGTAGGTGCCTTCCTCATCTTCCAGGTCCAGCTCGTTGTACATCTCGTCGTCCTCCATGAAGTCTTCGTTCATGCCGTCGGAAACGTAGTATCGGATGCTCTCCTCCAAGTCGTTGACCTGATCCGTGTCGACACCGCCGTTTTCGAGGGACCGTCGAATCAGCTCCAACTTGCCCTGGTGCCACTTGTGTCGCTCCATGACCCGTTCAACCTCGGCAATGCGTTCCGCCTTGGCCGTGTTATTCTTGCCCTTCTTCATCGTTGCTTGTATCGACTCGCTTTCGGCCTCGAGCGCCTCGATCTGCTGCTCTAGTTCGTCGACCATGCTACTTAGGAATTCGCCGGCCTCGACCTTGGCCTGCTCCTTGGGATCCAGTTTCGCCGCGGCTGACAGACCTTCTTTGGAGTACGCCTTGGTCTTCATGGCCTTCTCGACAGCCTTGAACTTTTCCATTTGCTAAACGTGACGGGTCAGCTATCGGCAGACTCATCGCTGGTTTCGCCAGCAGCGAACCGGCCGGCCTGAGGGGAACGAACCGTCTCGATCAATTTGCGATGCTCCAGCAAAGGAGCCTTGTCCTTGATGTCGTTGCTAGCGGCCCATGTTTTGATCTGATCTCGCAACCGCTGCAGCTTCTTGATCTCGCGCTTCAGGTTGTCTTCCAGCTTCTCCTTCTGTGCGGGGTTACTCGACTGCTCAATCTTCTCGTAGATGGCTTCGAATTCGGCGACGCCCTCGGCGACCTTCTTGAAGCACTTGTCGACTTCTTGTTGCAGCTTCCGAGCTGCCATTATGAAGATGCGATGGTGCCTCGCGGCTTCGAACGCGGATCAGTCGCGGGGAGGCGTCGTCGGGGTTGGGGTCGGGGGTTTCTTTGTTCTGTTCGCCTGGCCTCGTCCGGACCAGAGGGGATCTGGCAGCGGACGGAGAGGGTGTCGCGGGGGGCCGCACGTCACGGGTGCGGTGCAGATGGCTGGCAAGACGTTGCGCAGCGCAGGGAGAGGTCGTCGCCGTCGTGGGACGATCAATTCGGGGGACGTGGCGGAGTGATTGCGTTGCGAGAGCAAGCTGTGGTAGCCAGGTTGGTGATGATGGACGAGGGAAACAGAGTATGAGGCCAACAGCTGCGGGCGCGCGATTGGCTATCAGGCAACAGGTCGCATCGGGCTGAGTTCGGTTAGCCGCTGCAGCCCTGGAGCCGCTCGACAGTGCTTGGCTCCGCGTCTGAAGGCGGGGAAAAGCTAGCGGAGGCCTGTTATTAGGCCTTTGAAGGGGATGCGTTTGAGTTTGATTGATGAATAGATTATTTGCGAGGCTGAGTGCGGCATAAACTTCATTGTCACTATCGCCATGTACCTATGTGGCCGTGGATTCCTGCTAGGCGCCCGGGTACCTGACGCACCACTGGCGTTCTCACATGACACATGACACGGATACGAAAAAACGCCCCCAGCGAAAAGGCTCCGTCGCTGTTTGAGACAGCGCTCGCTCAGTATGAGTCTTAACTTGGAGTTGGCTTCGCTTTGGACGAGATTGTATAGTCGGCTCGCTGAAAGCCATAGCGTATTGCTTGACAATAATTTCTCCATCCAACTCGTTTTCGTCTCCTTTTTTTGCCTCATCTTATTGATCCCTTGCTTTTTAAAGAGATACTGCTACTGAAGAGTCTCCACAGAGTTCCATAGATTTCCTTGTCTTTGTCACTGCGCATTTACATCATTTACATCACTCACCACCCACCACTATGAAAGGTACGTACGTCGCCCACGGCAAACGCAAACACCGGCCACCATCTGTTTGCAAGCTGCATGGCCCAATGAGAAACGGCCTGCTGACATCATGTCTAGCAATCCTGCAGCGTGTCCTGTCGGCCTCCGTGACGGTGGACAAGGAGGTCATCTCGACCATCGGCAAGGGTGTCCTCGTCTTTGCGGCGGTCGCCCCCGGGGACACGGAGAAAGAGGCCGATTCGCTAGCTGCCAAGGTGCTCAAGATGAAGATGTGGAATGATGACTCTGGGGGCCGGGTAAGGTTCGCGTACCTGGACATCTGGAGCCGTGGAGCTGACGAGTGTGGGATAGTGGAAGCGGAGCGTCACCGACATTGAGGGCGATGTTCTTTGTGGTACGTTCCGATATCTCTTCACTATGGTCTAGAATACTATGAGAGAGGCTTAATGCTGACTGTAATCCCTAGTCTCACAATTTACTCTCTTGGCCAAGACGACGAAGGGAACAAAGCCCGACTTCCACGGTGCTGCGAACCCCGAGGACGCAAGCCGGTTGTACCAGTACTTCGTCCAGAAGCTCCGCAGCGAGTACCGGGAGGAGAATGTCAAGGATGGCAAGTTCCAGGCTATGATGGAGGTAGCCCTGGTAAATGATGGACCGGTGCGTCGTTTCCACTTCCTTCTGTACAACATCCACCGCCGGCCACGTTTGCTAACACCCCCGTGAAAGGTGACATTGGAGATCCAGGTCGGTGCGAAGACAGAATGAGACCTGCCGTTGTTTGCAGTAAGTCCACGTCACGGTATCTCAGGTGGTGAGTAATCAGCAGACGGGATGCAGGTATACGACACACGGGATGAGTCTAGAACTCAGCGCTGTCTTACGATAACCTGCTCAGAGTGCATTAGAAGCGAGACAACGGTAGAGGGGGAAGGGAGAACTTGGGCCAAGGAGAAGTCACGAAGACGTTCTCAACGTGTTTAGGCCAACATCTATCAAGCCCAATCCCGGCGTCATTGTAATTCGACCCGACGTCGAGACAATGCTTCGGTGGCATCCGGGGCTAGACTAGGGATGGCTTGCGATGGGATGTTATCAGCAAGCCACCAACGGCACCCACCCGCCCGAAAGAGCAGCTTGCAGCAATCCTCCAGCCTCGTGCTCTCAAATCACAATTGCCAAGCAGTCCCTTTCCCATCCCGTCCCGTTTGCTGATACCGCCATGTCTACCGCCATGTCCTGTTGATCCCCACTTTCCCATCTGTCCTTTCAGCTCCCCCGGGCTCCGGTTTGAGTCACCACGGTGCGCAGTCTCTGCAGTCTCTGCACCCCCCGCGAATTAGGCGACGCCCACATCCGAATCGTGTTCCCGGCTGGACGTCTGCGGCGCCGATTGGGTGCTGTCTCGTGGGATCGACCAGCGGCCTGCGTTTAGGCGTCGTGTTGTGGTTGCAATTCCTCCCCCACGACTCAAGGGGTTCAATGGGGTTATGCTTGCGGGAAAACAGGCTGTGTTACTCACCAAAAGTTTGTGAGAAAACAAAACAGGCAAACGAGAGGGTGAAATTTTTTTTTTTTTTTGCCATTGGGTTTGTATATTGCGTTCTCTTTGTGACTGGGATACAATGCCATTTCGGTGTTGAGCGCATTGGTAGCAACCTCTTTGGTTCGTATGTTCTACTGATGTTTCGGGCAGGACTGTTCGTTCGCCTAACTTCCCGTCTAATTTGGACTGGTGTTGTTGTCTTCGCCGTCGAAAATGAGGAAAGATTGCTCTGGTTTCGCGCTGTCAATGTGAGAACAAGCCGAGCTCAGCCAAGAGTCTCCGTACGGAGTAGTCGGCGGGATGAAACAGCCACGGCAGAGGGCCTCAAAACCAACAAACATCCATCGGACAAAGCGAATTGGTTGATGTCTTGCCGTTCCCCCCCCTCCCAATCTCTTCTCGCTGTCTCGCCCGGCGAGTCGTTGCTCGGCCTCACCTTACCTGGCGGCGGCTTAGACCTTACCCTTGCATTCCCGGGACTCCGAGCCGCCAGCCACCCGGAACCAACCACGAGATCGAGACCCCGGGGATACAGGGCATTCCCGGGGACTCAAAGGGCTGGCAATGCTCCGTAGCTCACTGGCGGGGGGGCCATTGGGAGCAGCAACGAGGCTGGGCGGCAGCGGGACGGGGGACCCGGCCGACAAGGGACGGGAGAAGTAGCCTAGTTTTGTTTTAGGGGGAGGGGAACTACGCGCCGGGCGGTACTAATTACGAAAGGAGGCTACTAGGCGAACGACGTATGTAACGGGGATCACGGTATTACTTGCAGGAGTACGGCAGGGCAGGGCAGGGCAGGGGATTGGATTGGGCTGGATTGCCGCAGGGCCCTAAGTTGACTCGCAAGGCCAGGGCATTTCCGGGTGTGACACGGCAACTGCGCGTGAGATGTGCATGTGCGGGCGATGGGCGATGGGCGATGGATTTGACAAGGGCGTGCTTGAGGCTGGAACTCCACACTTTTTTGCGGCAAGGGGACGGACGAGCAGCGAACAGGAGGCGAAGCGAGCAAAGCAGGAAAAGGCACGGCAGATCAGATCAGAAAAACGAGACAGGAAAAAAAGGTGTGTGTAACGTCAAATTTCCATTCAGGGTATTGAATGGACCGAAGACGGGGTGGCGGGGAGGGTCAACTAGAAACTTCCATGGAGCCAACGTGAAGCGCATTGGGAGAATGGATGCAGGCGGCCAAAAGAGGCAAACCACCACAAGCCTCCACGCTGTCGGGTATCTTGCGGCAGGCAGGGCCAATCGGCGGGCCGGCCGTGGGCATTGCGGTTTTGGACGGGCATCACGTCACGGCGTCAGCAGATTTACGGCTTCTGTGCGCGTGCGTCTAGACCGCCGGGTGCTTTGATGCTGTGCTGTGCTGTGATGTGATGCGTGTTGCTGGAATGTGATGGCTGTGATGGGGACGGGATGGGGATGGGATGGGGATGGGATAGCGGTCCAAAACCCCCGGGGATGGGAAATCTGGATGGCTCTCGGATGGGCATCTGCCAAATCAGCGACCCTGTTCGGGATGATGCCGTTGCTATCTCCATCTCGTCATCTCGTGCGTGCGTCTCTCTCTCTCTCTCGCTCGCCCAGCCGCCGCCGACCCTTGTCCGTATTGTCGTTGTCGTCTCTTTTCTCAGCACTGCCGTGTCTCTGGCTCTCTGCCGTCGGTGACGATCCAGAGACAAGACACGACACACGACACACGACACACACACACACGCCGCCGCGCATCGCATGGAACACACCTGAGCACAGACAACTCATGTGCGTGCTACGTACGTGCTGTGCCGTGTGCTAAGGGCGATGCTAGGGAGGATGGGGAGCATGCTAATGACGCTCCAGCATGTGCTAGCTACAGCGGCGTGTGGTGCGCTGTGCCTGGCTGCCAGGTACCTACCTACACAATGGTGAGACCTGCTTGGTGAGACCTGCTTCCAGCGCGCGCAGGCCTGGGGTGGTGTGAGCGTGTTCCAGCCCCGGCCGAGCGATATTAGCACCCGTCCACTCAGCAGCTCTTCCGAAGAAAGACAGAAGAAAAGAAAAAAACAAGAAGAAGAAAAAAAGAAAATAGAGACAAAAAAAAAATAGCACACTCTGCCACCCCTTGCTTCTACAATCCTTTTCACTTGCGACCCTGTGTTGGTTCTCGCTGCACGGCGGGGGCGTGCTCCTGAAGCGTGGTGGTTCGCCTGGTTTTTGCGACAATGGTGGTGGCATTGTCGTGGTTCGCCATTCGGATTCGGCCTCTCTGTCTCTGTCTCTCTCTCTTTGCCGGTTGTCCTTCACCAGCAAGCAACGAAGCATCATTCAGGCGTGTCAGGCTCCCCCTTCGCTCGTCATTCACTGCCTCGTTGTCTCCGCCTTTCCCCCCCTTTCCGGCTCGCTGGTGTCTCTTTTCCCACCCCGAAATGGCCCTGTCCCATACGTAGCCCGTAGAAGTAGGTATACCTAGGTCATATAGGAGGGTACCCCGCATCATGCCCGTGGTTTCTCGGGCACAATCTTTGGCCTTCTCTGACGATCCATCTCTCCTTCGGAATCCTGCCTCTCAGCTCTCTGGTGCTTCTCCCCCACGGCCATTTTGTTTATTTGTCCTCCCTGCTCTCCCTGCTCTCCTCCCCTCCACTTGCGGAAATAAAGTCACAACTCAGCCGCCCATCCCGGAGCCGGCTTCTCAGTTCCTTTCCCCCCGTCCACTTCCCACTCGACTCCCCTCCTCTCTCAGCCGTGTGCCCCCCACTACTGGTCATAACCACCACCACCACCACTACCACCACCAACTGACTCAACCTCTCTCCCCTCACCAAACCTCCACTCCTCCCTCAACTCTCAACTCTCAACTGCCATCCCGATCGAACCTCTCTCCCTATCTCCCCCCCTCTCTCCACTCTCCTCGCCCCCGTTCAATTGACCTCTTCTCCATCTCCTCTCTCCCCCCTCCCCGTCTTACACCCATCACAATGGCGTCCGACGGCGACTCCTCGGCGGCCCGCCCCCGCGTCTTCTTCGACATCTCGCTCGGCGGCAAGCCCGTCGGCCGCATCACCATGGAGCTCTACGCCGACATCGTCCCCAAGACGGTCGACAACTTCCGCGCCCTCTGCACCGGCGAGAAGGGCAACGGCAAGTCCGGCAAGCCCCTCCACTACAAGGGCTCCATCTTCCACCGCGTCATCAAGCAGTTCATGATCCAGGGTGGTGATTTCACTGCTGGCGATGGCACCGGCGGCGAGTCCATCTACGGCGCCAAGTTCGAGGACGAGGCCTTCCCCATCAAGCACGAGAAGCCGTTCCTGCTCTCCATGGCCAATGCCGGCCCCAACACCAACGGCTCGCAGTTCTTCATCACCACCGTGCCCACTCCCCACCTCGACGGCAAGCACGTCGTCTTTGGCGAGGTCCTCAACGGCAAGTCCATTGTCCGCCAGATCGAGAACTTGGCTACCCAGTCCGGCGATCGCCCCGCCAAAGAGGCCCTTATCGCCAACTGCGGCGAGCTCACCGGCGACGCTGCCCTCGCCGCCGACCTCAAGCAGCCCGATTCCATGGGTGATCCCTACGAGGATTTCCCCGAGGACTGCCAGGACCCCCTCGACGCTGCCGCCGTCCTCAAGATCGCCACTGCCTGCAAGGACTACGGCAACAAGGCCTTCAAGGCCGGCACCTTTGCCCTCGCCGTCGACAAGTACCAGAAGGGCCTGCGCTACCTCAACGAGGACCCCGACCTCGAAGGCCAGCCCGAAACTACCAAGGCCGACCTCCTCGCCCTCCGCTTCTCCCTCAACAACAACTCGGCTCTCCTGAACATCAAGCTTGAGGCCTACGAGGACGCCCTCCGTGCTGCCACCGCCGCCCTCGACGTCCGTGGCACCAAGGACGCCGACCGCGCAAAGGCCCTCTACCGCCGCGGCTTCTCCCACGTCCGCCTCAAGGACGAGGAGGCTGCCCTGCGCGACCTGGAGCTGGCCCACAAGCTCGTCCCCGAGGACGGCGTCGTCGCCAACGAGCTGAACAGCGTCAAGGCCAAGGCCGCTGCCCGTGCTGCCAAGGAGAAGGCCGCCTACAAGAAGTTCTTCGTCTAGGGTGGTGGCTTGGCCATCATCGCCCACCGCTGGACATTGATCCAACGGAGGGGCCCTGAGGCGTATATAATATCATGAAAGAGAAACCCAAGAAACATCGAGTTCGAAAATCAGGCGCGGCTAAAACATAGGGAGGACATCTTTTCAACTTCATCCAAGGGAAGCGGGTAGGAGTCGGCGCTGATGAGATACCATTGCAAATAAAACAGACATCATCTCATTATGTCTTCAGTAAAAGCATTGCTTCGACGTTTGTGTTACATCAAGTGATATACTTTTCCTTGAGGCTGCCGATGTTGTGTGACTCGAGCACGATCGATCTAACAAAGATTGGCTACCCTTTCATGCAAGCCAGTTCTGCATGCAAGCTCAGTGACATACAGCTCACAGAAGCAAAAAAATGGTAAAGAGAGAATGACCTCCCGTCTTCTTTCTTTTTGTCTACCGACCAAGGATATATAACACAACCACCCAGCCAAAGCAGTAATCCAACCACTCCATCTATCTACCTGCAATAATGCAAAAGGGTATTTTCTTCCAGTCCCCTTTGCCCCTGTCCAAAAAGCCACACACCCGCCTCCGTTGAAACCTGATAGATATGCAAACACACGCACTTTTCACTCCCCCAACAAGAACCCGTATCTGTACGTTGCGAACCACCTCTACCGCAATAGCACCGACAACACCTGGTCTATTGCAAGATCGACGTCCATCCAAAGGGAGAAATCCAAGAAGCAGAAAAGGGTAAGAATAGAAGTAAAGAGTCAAGATGCACAAATGAAACGTCTCACATATAAGAATGAAGCTGCTGGCCATCGTGGCCATCCAACCGTCTCCTACTTCTGGCATCCATGAAAAATGAGAGATATGGGCCGTGTAAACATGAAGAGAAGAGAGTAGGTGAGTCATCATTATGTCATGAGGGAAAGGCCGTCTCGATCCATCACAGGCACGCATGGTGCCTGTTCTAGTTTGGGTTGTCGTGATCACTTCGAGCGCTCATTTCTGGTTTTTATCCGGGCTCTCGCCGCGGCCGCCTATCCGCATGATGCCACTGAGAATCGTCCGACCGACGCGGCCGTTCTTAGCCCTGATCGCATTGCTGGCACTGGCGCTGGCATGTCGCAGGCCACCATGCCTGCGGCTCTCTGCGTCTTTGACCTTGCCGCGGTGTTTCTCCTTGCTTCGTCGCCGATGACGTACTTCTTCCGCGATATCGCTGCCGGAGCTTCCTGGTGGAGGTTCGTATATGTCGTTCCAAGCCGAAGACGAGCCAGCGTACGAGATAGACAGAGAATCTACCATGGAAGCCTGCTCAAGGGTATCGGCGATTTCGTCGGTAGGCGTGTACGCCGCGTCATTGGCCCGATAGGACTCAACCTTGGCAAGACAGGCGTCGGCACGATACTGCAAGGCGAAGCACAAGTCGTCGAATTGCACAAGGTCATCATCCACCTCGCCTTTCTTGTCCTCAATCGGCTTTGCATCAACCCATAGCTTTACCAGACCAGCAAAGTTCCTTGTGTCGTCAACTAGGTACGGCAGACTTGGGAAGCCCTCCTTGGCAGTGGGACTAAGGCGCCCCAGGATTGTGACTGGAGTGCTATAGCCGGCGGGGACCATGTTGGCGCTACGGTCGGCAGGGATACTGCACACCTGGTCGATATAATCGCGGATGGACTGCCGTTGAACATTCAAAAACCTATTCATGGGCTCCATCCACTCCTCCCGCTTGCCAAATGTCGACAGATTGGCAAGCTTCTGTAGTGCCTTGGCGATGAGGGTAAAGGTCCGTTGAGCACGAGGCCGAGGATGATCGCGCAAGAGGTTAAAAAGCTTTGGTGACAGGATGGCAGGGCAGATGAAGCGGAGGAAAAGGAAGCCGGATACGGAGGTATAAGTCACGGTGCGGAGGAAGTCGCCGTAGCGGTCCTCGGCCACAGCCCGAATATACTTGAGGATGTGTCGCAGCTCTGGAGGGAGTCGGGCAGCCGAACTGGCGATGCATTTCCATATCTCAGTCGTCAAGTGGATCAGCATGCTCCAGTGGTGGTCGAGATCCGACCCGTGAGGAACCTTGCTCGGGTCAACCTCACAGTCTGGGTTTATCTCGTTGATCTCGAAGATCTTCTCTTGCAGAATATCTTCCAGATACTCCTTACCCAATCGGCGCATGTGAAACTCGAGGGCTTGAGTCAAAAGAGAGTTGCCACGGAAGAGTAGATTTGCCTCCCCAGCCAAGGACTTGCCGATGTCTCTCACAATCAGTTCGCGATCAGTGCCCGAGTCGATTGTATCATTTGACTTGAGACGGCTGCTGAATCGGTACTTCTTGATCGAAGTTTGGTTCCCAATACCGTCAATTTCATCCTCAACCAGTGCCATCAACCAGTCACCAGCGGACCCGGATACCTGGAAGATATTCAAAAACAGCTCAGAGAGGCGACGCAGGTGCCCTGGCAACACAGACGCAATCTGGTTCGTTAGACCGGCAGGGAAGCGATGCAGAAGATCTGAAAGGGGCCGATACTCCCTGGATAGAAGCACAACATGCTCCTCGTGAGTCACCTTGATCAGCATTTGGCCAAACGACTGCCCCTTCTCGTCCAATACCTGGAGCCAATCCTCGGTTTCGCCTTGATCCTGGAGTTCAAGAGATATGTCGACGGTGCCAACAATACACTCTTGTAGGTTTCGAGTCTTGGGTAGCCCAACAGATGCCTGGAGCAGGTTGCTCGAGCTCTCCAAGTTACCCTCCACTCGCTTCAAGACGACAGACAGAAGAGGTGTCGATGGCGGAAGATCGGTAAACTCGCATTCCTCTCGCCAAAATGGATTTTTCGTTCCTGTCTTGGTTGTCGATCTCGCCCTGACCTCGCCATCAAGGATGACCTCGGCCAGGTAGTTTCCAACGAGGGGATCCGGCTCTAACCTCCCTGCCCCCCTTTCTGCAATGCTGTTTTCGAGGCCTGGCGGTTTCCCCTTGAGCTTGGCTTCTGTCACTCGAACATTGATCGTCTTTTCGAGGCGGAACACTTCTCCGTCGTACTCGTTTTCGATGTTCTCAATCTCCAAGATTTCCGAGTTGTTGGGGTCGTCAAGCCTGTACATGTCCGGTACCGCAAACGCTCGTAGCAAGACAAGCCAGACTTCGAAATGGATCCGAGTATCAAGCGCGAGGTAGACTGGTCTGAAGATGGAAAGGTGTGTTGATGCTGATGCGTAGATGGGGAAGATGGCGATGCAGTACTCTTCATCGAGAACGGTCCGATCGAGTTGCTGGACAGCGCATCGTGAGAGTTGGGAGAGTTCGATAATTGACAAAACGGATACATCATTTTCCGTCAACAGCTTGAACTCCCCGTTGTCCTGCAGGATGCAAGAGACTCTCCTCCATGATGTGGTTGGTGATCGTAGATCTCTCGTCGAAGGCCGCTTCACAATGGCCCTAGGGGAACCGGCCAAGCCCTTGTCCCATAACATCACCTTGCCAACCTTGATAATATTTGTAGGTTTTGGTTTGTCATTGGAATGCCCGTGTCTTTTTAGTTCCGGCCTGGACAGCGCTGGGCTTGCTGGCTTTCCGTTGGTCAGCTTGACACCCGTCGGCCGGAGCTGCTGCCAGCAAAGCAACGCTGCCAACCACAAGTCGAACTCTTCGGCGACCAGCGGACATATTAGAATTTCCACAGGAGGCTGAATGCAGACCAACTCCAGGCACTCTTTCGTTTGTTCAGGGTAGTCGACTGGGAGCACCCTGCAACCCCGCAAGTCGGACACGAGTGTGATGTGGAATGGGCCGTTCTGGCCCGAATCAAACATGAGGCATCCCTTCTCTTCTTCGATGTAGGCTACACCGGTGTGCCAAGGCCCTCCGGACTCGCCCTGGTACTCGATCTCGCCGCGCATTCTGCCACATAAGGTCCTCATCAGTAGCAACACCTTGTTTGCATCATCAGTCGCAATTGGTAACGGAAGTGAGTCGACTGTCGGTGGGGGAGAGATGAGGGGCGATGTAGGGCGGGACGATTGCCGCTTCATGAGGCGTCTACTAGAACTCTTCTTGTCTTTGGGCGTGGTGATGGGTTCTCGTATGGAGACAGGCGAGTGAAAGGATAATGTGTCCAGTGATGCACTGGGTTTCGGTTCATCAGATGGATGCTGTGAACCCGAGGAGCTGACGCTGCCCACGCGGTGACGCTCACTAGTGGGTGGCACGCTCCGCTGGGCCAGCATGGAGGCATCCATGGTTCGGGTTCTCGGTCGCATACTTCCACTGGTGTGTCGCAGGTGTTGAGGAGGGCTCGAGTCGCCGCTCTCGTAGGACTCGGAGAAGACCTCGTTGAATACCATGCCTTGGCGGCGGGCAGGTCCACCGGGGATGGAGCGCGGTGAGCTCTGCTGTGAGTTGGCACCTCGGTGGGGTTCACCAGGGTTGCCCGGTACCGTAGGGTCGGTCAGGTCGGGGGTAACGGCGCGGATGGTGCCGGAAGGGTTGAGTGTAGCCCTGAAGGCGGCCCTCAGGTTGGATGCGCTGGAGCGCTCCATGTTGGGGTCGCGCTGGACGGTGAGGGGCATCGATGGGTTGTGGGCAGCGGAATCGGTACCGTTGGGTTGTAGATGGGCTTGTCCGTCCATGTATCGCGATGGCAGGCCTATGCCATTCTTCGTCTATGAGCACATACACGCTGTGGTTCGTCCCGCATTGAAGGCGTCGTCAAGTGAGGGGACAGCAGCAGGTGGCGGCACCTTGGAGCTGCGGAGTCCCTCGAGGCGTAGAAGTTGCAGTGGGTTCGCCGCTGTAGTCGCCGTGGCCGTGATTCCCGCGGATGTCGTCGTCAAAGAGGAGGGACCGGGGCCGTGGCCGTTCGGTGGCCGCAGGTGTTTGTGGTGGAAGTCGACGTCAAAAGGCCCAATCCCCAATCACCGACTGCGGCTGCGGGGATGGTTTAGTCTCGGCAGGAACTCGTTGGCTGGAGCGAAGGTGCGGGCCTGGCAGCTCAGCATACTCAATCTGTAGCGGCAGAAAAAAAAACGGGCGCAACGGCAGTTTCGATAGGCACCAGACGAGCGATTCGCAGCGGCGACAACGGGCTCTCAGACTATGCCGTTGTTGACGGGAAAGCGAGAGGAGGGGGAGAAGTTGAAGGTTGCGTGAGGTGCGGTGTAGATGTAGGTGTATGGCAGATGAAGCCGATGGAGTAAAGCCAGCCGGAAAGTGCCAAAGTGGCGACACACACAACAACCTAGTTGCCAGGAACCTTAGGCGCTGTAATAAGGTACCTTAAATTCCCTTCGAGAGCTGAGGAAGGCAGGTACCGCAGGTAATTGTGTGCGGCACGCGGCACACGATCCACCGGGATTGCAACGACCCTGGACGCTGAGCCACGAGTGTCTCTGTTGCGATTGGCCTCGAGCTCAGTTCCGTTGACGACTAGGAGCGAGCCAGGAACCAGGAGCCGGGTTGTTAGCAGGATGGCATCGTTTTGCACGCACACGCACACGCACACGCAGAGGTACACAGGCACACAGGTTCGGTGCAGCAGAAACGGCAGGGGGGGTTGGTTGAGAGGTTACTGGGTGAATCAAATATGTCCCTTTCGTCCCGTCTGAGAGCCGGTGTGGGGGGTTTTCAAACCTGGCCCAGGTCTGTGCCGATCAAAAAAGCACCACGGCGCAGATGAAAGGCGGATGGAATGATGCAGATGCAGATGCGGATGCAGGGCCGCCGGCGGGCTGCGTGCGGGTTGCGGGCGTGGTGGCCGTCAACCAGGGTTTCCCGCGCTGTGTGTTGCACCGTGTTCGTCGCAGAAAGAGTGTCGACGGGAGGAATAGCAAGTGAGGGTTTCACAGGGATTTTGCAGAGGTACTGCAAGTATGTAGGTACGTAGCACTAGAAGTCAAGGAACCGTAATTTGGTTACGAGGCCATCATCACTGCAATGCCAGGACCCGGAGGAGTGGAAGTGGAGAAGAGGAGCGACGAGGAACAGCCTTGAATCGGCACGACAAGTGGAGAGCTTTCCAGGGCTCTCTCCCATGCCCCCATAACCCACCATAACCCACTGGCCCCAACAAGCCCTCAAAGCCCCCCGCTCCCTTGGCCCTTAGCCCTTGGCCCTTGGCCCTACTAGAAGCCTACCACTTACGTAGCACGTAGCACGTCTGGCGAGCCCCAGGAAGCCCCAAAGGCTATGAAGAGCTTGGACGAAAGCCCGCCGGCTCGACTTTAGTGCTTGGTGGAGCCAATGGAGCTTCCGCCGCTACCTCTGGGCCAGCAGCCGCTAAGACGAGCCCTGAAGCAGAAGGTTCCTGCCTACGAGTTCTAGACGGAGCTACCCGTGCCTGACTTCCGCCCGTAGTAGGGACCAACTCTAGTAGGAGAGATAGCCGCCCGCAACGGCACGGGTTGTGAGGCCCGCACGCCAAGCCGTACCTAGACACCTAGACGAGAGATGTCGAGGACAAGACAAGGCTGCCGTCACGACCATGTCTGGAATATCTCGGTTTCATACAATATCGGGTCAGGTACCCTCCATCCCTAGCCTTGCTGTTTCCCAGCACTTCCAATCCTTCCAGGGGGTGATCGCCTGTCTCTGCGCGACAGTCGGTTCTCTTTTACGGGGTTCCGAGCCAGGGGCCAGGGGACGTCAGGGCGCACCCAGCGATCCAATCTCAACGTCGCCGGGGCCGGGATGATCTCCAGGTGTCGTGTGGTCTGTGGCACTGTTTAACCTCGAACCGAAAACACTAGAAGCGTCCTCGGCTGGGACCTGGAAATGCGGGAATAAATGATAAAGAGGAAAGCAAGAGTTGAAATGAGGCAAGCCGACATGGGAATCTTCCCGGAGACCCAGCACCGCGCTCGCATCATAGGTCATGCCCTCTGCACCTGGCGTGATATTGCGCCGGCTCCCCCAATCCAACAGGACTAACAACCCTTTCGTACAGTAGTCGATCGAGCTATCACCTGACCCTCGACACAAGCTACTGTACGTCCCTCGCACACCAGACGCCGTTTCCATCATCGTTCCACGAGCCAACCTGAGCCAACCCACTAAACCAGCCCGCTGACACGGGATCCTCGCTCCCCCTTAGCTCAGGACCCTCCTTACAGGCCGCCAGTCCTCCGTAGTGTCGGTGCGCAATGACTTCCCCACCGTCTAGCCAGCTAGACTTTGACGTTAGGTGTGATGGTGGCCAACCATTACTTATTGCTGGCGAGCCAGACGGAGATTTGGGTTGCTAATTGAGCGGGATAAGCAGCGGGCGCGAGTGGGTGGCGTGTCCAGGTTGTGTCTTCCGTCTAGAGTGGGGGTGTAATGTTGGAAATAGCATCCGGTTATTAGAGTCTACGAAGTACGTACGGAGTAGTACAATGCTGGGCATGCCAATACTCAGGATAGCGGTTGATGGATGGGTGATGGGTAAAGCTCATGAGCAGCACGTAAACAGAGGAACTTTAGGAATTGTAAAATAGATTTATCACCAGATTTGCAGTGAGTGCACCTAAATCGCTCTTCCAAGCGGAGCCGCCTCTTTTTTTTTTCTCCTCCATCTCCATCTTACACCTCCATCAATGCCATTCAGCCTGCTTGTTAGCTCACTTTATCACACACACACACACACACACACACAATGGCTCAGCCCACTGAATCGGATATCCTGGCCGCCCTTGCCAGATACCGTACACATATTGCCGAGGTCACCCACCGCGCTATGCTGAGGATACTTCCAGTGGTGGAAGAAGCCCGTCTAAAAAAGACCTACTCTAGGGTGACGATCGAAGAAGAAGAGGAACGGCGCTTTAAATATCTTAGCCGCCTCATCGCCTTGCCTGAGGGTAATACTCAGCCGCCCATTAAGCGTCCGTATGACGTCCTTGAGCACTGGGACCTTATTTCAAGTCAAGTCTCCCTCGATGGTACGACGGTGAATGCCGACCCAGAATGGCGGGCCGCCAAGCGCGAGATGTATCGATCGGCCATCCTCGAGGGTCTCGGACATCTCGAGTGTCCTACTGGACAGTGGACGTTGCCTCCCGATTTTGAGATCCTGATGCAGCACGTTGACGGCCTTGAGGGGCATGGCTGGTCCATGCTTCGTGATGTATCGGAGCGCCTTATTTTCTGGGTAGGCTGGGGATCAGAGGGTGTCTTAGAGACTTATGAATCGATTCAGCAGAGGGTTATGACAGGAGAGGCCATCCTTGATGAGATGGGGTATGATGAGACGGATGAGTATGATGAGATGCGTGATTATGATATAGCAGGGGGATGGCTGTCTGGTGAGGGAGGTGAGTCTGGTGTCTATGTGATTTACAGTCGGCTTAAGGACGAGAGCGAAGGTTGGTCTTGGCGCTATGTGGCTGCACAGGGCCAGTTTGGCACGGAGATCTTTGATAATATTGTAGCTGTCCTGGATTGGTACAAGGGGGAATGTGAGCCCGTTGATATTGAGCTTAAGATCAACGCAAAAGATGTCTTTGCCCCTTGATCTATAAGACAATAAAAGGGCATGCATTGCAGGAAGCCGGCATAAGTCAGGTATTCAAACTAGCGGGCGTTGCGCAACCGCATGGCAGCGGGGACGGTGACATGTCCAAGATTTTCCCGTAAGACCTCATTGCTGATGCTGATACCGCTGAATCTTCCCAGATAAGCTTTCCCAGGCTGCGAGAAGCCTCCACCAGCAACGAAGTCTGGCCAAGTCAAGCACCCCAGCTTATCCAGCGGACGGATACTACATACTACGTACTCGGTAAACCAGGCCTACGTAATTAACCCAGGCCCTGGCGAATTCTTTCGACGAACAAGGGCGGGGAAAGGCCCCAAGACGGCACATCGGCCATGATGAAGAAGCCAAAGAAGCTTCTGCGGCCGCTGAGGACCCCAAACTCCTAGTCCCATCCGGTTGCGCATTTCCGGAAGCCCCAACGGTGCTAGTTTCAATCACTCACATCTCACACTCTCCGCCTGACGAGCGTCAGCAGATGACAAAAAGCAAATAGCGAGAAGAAGAAAAAAGGTGACAGTTCATTCATGTTCCCTCTGCACGCCTGCTGACGGGTTGTGATTGCTGCGGCTCTTTGGTTTGTTCTTGCATCTCACGATAACTTATGGACCCGAGTGAATGGCGATCCCCAGAGCTTCATACCCAGCTCGCTGGAGACGTGTTGGCTCCTCGCCGCAATCCCACCGTGTTTTAATTCTCCGTCCCACTTTCCACGTGCGCCCAGTCGAGCCAGAATTTTGACACCTGTGGCCGCGTCCCCGTGGGAGGAGCAGCCATGTGCCAACGGCTTAGCGGACCAGTATCTCCAGGGCAGGGGGTTGCATCTTGGCCGTGTTTGCTTTTTATTAGAGGGTAAATTACTTACTTTTTCCATGATGTCCTGTTCCCGGTTTTGAACACAATCCAGCCCGCAAATCCCTGGATCTGTGTGTGATATTGTATGACGGAGGTGCATGGGCTGTCGTGCTTAGTACCGTCTGCAAGGGGACCGGCCGGCAACCATGTTTGATGGTCTGTACGCAGTAGGCGCGGTATTGGCAACCCCAGGCGATAGAAACAAGGTCGAGCAGGGGATGTACTTATAAATCCTTAGCTTTAGCCTTCTTCCTAGCCGTGGCAAATGTTTCCGTCTGGTCTTTTAGAACAGGGATCCTGCTCCATGTCTGGGCATTCATTCGTGGCCTTGCTTGTGGGGGAGCTCCTGGACAATTACCCCGTCGCCTGGCCCAGCAAGACGCACACCGCACATCATTGCTGGCATGACTATCTCATCAACGACTGATTCCCTTGCTCGTGCCTATGTCGACATCCTCATGCGAAACACCTTTTGTTCCACAACTTCTAGACTCCCGCGTACTGTACCCCGTACTATCTGCCTTCTCATACACCGTGAACCACGATTAAATTTCATCCATCCTATCATCTTCGTCTCATCCTGGGCCAGTCTCGGTTCACGTCCCTGCATGTCTTAATTAGTCGTCCGTCTACTGAGACTCTAAATCCTGTCATTCATCTCATTCCCTCGCTCGTGAATGCTAACCCGGGGACCGCAGACACTGGGCTGGGTGTCAAGACTCAAATGTGTCCTGATGCGCAGGGACTATGAATACAGGCTCCAGGGCCCTTTAGTGGTCTCGCCCTTGACTCGAGACGAGGTCCCTCCCAATCTCGGCAACGCCCAAGACTCAAACCCCAGTCCCGGCCGGAAGACCATTCGGGGATTCGCGCACGCCCGCGGATCCACCGGCGACAATGCTCTTCGAGGCATCATGCAGACGTGTCTGACTTTGCTTGGAGTTTTTTTTCCTCTGAAATTGTCAAAAGTCTGAGACTACTGCACCCTACTGCACCACAGGGTGGGCCAACCTGTGCTCCGCGGCCCTTCTGTGCCACTCGTCTCAGTACCCGCTTATCGCGCCGACGCCGACACCGACGCCGACGCCGACTCCGTGCAGTTAATGTGAGAGATGCGAAACCGAACGTTGTCTTTGTAAACGGAGAATTGGTATTCGTACTAGTTTCCGCAACAAGGGATCCCTTGATGTGATATCCTTCATGCGCCACAAATCACAACTTAGTCGTTCTTGTCTTGTGCTCCTTGCCTGCGCCTTGCTTTATCTCCGCTGCTCCCGACTTATAAAAACGCGTTCGGAAATATCAATCATCCATACCACCCGATCTCCCATGAATCTTCTCTGGCGACATTAGAAATGGATTTAGGGAACAAGATAAGACAGCAAACCAAAAAGAAATGCTGACTTTCACGAGGAGATAACTTCAGCTTCCAAAAGTGACAAAAACAGACAATAAATTGTGCTTGATCCCCGAAGCGCACGTAAAACAGCTTTGACGCCAGTAAACTTGTCTTCCAACTCCGAATTACCAAATTCCAGAGTCCCCCGTGCTCAAACCCTTGTCAAAATATGACCCAATATGAGGTGCATTGTGAATGAAGTGAAGTAAATCGAAGTGAAGTGAACAGCCAATATAAATATTGTCTTTGCCGTATGGTCATCGTTCTTTCTGCCGTGGGATTCATGCCATCTCACACTATTCCCTCAGCGGAGAATCGATGACTCGATCGGGCTTGTAGGGATACTTCGGACATTGCTGAGATCGGCACTACCTGTCCGTCTCAAGGCCTGGCTCATGGTCTCAATGTTAAGATCACCACCAGGGACGCTGATGTTGAGGTTGGTAATGCTCGTCGGGCTACCCAGGGGTTTACGGCGGGGGCTCAGCTCGAGGCCCTTCATGCTCCCTGGGTTGCTTGTGGGAGGGCTGGTTTCGGGTCCCTGGCTTGACACGGGTGATCGGATGGGTGAGGGTGATCGGTTTACTGCCGCAGGGAGAGATGTAAGCCCTACCAGATGGATGCTGTCGCGGGATCCAGGAACTGCTGAATGAGACCCATGCTCGGCTTGTACGACATCGGCAAACGAGATGAAGGATAATCGACGAACGTCAGAGGAGTCCAGGGACCCATAGTTGGAGGCATTATCGGTCAAGCCAGTATCTCGATCAGCAAAAGAAGCGAGTTCTGCGGCCCATTCGCTAGCCGTTTGGTCGTACTGGTTGATCGTCACAGCGGCGGGCTGATGCGAGCTGTGCGTCACAATCTCTACCGTGTCCGGGTCAAGCTCCCGGTTTGTGATGGCCTCAGAAGCATCATCGAGAACCGAGGGGATATAGTTTTCGGTCTGAATATGTGTGGGGATCGCCGGGGAATTGGGGCTCAGGATAGTGCTTTCCTGGACATCGCGCTCGAAAATCTGCGAGGTGGCAGGCGATGAAAGGCGTGGGGAGCCGCTGAACCCGCGGCTGGGGGACGAGGGCAAGACGAATGATTGCTCTCCTTGGGTGGCCCAGGTTGAAGACTGAGTAGCAGAGAGCTTCGACGCATCGCGGGACAGGGTAGGCGGGCTTGTGGTGGCCGAGTTTGAGTTTGGCGGCGACTGCGATCGAGTATCGGATTTCGAGGCGTCCGTAGACTTCTTGGTGGTGGGGGTCTTCTTCTTCCCGAATCCGAACAAGCTACGCTTCTTGCTTTTCGCTTCCTTCTTGGAATCCTCTGTAAGGCTGTCTTCGTCGTCCATGAAGTCACTAGCTCGTGGGGTCGCATTGTTCAACCGCTCCTCGGCCAGGATGGCCTCGGCGTATCGGCCACCCGGGGCGACAGTTGTTGGTTCGGCGAAACTCATGATGAGGGTCAGGGTGGATGGCTACTGGATTCGGTAGCAGCTGCCTTTTTCGAGGACGGATGGAGGAGAGGGAAGCCGGAGGTTTGAGTAGTAGTTTTCTGGGAGCGAGCCAAGCTGTTAGTCACCGTGCCCTCGGAATGAAGTTGGCATGGAAGCGAGACGAAGCCAGGTCATCAGCAGGGCTGGGCTGGACCAAAAAGCAAGGCGGCGGGGAGGGAAATAAAAATATCACAGCCAGGGCGTGCAACACGGTTCGCCGTGCATGACCGGCCGCTATTCGCTGCCGCCCTTGGAAGGGGAGACATTGAAGCTGGAAGTGGGCAATATTGAACACAGCACATACCTGGGACTGGACGACCGTCCGTAGCTCCCGATTCAACACGCACCAGACCCGCTGTGACCAGCGCTAGTTATTAGGATCCAACTAATCACGGCTGTGCCGTTGTCCGCTCTGCCGCCGTCTGGTCTTGTTTTCTGGGCTGGGGTCTCGTGGAGGGGCCACTTGAGGTAGAAGTGACGCAACAGGATGGGTCGTAGGGCGCGTGGTGAGCAGAGGTCGACGACTCGAAGCTGTGGGTCGAGGTGACAGCCCTGCGTGGGGGACTTGGAAGTGGAAGTAGAAGTGGAAGTCGAGGGAAGGAGACTCGGCGCTTGAGGATGACGTCGGCAGATAGCGCAAAGGGCGACGATCAAATATCCCAAGTCAAGGGGGAGTGGGAGAGTTCGTAAGTGGGTGTTGGCGTGTTGGCTGTTGTCGCTTGGGCTTGGGGCAGTGTTGACAGGGTTGGTGGGCAGGATCAATGTCTGCCTGCTGGGCAGAAGGGAGAGGGGGAAGGAGGGAGAAGGAGTGGAAGGAAGGGGCGGAGAAATAGCTGCCGGACATGCAGCTGGACAATAAAAAGAAGGATTCACAAGAGGGATTAGATGTCAGCAGAGGGCAGAGGGCAGAGGGCAGAGGGCAGATGGTGTGCGAGTTTGTGTGTGGCTGTAAAGGGAGCGAAGCGCCAGATCTTTGGCCGAGGACAGTGCTGTGCCGTCGAGGGCAGTGAGTGCTGTGAGCGTGCAGTAGGTGCTGTGAGCGCTGTGCAGGAACAAGATCAGCACACCGATGACTGCAAACCAAGGCACGGGGCCAGCGGGTATTAATCAACGAACAGCCGCCCACCGGCAGACGTCCCGTTCACAAGTCAACTACAGAAAATCCTGGTGGGCACGAGACTGACGGGACGACGGCCGCGGGCGCCACGATTCGGTCCCCTTTTTTCCTTGCCATTTTTCTATTTAGGTTTTGGCCGCTTGCTGGGTGCTTTGGTGTGGTTGGGCTGTTGCCGGCGCAGCGAGGAAGGATACCAGTTGACCTCATCTGAGACGCGCAAAACAATTAAACCGGCCCGTCGCGACTCGGGGATTGCCTTGGTGTTTTGCATCGCCCTTTGCGACGTTGGTTGGCTGCGCCATGGCCGTCCGTGGCATTGTGGAGAGGAGCAATTACATTGTCGCACCTTGCAGTGGGAGTGCCCGGCATCAGTGCGAGTGAGCCAGCATCAAAGGGAGATGCATTGATTGCTGCATGCATAGTGCCGTATGTGATGTAAGTACATGCAAGTCACGGACCGACCACGGTCCCCCCGGGACACAATCTGATCGAGCTTGCCTGATAAATGCAAGGCGCAGCAGAAAAAGAAACTGGTAATCACACAGATGGAGCCTTTTACTTGAGAAAATTTGGGGTGATAGGACGGGACTCGGATGGGCTGAGATCGGGTTGCATTCGTCATGCCCGATTGCCAACCTGGTGTTTTGAGCTGTCACTCCATATCTCCCTCTGTGTCGGTCTCGGCTTGGAGAACAAGGCACCATGCATCACCCAACTTGGTAATCGGATGCCTCAAAAAGGGCCTGATCTTCTTCATCTCCTTCCCCCTCTCCTCATCCCTCGATGAAGCCGGTGATGACCCCACTACCGACAATGCCCTCGTGACAACACCTTTTCCCAAGCGCTTGACATCACGCTCCCAGCCTGTCCCACTAATTACAGTAAGGCACGATATGACACAACATATCACAGCATCCCTAAATAGGGTGGGATCCACGGCCTCGACCAGAACACGCTGAGAAAGGAGGGGAAACTTCCCTGCTTAAACTCCTTTAGGCTGCCCTTTTGACCTTGGAGGCCACGCCAGGAGCCAACAAAAGGCACCATCTAACACGACATCACACTGGCCGTGATTGGATCTCCTCCCCCTCATTCATGCTGCGGATACAGAAGCTTCTGATAGGCCCGGAACCAACCCCTATCAATTCGCCACCGAGCAAAGGGGTCCCAGGGTCCAGAAACGTGTTCCCGCATCCCCGGGAGGATCTGATCGGCTCTTGACCGACATCTTGAAACATGGACCTCGTCACAGGTGAAGCTTGGTGCTTGGGATGAAAAAGCCACCGAGGGGCTAATGGAAGCCACAGAGGGGCTCACACTTTGGGCGCGGCTGGACCCCGGCATGCCGACGTCATCGGGCCGCCGATCCCGAGCTAGCCGATAACGCTCGTGACTGATCATGTGATTTCCAACGTGACTTGATCTGTGGGCTGAGCCGATTATGTAACCCTTCGAATTAGGTAAGCGGACCTCGAGACAGAAACTTCAGATCCTCAATTTGGAAGTGATCGCGAGGTCCATCCCCAGACCGTACGATCTGTCAATTCACGCGGCCACTCACCAACGCTGGGTGAAGGAGGTTTGCCCGGCTAAAACAAACCTCTCTTAATCAATCTCCCGCATTCCTCACACCATCACCTCCCTCCCCACGACATCACGCGACAATCGTTCCATCGGCCACAATGGAGTTCCGAGCTCTCGCCCGTCCAGCTGCCCGGCTGCTGAACACCACTCGTGCGACGACCCTCCCCCTCATTCCCGTCCGAGGACACAAGACGACAGCACGGACGAAGCGCTCCCTCAAAATCGCCGCCCACGACTCCTTCCTCCCCAATCGCCAGACCGCCTTCCCCGCCGAGGACTCCATCATCTACAACCCTCCCTCCTCCGAGGCTTCGCCTGAACATACACCCTTCCTTTTCCTCCCCAGCAATGACGCTCGCCGCGCCGCCTTCACCCGCCTCCGCCACATCGCAGACTCCCCCGCCGCTCCCAAGAAGGTGTCTGAACTTCCCAAGGAGGTTCAATACAAGCGACGAACCCCCTCCTACCACCTCGGCGCTGAGGAAATCAAGGAGATGAAGCGCCTCCGCAATGAAGATCCCTTTAAGTGGACCTCATATGCTCTGGCCGAAAAATTCCAATGCTCATCCGTCTTCGTACGAATGGCTGCTCCTGCGCCCGCGGAGTACCTGAAGGCCCTCAAGGACAAGTCCGAGCGAAGAGAGGGCAGGTGGGGTCACATCCGAACCAAGGCCAGGGAAGACCGCAAGAGGAGGACAGATATGCTGTACCGGGGAGAGCTGTAACGGAGAACACGGAAACACCAAAAGGTGTACCATTACGACCGAGTCACAGACCTGTATACAAACGAGACCATCTGACGCAACATGTAGGATTATTCGGAGTTGGAGCGAGAGACAAGGATGGTCATCTGTCCGGGGGCTTAAAATGGTCGGCTGGCTCAAGTCATTGTATAACTGCCTATACCAAGAACTCCTAAATACATCAAAACAGCCTTTTGTATTTTACCCCTATGTCCTAGGCCTTGTGTTTAGGCTTATGATCCCTGGGACCTTTCATCTTCCACATGATCATTACCATCGCCATTCAAATATGCCAGAAATGCCTGTTATATCCATAACCCAAACAGATGAACCAACCCAAATCCTAATGATATGCAGAGTTCGACGTTAACTTCAGCCTGACACCGAGTTCGACGTTGAAGTCCTTCGACTACTGCCTCCTGCAGAAGATGACGAGGACGACTCAGGAGCATTTCCGAGGTCCTTGTCTCCAGGAACAACACGCCAACACCAACCACACCAACTCCGTCGAGCACCTCGGACCTCGCGGCCAAGGATTCGGGCACCGATGCCACGCTCGTCGTCCCATTCCGGGACACACGCGCCGACACGCACCATGCGCACACGCTTGCGCTTCACGATGCCGCCGATGCCCTCGATCTCGTGGCGGTTGTAGCCTGGCCCCAGCTGTGGAGACGGCGTGCGCTCGTGGGACAGGCGCAGCGAGTCGATCAGGGCGTCGACAGGGGCCATTGTCGCTGGTATCGGCGTTGCAATCACATTGCCGTCTCGGGCGTCCTCGGCGTCGCAATCTAGCTGCTGCTCACGCTCCTTGGCGCGGCAGCAATCAGCTTCGCGGCCGCAGATGACACCGCGGTCACCATCACCAATGCCGGTGCCGAGGCCCCCGAGGATCTCGCCATACTGGTTGCGCCAGCGCCAGATGCTATATTGGTGTTAGTCGATACGTTTTGCAAGGGTCTGAATAGGACGTACCGTTGGTATTCATGATCGGCGCCACGAATACTTCGCCCGCAGGGCTGGCATAGCCATACTCCCTCGTCCTCGCACTTGCAGACAGCTCGCTGGACGGCTTCTGAAGTCAATGGCAGGGCCGCGTCGAGGGGAGGCTTGGCCAAGGTAGCGATGGGGGCATGTACACAGCCCTTACATAGTCTCCTGTGTCTCTCGCGCAACGCTATTGGTGCTGGGGGCTTAATTGCACAGTTCTAAAGTCGCATGTCAGCAATCAATCTCTAATTCTGCATTCTCCTGGTAGGATGCTTTTTGGTGGGGATTCACTCACCCTACAAATCACTTGGCTGCAACGACGACACTCGCCGACCATGTCGCGCGCGCAGTCGCCAGACTTGCCGCTATAGTTGCGCCCATCTTCCATATAGAACCAGTTGCCGGCTCGAGCGCGGTACCGAAATGTCTCGGCAGGATCGACCGCAACGGTCTCATTGCAACAGCGCAGGGTGGAAGACAGGAGGATGCTGCGATATTGGAGAAGGCCATGGTGGACGAGGCGGCAGGTGCGAGAGAGGGAGTCGAGTGTATTGAGATCGATTGAGGAAGCGATTGCAATGACGATGCTGTTGAGAAAAAAGACACAGGTTAACACGGGATGATTTCAACGTCAGGTAGGTGAGCCGTTGGGGTTCGTCCCATAGGTCCCATGACGAGGCATTCTTGTGACACGGGACCATTGAGGATTGACAAGTACGATGAATTGGAACAGATGGGATATGAGGGAATAGGAGAGAGAGTAAAAACATACGGATAGCACCCCAGGGCGTCGGTGGCGGAGCTGCGGAAAGTTGCAGTGTCCATGGTGGCTTTTGGTTCTGGTGTGTAGTAGCCGTCGGGCCAATGTCCATTCCGTCCGTTGGCAGAAAGTAGCTGAAGCTTCTTGAGCAGCAACTGATGCTGGTGTTCCTGCTGTTGCTGGCGTAGCTGGAGTTGCTGGGGGTCGTTGTCATGAAAGTGGTTATGATGTAGCTGGCCCGGCATCGGCATGGGGGCCGGCGTTTGGCCAGCATAAGAATGCGCCTGTTGAGCTTCATGGCCAGGGCCAGGGCCAACAACGATGGGACCGGCGTCGTCGTCGTCGTCCAAATCCACAAAACGCGCCATAGCTTTTTCGGTTGAGCAGCCGGCTTGTTACCCACACGAGACGTCCAGCCCCAGGATCTGATAAGCACGCGATGGGTCGGGGCGTCGTCGGGGCGTCCGGCGTCCGAGGCTCGGCCGATGTAGCCCGGCGGTCGAGGGCAGCGCGGGGCGGGATGAGGCCGGTAAGCGGTAAGCGGCTGGGACCTGAGTAGGTCCGGGGCTTTGGATGGGCGGATACTTGGTACGTAAAGACGGGATAAATGTCCAGTCTCTGCTCGCTGTTCGACTCTTGGCAGGCAAGCAAGCAGACTAGAGTTGGACAAGCGTGGGAGATTCGCGCGGAGGATGGATGCAGGAAAGAAGCCAGGCCAGAAGGAGCCGGGAGTTGATTTAAAAAACTGGGGATGGAGGGAAAATGGGGCAAAGGGACGGGACAGGAACAGTGCAGGGAATTGGCTTGTGAAACGGGGATGGGAAAGCCTGAGATGAGGGGGAAAACGAACGATGATGGAGGGGGAAAGCGTGAGGAGAGTGAGGAGAAGGAGGGCGCGCTGACGGACGAGAGGGGATTTACGAGGGCGAGGGCGAGATCGTGAGTGTCATTGGAGGCCGGACGGGACAGGACGGGACGCGGTAGGACAGGGGAACAGGGGATACTTGGGCCGAAGCCGACGAGGAGATGTTTTGGAGGAGGGATAATGGACAATGGATGGAAGACAGTGGATGATGAATCACTAAACGGGCACGTCACTGAGATGCTATGGACTGGATCGAGGAGGAGGGGGGGGTTGGACGGATGGCGATTGCGATTGCGATAATGCTAGCGTCAGAGGCTCAGAGGCTCAGAGGCAAGCTCCATGTTCAGACTGACTTTCACTACTACAACCTACGATCCCTTCCAAACACGAACCTGACGAACCTGGAGCTTCCGTCGTCCCGGCTCCCGACTCAGCCATCATCATCGAGCTCCGCCCCTCCGTCGAGTCCCTCCCTGTCTTCTGTCCCTTTTCCACGCAGCTTCTGCGCCTGTGGAGCCACGCACGAAGCTGCATCATCAACCACATGCAGCAACCATGCAACAGCTCAACAACTCCCGCGCTCGTTTTCCATTCCAGCCCTCACGACAACCACATCTCTAGCGGGTCTAGGCCGTCGTCCACCGCAAACCATGCCACCACCGCCGCTCCGTCCCGGCGGTGACGCCCTCTCGTGCCCTGAGCTCGTTTGCTTGAGGCAGCCCTGTGACCTGTTGTGACGCCGCTTCCCCCCACTAACACGCCGAACGTCCACTGGGAGAAAACGGCCAGGCGACCCCGGGGAATCGCTAGCCGCATGCAGCGTTCCAGGGCGTGCAGCCTGTGCCCCACGCGCCGGGCGCGTCATGGGAACCGTCGCAGATTTTCGTCGTAGCTTTCCATTGCTGAGCTGAGGTGAAGGCCGTCCATTTGGCGACGGAAATTGGCTCACCTGGAGGAATTGATGACCGGCCCCTTTTCTCTTCTTTTCTGTTACGTACTGCTGACAAGTCTGTGTTGATAACCGCGGGACTTGGAGCTGCGAGGAGCCGACTTGAAGCTTGAAGGTCCGGTCTCGGGGTCCTCGAAATTTCTAATCTAATCGCCATCGCCCATCATCATTTGGGATGATGCTAATAATAGACCGCTAGAAAATGAGAGATGCATTCTCCGAGATGCGTCCAGCCTCGTGGACCACAATGGGCGTCCTCATACCTGGAGAAACCTGTTCATAATGCCACATGGCAAATTGGAGATGTAAGGGTTGAACTGATGGTTTAACGCAAAGATCCCTAACCCTATCCCTAAGCTGATAATGATCGCAGAGGGTGTCTAGATTCTGGTTGGGCTTGGGTTGGATCGCATTCATGCGCATCTCGAGCGCATATTGTTGCCGCATCCGGAGGAAGAGGCCGTCCAGGTCCTCTGGATGTTTCTGTGCGTACTCCGTGACGGCGTCCGACTCCACCTGCTGCTGCATGTAGGTCGTCATGTCGCTCCCGTCGGGCAATATCGTGTTGTGCGTGACCTGCCGACCTTCTCTTTGGTCCTCTCAGCAAATGCGAAGAGCTCGCCGATATTGATCGCCACCGACTTTCGAAAGCGCTTCCGTGGTATATATTTGAGTGGCAAGGGTCGTTTCGCTTCTACTATATCTTCATCGTTGATAGTCGAGAATAGCTTTGATTGCGCCGGGTCTCTTTCGTCGATGACACATGGGGCGATTTCACCCTCCCTGATGCTGTATTGATGCCTTGGTCGCAAAAAATTCGCAGTGCCATTCCCACCTCGACCCTCTATCAGTCTCTGCTCTCTGACTTTCTGGATAGCTGCTCCTTGGGATAGCCAGCGGGGCCGAGGGTCGGAGTTAACAGTTGTTGGGCGGCACACCCAGGGACGACATTTCGTGATGTCAAGGTGCCCCCGAGGGCTCCAGCCTCTGCCTGTTCCAGTTGCCCCTAGTCGAAGTTAGTTGGTGCCCAATAGAGCCCGCAGTCCCCCACTTACAATGTCATGAGCGCTCTCCCATATCACATACAGGAGCTCCGTAATGGCGTCGCGGAGTTTGTATATAAGCACCTAGTGTGGACAAGTTGTCCCGTGTCGCGAAATAGCTGAGGGGAAGTCAGTAACAAATCCAGATGAAACTCGAGCCGAGCTTACCAAGTGGATATATAACCCTAACAAGTGCGACGAAGAAGCTCGACTCGCCGACGTCGCGTTTCCCGATCTTCTAGATGCAGTTGGACTCTGGAGAGTGAAGAGGGGAAGCAATGTGGCGTCGATATCAGCTACCGTAGTGGCCTCGTGTCATACTGACGGGAACAACGGTGCCAATAGGTCGCGGGTGTGGGTGGCTCTGTGTGGACACACTCTAATTTCTGGTGTTATATATCAAGGATGAAAGGTATGAAATGAAAAGGAGAATTCTAGGTCATCTAGAGGGGTATTTAAGTAATCTAGAGGTGAGTCAAGTCCTGCCAGCGGCTCACAGTCAGCTCGCAAGCGGATTTATTTGTCCTGAAGTTATGTGCGGGCTGCAAGCTACCCCTGATACAGACTCCGCAGTTTGCTAGCTGTAGACTACTTCGTATTGAAGTACGACCTTCTGCTCTTGAATATGTTGTGGCGCAGATTTCCAGTTAATCACTACGACCAAGCAAAATAACATGGCTCGTTTGCTTATTACATAGGAATGTTGCCAGATGTTAGACCAGTCGGTTAAAATTATGACTTCACAGAGCCTATGACTGGTGCGAGGCGGCAGATGATCGGTGAGTCAGACAGGACAAGCCCCATGTTTAAATTGATGGCAGCGCGGCTTGTCGAGTGTGACGTGGTGTGTACAACAAGCTTCGTTTCATCGCGGAGGAAATCTCAACCAGTACAACTAAGAGGCAACAAAGTAGTAAACGAGCACCAAGGGTTCGAGAGGCAACCTCAAACAAGAACAAACTACGCAGGGTGGAGAGTTTTAATTAGGGCAGAGAGAAGCGTATTGTATTACATGGTGAGAGGCACGCTGCCAAGTAGCTGACATTAGGTCTTTTCTTCTGTCACAATAACAGAGTAAATAATCACATAGGAAAAATAATAGCAAGATTATTAGGTCCTAAGGTTAACACTCACGGAGAAAAGAGGTAGATTTTAGGTCCCGAGCTTCAGAATAAGAGTTTACAGGCTTAATATAGCTAAGGATATCTCAGGTCTTCCATCTGGCCGATCACCTAACACGTCTCTTACCTCTCAGCTCACGACTTCCTTCTCGCTCTCGGGCACTCGGCAATTTTCTCGTTGTCCGCCCCTTTTGCATCATTAATGATGGAGCAGATTACCCGCTCTCGGGGTCCTACCCCTAACCCAGCGAAGTGATAGTGCGTGGATGGCTTCCGTTCAGTCGTCTTGGCCGAGAGGGAGTTGCTGCGTTTCAACAATCCATCGAATAGCCCTGCTTAAGTGGTTTGTTCTTCTGCAACTTCGATGGCGTCAAAGGATTACTTGGCGGTAAATTGGGAGCCGCTTTGCAAATACATGATGCTTCGGCGTCAACTCTTGGCTGCCCAGTTCCTTTCTCCAAAACCTACATCGGGAAGTGCCATGTCTCTAGCTCGCCCTCAGGTGGCCTTTTTCTAAACCGCTTGTCACAGAGTGCGCTCATCTGGAGCACTTAGCACCAGAAACGGATTTCCTGATCTCCACGAAACGGGTTATTTATTCCGAAAGACTACATTAGAGTGATTTGATAATGGGCTACCGGGGGTCCTCTGTAGTGACACAGGCGCCGTTGTCGAGCTTGCAGTCTGGGTCATCCCTAAAATCTTAAATCTGGTTAAGTAGGACGGCGAATGCTGAGTGTTTCGGGAAAGGGTAAACTGGTTGGATATGGAAGGGTTGGGTTTCGGCTGGCTTCCTCCTATTTCACACTCGGGTCTTATTTACCGCGCATGAAAAAAGCCATATGAGCACAAACTCGTCCCCATTCCATTGCTTGTTGATTCACCTGTCCCTTATGCTTCAACACCCCGGCATCTTCCACACCGATCCCTGTGTCGGACAGTTACTTTTAGCGAGTGTCGCTCCAGTCATCCAATGTATACACCTGATCCCCTGCCGGAATGCACATTCATGAGTGAGTCAACTGTAGGCATTTTCTTCATCACCGCAAGCATCTCTAAGTGTGTTTAAATTGCCGCTGCTGACAGTTCCAAGGTGGCTAAGATTAAGTCATCTCCCTTTCTCATAGAGTGATGCAAGGTAGTGCCTCAACCGCCACCGCTCATTCAGCACATTTAACGAGCATGCGGCCAGTTTTTGCATACTGTGTTGTAAGTGCGCTGCCACACATGACTCACCAACCGAGAGTCTACCATACTGTGAGTTATTCTTCATCATTATGTCGTTGCCGTATTTGTGTTAGTTTCCTACGTGGACAGGACGGGGCGATGCTCGAAACCGAGAGGCTGCTCTCCAAGCCAACCGTTTATATTATCTTCCTAATTCGACCCGGGGGACCACGCCGGATATTTTCCTGTCATAGACATCTACTAAACTGATAGTCCTTCGACCATGGCTCTCACGGGAACGGCGGCGTTAGCGCCTGCATTAAGAGAGGGTTAAGACGTGAGAGTCAAAACTTCAATGGGTTGGAGTAGAGTTCCAGCGACGACAGGAACACATCTCAGACTAAGACTAGCGACAGACATTGTGCGACCCACTGCCCTTTTAAGAGCGACAAGCTCTATCAGGCAGTGTAAAGATGAGTAGGCAGATAGTAGCTCAAGAGATGGCTTGGTAGAATTGAGATGTAGACAGGCGCAGTAATGCCGCCAGATGACTATCACATATCCTGACTGAGGTTCGTAAGCTCACTTTACTTGTCCTGTGGCCGTATTCGATTCGCGTCCAGCATGTCACTGACTTCAATGGCAATATGCCAGACAAAAGTCCTAATGAACATGAAACAAATAAACCGCCAATCCAATTATACCGAGAAAGATCCCGTAACCGGGTTGATTCGCCGAGGAATCTTGGGGGTTTGAGATCTTTCCCGCCACATATCCCAAGGCCCGGAAGTTCACGCCACATTATTTTCCCTTGCAAAAGCCCAAGTCTGGATCCAGATCTGCTGTTAATTCCAACACTTAAACTTCACTATTACCTACTAGTAGATCGCAAAGTCTGCACGTTTTCGCTCTTTCTCTTGCCGCTAATGAGGAATTCCGTCTTGGCTTCACTACGACAGCTAACGCCAGGACGTTTTAATTACCCGACAGCCATGTAATTTGTTCATCTTTAGATACATCAACCCTCCCGCTGATCTTATCCCTTTTGGTGGAAGCTTTTATGAGGTCTGGCCGGGCAAAAATACCACCGGCGAGCAGGATGTTAAGCAGTTCCTCAAGGATGAGGCTTAGGGTCATCACGCCTCGTGTGCCGGTCCTATCGGTCCTGATGACGACCCAAAGGCTATCCTTGATTCCAACTTCAAGGTTTGGGGCACCGATGGCTTAAGAGTCGTTGATGCGAGTGTATTCCCTAAATCTCCTGGCTTTGATATTGCATTACCACTGTTTATTGTCTCAGAGAGGCGAGCCATGCTATTATCAAGGCGGCCCAGGCACATAAGAGTTAAATCCCCTGCCTTTGGGAAACTCCTGATGACGAGGCATTCCTATTAAATTTCTATGAGTGGATTGGAATGGATTTATACCTGCGCGAATAGCAATACTCAATATGTGATCAAAGATCAACCAATAATTGTGTCTGTAAAGACTTATGCTCGCAGACACGGGCTGTTAGTACTCCGAAGCAGTTATTCACGCGGGTGGGGATAGAAGAAATAAGTTCGTGGTCCAACAGGTCTCTCAATTCAAAAGCGATCATGGCTAATGCTATACGGGAACTCATCATGCACATGAAAAAACAAATGGAACGACTCCCCTCCCCCCCTTAAAAATCCCTATTCCACCACTGCGAATTGCGTCCGGCAACTTGGTCCCAGACTCAAGCAGCTACGCATTGCAAACTCAACAATCAATCAAATATCGTTCTCTGAAAATCAGAATATGTTCTTTCCTTTTGATCTTGACGCCTTGGGGTTGTCATTTCGTTTTATCGTTCTTCTGTCAACTTGGCTGACATGGCTTAGAAGCCGATCAGGCGGCGCCACTTGGAAGCAGCAGTGTTTTCTGCACGCTGGTTAACTGTCTGGGTGACATAGACAGTTGCGGGAGCCTTGCTCGTGGCGGTAGCGAGAGTAGTAGCCGCAGCCGCGTCAGAGACGGGGCATGAGGTGATAGTCTGGACTGAGGTCTCTGTCTCGGTGACCGTGACCGCGACCGCAGTCTCGGAGCCGCCACCGCCAATAACAGTGACAGTCTTGACATCGCCACCTGTAGCGGTCTCGCCACTGCCGGAAGCTGTCTCGCCTCGGACGCTGCAGTTGCCATTCTCGCAGTCCCGAGTGATTGTTACCGTCGAAGCTTCGCCGGT